ATCGTCTTGGATCCAGGAGTGTTTAAACAGCTCTCCAATGCGCCTGCGCCCTTTATATGATCTCTTGCTCTCGCGGCCCTCAGGGTACTCGTTGCCGCCCTCTAACGCAATGACCTTTTTGATATTCTCCATGATGCCCTCAATCCAGCCTCGAATTGAGTCCTGTGGGATTGTTCCCCACTTGCTCATCCATGAGGTTTCCAAGTCAGTTCTTGTCCGCGGAGCTCCCTTAAAGGTAGTAACTCTTTTCATCCATGGCCAGCCTTTTTCGATAGCAGAGAGATCAGGGGAGTTGCCTGGCCAGAGCATCCTGTTGAGGCCTTGTATAGAGTAAGTTCGTCCGATGAAGTGATAGGCATGTGGTGAGGCATTGTCCTCTTGGATGATAGCATCGGGGCCGCACTCGCGAGCAAATGGAATCAGCTTTGGGAGAACAACCTCCTGATTCCTGTTAGATAGAGAGATCTTGAGAGGATAGATTTCAGACCTTGTAATAGCGCCACCAGTCAATTCCTCCCTTACCTCGTCTTACCAGTTTACCTGTCTCTTTAGTAAAGCGCCATTTTGGCTTGCGTCCTGGGAGATTTCTGAGGCCTAGCCGTCTTACGCCATTTGATAATTCCCACTCCTTACGTTTTTCTGACTCGAGAGCCTCATTTAACTCATTAATCTCTTTCTGAGACGCCTCTTTCTCTGCGGCAGTCTCTGCTCGATAGATATGACAGGGACCAATCTTGTCGTAAGTAAAACAACCCCAAAACATGAATTCTGAGTAACCTTTCCAGCGACGACGGATAACAGACTTCTCAAATGGCTCTTCAGGTGTCCGCCATACCCGGATAGAACCTCGTCGATGCCCCAGGATAACGCTCGTTTCATCGCTCCAAATTACCTTCTTCCAATCCTCGAGGGTCCAATCTTGATGCGCAAGACAAAACGCAAGCCGCGCCGCACGTTGCTCCAGATTAAGGCCTGGTTTTGTCGTTGGTTTTACGCTGTTTAGGCCATGTTTATGAAGAATGCGAAGGGCTGTTGATGTGCTAACACCATGCTCATAGGCTAGAACTTCTGCGGATTTCTCTCTTGTGGATCTATTTGTTCTCAATGAACTCAGAACTTCCTCTTCCTTGACTTCTAACACTTCTCTTGGACGCCCTGGTTTATATCCATCCTCAACGAAATGGTCGAGGACTCGAGGATCCTCTTGCGGCGTAAATCCTCTCTTCCTTGCCTTCTCCGCAATCGCTCGGACAGATCGCTCAGGGATCTTGGTATAGGCTGCAATTTGCGCAGTTTTCCAACCGATGGAATGCAGGGTAAGAGCCTGGGACCGTTGAGCAATAGAATACCTAGTGCCAGTGTCTCTCTGCGAGGCCGACTCGGTTATAGGTCTAACGGTAGGCGAATTCTTGCGCCGCGGCCGCTCGGTTTCTCTGATTTTGGCTGCTTCTGCCGCAAGATGAGAGATAGAAGAAGGCATGAGGGCAAAAACTAACCGTCTGCCAGATCATCGTCGGTAGGACAAGCATCCATTGATGTACCTCTTGCCTACCACCGTCTCCGCGCTCAGCGCACCCTCCAGGATCGACAAAATCAGGTAAACGAGGGGCTATTCTAGAGGGAAATGGGCACAAAACAAAGCCAATTACAGATACTAGAGATGTGATTATCATGGGCTTTGTATGCAAAGTACAAAAATCTCGAGGCGAGTGCTGAAAAGTGCCATACAAATTGGTAGGCAATCCTTACACCGCAACTCTGAGAGCTGCCAAGCCGCATTCCCCGCCCGCACTAAAATTTAGCGCGGCAACTACATTTGGTGCACTTCTCCGTATGCTCTTAAGATACCTCGAATATCTAGGGTCATTAAGCGAGACGGGATTCCTGTTATCAAAGGAAGGTTGACGCCTGAGGAGGGGAACTATGACGAGCGCCCTCCTCTTATCCGTGAGATAGAGAAGGAAAAAGCGATCTACAGAAGACTAGGCGATCACCCAGGGATCCTACGCAGTTACAATCTCTCATCATCTCATCCTTCGATTCAGATGGCACTCATGAAGAGTGGCGATCTTCGACATTATCTTGATCAGACGAGGCCAGAGCGGAATCAGCAACTCTCTTGGCTGACCCAAATGGCACACACCCTGGCCTACATCCATCATCAACGCGTTGTCATCTCTGACATCCGTTTGGATAATCTCCTACTTGACGACGATTTGAACCTCAAATTCGCAGACTTCGGGAATTCTACCTTAATGCCTCTCGACTGGGATCTTTGTGGAGGTGATGACCTTGGGTACTCGATTTTGACCGACATTGGATAGTTTGGTGCGGTGATGTTCGAAATTGTGGCTGGTCACAGGTGCGAATTCGACATCTTTCACGACTGGATCCAACCTCCTGCCCACCACGAGACAGTCTTCCATCGACTACGGGAATGTGGCTAGGTCACATTGTCGAGAAATGTTGGACTCAAGGATACAAGACTGCCAACGATCTGGCAGCAGAGCTGGACAAGGAGGTTGCTAGGTAGACTTCGAGGCGAGGGCTTGTCTGTCCATCTTGTGTGCCCGACCCGTGGACTCGCCATTGGTAGAAGAATCGTATCTTTGTTTCATCTTTAAGGGACTTGTGGATAGACTTTCCATCGATCCCGATCTTTTTCAGTTTCGAACCTCGTTGTTCTGCGTTCTGCCCGGTCGAAGAAGCCTGATCGACCTTTCGCCATCGAGTGCAAAAGTAGCACGGCCGAAAGCAGAGGGAAATTCGTTGGGAAAATACGCTAGGAAGAAGGACAATCGATGAGGGCGTTGAGGTGGAAACGTAGTAGGGCGTCAGCGTCGCAGTGAGGACGACAAGCCACGTTGTAGCAAAAACGTCCGGCCTGTAACCACCGAGTAGAAGACGAATGCGCGAGCGATGGACGGCGTACATATATACAAGCGGACCCACACAAATCCGACCTTCCACCAGGCCTTCGAACGAAGTAGGCGGAGACCCATCATTACTATGCAAGAGAGCATCACAGGAGGCGCCCAACTACTCAGTTCGAGTACATAAGAAGGGGGCCAGATTGGGAGGGCGAGGTCAGGGATCGCTCAGGAAGAAGCAGGTGAGCCGAGGGTGAGTAAAGCGGCGAAAACGAGAGGCTTTTTGCATGATGGACCAGCAATATAATCGACATCCCCCGGCGTGGTGAAACGCCCTGCGTGGTGACATGAACACGAGGTACTTCGACATCCACCCCGTCTTGTTCACCACCCACAGCGTCGATCACCCACTGAAGCAGGCTTCTATGTTGTGAAGCCACTGTTCTAGCGCAGATATCATTCTTCTTCAATAATACCGACATTTGACCTTTCCCATACCCGATTTCTTCAACCTTCCAGAAAGAGGGAAAACCGCTTCACCCTCATGGAGATCTCAATGTTTCCTCTTCTGCTATTTTGGCATGATAGATCACGAATAGCGGCACGTCTGTATTGTAGAACCAATTATCACATTACTAAGTCATGCTGCCGTTGGCCTGTGCTGGTGTTTCGTGCCATCGAGCACCCGTGTCAGGTACTCAGACTCTGGTTGACAAACAGCCGAGGACTGACCCGACAACGGGCGGCATGTATCTGACAAGTAACGAGGCAGCCACAGTGGCAGCGGTAGCCACTGCCAGGTGGCTGACTGCGTCTTGCCGTCTTCATGCACACGAGTGGAGGCCATATGTGATTGCTGAAGTCGTTCACATTCCCCAGCCTCCTGCCACGCTGCGCAGGCTGAAATGCCACACGACAGCCTGAGAGCCTGCGGCTGAACTGCTCGACTTTGGCTTTTTAAGAATAAAAGAACGAATTAATCATCACCACCAAAATAATCGGTAGGTTCTTGGCTTCTCGAGCTTTTTTTAGGAACAACTAAATATTTAGGCAGTAAACTATGTACATTATTAAAAAGAAATTTACCTGATTTAAATAGAAGAGAATTTTTTATGCTATTAGTTTTGGTTTTATTTACTATTATACTAGGTATATATCCTTCTATTATTTTAGACGGTTTAAATTACTATAGTTATCATTTACTATATAGTGCTGATTTTTCCTTTCGTTAATTATTTGTAATGTCGGCTTTCCTTTTATTATATATTACTAAAAATATAGTAATAAATTATATACTTAAATTCTAATAAGAGTTTTTATCCTTGGAGACAATTATAAGTGTCATAGACTAGAATAATTTAATTTATAAATGAAAATGTAAGTACTCCACCTTATAACTAAGGCGGAAATGCACAAATTGAAATCATTAGACCGTTGCTAAAATCAGTAGTGAAGTATATTATTTAATTCGAGGATCCGCGTATAACTTTACTATATTTTGAATATTATTAAGAATATTACAAGTGCTGCACGGCTGTTATAATTCATTAATTTATGAATTGCGGTTAAAAAAATCCCTATCATAATTTCTATTTACATCTTTTAAATAAACTCAATAATGTGCAGTAGTATTATAAATAATCCTAGCAAAGAAAATATTAATGTTATAATAGGACCTAAAAAAAATAGTATTAAATTAGCTTGTGTTGGCCCTACATATTCTTTTAATAATAATTTTAATGCGTTAGCAAATGCCTATAATAAACCATAGTATCCAACTATTATAGGGGGGGATCAAGGAAGCACCACGTGCACCCAGGAGTCGACAACCTGTAATCGAAACTGCACAACGGCGCTGCGAACGTAAGGATGCGCTCCAATTCTTCATGCCATAGTAAAACGTATGCAAAACGAAACGTGTCGGTACAGAGATGTCCACGACGGCTATCTTCGAGTTCTCGCATGCATGCTTGATCGTTCTGTGTGTGTGCTATCTAACTATCTACGTGCCTTCTATATACCGTTTTGATACTCCTGACACCTGCCTCCTTGGCCCTCGTCCACCCCCTAACTGTTAGGAGCAACGATCATCTCCACAACACTATATTTGGACCCAGTCTACGCTGTATACTTGCCATTGTTTTTCTTTCTAGTATTTTACTAGCAGGTTGATCAGCCAATTCTAAATATTCTTTTTTAGGTTCTTTAAGAAGTACGGCACAGTTAATTAGTTATGAATTAATATTAAGTTCAGCTATATTATTGGTTGTTTTATTAATATGGGATCTGCGCCCCGTATAAACTGTCTTCTAATCAATCGAATAAAATAAAGTAAATAAAGGTGTCTCATTATTGTCAAAACCTAAAAAATAAACATTATAATATTTTTTTTAAGTAACTACCTTATTGTTGTGAACTTTCTCCCTGTGAAATTTCGTTAAACTTACGTTTATTAGATTTTGGAATTTCAGGAGTAGGACCGTACAAATTAGAATCTTCAGATTCCTCACTTCTATATTTAGATATATTTTGGAGATCAATGTTAGATTCTGATTCCACCTTTATATTTAGAGATTCAGATTTTGATCCCGAACCTTAATTAATAGGAATTATTAAATAAAGTTACTTAAAGCTAAATATATATAACGTTAATATCTATAAAGACAATAAAGTCTAAACGAAATCTTTACTAATATATAAAGAAGTACGATAGAAGCGGGCTAAAGCCGTAAGAAAGTAGAAGAGAGTAGGAGAGAAGCGCAAAAGAGAGGAAGGGAGTAGAAGAGAGCGGACGAGGGAGCGAGTCGACTAAATAGTCGTTAGCTCGAGAGCAAAGCGGCGGGGGATAAGTTAGCGCAAAAGTGGTGAAGGACGATGGTTCGGGGATTATATATATATATGCCTTGCTAGGGTCCATATTAAATGGAAGGTGTGGCAGTATTACTAGTACCACTAGTATCTGAGTTGGGACGAACATCGCGGAGTATAATATTGAAGATCAAGCAAAGGCTACGACAAAATCAGGATTTCCATGGCTTCTTTTGAAGTCGTCCTTCTTTCAGTAAAGCGTACCTAGGTAAGGATTGATCGGATCAGGGATAGAACACTTTCTCCGCGACAGCCTTATATTCCAACCCCCATCCCTCAATGTCAGATTTCGCAGCGCCCATCTTACAGATCCGGATCCTGTCGACGGGGATGTCACTTGCCCATATATATTCGGACAACGCCTCGTTCTTGTTCATTGCATCTGACGAACCTGAAGAGGAGTCACCACGGCCCTCGTCATTGGCCTCGATCTTGTGCTGCTGGAGATGCTCATCCTCCACATCCACCTCCTTCTCCTCAGCCTCGCGCGCCTTCCCAGCTGCCGCCTCGTCTCTGGCGAGAATTTTCGCAGTGTCTTCCGTCCTTCTTCCCATCTGTAATGCTTCTTCCCTGTGTCTGACCGCCCTCCCATCGTTGAAAAACCGGAGTATATCCCTGGCATCGACACCCATCCCTCCCCCTCCACAAGCTCCTTTTCCGTACCTCCCTTTCCCTTTGCCCTTCTTCGTCTTATCATAAATCAGATTCGCCACGGTCGCGTGCAACACTAATGGCCTCGTCTCCGTGACCAGTCCCGCGTCTTGGAACCGCTGACGGACGAGTCTGCCAAACGGCAGGAGTCGGGAAGTGGGATCCTGAGGATTGGCGTAGAACACGCGGCTGCTGCTTGCGCTCGGGAACGTGCCTAGGCCGGAGAGGGTGATGGTCAAAGATGTTGCGAGGTGGCAATCGTGCTGCTGTTCCTGTCCTGAAAGTGGACCTGAAACTGAAACCGCAGGTGTAGATGCAGAGGCCGATTGAGCAGTTGAGAGTGTTGTTGAGCCGGATAGTGGTGGCGGCGAGATCGACCGTGCCAGGGATTGCAACGGCGCCTTGATAGCCTCCTTCGCTGCCTGCAATATCCCCTTTCCTTCGCGCTGGCCTCCGCTTTCCGTCCCAGATTCGACTTCAAGATCGGCTTCGACCTTGTCTTCTCTGTCATGGTTTTCGCCTTCTTCCTCAATCTCACCCTGTTCCTCGACCGGGTCCTGTCCTTCACAGGGGTCCGTTGCGGTGGGAGTCTCACCCCGTTTGGCACGTCGCTCTGGTTTGTCGCGAAGCAACTCGTCCCTCTGCCTTTCCGCGTCGCCCAGCAGTTGTACGTAGTCGATATCCTGCAACAACCGCAAAGCGATATCCATGTCCTCCTGCTCGCTCAGATCCATTGTGCCAAGCGTGAGGTGGAACGTTCCTGGCGGACGGTGTGCGCCGGCAGGGACAAGCCGGAGGGTTTCATCTCGTCTTATACTAGTACCTCCACCGTTCGAGCCGGGCCCAACTCCGGCTTCTGGACGAGTACTAGTATTAGTACTTCTCAGCCCGGTTGCAGAGCTGCCTTCAGGCTCGGGATTTCTTCCTGCAGCATCATTCCTGCCCGTGGTGTTGGCGTCGAGGAGAGGTGTAGTCACGGATCGAAAATGAGCTAATGACTCTGATAATTGTGGGATCGACGATTCTGTGACCAGCGGCAGACAAATGAAATGTGTCGGTCTTTTGGTTTTGGCCTTCCCTTTGTTCTGCTGCCCTTTGCCTCCTCTGCTGCCCTTTGCCTCCTCTGCTGCGTCTAGACGGTGTAGTCGAGCCGCCGTCCTTGTGTTCATTGTCCGTGGCCATTGTGGGATATCCGTGAATGGGTCTGGTGGCGTCGTAGTAAAGCCTTGTGGCCGAGAATGTGAGCGAAGATTGTGGTGCCTTTCCCAGAACGAGACTGACTATGGGGATGTATCTGGCGCGTGCTCCAACAGGCCGCAGTGAGAACATCAGGTACTAGTACTCGACATTTGCTTGGACACAGAGACTGCTGCCTCAAATCGATGCGCCAATGAGCGAGGCACAGTACAGGGCTAAATCACAGCTACTAGTATTCAACGAAGGAGCTGTAGCCCTAACTCAGATCCCGGATTGGCTGAGTCACTGAAGGTGGATGTGGCCTTCTAGAGAGACTGCCATTCAGTAGCGTAGCCTTTCTTGCTGGTACGAATGAGTCACACTCAGAGAAAGTATCGCACCTTTTGACTGGGATTCAGGTGTTGCGCGAGTTGATGATTTGACTAACTTACAGGTACTGTAAGTCAACTAGCTTAAGCAAGGAAGCGCTGATATTGGGGGCGTCATGGGGGTGAATTTAAGCTCGATCTAGGCAGGTGGGCACAACTTAAACCAACATTACCCCTACTACGGAGTATTGCCACACCTACTGATGCCGTATCATCATCCTACCTAGGTCTACTAAGTTAGGCTCGATCTGACGCTGAGACACACCCCCTCAACGCCCATCGTCCGTGAAAAGACCAAATTCCTTCTTCCGCAGTTGGCTAACATAGGCCATATGCCATATATCACGACAGAGCCTGCTAGTGGAGTGCATCTCGCGAATGTACTGTTGGTCCCTAATTTCAAAGCTCCCACCTCAATCTCAATGCGACGACAACTGCTCAGCGACAATCACGTCGACCTTCATACCCCATCCATCTCTCCCTCCAACCCAGTTCTTCTTCTTTCCCACCTTTGCCACTTTCTTCGCATACCCTTCGATCCGTGTCCTGCCAACAATGGGATTCTCGTCTTCGTCTTCATCATCGTCTCTGTCGCCATCGGAATAAAGCAAAACCCGTTCCTCGGACCTTGGGATCGATATCGTGATTTCCACCCCTTTCTTGTCTGCCTCTTTGCCCAAGTTGTCGACAAACCGCGCAGACAGCCACAACTTAAGCTTCGACCCAATAACTCCGGTCGGGTAGATCTGACCGATTAGCCAAGCTAGGGTGCCAGCATATCTGCACCACCAAACCTCTTCGGGCGTTAGAAGGTCTTCGAGGAGACGCTTGTATTGGTCTTCACGCGGTGGCAACTCGCCATCATATCGACTTTCCAGCATCAGAGCAATCTTGGCTCGTGATGAGTGAGACAAGCAATGTGCGGGGGCTAGCACGCCGCTTATGGTACAATATAGCGCTGAAAAAGAGGCCAATTCCTTGCTCAATGTGGCGTGTTGGAAACACAGGTTAGCAAGTCCTTCGATGATGTGCTGTGTGATTGAGTCAGGGACCGATTTTCCGTATGCCGGTGACGGCAGAGCATTGAGGAGCAGGGTTTTGAAATGTGGTGCGGAAGGTCGTGCAAAGGGCGCCGAAGCAACGGCGATGGGGTCTTGTGCTCGGATCGACCGTGGTAGGTCGCGGAACAATATTCCTTCTCGAACACCACCTTGACAGAATCGTGCAACCAGTGGTCCCTGTGGCAGAGTATTGGATAGGACATTGATGAGGAAAGCCACTGCTGGGACCTGATATCTGCGTCGGTCCGAGACTCGAAAGATCTTTTCAGCATTTCGAGCCACCTCCTTCAGCCTTTCAGTGTCTGTCAGCTCCTCGTTATAGACTTTGAAGCCGTTGATAATTGATATTGGATAGTGCATGCCATGTTTCTGCGACTGATGCAAGAGTAAGTATCCCCAACCCCGAAAGCCTCCTCCCGACAAGTATAAGTGCCAGCCACCTTCCCTGCGAGCTCGATCAGTAAGCTCTGGTGGAATTTCCAGATCGATCAACGCCTTGCGGAATTGCTCGCTGATTTCCCGTCTGAACTCCTCTTTGGCTTTGTGTGGGTCATCCGCGTGTTCACACTCCTCCAGTCTTTTGGTCAAGGCTGCAGCACCGTAGGGAAACGAGACTGCAATCTTGGGACTCGTACGCACCATGCCGTCTTCAGAGATGATCCAGGTCAACTGAGCACTTCCTCCTCCCAAGTCCATAACAAGACCTTTGACGGTCGGCAAACTGCTTACAATACCCATTGCTCCAACATTGCCCTCTTCTTCTTTGGTCAACATCTGGACTTCCAGGCCTGTCTTGTCTCTGATGTGACTTCGGAGTTCGCCGGAGTTGAGTGCCGTGCGGGTGGCCTCAGTTGCGACGAGTGAAATGTTGCCTTCTGGGACGCCGAACTCCTGACAGACAAGGCTGAAGCGTTCGAGCTCGGCGGTGACATTTTTGATAACACGAAGTGGGATAGGAATTTTCCCCCCAGTATCTGGGTCGAATTGTGCGTCATAAAGTGATATTCCAGAGCGGTCTTTGTAGATTGTTGGTAGTATTCTGGTAGTAGGAGGGGAGAGATCTGAAATGGAGAATCGGATTCCATTGCTGAAACATTACAGACTTGTCAGAATTATTTCTGTCAACGAGTGGAAATGCCTGGTATGCTCGAGCGCTCACCTCCCCATATCCACAAGGCCGACGAGATAGTCATTCTTGGACTGGTAGATCCGACGCATGCTGCTCTTATCGCGGGTGTTGTCGCCTAAAAGTAATGGTTAAGCGACGTTGGTAAAAGCCTCCACCTGTACTCTTGTGCCCGTGGGTTGATGAGGCGTGATGAGGACACTTCGTTTTGCCACCCTCGACTCAAGAATGAAAGAAGAACTGCATATCTGATCCCCTCTCCACCAGTCAAAACGTCCGAAGCAGTGTCAGGCGATGGCACTTGCATACGTCAAAGTGCACGATATACGCTAACCTATACCAAGCAGTCGCGAGTCAGAGCACGTGCGTATGTCTCTACTTCAAGATGAGCCAAAGAAGAAACACCAGGGAATCGATAGAACATATCATCGTGTGGTTGTATTAGCAAATGTTTATTCTTGCTATCTATCCGGGGTATCTTCTGAAAAGCTGATGAAGCTCTTCAACATCGTCCGTTGAAGGACGTAATTCTCCTCATCTACCTCTTGTACGCTGGCTCAAGAGGTCAAGAAAGACACTGAACTTTTGTCGTGTCTGTCATATCATCATTCCCGCCATTTTCCCCTCGTTGAAGTCGTTGAGAAGTTGCAATTCTTTTGCCGTCCAATGAACCATGTCCCTCTTATTCTATGCGTTGAGCATAAGAACAACCCCGAAGACCTGACGCCGGTACGAAATGCGTTAACAATGCGAGACTGTACACGGATGAGATCTAGTATCGGTAAATGTCCGACTTGAAAGGACCCTCCACCTCCAAGCCCAGGTACTCGGCTTGAACAGGGGTAAGCTTGGTCAACTTGGCATTGACGTGCTCCAGATGAAGCAGGGCGACCTGCTCGTCCAGGATCTTGGGCAGCACGTAGACACCAATTTCCTTCTTGCCAGTCTTGCCGAACTCAACGTACTTCTTGCCAAAGGCCTCATCCTCAGCCTTGTAGAGCAGGATCTGAGCAAGGACTTGGTTGGAGAAAGAGCAGGACATGACGAAGGAAGGGTGACCAGTGGCACAACCAAGGTTGACCAGACGACCTTCGGCGAGGAGGATGATGTGACGACCGCTGGGCATGGTGTATCGGTCGACTTGAGGCTTGATGTTTGTAACCTCCTTGGCGTTCTTCTTCAACCAGGCGACATCGATCTCAATGTCGAAGTGACCAATGTTGCAGACAATAGCATCGTTACGCATGGCTTCGAAGTGTTTCCCAACAATGATGTCTCTGCAACCAGTGGTGGTGACGAAAATCTGGCCTTGGGAAGCGGCATCATCCATGGTGACGACTTCAAAGCCAGAGACAGCAGCTTGGAGGGCGTTGACGGGGTCAATCTCGGTGACGAGCACGCGGGCACCCATGCTGTGAAGAGCTTGAGCGCAGCCCTTGCCGACATCACCATAGCCTGCTACGACGGCAATCTTGCCAGCAATCATAACATCGGTGGCACGCTTGATACCATCGACAAGGGATTCTCTGCAGCCGTACAAGTTGTCGAACTTGGACTTGGTGACGCTGTCATTGACGTTGATTGCGGGGCACATGAGCTTCTTGTCCTTGAGCGATCTGTAGAGATGGTGGACACCAGTTGTAGTCTCTTCTGATATACCGTAGCAGTCCTTGAGCATCTCTGGGTATTTGTTGTGGACCAGGGCGGTCAAATCACCACCATCATCGAGAATGAGGTTCAAGCTCTTTCCTGAAGGGAAAGCCTTCAGTTGTTGCTCCAAGCACCATTCGTATTCCTCTTCGGTCTCTCCTTTCCAGGCAAAGACGGGAGTGCCACCTGCAGCAATCGCAGCTGCGGCATGGTCTTGTGTGGAGAAGATGTTGCAAGAGGACCAGGTGACTTCTGCACCGAGAGCTTTCAGGGTTTCGATAAGGACGGCAGTTTGGATGGTCATGTGAAGGCAGCCAGCGATTCTGGCACCGGCAAGAGGCTGGTCTGCAGCATATTTCTGTCGGATAGCCATTAGACCAGGCATCTCAATCTCGGCGAGCTCGATCTCACGACGGCCAAAGGCAGCCAGTGAGATGTCTGCGACCTTGAACTTTTGAGCTGGAGCACTGCCCATGATGGCGGTATTGATGGGATTGGAGGGATGAGGAGGGAGAAGGTAGTGGTGGTATTGTGTTGTTGCGGTGGGAGGAAAATGAGGGGAGTGAATGGGTGAAGGAGGGAGTTGAATTGCGGTGACCTTTTGACCTTTTTTTGGTCGCTTCTTTGAAGGTGAAAAAATGGGAGGGACGGATAAGGAAAATCCATGTCCGGCAGAGGCACAGAGCTTGAGAGGTCATGATCCCACCAATCATGCTCCCGCTTGTCACCATCACCATCATCCATCAGACACTCGGGCATTTCTCAACTGCCGACGAGAAGTCGACTATTCTCTCTAGACACCTGGCACCTACCTGGAGAACATTACTCCATAAAGCACGTTGATGTGACTCTTCGACTCGAATCCAAACATCAGCGCCTTCTATCTCAAGCCATCCTTTGACTGATGTGATGCTGGCCATCCTTGCCCAAGCTGCGGTAATGGTAATGGCAGTGGCAATCGCCGTCTGTCGTGCAGAAAACTAGCTGCCGATGGCTGTTGGCTGTTGGCTGTGTCCCTAGCCTTTTATCAATCTTGAATGATATTTTGCCCCGATAAGGCAATGAGAAGCCTGACGCCGTCTCACTCATCCTGCTCCCATCAATCATGCATTTTGTGGACAGCATTGCGACGAAAAGACCCTGGCCACATAGGTACATGCAGCAGGCTCGGAAGATCACTGGCAGCCCGCTATTCGGGCTCTGGCACGCTTCAGCACCCAACGACGGAATCTGCCATGCGAATAGATGGATACATGGTGCCCAGAATCCCATTGCATTACTTTTCTACTGACCGCTTCTTGCTTCGGCCTTCTTTTCATATATTGTCTGTTGAATTGAGTTGTACGTTTGGTCGACTTCCCAACCATCAGGATCCTCAATTGCGCCATCTGCCACCCCTTTTACACAATTTCTCCCCGTAACACGACATTTTCTAACCTACAGATTGCTTGTCCGCCCTTCCAACAACACCTCATTCTTTTCAATCATACCTTGATTACATACATCTTCAGTATCGGCTTTGTCGGTCTGCATTTCAGTTCGAGCTTTAAGCGTTTGACATCACCTACATCAACCTCTCGGACTCAATGGCAACAGCAGCCATCCAGAGACGACCGGGCGTGGACGAGAAATTTCATGGAATTACCCCCAATGCTGGACAGAATGTGACGGATGCTGTCGAGCAGGCGTTGGAACCAGTTCAGTCTCTACCAGGACTTCCAGGCCACGATGCATCGACTCACTGGCTGAGTGTATCACCGTATCCTGAGCCGGAGCATCTACTGGACCTCCAAAGCTTGGGAACGCCCTGTCGTCTTCTCGCCCTAGCCTTAACGACACTAGCTCCTGCCACCGCGGAATATGCTATAACCAAGTACCAGGACGCCATCGACTGGAGTAGTGTGATGTCTCGGTTGAGATCCCTTGCTCATCGCGATGATTACACATGGACACGGCACGAATTCTATGTTGTCGATTTCCGATCCAAGCTGATGCGAGATATTGACAGCGACCTTCTGTTCAAGCTGGACAAACTCTCACACGTCGAAGCCACCCAAAGTGGCGGTCTCTTGAAATATTGGTACGGTGTTCCAGACGGCGACAGGCGGAATCTGGCAACTTGTGAGTAGCATTTCAACTCCATTTTCTAAGCGTTTCACTGACAGCCGTCAAGGCGTTTGGCGAAGCAAGCAGGATGCAATCAATGGTGGCACTGGACCATGGCATAGGCAGGCGCGCGCAATCATCCCGAAGATGTATGAAGAGATCGATGTAAGAGGCGTCCGCCTTACCATAGACGATGGTGTTAGCAGCTGGAGCTTTGCGCCGTACTGAAGACATCTTCACCTCAGTGAAAGGCATCCAGGTGTCAGGTCATGCTATAGTCCATGGTTTGGCAGAGACAATTATTCGGTGATGTAGAAAATCAAGCACAAAGACTGTGCTCTGCTGTATTAATGTTCCAAAATTGTTCGGTTCGAGGTCGACTTTTCCGAATATGGACTAGCCCCGATTTTCGGGGGCAGCTTCAACTTTGACCGTCAATGATTGCAAGCTTCAGTCTCAAGGTGCTGCCCCGAACTTGACCTCTCCTCTCCCCTCCCTCAAGCTGTCTCCTTGACCTTCTTTTGCGAAATCGTCGACCTCACAAAACTCCTCAAGATGATGTCCTCAAGGCTCATGCGGCCAGCTTTCGCTGCTGCGCGACGAACAGCTCCCCGAACAGCGGTCCGAAACTACGCTGCTCCTGCAGCCGCAGACACGAAACCTCCCGTGGCTCTATTTGGTCTCGATGGAACTTATGCGAATGCCTTGGTATGTCACAATACGTAACGGACGGCTGAAAATTGTGCCTCGGGGGAGGACAATTCCCTTCCACACATCACGAAAGGCCGGACACTGACACAATCCACAACCTCAATCGGCCAAAATCCAAAGACTACATGAACGAGTGCTGACACAGCGACACTGGATAGTACACTGCCGCCGCCAAACAAAACGTCCTCGACCCGACCTCCAAAGCGGTCTCAAGCCTATTCCAAGTCCTCAAATCCGACCCCAAACTACAGACCATCCTCAGCGCGCCCACACTGTCCGACTCTGACAAGTCCCAGATCATCGCCGAACTTGAAAAGCACACCGGCGGTGCCGACAAGTCCGGTACGGTCAAGAACCTGCTCTCCGCACTGGCCGAGAACAACCGCCTCGGCCTGCTGGAGGGCGTGTGTGACAAATTCAGCACTCTGATGAGTGCGGCAAAAGGAGAGATGGAAATGGTGGTTACCAGTGCTTCTGTATGATTCCCTTAGAAGACGCGGCCCCTATCTCTGGGCCCATTTCCGAAACGGTGAAGAAGGCATGCAATACTAACAAATTTATGCTTGATCCTAGAAACTCGACGAGAAAACCCTCAGACGTCTCGAAACAGCCGTCAGCAAGTCCGAGTACAGCCAGGGTAAGAAGCTCAAGACCGTGACGAGAGTGGACCCGGATATGCTCGGTGGTCTTGTGGTCGAGATTGGCGAGCGCACCATCGATCTCAGCGTATCCAGCAAGATTGCCAGGTTGAACAAGATGCTCACCGATACCGTGTAAAACAAAACCATGGCATGGCAAAAGGATGGAAGTTTTTGAGGAGCCAACTGTTGGGACCAGAAAGGGGGCGAACCGAGCATGAGACACTTGCGGGAAGATGACTCTGCGAGCCCAGCAGTTATGCACCACGGAGCCTGCTCCAAGACAGTGAGACAAGAAAAAGACCCAAGAAAGATGTGTGTATATATGCAACTAGCCTCAATGCTTCGGAAACGAACATCTCCATCTCGACAGACTCAAGTGCACCGTGCCCTGTTTGCTGCCCGGAAAGCCCTCCTCGTGCCACGGAGTGATCGAATCGCCCCTGGGAAGATTGCCCTAAAGCAGGGAACCATGTGCCTTGTTTTCAAAACGTGCTAGAAACGAAGACATATGCGCGCCCCTATACAGACATGCAATGAGGAGAATTGGAAGATCATAACTACTAGTAGTCTGTGAAATTCAGCATGCGCACGCAGAAGAGCACACCGGGCGTCGTGGTGAAGAAGGTCATATCACTAGACTAGGGCCATTCATCGAAAATCCCATACTACACCGTTACACCTCCCGCTCTACTCTTATGATCGACAATACGCTAGGTAGCACATACAAAACGCTTGTGTAAAAATATCATCTGCTCTTGTCTTCCTTCTATACTGCCCGTCTAATAATAAGTCTACCGTTCAACCTGTACAGGGTGGGAATGTACCGCTGAGCTTCCAGGTGTGGAGGCCGCCACCTTTGCGGAAGCCCTCTAATCCAGCTGAGCCTCAAACTCATCCTCGTAGACAGCGACACTTTCGTCTGTCTTGAGCCGGCTGAGCTGCTCCCCAACATACTTTTCGTAATGGCTATCGGCAACGCTCTTTCGGCGCTCCTTTTCAAGCTGGCCCTCTTGGCCCCAAGCGTCGGACTCTGATAGCTGAGACTGTGATGGCATTTCAGGGAAATAGCCGTTCTCACCATCATCACCATCCTCGGATTTCTGGTCACCATTGACGCTGGAGACGAAACTTGACCGATTGCCGATCGAACGAGAGGTTGAGGACCGTCGCATACGTGGTGCAGGACCCGGTGTACCGACGTAGGTGTTCTTCCTCGTGATACCCCGGCCGTAGATATCGTCGAAGTAATGGGCAGCGGCCGTGGATGGTGTCCTCGGAGTTTGTGGTAGACGGCAATTGATACCAGTGTCATGGATCATTTTGGCCATCAGACCAGTCCATCCACATTGATGTGAAGCTCCAAGACCGCGGCCAGTGTCGCCATCAAAGAACTCAAAGAACCATAGGTAATCCCTCCAGTGTGGGTCGAAGTCCAAAGTATCATTGCCCGCGTTGATAGCACGGCGACCTTCATTATCTCGAACCATGAGATGCTGCAAACGATGCTGGATCTCTTCAGCAACATGGCCCAGGTGCATATATTCACCAGAACCAGTAGGGCATTCTACCTGGAAGCTTGTGCCGTAGAACATGTAGAAGCGAAGTAGTGATTCGACAAGCAGGAAGTTCACAGCAATCCAAATAGGACCTCTCCAGTTCGAGTTGCCACCGAAGAGGCCAGAGTCTGAGTCCCCGGAGACGTAGCTGACCTTGAACTGTTGTCCATTGACGTCCATGCTATAAGGATGATTCTCGTGGTACTTGGACAAACTGCGGATGCCGTGATCTGAGAGGAATTCGGTCTCGTCCAGCATTCTCTTCAGGATCTTCTCCAATCTGTCCTTGCTGACAAGCGACAGGAGCAGACGCTGGTCTTTACCTCTCTTGCGCATAGAGGCAATGTTGCGCTCTGCGACATCATGGCGATTTTCAATGAACCACTCCATTCTTCGCTTGAAGTTGGGGAACTTGTTGATAAGTTCCGGCTCCAGAGTGCAAACCGCGTAGAGAGGAATGAGGCCGACCAAGGAGCGCACGGGCATTTGCTGAGTCCAAGGGCCGCCCCAAGAGATCGCATCATAGTAGAATCCATCTTCATCGTTCCACAGACTTTTCTCCTTACCGCCAGCACGGAAAGTCATGGCATCGGCAATCAAGATGAAGTGCTCGAAGAATTTTGAAGCAATGTCTTCGTAGATCCGCCGGTGCTTTGCAAGCTCCAGTGAGATGTTGAGCATGCATAGACAATAGAAGGCCATCCATCCCGTGCTATCAGCTTGCTCCAGCACACCGCCGGTAGGCAGAGGCTCGGAACGGTTGAAAAGACCAATATTGTCGAGGCCCAAGAAACCACCTTCAAACACGTTCTTGCCATCGAAATCTTTCCTGTTAACCCACCACGTGAAGTTGAGAAGGAGTTTCTGAAAGACACGTTCCAAGAAGTCAAGGTCTTGCCGTCCGTACATTTTGCGTTCAATCTTGAAAGTTCTGAAGACAGCCCAAGCATGTACAGGCGGGTTGACATCCCCAAAATTCCACTCATACGCCGGCAGCTGTCCGTTGGGATGCATGTACCATTCTCGGGTGAACAGGTCAAGCTGTTTCTTTGCAAATTCTGGATCGACCATGGCAAGTGGGATGCAATGGAATGCAGAATCCCATGCAGCGAAGAAAGGATACTCCCACGAGTCCGGCATGGACAGGATGTCGTCCAGATGCATGTGCTTCCAATGTTCATTGCGGACACCTTTGCGGTTAGGCGGTGGCGGAGGCATGTTAGGATCGCCGTTAGCCCATTGGTCCCAGATGAAGTAGTAATGTTGCTTGCACCAGAGCATACCGGAAAGGGCTTGTCGCTGAATATTCCTTAGGTCGTCAGCCATAGGCAGTGGGCTGATTCGGTAGTAGAATTCATCGGCTTCCTGGCGTCTTTGTTCCATGATGTCGTCGAGAAGCTCTTCATTAAGGTAGCCATCATACTTGCGCGACAACCGGAATCTGACCACAGCACACTCCCCTGGAGGCACACCTTCTCCTTGTCCAAAGTCATACCAAGCAGCACATTTCGTCCCTGAGCAACGAGGATTGATAGCACCCTTCTCTTCATCCACGATCCATCGGTGGAAAGCGTCTTTGACATAGGGTTGCTTATTCTTGGAACCGTAAAGCCGGTCAGTATTTGTGTCGTTCTCCGTGAACATTAGCTGTGGATGGACATCATCCGCATCCCCACCACATCCGGGCGACGGTGACAACTGAAAGAAACGGGTGCCCAGTTTGTGGTGCTTCGACTGAGCAGTCATTGGACCGACCATGCGGATGTTTGGTTTCAGCTTTTCAGACTCATGGCCCCAAGTCCAAGTGTTTCTGAACCACATATGGGGGATGATATGCAGAGGTGCAGACTCTGGACCACGGTTGTATGCCGTCACACGGAACAACAGCTCTTCTGGATCATCTGCCTCTTTGCAAGTCTCGATGAAGATGTCAAAGTAGCGATTGTCTTTGAAGGCATCGGAGTCGATGATGTTGAACTCGCGCTCTTGTTTCCCACGCTTAGCGTTTTCTTCGACCAACTGTTCGTACGGGAATTTTCTTTGAGGTAGTTTGTAGAGGTATTTCATGTATGCTGTGAGAGAGGTTAGCGGAATACTGGACAGAGGGAACTCGACGAGACTTACAGTGGGTGGGCGTATTGTCCACATGGAAATGCGCCTCCTTGATACTCTCGCCGTGATTTCCCTGTGGATTGCTCAGGCCGAATAGTCTTTCCTTCAAGAAATCATCCTTCTCGTTCCAGAAAGCGAATGCGACGTTCTGCATGCCATGGCTGTCACACACGCCAGCAATGCCATCTTCGCCCCACCGGTAAGCTCTTGACCTCGCTTGATCATGAGAGAAGTGACTCCAAGCATCTCCGTTGTCAGAATAATCTTCACGGACCGTTGCCCACTGCCTTTCCGCAACGTAAGGTCCCCATTTCTTCCAGTACTTGGTGCGTTCTCGGTCCTCTTTGAGACGCTTTTCCTCCTCACAAAGGTATTCGTGGTGATCGACGACAACCATCTTGAGCAAGAGTAGAGGTAAGGATACGGCGACAATCAAACTATGCAATCAACAAAGGCTAAGGGTGCTCAGCACATGTCGCGGAGAAGAACGAGTGGCGGAAGATGAAGATACAGCGCAAAAGGCTGCCGGAGCAAAGAGAAGGCAGATATGCCACCAGTCGAGGGTCGAAGGACGCCGTAAGAGAACGCAAGGAAGGCAGGAAGGAAGCCTCAAAAGCAGGAAGCAGTGGCAGCCGTAAACCAAGCGTCGATTTTTGAGGCCAGGGTCATGGCTTCCTGATTGCACATAAAAGTCAATATCTGCTAGTCCGAGTAACAGTGCAGGCGTTATGATGGGTGAAGTTCCATGGTGCCGGTCCTGACGAAAGAACTCGACGCATTGGCTTGTCCGTGGGCTCCTTGGCCTGTCAGTGAGAGGCGTCGGTGGCTGTGAGATTGGGGGGTTGATGGGGGCATCAGAGGCACGCAGAGGGCAACGATAGGCTCTGGATGCTGGAAGCCTGCACCAGCCCGCTCTGGGTGGCTCGCTCGGGCAAGCTCTGCAAAATTCTCCATCCCCATACTCAACAATTTCATGGCATTTTGGCCACGCTAATGCACCTAATATTTATCTCCCACCCGTCAAGCTTGCCACAAATGTGGATGAGGGATGTCCCACGAGGCGAGAAATGTCGGTGACGTTCGAGCCATGATGGAGCCTCAAGGAGCTAATGATAAGCATACAATAGGCGTCGGTCAACTATCTTTTGGGGTGCCGTGGGGGGCATCCTGGGGGATCATAGGATTGCTACTGTATCTAATCATGATTTGATGCTCGCTGTCTAGCTACCTAAGGTATTCCTGTTCCCAAGTCTTGCGACATTCCAAGTTGTAATTTGCAAGACCTATGTTACATCAATGCTCCTCGTGTCCTATCCGCTAACGCCTCTCCTGGTTGTTCCTTTTGGGGCTTTCCCGTTATGCAAAGTGCCGTCCTCCAATGGACAGGTATCATTTGAAAAGTGCTAGGATCTCCTTCATATGCTGCTCCCTCACTTCTTTCTTGCTGAGCTGCTTGTGGTTTTGGTTCAACGATACGTCGGCCAGCTGCTGTTTGCGTTTCTGGAGCTCGACAATCTTCCGCTCAATACTGTCACGCATCTGGTAACGTTTGACTAGTACTGGTCGCTTCTGTCCAATCCGATAAATTCGGTCGACTGCTTGTGCTTCGGCTGCAGGATTCCACATTGGCTCCATGATGAAGGCTCGACACGCTGCGGTGAGGTTGAGTCCTTGGCCGGCTGCTTTGATGGACGCCAGAAGAATGATAACATCGTTGTCATATGCCAGTGCATCCAAGGATTTCTTCCGGTTGTTGAGGGACATCGTGCCATCGATCCTCACGAACGAATAGCCATTGTCCCGAAGAGCAATCTCAATCAGGTCAAGGTGGGAGGTGAACTCAGAAAAGACCACGCATTTGAGTGGTGCTTCTCCGGCAGCCTCCAGAGCTTCGCTGTCCTTAACCATGGCGGCAATATCCTGCAAAAGCGCCTTTGTCTTGGTATGTGGGCCATGATATGTGTGGATTTCTGTGTCCTCCTCATCTTGAGCGATGTTGTCATCTGGTGCTGTAATGATTTCCTGCGTCGTGGATCCACTAAATCCAACGTACTGTGCAGCAATCTCTTTGGAGCAGTATGGGCAGGTCACAACTTCTCGGTCGGACATGCTGTCGAAAGTTTGCTTATCTGCTGCGAAACATTCAGCGCATATTAGGTCGAAACATGGCAGGATGTAACACCGAATGCCGTCGTCGTCCTCGAACTCCATTTGGGTGATCTTCCGCTCACATCTCCTGCATAGATCCAGCTGAGCTTCGGTCATCAGGTTCAAGGATTCGTAAGCAGCTTGTCTGGATATGGTTGAAGGCTTATAATCACCATCGAGGTCAATAGCCTCGCTGTGAGTAACTCCTTTCAGTTTTGCCAGATCCTTCTCCTTCAGTAAATCTCGTCCATGTGCACAAATAAGCCTCAATGTCATGATGCCGCGAAGCACATGGTGCTGGACTCCGCTATTCTTTTGCTTCATGTGCGCCAATTCTTGGATCTGCACATGTGCAATTTCTTTGAAGAAGTCATGGAGCTGCTTCTCGTCCGGCGAGAAGTCAAGCAAGTCTACAAAATCCTTTCTCTCTGGCAGGTCGATGCGATCTCGTAATCGGCGTAGAGTGAAGCTGTCGACGAAGACTCGCAAAGCTTTCAGAAAACTCGGATCTCCGGCCTGAGCAGGTCCTCTGATATATTGATTGAATCGAGCTGGAGTGTCGTATGGGTAGAGACGTAGAAATCTTGTCAGAGACCCTAAATCGTCGAGACGGTTCTGAATAGGGGTTCCTGTCAGACACCATCGACGCTGGGCTTCTAGGCTATAAATGGCCTGGGACTGAAGAGCCTTATGCTCCCGGATCGTATGAGCTTCATCAAGGATGATTCTGAACCACTTCAACTGTTTGAGCGGTGTGATACCGGCCGAACCCCTGCCAGAGAACTCGGATGCAACGACGCCATATGTGGCAAGGATGATGTCGTACTTCGACAGCTTGTAGGGGTTGCGTTCTCGATTCGGTCCGTGATAGACATAGTAAGAGACTTTCTCCGGATGGATGTGTGTTGCAATTTGGTCCTCCCAGTTCTTGACAGTACTCGTGGGACAGACCACCAACGTGGCCTTCGTATTGGCTAGTAGCATGTTTTGGTCGTCTCGAATAACCTTCTCACGGCTGAAGTCCATCGCATCGTCCAGGGTGGCCGCGATCAGCGACAGAGCTTCTAGTGTTTTCCCCAAACCCATGACATCGGCGAGAAGCCCTCCAAGAACTTGATCGGGCTCGTCGCGAACCGAGATCCCACTGACGACTTCGCGGTAGACGGTGGCTCCGGTCTTGGCTATGACCCGTCTCCACAAGGAAGAATTCTCCGATTCTTCGTCACCAAAGGTTCGAGGATGTTCATGCTGCATAAGAAAAGTTAGCGCTTGCTTCTGATGGCTTAACAAAGGTGTTGTGATTATTGATGCGGGAGGCTCGGTTTCCACCAAAGCAGGGGCCGCATTAGCAAACGAGTCGAACAGTTTCGAGACGGCTTCCGTTGCCTCTTCGAGTGTACGAGCATCAGAAAGAACATGGCCTTGGCCAGTCTTCCGCACCGGTTGCGGCATGACATCCTTCTTCCCGTGAGGGTTTACAATGGGAACGCCCGGCTCAGGGGCCATTGGAGGCCGGAACCAGAAATTGTGTTGTCCAAAATGTTTTCCCACTTTCTGGACGTCTTTCCTTCGGCCATAAACGTTGACAATCATCTTCAGGTACTCGGAGCACTTCAGGTGAGGCCACTCTTCCGGCTTTTTACGCCGATTGACGAGCCTCGCCTGAGTTCGGATGCCCTCTAGCCCATCAAGCACAGGTGCAAGGGCCGCAGCAAAATCAGGGTTGACTCTGCCGAAGACGATGCCGAAAGGGTCAGACACCTCGATAACAGTGTCCTTCGACGGGATGCGTGTCAGTGTGCACTTCATCACCGGCCACTCCTTGTCACTTTGGAATACTGAGTTGCTCTTCGGTTTCGGGATGAGATGCGCATGAACATTAGTCGAGAAGTGACCGTAGCACACTTCCTCATCGCCGCTCAGCGTCCTGGATGATACAAATTCAACGTCGTCGTCGACTTCATCGTCTTCATCATTGGTGAGATCGACCAACGACTTCAACGTATTTTCGGCCGAGTTCTCTGCATCGGGACGCATGTACCCTCCGATAATCCCACTGCTAGGATGGTGGCTATAGCTTCTGCCCCTTTTCGGCTCCGCATCGTCGTTGCTAGCATTGACCTTCACCTTCTTTCGAGGATGGTCAACTCGGGATTCGACGCCGTGCACAGCCTCCAGTAGAGACCTAGGACCGCTATGCTGGCGATTCAGTGCCGGACTCGATCGTAACATTGAAGGCATGCCGTCATGAGCATCCTGGTCTTGGTTTGAAGGTGGGACTGGAGAAATAGTTGAGCCTGGAGAACGTTTTGCGTTGAGAAGGGTGCGAGGATCCAACAGTGCCCGATGATCGAGATATCTCGATGAGCTCTGTGGTTGTATCGGATTGTGGTTCGGCGGGCCACGGTGTCCGGGAAATTGTGTGATTTCTTGTTGCGAACGCATAGCGCTTTTTGTTTGGTTGTCTTCTGAAAATAAGAGACTGTTAGATGACAAGAGTAGGGCATAACAGAGAGACATCTTCAAAATAAAAGCATGGAAGGTATGGTGGGCATCTGAAGAAGATCGCTATGGGCGGAATCTCAACAGCGCAAATCTTACCTCCCAACTTCAGGTTCTTTTTGATTGACTTGGGATCGAGTAGCATCCGCGCGTTAGCCGCCATGATTGATGATGACTTATGTAGTCAGCGCACTCGAAGGCGAGTCAAGGCAGCGTGCGTGAGGACTCTTTTGAAGTGAAGGAGTGGCGAATCATATTGCGGCGGAAGTTAACGCTCATCAGATGGCGAGCATCAAGTCAAAGGTGGAGTCAAGGTGGAATATGACCATGAAATGTAGGCATCAGACTGAGAGGTATTTATAGAAAGGATGAAAGACTACATGTCAAGAGATGAACAAGTCATGAGTTGGATGTTTGTGGAAATTCTTTATCAGATTCCTGGAGGTCGAATGACTCGGGATTGATTCAGTGGCGCTCGGACCAGACCAGCCTTGCAGCCTTGCGCTAATATTAGCCAGACAAGGCTCGGATGGTTTACCAGTGAAACGAATGTGATTGTACCGAGTACATACATAGGAGTAGGATCATTCGAAACACAAGTCAATTATGACCTTCAATCTTTCGGATAATAATCAGGACAATTGAGAACAGATGCTCCATGGCCTGACAGCGATAGATACCAGTTCTGCCCACCTTCATCACAACTACTCTGGCGCCCTTGAGCCAACCATCCAATCTTCAAGGGCAAGCCATTCGCTCCAAGTCCGTTCGGCTGCTTCAATTTCGCCATCTGTCGGGTCATACAGTGGTCTCATGAAGGGCACTGTTTCTAGGGGCAGCATATCATAGTCCCGCTTGACAGATGCCCAGCCTCCACTCTTTGCCGCAAAAAGGTAGTTCCGCCTCTCCTGTTCTCGTTGTGGCCCAATGCCTGGCCTCCAGTCGTCGCCGAAGAACCCATGCAATACTTGAGGCACGTCCATCCCGGTGACGACCAGGCGCCGGATGTATGGAATGAGAGAGACAGCTGATGCCGCCGCTGTCGCTTCAGAGCTGCTAGGACGTGCCGCTTCCTTATCCAGTCTTGCCTTGCCGCTTCGAGATCCGGTTGTGCTGTATACTGGATGAGGCTGTCGTTGAAAAGGGAGCAAGATATTGATGAAAGAGGCAAAAGCCTGAACAAGAGGTTCATGCTGAGCGTGGTCTATGAAGTATCGTTGACAGCTTTGATGTTTTGGATACCATGCGATTATGTCGAACTGGGCAGAACCTTCCGGTACTTTGCCACGGTCCGAGCCCTCTGCGGGACTTTTTACTCCGGTGAATCTGGCATCGCGAACAGGCCTTGACGAGCCGGCCTCCGAGGAAGACGATGAAAAATCCATGTCGGCTGACTGGAATGAGCTTCGAACGACTGTGCCTGGTTGCCGCGCAAAAATGTGTGGAGCAAGAAGCATCAGTATGTGCAAAGCTGTAGACAAGAAAGTGACCGCGAAATCCGGTCAGAGACGTGCATGATGTTGCAATGCTTGCATTACGAGAATTCCAGCATTTCTGGCCAGGCTTTTGAGCAAAGTCGCAATGGTGTGATGCCTCCGTGCTGTACCTATGCTCTGATCCGAGACCTATGGGGTCAGAGCCGAAGCGGTGAACGGGTCTGAAGGGTTGGGAAGGGACTGTGAGAGGTGACCTGTCTATTCGTGACCTTTCATATCTGTCCGCAAGTCGGAAGCAAGGTCAGATTGGAGACCTAAAAGTCTCAAGTTGAGAGGATGGAGGAAATGAAGCCGGCCAGCTCCAGGTCTATTTGTTTGATCAAATTTATCAAAGCCTGACTTGGCTGCGTAGCGCGCGGACAGAGCATCGGGCTAACTAACTTGACAAGTTTACAGGGAGCAGGCGTATATCATAGGTGCCCGTGGCTGACGTTAGGGGGGAATTAAAGGCTGCACCTGGCATGGACACTGGTGGGTAGTTCCACTGACATGCAATGAGCTCCATACTCTTGCGCCATTGCCAGTGAATCAGGTAGGGTTACTCCGTCCAGCAGCAGCCACTTCGGACAACCCGCATCAGTTTCGATGCTAAAAGACAGCATGACAGCCAGTCAATCAACAAGTCAACCCAACGGTTTTGCTATCTCGCTGCTCTAAGATGGGCCTTCTTCCTCCCGACCCGGACCAACGTCATTTCGCCGGTAATCCCGTCTCCTTGACGCAAGATGAAGGCTAACCTAGTGAGGCCGGCTTGTGTTAAGAGACTACTTTGCAACCTCATATATTGGAAGCCGCCTGGACGTTGGCTTGTATCGCTCCCTGTAACTACCAGGTACGAACTCCTGTCGAAGCTAGACTGAACAATTCGAGAACTGCGACAGGATTATGGCTTCAAACAGCTTCTCCTTGTCCACTCGCCTCCCTCTCGCAAATGGGCTCTCGATTCCTCAGATCCACTTGGGAGTATATCTCATGTCAGGACGAGAGGCCTCTTCCGCTGTCAAATGGGCGCTTCAAGCAGGGTACCGGGGCATTGATAGCGCTCAGATGTACAGAAATGAGAAAGAGTGTGGCCAGGCTATTCTATCTTTCTTGAATGACAAGGCTAGCAACACAACCGGATTGACCCGGGAAGATATTTTCTTCACCTCCAAGCTTGCATCGAATACCAACTATGAGTCCGCACGACGTTCCATTAAGCAATCAGTCCAGGCAAGTGGCCTTGGGTATATTGACCTGTTCCTGCTTCACAGTCCCTACGGCGGGAAAGGCGCTCGACTTTCGAGTTGGAGAGCGGTAGAAGACGCCGTTCAAGATGGTGAGATCAAAATCGGAGGTGTCAGTAATTTCGGTGTCAAACATCTGGATGAACTCGTCGCATCAAAGCCGCGCATAATGCCTGCTGTGAATCAGATTGAGGTACACCGTGAGTTCTTCCCCCAAAACAAAACTGCTCGCTCGACGCACAAGCGTCATATTTTATACCCTTTCGCGGGACCATGGGCCTGACAATCTTCAGCATTCAATACTCGGACAAACATCGTCGAGGCCTGCCAGAAGTACAACATTCTGGTCGAAGCTTATGCACCTCTTGCAAGAGCGCTTCGCATGAAGCATCCAACCATTGTGTCACTGTCAAATAAGTATCAATGCACACCAGCACAATTGATGGTGAGGTGGAGTCTTCAGCATGGTTACATTCCCCTTCCAAAGAGCGTATCAAAAGAGCGAATAGAATCGAATGGAGACATCAGCCATTTTGAGATCGCAGATGAAGACATGCGGAAAATGGACGCGCTTGATGAATATTTGGTCAGTCTTCTCCCGGAGTGATCAACATGAATCCTGCTGACAATGTTGCCTCTAGGTCACTGATTGGGATCCGGTAGATACAGACTGATATATCGACGAACAAGCTTAGGCGCCTAGGGAAAGGTGGCAGAGAGAGACTTCTGGGAATGATTGCTTGCTGAATGTTCGTGAAAGGGGGCCATCGACGTCAAGGGAAGAGAAAGCCAGGAGGGTGGACCTAGGAATCACTTAGTAGGTCGTGATTGCGAGCACGCAGCATTTGTATTCCAACTCTGCCCATCAAAAACAAATGGGTTTCGCTTGAGACGACCCTATCTGTTTGAGCAGGGAGAAATGCCACTTGGGCGGCCAACAGATCAGACCAGTGTGTCAAGGCACATCCGGCATATGCAGGGTTCGTGTTTATCGTCGTAGGGTTTCGACACGACTTGGAGATTCAATTCGCCCACTGTACGAAAATGGCAGGTCGAATGACAACCACGAAAGAGGAAGACGTGTCCTCTCTCACACATCCAATGACTGTGATCTTTCTTATAGGCCTCGGACGCCGACCCCGACACACGAGAGCGATATCAGCGACTGCAACCAAGACATCTGGCGAATGCGCATAATCTTGGGTAACATCAGTGGGAGGGGAGTCCGCCGGCTTACTTCAGCGACTGGCGATTGAGATACCACGTTGTTGGCCCCCAAATCATTTATCCACATCGTCTAATCACATATTCTCGACCGTTCTTTTTCCTCTTGAACCCTGCGAGTCCTCTTCCAATTCGGCTCATGCCGCTAGATGCCAGGCAGGGAAGTGCTTATGTACTTGCACAAGTGTGGCCCGACTGCCACAAGGAGCGTGCTGTCAGTCCGGCGTCGAAAGCCGGGGGCTAATCATACATTGCTTTCTTCTGGCATCAGATGCCCCAAGGGAGACTCAACATTGGAGACAAGATCTGGAAACCTAGCACGGACAATTAGGAGGGCGGGGAGCGTCTTTTTGTCGAGGATCTGAAGCCGGAGGCTCTGAGAAACGCCTAATAAACGGCACCGCAGGGCCACTCGGCCCACCATCGCCCCTTGAGATTGCTGACTCAGGCTTGAAGTTGTGCAGATGCAGACATGCGTGATTGCAGGAACTCTGGCGAGGGAAATGTCTGCTGTGGTAGGATGATTTCGCTGGGGCGTCCGAGCATTCTGCAGACCCTGGTGGTACTGTGTACTCGTTGTACTCGTACTCTGACAAATGTGCTGCTGGCTGTCTCTCGAGGTTCAGGGAGTAGAGGCCGTAAAGACAACAGCAGGCTTGATCTCATCAGAGTACTTGGGGGTGTCCTTGTCTCATACGGCTCCTTCTCGCCTCCACAAGGCGAGAACATGTGCTGCCGATACTCGTAGAGGTCGGTAGAGACCCTGACAGCGCTGACAGCGCAGGGCAGCCCCCGCCACACGGCTGATTGGCATCAATTCCGCATCGGCTATGATGGGCTTAATCACTTATTAATTAATCAAGCTTTAGTTGGGAGAAATCCTCGCCGATCACCTTGGATCCTTCTGAATTCGTTAGCCGTGCTCGCAGAACGACCATACTCGTAGTTCACTTCTCTAAACCCCTTGGAACATCTGGTGGTCCTCCAGCTTTTGGGTTGCCAACGGTTCGTTCTACATCGCTGCGAGAAGTCGATACTACGCCGGAGAGATGCCTCGCCAGAACTTGACCACTCGTCGACGCCTCTCCCTCGTCTAGCCCTACGTGCGAATCTCTGACCATCCGGACTCGACCTACAATGGCACTTGAGTGACCTCACCGCAGACTCGCCGAGGTGCTCTTCTACCACGAATTCCAGGTCTCAAATTGCACTGCATTGTAACCAACTTATCCACGTCTGCTCAGTCGCAGGGAGACTCAAGGGCACATATCTGCGGCCACTGGCCGAGTGACTAACCGTGATATACACCTGGGGACCCCTTGAACGAAATCCAAATTGTGAAAGAATCCATTCTCGATCCCACAGTACCCACAGCTATTGGCACAGGGCTGTGCAACGAGATCTATGATGGATTTCTCATACTTTACCTCTGCTCCTCAACCATACCAATTCTTCGGACTCCCTCAGACGCCGAGTAACACCCACACTCCTCAACTGGACGACTTCAATCCAAACTCGTCGAACGTGGGTGCTCGTTGGTCGTCGTTCCGCCTCCTCTGACACTGACTTAGGAACAATATGACGCGGCATTCGCTGCTTTCCAGCAGAACTTCCACTATGATCCTTCCACGTTCCTCGCCCAACCGCACCAGCACAGCGCTGTATCTCCTCCCCTCGAAATCCACCATGACCCCATGATGTCCATATCCGAAGTCGACTCGAAGGGAATGACCACCACGGTCACAGAACTACCGCTCGAAGAGACAGGTGTGGGCCGAAGCAGCAGTGAGGAGAAGGACACATTAACGCCGCAACAGAGTCGGCGGAAAGCGCAAAATCGGGCTGCGTAAGAGTATCACCTCCATCATCGGTATCTGGGATGCTAATGCGAGGCAACAGGCAACGCGCTTTCAGAGAAAGGAAGGAGAGGCACGTCAAAGACCTTGAAGCCAAGCTCACGACATTACAAACCCAATCCTCTACATTGAACGGCGAGAACGAAAGATTACGCCGCGAACTCGCAAAGATTGCTACAGAGAACGAGATCTTGCGGGCGACGTCGGGTTCCGCCTCCAACGGTCCGACGCCCTTCCTGGAAGAGCCTGACGAATTGGTCGGGCCCCTGGGATACGTGCCGACGGACTTTCCCGTCAAGACGCGGTCACCAGCGAGTAGTTTAGGATCTGGAGGGGAAGGCATGTCCAAGTACGCGCATTTCGGGACTATGAGGACCATCACCATCGACAATGACACAGGCGAGCAGCTGCTCGGCATGGGTGCGACCTGGGACTATATTCAGGCGCATGAGCTGTTTCGCAAGGGGCTGGTGGATGTCGGCGATGTCTGTGAAAGGTTGAAGAAGATGGCGCGGTGTGATGGGCAGGGGCCGATCTTCTTAGAGAGTGATGTGAGGCAGGCGATTAGTGAGAGTGCCGTGGCGGGTGGGAGGGACGAGCTGATTTGAAAAGGATCTGATGTCGGGATATTTGGTTGCTGCAGACTTTGTACCTTTCCGGTTGAGCGAGGCGTTCTGGAGCATCACGCATTGAGGGGGTAGGATCTCGGGTCAAACAGGAGGGAATCTGACATCTAAGATTTTGGCATGTCTTAATCGTCTGTGGAGTTGCGCCTACAGATACATGTTTTGCGAACATCCTCCAACACTCTGGGCATCAACATGACACATGATCGTACGGCCAGCTGCGACCTTGGTACTTTTGGGAAAGCGGTTTAGCCCTGTCTCTAGGGTTGAGTTGTCCCAGCATACATGTCCTGGACAATCAGAGTAGAGCCGATATCTGCTCCATCTTCCTCCCTGCTTTCGTTTGCGAGCTTTTCTTAATGGGTCTGTGCCACATCTGCCCTGAGCGGATGGGCTTCAGGGGCTGATTCTTGATCGCTCGACAACACGCAGAAGCGGGAATTTTACACCCTTTCCAATAACGCGAGCAAAAGAGACTATTTTCAGGAATCCCGAATCGTTCCTTCCCAGGCGTTTCAGGGCTTCGAACAACCTCGTGCGTTTACTCCATGACCACCTGACACCTACAGCACCGAAGTGCTATTTTAACAACTTGTTTCGACTTGGAATTTCAAGCGTCGCGAGCAGCCCTGCACAAAGGATGGTTCAACAGTCGAGGCTCAAGGCAGTGGGACAAGTTGTCCCCGAGTCGTCTGAACAATTTGGCCAGACGGTTACCTGGTCCATGGACAGGCTAACTTGTCGCCTTAGGGGTTGACATGCCTGCAGTCGAACCTAGGGCTGTAAGTAGCAGCTGTTTGCTTCCTGCATAGGCGGTCGCATCCGAGAGTCGGGCTTGGTTTCCGTTGAAGATGGGGTCCAGCTTCAGTGTCGGATGAGTTTTGCATGACTAAGGTAGCCAATGGCCAGATGACCGGGCTGTATTCAGACAGCTCAAGAAGGCTATAAGAAAGCATAGCTATTAGTCCCAATCATCGTCGTCATTATCATCGTCAGCAATTTTCTTGCTGTTGCTAATATCCTCATCACTGTCTCTCCGCTTCAGCCTCATGTCATTTTCCTTGACCGCGCCAACTTCCACGAGAAGCTGCTCGATATTCCTCAGGTTTGTTCGTGGGCCATTCAGCTGAGCGAGGGTCACGAGTTGCTTCTTGATGTCCCCGTCCTTGTAGATCAGAATGGTCGGCGTATTGCGTTCGGGGTAGCCTTCAATGCACAGATCCGCCCTGATCTGGCAGAATTTGATATCGCCGTATTTGACTGCCGCCTCGCGCCAGAGTTCGGTCAGGACTCGAGATTCGACGTTCGTCCCCAGAGAAGAAGTAAGGTGGACCAGCACGAAGGCTTTGGAACTTTCGTCCGTAACGTCCCGGGCATAGTCGGGTTTCTGAAGCGGATAGACCTGGCCGTAGACGCTTTTCTTCTGGAGAGTTGAGAGCTCAGCGAGGCGACGCTGGCGGTACTGTTCTAGAAAAGCCTCGTCTTCTTCGTCTTCGAGATCGGCGAGCTCATCGAAGTCTTTGTTCTCCAGCCGATTTTCGTGGGCTTTGCGGGCTGCTTCGAGCAGGGCTTCCTGGATTATTGGCTCCGGATCTTTTGGCTTTTCTGGGATTATGCCGTGTTTGCGCAGAATGTCGTTCCTGTCAGCAGACAGTCAATATCAACTACATCCGCTTGCGGCGAGGTTGTTCGCATATGGTTGGGCTGGCTTACCATTCTGTGTCGGCATTAGGGTTGTCGACTGGGACGTTGACTGGCAGATCCATGATAAAGAGAGTGACAAGACTATCCCTGTTAAAAGAGATCCTATGTAAAATTGCAGCTGTGTTCTCACTTCTCAGGCACCAAGAATCCCAAGAGTACTTCAGCAAAGTGAGAAGAACATACGTGGATTAAACTCCGCGTCTGACGGTCAAAGGTCCCTGCAATTCCAGGCCCAATAGGGCAGCCATCTTTTGGTCAGGCATCGCCTTTTTCTGGTCTGTGGCTTGATCGCGCACTCCACAATGAATTTGGGAGGACACGATTGACATCCCCCTGCGACTTGCAACGGCTTCAGTTGACACTTTTCCTTCTTGTTGACAAAACGACGGCGAAGCCACGCGCCGACTTCTCCTTTAACTTACATGTCTTCCTTCCTCTCGTTCTCCACGACATGATCCTGCGGTAGTGCACGAATCGAACCGCTTACTCTCGTCGTTGTGCCCAGGGCATCCTCATTATTCTTGAACCCCGACTGACAACTAGCATACACAGCGGGACCAGATTCGCAATGAGTTACGCAAAGAAGGACGAGGATGCCGACCACTCCGGCTTCAAGCTGGATCGGACTTCTGTCTTCCAAGATGGTATACTTGGGTTCTCCCTGGTCTTTCGGCAGCAAACCAACTGACCGCACTTCAGCTCGACTCTTCAACTCTTCTCCCATATCTCCGCGACGATGTCGGACTCTACTCACCAAGCTCGCTGTACTACTCTTCACCGGCGAGAAATTCCCTACGAACGAAGCTACGACTCTGTTTTTTGGCATTTCCAAATTGTTCCAGAATAAGGACCCCTCTCTGCGTCAGATGGTGTATTTGATCTTGAAAGAGCTGGCACATACCGCTGAAGATGTTATAATGTCTACCAGTATCATCATGAAAGACATGACTGTTGGGAGCGAGATAATCTACAAGGCCAACTCTATCCGGGCGCTTTGTAGGATTATAGACGCAACGACAGTCCAGGGTATTGAACGGCTAATCAAGACCGCCATTGTCGACAAGTCTCCAGCAGTCTCTTCGGCCGCGCTGGTGTCCTCCTATCATCTTCTCCCAATCGCCAGAGACGTGGTTAGAAGATGGCAGAGTGAAACTCAGGAGGCAGCATCTTCATCCAAGTCTGGCGGAGGCTTCTTGAGCTTCTCGACCGGCTCTCAGCACTCTCTCGCAGCCGCCAACACAAATTACATGAACCAGTATCATGCAATTGGCCTGCTGTACCAGATGCGGTCACATGACCGAATGGCCCTGGTCAAGATGGTGCAACAATATGGCGCAGCTGGAGCTGTCAAGAGTCCCGCAGGGGTTATGATGCTCGTGCGTCTAGCAGCACGGCTTGCAGAGGAAGACCCGAGTCTCAGAAAACCCATGATGCAGATGCTGGATACCTGGCTACGGCACAAGAGCGAGATGGTCAATTTTGAAGCAGCAAAGGCCATCTGCAACGTACCAGACGTGACTGACGCTGAGGCTGCACAGGCCATCCACGTCCTGCAGTCATTCTTGACTTCGCCCAGGGCCGTCACTAAATTTGCGGCCATCCGCATTCTTCATGCTTTCGCATCCTTCAAACCACAGGCCGTTAATTCCGCCAACCCCGACATCGAAGCTTTGATCTCTAACAGCAATAGAAGCATCGCTACCTTTGCAATCACAACTCTCCTGAAGACTGGCAATGAAGCAAGCGTTGATCGCCTGATGAAGCAAATAGCTGGCTTCATGGCGGAAATCACAGATGAGTTCAAGATCACGATTGTTGAAGCTATTCGAACTCTGTGCATGAAATTCCCCAGCAAGCAAGCTGGCATGCTTACATTCCTGAGTGGCATCCTTCGAGATGAGGGAGGCTACGAGTTCAAGCGTGCTGTTGTGGAGAGCATGTTTGACCTGATCAAATTCGTACCAGGAAGCAAGGAGGAGACGCTGTCACATCTATGCGAGTTTATCGAAGACTGCGAGTTTACTAAGCTGGCTGTCCGCATCTTACATTTGATTGGCGTTGAGGGACCAAAGACGCCCCAACCCACAAAATACATCCGCTACATCTACAATCGAGTTGTACTGGAAAATGCTCTGGTTCGGGCTGCGGCAGTGACCGCCCTTGCCAAGTTCGGCGTCGGTCAGAAGGACCCTGAAGTCAAGAAGAGCGTCAAAGTCCTGTTGACGAGATGCCTAGACGACACCGATGATGAAGTAAGAGACAGAGCTGCGTTAAATCTGCGATTGATGGAGGAAGAGGACGACATTGCCGAACGATTCGTCAAGAACGACTCTATGTTCTCATTGTCGACATTTGAACACAAGCTTGTCATGTACGTCACCTCCGATGACAAGTCTGTTTTCAGCAAGGCTTTCGATGTCAGCTCTGTTCCAGTCGTGTCACATGAACAAGCTTTGGCCGAAGAACGAACCAAGAAACTCACCACTGCTACCCCAACGCTCAAGGCACCGAGTACAGGCCCTACCAAGCCCAAGGCCAATGGTGCCGCAGAGGGCCCGTCAGCAGCGGCTGCTGCTCAGAAATACACCGAGATCTTTTCCAGGATACCCGAGCTTGCCGCTTATGGGCCGGTGCTCAAGTCCAGCTCTGTTGTAGAGCTCACTGAGAGCGAGACCGAGTATGTCGTTTCCGCCGTCAAACATATCTTCAAGGAGCATGTCGTTATTCAGTACGATATCAAGAACACGCTGGATCAGACGGTGATCGAGAACGTCACGATGCTGGCGGCACCGTCGGAAGACGAGGAGCCAACCCTCGAAGAGGAGTTCATCATTCCTGCAACCGCCCTCAAGACCAACGAGCCAGGTCTTGTCTATGTCGCCTTCAAGAAACTTGGAGGCGAGCATTCCTTCCCTACGACCACGTTTGGCAATGTCCTCAAGTTCACGAGCAAAGAGATCGATCCAACGACGGGCGAGGCTGAAGAAGCCGGTTACGACGATGAATACGAGGTCGAGAACCTGGAGCTTACAGGTGCCGACTTCGTCTCGCCGGCTTTTGCTGGAAGCTTTGATCATATATGGGAGGGTACGGGAGCTAATGGCGAAGAAGCAAGTGAGACCTTGCAATTAGCAAATGTCAAGAGTTTGGCAGGTGAGTAACCCGTGCCCAACGAGGGCTGAATCGGAATTTGTGCTAACATGATGTATAGATGCAACGGAACAACTCGCTCAAACAATGTCTTTACAGCCACTCGAAGGCACGGACGTGGTCTTGTCGAACACCACGCATACGCTCAAGCTGTACGGCAAGTCTGTTACAGGGGGACGTGTTGCTGCGCTGGTCAAGATGGTCTTTTCGGCGAAGTCTGGCGTTACGGTCAAGGTTTCTGTTCGGACGGATGAGGCGGGTTTGTCGGGCGCCATTGCCTCGGTCCTGTCGTGAGAGAATGAGAGCAATCCAGCCGGAAAGGGTGTCTGTTGTCATGAATCATGTGAAAAGGCTGCAAATAGGTGATAGGTGCTCCGTGTGGAGACTCGTCTTAGCTTGTTGACTGATGAAAAATAGAGAAGAGAATTAAGCGATACCTCAAATCTAGCGACATTGGGAGCTTGCTGAGTGTGAGCGAGTGGGTGAAATGAAATGAGATCGGATCGAGAGCCTAGGTGCTGATGCTTTCGACTTATCTTGACGCGAGACAGCATTTCACTAAGATCGAGGGTTTGATAGACACAGGGACAAAGAGTCCACCTGGAAATGAAAGAACAGCTGTACTGCTGCATAGAACCTGAGGTTAGAAGTTGACATGTAAAGATTAGTAAAGAGATTCCATTGGTTCCAAGATTGACCAGGCACCTCGCGGCATTTGCTAGAGTCCACAGATCTAGGTACCTTAGTCTTGAAGACGGTCGGAGGGCTGACTGAAGCTTCATCAGCCGAATTCCCATCCTGTCTGCTATCTTGATGACCATGGCGATAAAGATCAGCCAGCTTTCCATCCCGTTCAGTATCTTGATGACCATGGCGGTAAAGATCAGCCTCCATCAAGTGATGCCGCATGACCATCTTGCAACGTTTGCCCAGAAACCGGCCCATTAAAGGCTTGCTATCTCCTCGCAGGGCGTGGAATTAGCTCGACTGCGTCTATGGCACATTTTCGGCGTGGCGTCTTCTGTGCCTGGAGGGCGCTGTTGACGGTACCCTCTTCAATGCTCAGGGTATGGCGTTGACTCGTATCTACACGGGGTGAGGTGGTATGTTGCTGAGGGTTCCACGGCCGTTGGTGGCCTGGGGTATGAACTGCGCAGTTCAATCCACGTTTACCGGGGTATCGTATCCTAGGTCGTATGCGTCTTGCAAGTCTCTTAGTGCCTTCCCTTCCCTGCCAAGTTCCACTGAAGACTCCTTTTAGACCTTCTTCTTCGGCCTGCCCTTCTTCGAGGTCGACGGTGTCGCCGGCGATGCCTCAGCACTTGATGAGAAGGACATCATTTCCGGGCCTGAAATGGCTGCAAGAGTCGCATCGTCAATCGCCCCTGCAGATGGCGCTGATTCGATCTTCGCCTTGCCTTCTTTTTGCGCCACGCCTAACACTTCGATATTCTCTGCCAACCAGCTGTGCAGCTCCTTTTTCTGCAAGTAACCATGCGTGTTAAACCACTGTGTAAACGAGCCCTCGACTTCTTTGTCCTCCCACTTCTTTCCAGAGGGCGCTTCATAGGTGACTTTGAGCTTGTACATCGGCTTGTACTTTTGCGTGGACGACTTCAACCTCAACTGTGGCGTGTCACCTTTGTCAGCATAAGACCCGTCAAGCCGAATGTAACTGGGCTGGAAGTCTAAGGCAATGTTCTGACCTTCTGCCCTCCCTCTCTCGTCCCGACGAACACGGTGCCCGCTTCGACAGCCCAAATCCAGTATGTTAATGCGCTGTTGAGCACGAAATATGCGACACATGCTGGTCCTGTGTACGCTTTCGTCGCGTCCCAGCCGAGTTTGTAGTCCGCGTAGAATAAGACGCCTGCGATGATGACGGCTGTGTAGCCTAGGATGAGGCGGATGTTGGTCGTGTAGTGTTGCTGTTTGAAGGTATATGGCTTGGAGAGGCTGGTCAGGTAGGGTGCAAGGGCATCGTCGGTGGCATTCTTGAGGTCTGCGAGAGTCAGCATGGTCTACTGCGTAGAGTGGTACGATCATAGAGGGGGGAGTCGGGAACGTACCATTGACTGAGTAGAGAGACACTTTCTGGGCAGGGGATGACATCTTTGCGGCGTAGTTTTGAGCATACACAGTAGAGGGGTAAGGTAACGGTTCTCACTTGGGGGGATTCAGTGAGAATGAAGAGTCAGCATGCCATAGACTCTCAGCGCTGTCGCAGCTAGCAACGCTGCTAGGCTGTCGAGGACAGATATTCGCATCTGAGAAATCCGGGGAAGTCCTTGGCAGGAGACACCGAAGATCTACCGCGATAGGAAGTCACAGCCTCGTCACCCCCTGACCTCTTTCCCGTACACTACAACCATTAAGCCCGCCTTTGCAATGTTTATAATTCCTGAGGCACATCTCCATGTTTTTGAAAAGCCGCGAGCGTGCTTTGTGATGTTACTGGCCTCCGTGAAGGAGTGATGGAGCCATCATGAGCTCTTCGCTAACCTCGCTTAGGGCGCAATGTCTCGCCAGCACAGGTTGTCTCGGTAATGAGGCCACATCGACAGCGATTAGTGCTGCCCAGGGGACAATGCCTGGTGTGCCGAAGATGGTGACGCTCGGCATGATATCAAAGTCGCTCAGTAGCATCGACACCGACCTGGCGCCCAGTCCAGGCCCTTCGACTGGTGCAATGCCTGAAAGGCCCATCTTCTTTGATGCAATAAACGAGGAGGTGGCCTTCCCGATGTCAGACTCGACAAAGCAAAATGTAGTTGCTTACCAACATAGGCTGGAGATGGCTCATGCTAATGGTAAGAACACTCTGCATGATCCTCCGCATGATTCTCCCCGTGCCTACCTTTGTGATGCTAATGGTAAGAAATACTCTAAGTTTGGAGACCCTGAGGCAATTCAGTACAAAAACCGCCTTCAGCACCGTGCCCCAGACCGAGTACCTCACTCACTACATCCTCGACACTCGATCAATATAACCTCGTTCACTTGTTATCAATATACCAACATCAAAGTCACGCAACTATGGCCGCTGCCGCCGACAAACCGAAGCCATACTTCCCGCTGGCGGGTGGTGCCAATGATGGCTGGTCCAAAGAAGATGAAGCCACGGCCACATGCTTTTGTGGTGCCGTACAGCTCGCATTCGTAAGTTCGTCTCAAAGCTGTCCAATACTGCGTCCAGCTCTCTCTGGTATTCCACTGCTTCGATATCTGCTGATACTGATCCCTTCTTCAGCCTACTCAGGGTCCTGGTCTCGTGAACACTTTTGTCTGCAATTGCTCGGACTGCCACAAAATCACGGCTTCCATGTTTGCGAGCAATTTCACCGTCGACGACAAGTACCTCAAGCACCTACGTGGTCAAGACAACCTGAAAACCTTCGGACAGTCACGTACCATCGCTTCTGGCGAACTGATGACCAATTACTTCTGTTCGACTTGCGGGACGCTCATGTACCGCGTCGGCGCGGCGTTTCCAGGCAAGAGTATCTTACGAATCGGTACAGTCGACGATTTCACTTTGCACGAAACCAAGCTTAAGCCGCAAGTCGAGCAATTTGTCAAGGATCGAGTCGGGTGGTTGAGCGGGGTGGAAGGAGCACGAAAAGCCGAAGCTATGGGTGTTTGAGCACTGTATTTCCTGTTCCCTCATCAAATCGTGCGAGAAAGAAGAAGAGCAGATTCTCAGACAACTTGCAAGGCTGTCAGAATTCTGTCTGTCACCATTGTTGCTTTATACCCAGGTAGTCACCGTTTCGTTCACAAGCATATCTTAAGGTAACATACTCGTGCATACTGTAGTCATTCATGGCCTAACAGCCTCGGTTGACCTGTCGTTGTCGTCATCTCGCTCCACCATGCTCAACGCTAATGCACAAGCCCCGCACTCAGGAAAACTATTTTACATATATTTAAACCGCTCAAAACTCGTCGAATTCCAAGCGGTGGCATGGTGGTTAGTTTATCTGTCCAACATTGCCAATTGAGCGCCTTGGCTAACATGAAACCTAGTAATGGTCAGCATGTATCGTTGTGGTTGAAGCCCGTCTTTCTAGCTTGTCTAGGTCGACTTTATGGCTTATCCAGCTCCGATCCGATCCCGGTTCGATTCCGGGTGCCGCCACGACAATCTTTTTGTCTACGAGACTTATATCGTGACAATGTGGACAATGGTGATTTTTTTGTGCCTTTCATAGATGATGAGTTGTTGAGTTGATTGTCTTTTTTCCAAAGAAGAATTTATTCACGTTTCTTGGCGTCACTTAGTATCACGGTGACTTCACAAGCCCATCAAAATATTTGTGGTGATCAAGGCTTGCGAGGCCGACAAACAACTGAAAAAGTGCTCTCACGCCGTCGATGTTGCGACGTGGGCGGCGGATCCGACCAGAAATCCTTTCAAGGCCAGGCTCAGAAAGCTCGAAAAATCCCAAGTCTGTACCAACAACAATCAGCCAAGCCTTCAGACTCCGACAGAGACATCCCCGACCTCCCAGACTTCTACAGAAAGCCCTGAAACACTCCGATCCAATGAGGGTCATGTTGAAGAGAATGAAGTTGAAGATAATGCCCCTCTTGAATCGCCTCAGCATCTTGGATCGCCCATCTTCGATAGGGACACACAAGCACCTCCTGCTCCTTTCCTCGGCAACATCCTCGAAAAGGTTGGTTATGTATTCGACAGCTGCTTCGCTGCATTCACAAATTTGCTGAGGAGTCCTCACCTTGACAAAATCATACTCATGTGCTTGCTGTTGGCGCTGTATTTTGCAGTTGTCGGGGTTTTCAGTGGTTTCCGTGAGTCATGGGGTGCTGGTGTGTCGTGGCTAGTCACTTCATCAAAGTGGGCTTTTCAGAAGGTTGGAGCTGCAAGAAATCTGGTCTATGCAGGAGCTGCTCCCTTCGTAAACACGCTGATGAAGTCGAGCAAGACTTTATTGTCGGATGTTGGTGTGGGAAGCAGCGCCGTCCTTCGTACAAGTTCCTTCCTTGCTGGCTCGGTTTTGTGCAGCTCTCCCATCACTACGGGTGTGGTGCATTGGTTGGGTTTTCCCTGTGAGCCCCCAACGACGAGGACGGTACAAGATGCTCTCAACAGCACCGCCTTCGAGCTGGGTCACTTGGGTGCTGTATCCGAACTTCTCATCCCTCATTGCAATCATTTCCAACTCGCAACGATCACTCTCAGCAAGCAGCAAAAATTGTTGGAGCTTAGTGATGTCGATTTCCCCAATAAAGCTGTCGCCATCGCGGTGCTGTCGAACTACAGCCAAGGTCTATATGACGCCGGTGATGAGATCTATAAGGTCTCATTGTCCACAGATCGCATCATTCGAATGATGATGAGCAATCTTGACGTCGCCGAGGAACATCTACAGTTCGTCCTTAACACAAACCCAGGGTGGTTTTGGTCATGGTACAAGACGTACCATGTCGCAAGGCTGCTCAATCAACTTCTCACTACCCTTGACAGCCAGGTCGTGGACTTGATCAGCGCCATCGACCAATGCCGACAGACCATTGAAGATACTCACAGCAAGGGCGTCGAATTTGGACAACGAATGACCCCGGGCCGAGCCTCCATCGACAACCAGATCGGTCAACAAGGATTTCTGTTCAAATTCTGGAACACGAAAAGTCCGCTGCATGATATGCGAGACAATCTCATGACTGCCTCTTTCGAAACCGGAACAATCTTGGATATGCTCTACGAAACTAAAATCCGGCTTTCCCGCCACCGGAACGAACTCTTGAACGCAAAGACCTCAATGTTCTCCGCCAATAGTCTTTCCAAGACGTCGGGGTTGCAAGTAATTGTAACTGCCCTTCATGAAACAGTGACACAGCTTAGCGGCACCAGCGCCAACGTTGAGCTCTCACGAAAAAGAGAAAAAGATCGTTTGGCGAAGCAGTGGCAAGAAGGCCTAATCTCGTTGTGATGGTAGATCTAACAGTGGAGATAACTGACCATGTTTGCGCTATGAGCTTGGTATCGAATGCGCCAAACTATGGCGATTGTCTTCGAAGTGCCCTCTATGATCGATTTGGATCAAGACTCCTGCCTTAAGTTAGTTTTCGCTGTGGCGGCCGTTCAGGGTACTGTTCTTCAACTGCCGGAGGTTTTCGGAGTGTATGCTGTGACTCGATTGTGTAATAATATTCTATCAATTCATTAGTACGGTACGCTGATTGCTCTTACGCTCTGACTCTGCTCCGAGAATTCTATTACACGAACGAGTTGTCAAGGGGGCGACTGGAGTGTAGAATTGGACGTGGTTCCAGTTCAAGTAGCTGTGGGCCCATTGCGGCATAGAACCTCCACCATTCGCAAATCCCTCCAGGTTCATGCGGCAGAGGAGTCGTTTCTGGGATATGCAGTGAGATTTGGTCTCCAGAATGTTGGCCGCTGTAGGAGCCAGGAGCACTGAATAACCGGTACACATTTGCACAAGGGATGTTGATCGAAGTCGAAGTGCTGTCGGAATGATTCCGACTGTCGGGAGGGAGATCGGGATCGGGATGTCGGCAAGACCACAACATCCCGACAAGTAATGACGGCGAGACGGCTTCTGTGATGTAAATCAAGTCTCCCCAGTCTCTTTGACCCCGAACCAGACAGGAATCACCTACGGCCGACCACTCAAATGATGGAATAACCTTTCAGCCTCGTATGTCTGGAGTCGTCGGAACGATAACCTTGACCCGAGCTGCAATATAAAAGCTCCCGCCCCTCTCGGTGTGGTGATACACCTGAGTGCTCAAAACCATGTCCAGCAAGGAGAGGCTTTCCAAGATAGCAGAACACTTGACACCTACAGACCCCCCTGCAACCTCAAACAAGATGACAAAGTCCAAGAATTTCGAGGTCGCCATTATTGGTGGCGGCATCGCAGGGTTGACTTTGGCGATTGCACTGCATCACCGCCGGGTGCCTGTGACCATCTACGAACAGGCGCCGCAATTCGGGGAGATCGGGGCGGGCGTATCTTTCAGCCCCAATGCCCTGCAGGCAATGAAAGTATGCCATCAGGGCGTATACGATGCGTTCGAGAAAATCTGCACGCGGAATCTGTGGCCGTCAAAACAAAAGGTCTGGTTCGACTACCTGAACGGCCTTGAAGATTCCCCCGAAGATAGCAAGGCCCCGGAGATTGCGTTCTCCATCAAGACCAGCATTGGTCAGAACGGTGTGCATCGCGCGCGGTATCTGGACGAGATGGTGCATTTGGTGCCCAAAGAAATCGCTCGTTTTGGAAAGAGACTGAAAGGAATCCAGGACAACGGCCATGGGAAGCTGGTGATGCAGTTTGAGGACGGTACGAGCGCCGAAGCCGATGCGGTCATCGGTTGTGACGGGATCAAATCGACGGTCAGGCAGATCATTGTCGGTCGGGATCATCCTTCTGCGTATCCGGTGTATACGCATAAGTACGCTTACCGAGGCCTGGCGCCGATGGACAAGGCCATTGAGGCTGTTGGAGAAGAATTGGCGCAAAACGCGTGCATGCACGTATGTAGCAATCGGCCACCGCCCCGAAATAGTGACTGACGTGACAGATGGGCCCCGATGGTCACGTCCTCACCTTCCCAGTTAACCATGGTCAAACGTTGAACATTGTCGCGTTCCGAACATCGCCGGAGGAGTGGCCTGACTTCAACAAGTTGACGAGGCCGGCGAAGCGCGAAGACGCCCTCCGCGACTTCACTGGGTACGGTTCCAAGGTGATCAACTTGTTGAAATTGACGAAGCCAGATCTGGATGTGGTGAGTCGATTGAAGATTGCCGAGGAGTGTCATGTGCCTAACCATGTTCCAGTGGGCTATCTTTGACCTTGGTGAGCATCCAGTACCAGCCATGCATAAGGGCCGCGTTTGCATATCTGGAGACGCCGCACATGCAACGTCTCCACATCATGGTGCAGGAGCGGGACTCTGCATTGAGGACAGCGCGGTGCTCGCGGAGCTGCTGGCCGATCAACGTGTCCGAGAGCCACAGCACCTGGAGGCTGTTTTTGCGACGTTCGATGCCGAAAGGAAAGAAAGAGGCCATTGGCTCGTTCAGGCCAGTCGACATATCGGAGACTGCTATGAGTGGCGAGCGAAGGGTGTCGGGAGGGACTTTGCCAAGATCGAGGCGGAGATCAATAGGCAAAACGGAATCATTGGAGAGGTTGACGTAGCCAAGATGTGCGAACAAGCCAGAGAAGAACTGGGGAAAAGGCTGCAGAGATAACAGCCTTCGTTCAGAATCGGGTCTCGAATTTGGCAGCACAAAGAAGGAAGGGTCACAGTATGTCTGGATCCAAGTCAAAAAAGTCCAGGTTCGTGAGATGCTGTCCGAACCAGGCGTCTGATATGCAATCTCCGCCGAAAGGGTTGAATTGCCTGAAGTCGAACTCTTGGAGTGCATCAGATTCCATGTGCTCGATTCCGAACGGAGCACCATCAGTTAGACCTTCAGGGTTGTCGGTCCCGGCAGCATTTCCGAGTCCTGCCGTCACAAGTTAGTATGAACGTGAGGCTATGGAAACTTGGTCCAACCTTGAAGATGAGGGTGAGGCTGCGTTGGGGACGTTTGACCTCTCAGTCTTTGAAGAACAGCTATTGCTTGCGGCGCCGAAACTATTTGCTCTTTGTAGTGCTCCAAAATTGACAGGCAACGATTCCAACTCGTCTCGAAGCAATAGCCTGTACTTTGCACATTGATGTCGATACGTTGCTGGGCGGCGAGCAGGAGGACGGCCGCTGCAAATGTGACTTGCAACCGTCAGTCCAGTAAGTTCGAACTTACATGCCCACTCAGACTTACAGTAGACCGAATGCCACCCGGCGCTCTTATATGCAGTGTCAAGATGCTGATGTATGACCTCGATGAGGCGGTGGGCGGTCTCAACGCAAACGTTGCAGCATCTTTGGATCAAGTCCTTGTCCAATGATGACATCCAGATATCGTTCGAGGTTCTGTCTACGTTTTGCCGCCTACGGCTTGTAGCATGAAGAAGAAGCGGCCGCAATGACAACAACCGGACATACAAAAACCTGCAATAGTTGAGTATGATGAGCCACGATGGGCGTTGGTGGGGCGTACCTGCAATATAATACCTGCTGTTGTAGACTGACGCAGCTATTCTTCTCAGAGATGACCATTCGGGAGACCTGCGACATTTGCAAATAACTTGGCACCGAGTTCGCAAATTCGTCGAGGCGACCGTTGAACCTTAGAGCTTTTTCGATCATGTCCTGGGGCTCTGATTCTCCCACATAGAAGGCCTTTAGGATCTCACCAAGGTATTCGAATAGCTTGCAAGATGAGGTAAACAAGCCTAGACGAGACGGGACACTCGCGGGCTGGATTCCATCTTCTGAATCATCCCGAAGATATTCATCGTCGATCACAAGAGGAATAGGAACTTTCCCAGCGTCCGGAAGCATGGTTGGTCGTCCAAAAGTCATGGCAAGGAGTCTAGTCTTGTTAGCCGATGTGATGTTCATGTAGCTGCAGCTGCAGCTGATCACGCACCTGTCCAGTACCACACATGTATGCCAGACTCTGCGTTTCATCTCCCGCACCAACTGAGTCTCGCCCTTCCGTCCCAGAGGAAGATGTAAGCCCAAGCTTTGGGCTACTCTTATTGCGAGTCCGACAACATTCCAGCAGCGAGTAGCATAGCGTGAAGATTGGAGGTAAGCACCTTGGAGGAGAAGATATTGTACCAGAGGCAATGAGGACGAGTCAAGGATCTCAAAAAGGAAGACTTTCCGTGATCGCTGATAGAACTCGTCGGCCATTGATGCTCTTTTGGAAGAAGGAAGAAGGTTACTGAATTGACAGCCCAAAGCGAAAACGAGATTCAGCATTGAACAATAGATTGTACTGTCGACATCAAAACGGTTCTCGGAGGAGCTTCGTGCATCAGCAGGCAGCCACAGTCTCTCGTACTGCTTGATGAAAGAAGATTTGTGGACGATGGGGAAAACAGGATGAATAAACTCCCAATAGCAGTGGAGGTAATCGTCCGCATTTCCACGTTGCGGAAAGACAGCAGCAGCATCGTCTTTCTCGCGAGTGATTTCTGGATGCGAACCTAGCTCTCCTTTTCCACCTTGGCCTGGATGGGGTTTGATGCTGTTGACCCTGGGGGCTCCCGGAGACTCGTTCGGTGTCTGTATGCCATCAGTGACATGCTGGACGAAGGCAATCGTAGAAGAGCTGCCATATACTGCCGGATCGTGCTCGCCGGCAGCAACTGTTGCTACTCCATCCATAGAACGATCACCATTGAATTCCCGTCGCTGCGCCGGATCGTGTGATTCGGCTAAGCCAGACCGAGAAGGATACCTGGGGTTGAAGGAAAGTTGCTCAACATGATCGGCTCGTCGTGGATCAAGTGCTTGCCTGTTAAGGTCAAGCGGAGGCCGCTCGTATACGCAGGTAGACTGGACGAGACGTCGCTCACAGACTGCGCATACGGGTTGCCTGCCATCGCAACGCTTTCTCCGGTAACGACAGTTGTTGCAGGCCAGCGAGATCTTGGGCCGTTTGCGTCGGATTGGCGTTTCCAAACCGTGCGAAGTGACGCTGGTGTTCTCGACGATTGGGGGTGTTGAACTTCCTGCTGGCATATGTTCATGCATTCCTGCTCTGCAATGATACCTAAGGTACGATGGACTGAGTAATGCATAATTCGATCGAAAGCCGGATGTTGGTTCGGGTGGTAACTTAACTAGTGGTTTTGACTAGTGGTCCCTATAGAGTTAAGCTTATTTCAAGTTCAGCGGCGCCGTCGTGCGCCTAATTCATTTTAAGTGACCCTAGTCGAGTTAGTGAGCTTTATTCCCTCTAACCATTGACCACTGAGCTTCCACTATCTTCCAGCGGCCTACGCGACATCAACATTTCTCGCGACAACGAACTCTGGAGCCGCCAGTGGTGACAGCGCCTGGTCTCAAACACGCTCAAAAGAGTGTCAAACATATGATCTAACCTACATGTCTCTTCGCAAAGTTTTTCGATCGGAGAAAAAAGATGGCCATGGCACAATTACCCTCATCACCACTGTCTTCCCCTCCAGCAACACAAACCTCCCACAAACACCGTCCTAGCACAACTTTGGGGCGGCATTACCGACCATCAACAGTTCTTCCCTTCGAACTCGCCCAGCATGTTCAAACGTACTACGAGGAGCAATTATTCACCCAAGCCTACGCCTTCCTACTTTCCATTGTCGGCAATAGCGCGTCCTATTCCGACCCTCTCGCTCCCGTCACCATCCCATCAGCACCACACCTCGCCGTGGCCGCCACCATCTCCATCCACCCAGTCTTTACCACTCGCACGCATTCCCGCGAGAAATGGGAACAGGCTAACGCCGCGCTGCGCCTGCTACGGCTCGTGCACACTCTAGTCGGACCCCTGAACGCCGACTTTACCACTGCGTTCACCTTTCGCAAGTACGACTTCAATTTCCGCTCGTCTCGCCATTCCACTGCCGCTGTCCACTTCGACGACGACGAGGACTACCAATCCGACAACCTGTCCCTCGCATCCACGGATCTGAACACCCCCTACGCGGCCCTCCAATCCATCTTTACCCGCGCCGAAGATTTCTGGCACCTGGTCGGCTGGTCTTTTAACTGTGCCTGCCAGCCTCTCTCATCCATCCACACCGCGCGGTGGCATCATTACCGCCTCCTCCTGACGTTCCTTCTCGAGGTCCTCGAAGCAGACTGGGCTCTCTGGACCAGTGAATCCGGCTCGTACTCGACGAGCCCCGAGGAAAGCCTGCTCTGGTCCTACATCGAACTCGCAAGCGGCGGTCACGCACGCGCACGTCGTATGCTCCGTGCCATCTTCGCCGACGGAAGCACCCGGTCAACAGCCGAGTTCCAGCCCGTCTTCGCGCACGAGCTCAGAGAGCCGCCCAGCCAGACCCAAACCACGAACAAACGCCAGGTTGATGTAAACATCGATGCAGATATCTACGGCGACTATCTCATGCAAGATGAATCTGATCTCTCCGACGGCGACGGCGACGGCGCAAGCACAGCCACTGGCGCAAGTGGACGACCGGCGAAGAGGTTAAGAACGAGGACGCGCACGCCGAGTTCGCGCGTCACCCCGCGCAGCAGTAACGGCAGTTTGCGGAGCGAACACCACGAGGGCGACGATGGGGTACCAAGTTCTTCTGTAGCTGCGCTAGGCGACCCTGCGTGTATTGCTTTGAGGTTGAGACTAATGCGATTGCTGACGTACGTCTCATCGCATCCAACACTCACCGCGACGAGTCCGACGACGTTCCCGGATATGGAGGAATTAATCACGCTGTTTGTTGAATTTATCAAGCCGTTGCCCTTCCCTACGTTCTCGGCGATCATCTCCACGGCTTCACTCCCGTCCGCCGCGGCAGCAAGTCTGCACAGCCCATCAGATCGAGTTCCTTCAGTGCAGAGCCAAGTCTTTGATCCGCAGACGCAAAGCCTCCTATGCGAGTCGCTGCTACAGCGTATCTTGGAGAACTCGGCACCGGCGATCAGGAGCAATGTGCTCCTTTCACAAGCGAAGTTGGAAGAGGAATACTTACCCTTCGCGGCGGGGAAGAACAGCGCCGATGCCAATGCGAGGGTCTCGCTGCTATTGGAAGCCCTGACGAGGTGTCTCGCCCAGCTTCGTGTCTTGAAGAGGACGGAGACGCTGAGAAGTGCGCTGAACAGGGGGATAGAGAAAAGGACGAGCAAAGTGGGTGATGCGAAGAAGGCGAAGAAGGGAGGGACCGGAGACGGAGAAGCGTGGTACTGGTTGGTTGAGAGCGGTGAGAGGATGCAGAGAATTGTGGATGGCCTCGAGACGGCGTAGGATGCAAAAATGTCGGACTAGGTTTCTCTGGAGCCAGGGGTATGAACATGTAGACCGTTGACAGAATGATAATAGGTCAAAGTGCACGAAATCTTGTAAATCCAATCAACAAGCTAAAAAAGCGCGCCAAAGCAGCTCGGAGAATCAGGTGTAGTGCATATCTCATGCTTCATCAATCGTCTCACATACTGTATCCGTTGCAGCGGTGTGCTCACCAACAAGACTTGTCCGCATTTCGGTCGGTCTGCAACGCATCCCGATGTACGGAGTGAATGCCCATTCTCCCCATCAAGGTGGCGGTCTTGGTCCGATGATCTGCCTTCTCGCTCCTCCGACTCCCAAGCCAGCACCGCCACGATTCTGGCTGTCTCCGCCCATATAACCATACTGGTGCACGTCCCAAGACTGGCCTGGGGCGCTTCCCTCCTGAATGTCACGTGCCCTGGCAGCCGTAGCTTGCTGGCCTTCTTCCCATTCTCGTTGGCGCTCGCGCTCGCGTTCCATTTCACGCTCGAGCAGAGACTTGGACGCCCATCCACCTGCTTTAGTGCGTGCTTGGGATTGGAGACGTCGTTGATTCTCCAGGTCAACTTCTGTTGCGGTGGAGTAATCTTGTGGACGATGAGACGTCGCTTGCGGTTGGGGAGGCGCAGCGTTAGACGCCAGGTAACGGTCCGTACGGTTCGTGCCTGGAGCATAGGTCATTGGATCAGGCAAGGGTCGCGTCGTCGATGCGGCTGATGCAGGCCCTGGACGCGTCGGTTTAGGTGGCGGTTGGTCATCCAGATCTTGAGCGTGTTGCCATTCTCGTCTCAGGTAATCTCTCTCCGATTCATCCCAGTCGTCTTGATGGCTCGTCTGGTCAACATTGGATCTGCTCGGTAAAGCCGGTGGTGCAGGCTCCGGGTTAGATCGAACCGCTGGGGCCGGTTGAACAGGATGATGCTGTTGTGCTTTCAATTCCTCCAGTTGACGTTCAAGCTCAGCAATACGCCTGCTCTCGGCAGACTCCTGCTGGATGATTTGCTGCTTTTGCTGGGCGGCGGCATTGGCACGGGTCTGATCAGCTTGGTATTGACTGAGGAACTGCCCATTGAGGCGGGCATCACTTGTGGCACGCTGTCGATTTCGTTCTGCTGCCGATCGTGCCTCCCGTTCGGCTTGGTCAGCAGCTTCACGTTCACGCTCGAGCTCATAAGCACGCTCCCTTCGACGTTGTTCCTCTTTTCGAAGACGCTCTTCCTCTTGCAGACGTTGTCGTTCTTGAGCCATCTGTTCTTCCAGCTCTCGTTCTCGAAGACGGCGAGTCTCCTCGGCCCATTTGCGCTCTTCTTCCAGCCTCGCTTGCTCTTCTTGTGCCGCTCTCTGCGCTTGCTGGTGTCGCTCATACTCTTCGGCTTCGCGGCGTTTCTTCTCAGCCTCCTCCTTCAGACGCTTTTCCTTCTCCGCGACACTTGGCACGTTGGGTGCAGGAGAGGTGATCTGTCTTCTGGCACCGAAAGCAACACCCTGGTTCCCCTGACTAGCTCCACCCATATAGCCGTATTGATGTATATTCCAGGCTGGTGCTGTCTTGCCTTCATCTGTTTTGCTGCTCCAACTACTGACTGGCCCACCAGTAGCAAGCCCTCCTCTTCCAAGAGTGTTCTTGGTAGGGCTTATCCGGCCTGAATAAGCGCCCTTGTTCAGAGGGTTGAAGGTATATGACGGACTCTCCGCAGCAGCATTGCTCGTCCCACGTGGTCTTGCTGTGGTTGTGGTATATGCAGGCGATCTGGGTCCGCTCGACCCTGTCCCTTGCGGGCTCATGGCCGATCCTTTACTCTTAGCACCGAGTGTAGTGGGGAAGGCCGAGGGATTGATCGCGTTCGCAGCACGGCTGAAGGCTGCAATGCACTGTATGACTTGCGTAGGGTCTTTGTGATCGTAGAGGTCAACGGTTAGGAAGCGATCATGGGAGGGCAGATTCAGCGGCGGCAGCTCGCATGCGCGCAGGAAGTGGGAGATGTTTTCCATCTGTACGAAAGGCATATTCGACTGCTTGTACTTGACACCTGGAGAAACCGCGAGATTGACGAGCCTGGGAACCGTGTCAGCATCGGCGCATTGAAATCGTACAAACTCCTTACTTGCAAAGAGCAACTCCGTCTTTGAGCGCGTCCATCAAATCACCCGGAGGCAGTCTCTCGCCCAAAGTATCCTCAATCCATCCTCTGACTTCCTTTGCTGCTCCAGGCGTATAACGGTCCAGGCGCAGTTTGCGCATGTCCTGGTCGAGACTTGTGACCGAAGCCATGAACGCGCGAGGTTGACGAGTGTCCGTTATTCGCGCCGCGCAAATGATTTATAGGTCATTCATACGAACAGATAAAGAAGGGGTCCCACAGTGAATAGACACAGGCGACCAGGTGCGCTGACAGGAGGCAAGGTAGGGGAAGATGGCCGTGTTGCTGAATGTCAGGAAGGCAGGCGCAGACCAGGTCGCCGGAAATGACCCCTGCAGGTTGACGTCGATCAGATCAAAGCCACTGCAGCATCCCGTCAATGACGAATCTCGGCGCATTATTTTGTACGACCTATGCAATAATAATCACATCCAGCACTTTGCGTTCCTCTTCCAGCTATATTGATCACGTCGGCAAAGATGGGAGCGATGAGAGATCTCTGGGTTCGCTGGAAGATGCTACGTCTTCCATGGCGGAAGCAGTTCCTTGTTGGTACGTGATACTAACACCGACTGCTTTTCAATTGCTAACACTTGTCCAGGTCAAGATCTCGTGGGAAACACATACTGGGAATTCCGAGATGCGCTAAACCACAACCGATGGCGTCGTATGGTGCGAGCGAACCGTACTGTAGCCTTCGCCGATGTACAAATCTCCCCCCAATGGCACCAATGGCTCCGTCAGACCCGTTATGATCCCCCAAGCCTGCAGGAGCAAGCTGCAGATGTACAAAGACAGGCGGCCTTGAAACATAATGCTAGGCTGGCAGATGAAAGATGGGCTGCAAAAGCAAAATATATTGAGAAACCAAAGCCTACGGTCACACCACAGCTCTCTGGTGATCCCCAGCAAGACAGAGTCCGGGCCGAAAACATGCCCGGAGAGCCTCCACAGCACGAGAAGACAAAAAGCGCTGTTGAAACACCCATGGCACCGCGTGATGACCCGTGGAAGAAAGCTGATGAGACCGGGTCTAATCCCGGAGCACAGTGGGCGCCAGAATCCTGGGTCCCTGGTGCTCCCAAGCGTCGAAGCTGAGGGACAAACGTCCTACGTCGCTCAGCGATGCACAACTCCACCAAACCACCTAGTCTTCGCTGTCACCGGAGTCCTTTTGTTGATCATCTCTTCCTTGAGATGCTTGTTGTACAGCTCTGTCTTTCCTCGTCAGCACTGTTCACTGATAGAGAAGGGCCGGCTTCATACCATCATTCCTGGCGTTCCAACACAAGCGTCTCACTAACCCCAGGGCTTCTCACTCATCACCATCATCGGGTGGACGATTTTACTTTGGGAGGTGGAGTCGGAGGAGGAGTAGGAGGAGGCGTGTTGATGGCATCGACAAGAGCGTGATATATATCGGTTGTCACCATTTCGACCGGCGATCAAGTTGAACTTGAGGGAGACGCTTGGCTTGTGTACTCTTCGACTGGAAGTGGATAGACGTATTCCCGGTGGTTCAATTGGTTTGTTTTATTTATGTTGAGAATGGAAGAGCGAGATGGACAAAGCTGGTGCCGGAGCTGGCTTTTATATCTTTCAAGGGTACTGCGTTTGCTGCTTGACAAACGACGGAGTTTGAACATCAGATACCACCATCATGCATCACGGCCATTACTCTGTCAACGACAGTGAGGACGACGTCTGCTTAGGCAGCCCTTTGCCGCAGGTATTGCAAATCAGCCTGCGTGCTCCATACAAGGCTGTGTATATCAGGGGCTGACGGGGAGTAAGTAACACATATCTTATTTATCACATCTCAGCACAGCACAGCTATCTTATGGAGCCATTGCTCTCAGCCCACACTTGGCGAGGACAGCACGAAGACAATATGGAACAGACACCACCTGGATGGCGGTAAGTCTGGATCAGCAGCAGTACCGCCGTACCCATTGTCGACAGTGAGATTTCAGTCGCTCAAATCATATTTCTCGCTCAATCCCACCAGAGAAACAACTTTCACCACATCACAATTCATCCGGCAAGCATTCTTTGTCCGAACACTCTATCTCACACACGACAGACGCTCAAACACGCGAAATCATCATGTCGTCGACCAAATCCTCCTTGCCTACACCGGAAAACGCTGCTTCTGGCGACGGTGTGGCCCATTCGAACCCTGACGTGCAATTCACGCTCAAACCAACCAAGACATCGACCGACAAACCCCCTGTCCTTCGTCCAACCATAATCAAACAAGATGAGCCACCAGACGGCTACAAAGGAGACGTGGAAGCTGGCGTTTGCTTTTGCTGCTGTTTGCGCTGCAACAAGATTTGGGCTGTGGTTTGGAAAGACAAACCAAGGGTTTCTGGCGCGTCCCTGTCTCCCCAAGACTACAAAAAGGTCGCAAAGAAGGAGGTCTGCGACGACTGCATGGAAGGGGCTGTGGAGGAGGTGCACATGGCCTACGAGGGCTATGTGAGGGTCGAGTGCGAGGAGAGTGAGGAGTGGGAGTTGTTGTGAGGCCTTCCAAGGCAAAGAAGCCAGATAGCGCAATGGAATACCAATTACGCTGATTTGAACATGGTGCCCTCCCGGACCTTATAACCTTTTGAATTCTAGCGAGTTTCCTGCCTGTATTTGCCCTATCTTCTGGCTCAATTTACGTCTTTTCGCGATCGGCTGGACGCCCTACACAACCCCCTCGACTGTAGGCGCTTCTGCGCTGGGAATCGGTCACACTTAAGATACGAGATTAGGCTATCTGAAAATTAGATGTACATCCAAGGGATATTAAGGCCGGGTTGCTGATAAGGAAGGCATGCTCCTGTATGCGAAACATTACAAGAAAATGGAGACACTCCTTAGGCACAGGATGTACGTCTGGCCAGACTACGGTGATGACTCTTTACACTGCTGGAGGAATCTATTTCCATTGAGCATATTCAGACTGTTGAAACTAAGGGCACGGTGGTTTTATCTGCGTAGATAGTCCCGGAATCCCACGCGGACTCACTTAATGACTTTGCCGTGGCATATCTCAGCCATCTAGCTATAGCCATACCTTCGGTATGTCCCGTAGGCTCATTGTGGAAATGACCTTGATACTACTATGCAGTGGAACAATGGCCAGTGAAAACCCCTAACCCACAGCCTCGTCGACCGGAACGGCGCTAGATTTATCCGAACCTTCCATACGCAGAAACTCCTCCGAGCATACAACTTCACTTTCGATTACTTACCTGCACTCCCACCAAGACAACATCCTCAACCTTCTTTCACACTCCTCCCTATCGTACCCCCACCATGGCTCTCCCGGGTGTTGAGCAGACGATCCACCGAGATCCAGCGCTCTTGTAAGTCTTCTCATCACCCTGCTACCTCCTCCCTTAACTAAACTGTATTGTGTTAGCTACTGGATCCTGCTCCCTATCACCATTGTAATGATCCTCACCGGCGTCCTACGACACTACGCAACCGTCCTGCTCCATACTCCTCCCAAGCCGCCCACCTCGCTCCTCGAGTCCCGCGAACGCCAATCGCTCTTCCGCGCCATCAACCTGCGCAACAATGCTAATGCCGCACTCACAACTCCGGCCTTCACATCCCGCAAGGAATACTTGATTGACTCGTTCAAAAAGGGTTCCTTCCTGCGCGGGGGGCCTGAGTCTCGTGGCCAGGCAGCACCGAACCCAATGTCCGACCCTGCTGCAATGGAAGGCATGATGGGTATGATGAAAGGCAATATGGCTATGATGATTCCACAGACGCTCATCATGTCCTGGATTAACGCATTCTTTGCAGGATTCGTCATCCTCAAGCTGCCATTTCCCTTGACCATCCGGTTCAAGAGCATGCTCCAGTCCGGCGTCATGACGCGAGACCTGGATGTGCGCTGGGTGAGCAGTTTGTCGTGGTACTTCCTGTGTCTGTTCGGGCTGCAGAGTGTCTTCATTTTCATTCTGGGCAACGAAAACGCCGCAAGTCAAATGGCACAGCAGATGGCGCAGATGAATCCGGGGGCTAATGCGAATCCCTTTGGGCCTGGACAGGATCCGGATAAGATGTATCTGGCTGAGGCAGAGAATTTGGAGGTACTGGAGCATTGGAGTATTTTGGATGAGGCGGAGGACAGGCTGTTGAAGATCTATGGGAGCTAGCTGGCATGATGCAGAAGGTATGTCATCTTGAGGACGTTCGAATGCTGGACGTGGGAGTTGCTTCCGAGGAATGAGGGAGGGCTATTAAAACACTCCTACTCCGAACAAGCAAGGCCAAGACAATACCGCAACCCCGTACATCTCGAACTGGTCGGGCTTGGATCTGGTCATTCCGAAGCAGAGAGAACCGCCTCGGACATGGTCGTGGACCACCAGCATTAGCAAGACCGAGACAGCAGCTTCCCCTGCCGAGGCGCGCCATTCTAGAGCTCTGCGACTTCAAGCGACAAGGAGTGAGCTCCGAGTTCTCTCGCGCTCATCGAGAGCCCGGAGCGACCGTGCGTGCCAGCAAACGCAACCTATCTAAACTCGAGGTCCATCAGACAATCGACATCACTGGAAGCGACAATGCAGAGATGCCTTCGATGTGCCTAGGAAATAGCCTACCAGGCTTCTACCAGGATGCATATCAGGGACCAATCCAAGCCCACAGGTACATGCACAATAATATCTTCCAATATCTGTGTCCGTCTATTCTAAGGGGTATCGTATGTGCCAAAAAGGTGCTATGCTATGCTATGCTATGTGCTGTTCTTCCACCGTGCCCCATCTATCCATAAATCGCACGGCACTATCATAGCGTCTTCTCGAGCCTATTTGCCAGCTCATCAACCTCGACATCCTTCTTCTCAGCGACGGGTTCTTCCTCTGCTTCCTCGTCTGACTTGATTAGTCGCTCTCGCGCCTCCTCCTCTTCCTCTTCCTCGAGGTACTCTTCACCACCCTCCTCTTCTTCACTGTCCTCACCTTCAAGCTCGTCAAGCTCGTCCAAACCCCAATGGTCATCCGGATCGTCGTGCTTGCCGTGCTCGTCTTTCCGCTCACTTAGCAACTCAGCAAGGGCCTCTATCGACGGGTCCTCCTCTTCGAATTTGTTCCCGTTCAATTCTACCTTGCGCAGTCTGGGCAATGCCTCTTTCGCAGCCTGCAGCAACGCCTTGACACCGGCAGGGTTGATGTCGTTGTACTGCAGTCTCAAGATCTCAATGCCTTCATTGCCACCCGAGGACAGCGCTTCGAAGACCCGAACCGCGCCTCGACCGCCGAGAAGACTGTCTCCCACGCCCAGCTCTTTCAGGCTGGTCCATCCAGTCACCGTCTTCGCAAGGGCCTGAGCGCCCTTAAGGGTGAAAGTGTTGTCCTGCATATCCAGAACCTGCAGATTGTTGCAGTGTCGGAGACCGGACGAGATGAGGTGTGAAATGCCCTCTGGCCGTATGCCGTTCTGGGTCATCTTAACGCTCTTGATCCCCTCTTTATGCGATTCGTACGCCTTGGCCCACGCCACCATGCTGCCGTTCTCGAGCCTGTTCCGCCCGCAGACTATGCTCTCCAGGTGCGGGACGTCCTTGCCTTCTTTTCGTGCCGCCTCCTTCTTCTCGGCGAGTGCCACCAGCGCTTCGGCTATGGATGTGCCTGCGATGGGGCCCATGCCGTTGTTGTTCAGGATGAGATGTTTCAGGGGCACGTGTTTCGAGAGAAAGTCGACCAGTGGGTCTTTTGTGTTCAGCCCAAAGGCGTTGTCGCTCAGGTCTATTGTGTGCAGGTTCGGGCATTCGAGCAGGGCGTTCAACAGGGATGAGAGAGCCGGAGGAATCTCCTCGAGGAGCCGCGAGGTGAAGATGTCATGCAGATCTGCGCTTTGAAGAGTGGGTTTGGATGAGAGAATCTGTGCAAGGGCTTCGCATGCAGCGACGCCGAGTGTGTTGCCCGAGAGGTCGATGTGGGTGATATTCGAGGATTCGTGGAGGGGTGCAATGTGCTTGTCTAGGTCTTCCTTGGTGTCGAGTTTTAGGCCTTTGCCGGCGAGTGAGAAGGTTTCCCCTGCCATGGTCGTTGGAGAGTGACGGACTGGATGTGATATGCAAGGAAAAAGAGACTTGTTAATGCTGTTCAAACAGACTGGACATGGACTCTTGAGAAGGGCGAATATCAAAACAAATGATCCCTGTCGGATTCTAGAAGTTTGGAGGAACCGAGCCGCGGGCTTGGCATACGTCGTCTATTGCTGGCATCTGTTATTCTGTTCGGTTGCAACACGTTCACGTTCCCACCAGAAGGAGTACCTGCTCTGGATGGAGGCCATAACTGGTACCCACTAAAGCAAGGTCACGTTCTACTGGAAGGGTTACCAAGTTGTCGAGGCAAGATTAGTCGATTTTCAACAGTGAGCGGCGTCGCACGAGGTATGATGTGTGAGGGTATAGAATGTTGATTCATAATTCCTCTTTGTATTCTTCCTGGCTGCCGGCATCTTCGTCCTTCTTGCCAGCCGGTTTGGCTGTCTTGGTGGTTTCACCGTCATCATCATCATCATCATCGTCTTCTGATGCGACCACGCCTCTTAGCTGGATATGGCCATTCACATCGTCGAGCCGTTCGATCTTCCAGTCCTTTGTGCCTGCCAGCTTCTGCAACTCTTTCCGGAACGATTCCACGTCCTCTGGACTCAGATCAAGCTTCTTGAGCTCCGCCGCGGAAAGACTTGATATCTGGCCGTTCTTCTGCATGATGACCGTCTCGGCCTTCTCATCTTGAGTCAGTACGATCCGTCCTCTCTCGAGCCTCTTGCCGTCACGACCGACATGCTTCATAGCGCCGACCTCGATGTTTCCCAATGTGATCTGCTGAGATTTGGCTTGGTCGAGTGTCTGAGCCGAGCTTTGTTCATCACTCCGAGGCTCCCAAGCCGAGACGTCGTCTCCCTGGATGATCTCTTTGCATGTAATCGGATGCGCTCGACTTTCTTTTGGAGGCTGGAACGCAACGTCGTTACACAACCGTGGTGTATAGATGATCATCAAATAGGCACAAGTGGCTGTCTCTTTGATCCAGCCAATCCGATCTGTCAATTGAGGATTGCAATGGAATTGCACCTCAACCTTCCGATTGTTCCCTGTCAGATCACACGGTGTTCCTCCTTCGAGACGCTGAACGAGGTAGTTTGTCTCTGCTTGTGATCTGACTTCGGTAGACAACGTCCCGTCCGAGGGCGACTGCTCAGAAGACTTCTTGTCTTTCTGGTCTGCGAATTTTCCCAGGATGTAGCTTGGCGTGGTAGGATCCTCCTGTGGTGGCCAGACCCTACCATTTGTGCCTGGTGGCAGAGCATGGAACTGGGTCACTTGCGCATTGTAGCAGAAGGCATATGTCCACCAGCCAGTAGAATAGTAGAGGCATTGATTTGACGCCATGCCCTGTAGTAGCTCCGAACCTCTGCTGACTGCGCGATCCAGCTCTTTCTCGCGGTCTGTCGCAGACGGCTCTTCTTTCGTGGCATTCTCGACACCCGGTTTGGCTTCGGGTATGAAACAGAGGTGAGGATAGCCTTCGAGGAGGATTCGCTCGTAAGAACCAGGCAGATCGGAGTCTCCTTCTATCGCCGGATCATAGCTTCTGTGATTGAGCTTGGGGGATAGGTCGCCATGACCGAGAGGCGTGTGTGATTGATCATTCAGATAAGCCAACGCATCGGCTTCTAGGACGTACGAATCTGAGAATTCGACGGTATACTGTATATCATTAGCCTGGAATTGTGGCAGGCTGGCGAGGACACTACCTGGGGAAAGGCGAAGAGGTCATCATTTACGCTGAAGGCGCTCTCGCTGGCAATACACCGCGTGATGAGGGCCCCAACATATAACAGACGAAGATTCCTCATTCCGGTCACCTCATGCTCGTGAGAGATGTTGGGAACAATGTTGACACACTGGAGCGTCGGTCGTTGGAAGAGTTGGAGATGACACAACACGTCTCTACGTCTCCAGAATCTCCGCAGGCGGAATGGCTTGATGGCTCGATGGGTACCTAAGTTAGAGTATGGCTCGAGCAGCGGATACGACTTCTTCTCATGCGAGTAACGCACCTAACTAGCTGACGACCCTACCTCATATCAACATCTCTCACTCATAGTTTCATGTGCCTAATTCTACGAAACAGAGGCTGATGCCGCCTTCAGGTGCTCAAAGTCTGCCTTTGGTTCATTCCCCTCCTCTAACAAGGATCCTCGAGCGTTGTAATCTAGCCACAATCCGTCCCTATCATCGTCCTGCTTTTTCTCACATATACTTCACCAACAATCTCGTAAGGTCGTGATTTTTCCTCGATGTTATAGGCACGTCAAGACCATGGCTATGCCCACAAAGTCCCCCTTGCGTACATCTATCCAATGGCCCATTACCAGTCTTAGTCCTGCTTCGTTGCCAAATGGTCGCATACGCCCACCATTCGACGAATACTATCACGCATTGATGTCGAAGATGATGTTGTTTTCTGCCCATTCGACAAGAGATCGATATCTGTTATGATATAGACATCTCTCGCATCATGAAGGCCTAATCACCCAAGAGGTAACATGATGTTGATGACCTACATGTGCACAAAACTTGGTTTCGAGGGTGAATGGGCTTTCCTTCATGTCAGTCCAGTAAGCCAGACTTGCAGTCTGCCGTGAGTCTGCCTGCTGATGCCGGAGGTAAGTTACTGTATGTCAGTAAGAAAAGACGGATTAATCGGATCATCCAATACCAGGTACCTACGGAGTACAACAGTAGGTAGATATGATGGTCTTTAGCGGTGGTTGATGGCTTGGCATTGCCGTCGTCAAGTTGCAGCTCTGGGCGCAGCTAAAGGTCGATGTTCCTGGCCTCGTTGGAATCAACACGCGGCACTCGGGCGACGACGAGCAGCTGTTCCTCACGAAGTTTGCATGACATACTGATCCTTCCCATCATTTTGTATACATCTTAATTCCCCATCACCCTTGAACAGAGGATCGCCCAACCAGCCAGACGCCAACCAGACGACTACCTCATCGATTATTCGTCACTCGACCCAGTGTTTGGCCCAAGACATCTTACGGCACTGCTCGCTTAGGCGAAACACCCAACTTGCAACTTGCGCTCCTTCATTTCCTCAGCGTCCACTCGCCGTGTTACAGCTGATGGCTTTTGCCTTATAACCTCATCCTCTACTGCCAGCTCGCCTCGACCGCATCCGTCTCCATACCCACTATGGGCTTCGTGGCAGTATGCACTGCAATCTACGATTACCAACCACAGAGCACCGGTGAACTCGAGATCAAGGAAGGCGAACTTCTCTACATCCTTGAAAAGAGCACCGAAGATGATTGGTGGAGGGCGAAAAAGAAGGCTGCAGCAGACGATGAAGATGAGCCCGAAGGCTTGATCCCCAGCAACTACGTTGAGAGCGCGAAGCCAACCCATACTGCAAAAGCCCTCTACGACTATACTCGCCAAACCGACGAGGAGGTTTCGTTGACAGAGGATGCTACGCTCGATGTCTACGATACCTCAGATCCCGACTGGACTCTGGTAGGTATAGGTGATGATTTCGGCTTTGCCCCTACAAATTACATCGAGATCTCGGACGCTGCACGAGCGTCTCCGACGATACCTTCCAGCAGACAGTCCGCCCCTGTCGCGCTCGAACCAGAAGCGCCTACAAGTCCGGTCTCTCCGGCGAGGTCGGTTGACAGTCCTGCAGCCAACCTAGCACGGGTCCTTGGAGGTCAAGCTCCCACTTCACCAACCGCAGCCCGACCAATACCTTCTCCTCCTCGTGTACAATTCACTCCAGAGGCATCTGATGACGAAGAATCAGCACCAGCCCTGCCTCAAAGACCTCCATCGCAGTCGATCCCAGCTCCAATCTCGTACTCAGAGCACGATGACGAAGCCTTGGGCGTCCTCCCCTCTCCACCTTACAATCGAGCTATCGGAAGACCCGACGACGAAGATGCGCCCATTCGATCCCCTGGTGGATATCATCTGTATAATATCAACGAGATGGTCTCTGCGATGGGACGAAGGCGGAAGATGCCCACAACACTAGGCATTAACATTGCCACTGGCACAATCATGGTGTCTCCCGAGAAGTCAAGGGATGGACCTGCGCAAGAGTGGACAGCCGATAAAATGACACATTACTCTATCGAAGGCAAGCATGTTTTCCTCGAGCTGGTCAGGCCAAGTAAGAGCCTAGATCTACATGCAGGCGCCAAGGATACAGCCGAGGAGATTGTCCGGGCTTTGGGAGAGATTGCCGGGGCCCATCGGGCAGAGGACAGCATCCGAGATGTCATAGAGGCGGCGGCTGGTGGTGGAAGCCAGAAAAAAGGACAAGTACTTTATGACTTTATGGCTCAGGGTGAAGATGAAGTCACAGTCGGCGTCGGAGACGAAGTCATCATTTTGGACGATACAAAGTCGGAAGAATGGTGGAACGTAAGACGCCTGAAAAATGGCAAAGAAGGTGTCGTGCCAAGCAGCTACATCGAGGTTACTGGGTTTGTTAATATCGAGCCGCCCTCGCGAAGCGGGCTGAATGCTGGCCTGTCGACAGTAGAGCAGAACCGGCTTGAAGAGGAAAGGCTTGCGAAGGAGGCAGCAAGAGCAGATAGAGCTCGTCAACAAGTCGACCAGACCAGGTCACGCGGTGAGGTTGGACCGGGGATGCAGCTTCCACAGCGCGGTAGCAGCCTTGCAGATGATCAAACGAGCCGAAGAGATCGGAGAGAAAAGGACGATCGAAAGAAACGATCCAAACCAGATGCTGCGAAGGTCAGGACATGGACAGACCACTCCGGCACATTCAAAGTTGAAGCTCAGTTCTTGGGGGTGGCAGAGGGTAAGATACATCTGCACAAGGTCAACGGGGTCAAGATCGCCGTTCCCGTAACGAAGATGTCGCCAGAAGACCTTGCATACGTCGAAAAGGTAACGAACGAATCGATCGAGGAGCACATTCCAGTGGCTGATTTGATCAAGATGAGACGCCGAAGCCAGCAGTCATCCGAGCAATCGAAACATCGAAGTGGTGCTTCTATCGAGCACCGAGCACCAGAACAACCTAAGGTACCCGACTATGACTGGTTTGACTTCTTCCTAAAAGCTGGTGTTGGTCCACATCAGTGCGAACGGTATTCCCAAGCGATGATTCGAGACTCCATGGACGAAACTGTGCTCCCTGACATCACGGCCGACACTTTACGAACACTTGGTCTCAAGGAAGGCGATACGCTCAAGGTCATGAAATACCTGGATCAGAGGTTCGGACGAACTCGATCTGCCAGTGTCAATGGGACCAATGGGGAAACCACTGCAGGAGGAATTTTCTCGGGCCCTGGTGGAGCCTTACACAACAACACTCGAAGAGGCAGACCTGAAGCGAACCGGCAGACAACAGATGTTGTGGATCCAGACGCTTTCACGAACAAAGAAAGCGACAGGCCAAGCGATGCAAAAGCCACGCCTCTTACGGAAGCACCTCCCAGGAAACCTGAAGGGGGGTTTGAAGATGATGCATGGACGGTGAAGCAGCCGACACAGACCGCTGCACCACCAGCTCCAAAACCTCCTACGGGCGCGATCAGAGATCTCTCCTTGCTGGATGCTCCTCTGGTCCCGACTCCAGCTCAGCCTTCTACACCCGCGGTAAGCCAACCGCCACCCGCCCCTGCGCAGCCTCAACCACCGACTGTACAACCGCCTCCGGCAACAACCCCAGCTCAGCAGCCGCAACAAACCGGCGCGAACCCGCAATTCTTCTCACAGCTCAACCAGCAACAGACGGGTATACCAACTCAGCAAACGGGCTTCCAGCCGCAGCAATTCAACCCGCCTCGCCAAAGACCCGCAGCACCACAGCAAAGCTTCACAGGCGCTGGTCTTCTGCCACCGCCTCCACGGCCGACATCTGCACCTCAAAATCCGCAGCAAAACCAATTTGGCCTCCAGCCTCTGCAGCCGCAGCTCACAGGCATACCGGTCACCTCTGCTATGCAAGCCCCTCCTGGCCAGAGCCTGAACGACCTCACGCAGCAAAGGTTGCAACAACAATACCAGCAGTTCCAATTGCAAAGCCAGCCCACCGGACTTGGACAATTCGGTCTTGCTCCACAGCCTACGGGCTTCCAACAACCGCAACCATTTGGACAATTCCAACAGCCCTATATCAACGGCAATGCTACCGGAAGTCCATTCGCGGATCCTCGTCCATCATTCCAACCCCAGCCGACCGGAATGCCATTTCAGCAGAGTCCCCCACCCGGCGGTATCAACTCAATCCTTCCCCCAGCTATGCAACCGCAAAGGACCGGCTTTGCTTCGCCGATGCAACAAACACAGTCAAACGGCTTTGGCCAAGGCCAAGGTATTCAACCGCAGCAAACAGGATTTCCTCAAGCGCAGCCGTTGCAAGCTCAATCTACGGGCTTCCAGCAGCCGCTCCAGTCACAAGCCACTGGTTTTGGTCAACTGCCGCAACCAAATGGATTTCAAAGCTTCTCGCCGCCACCTGTGCCTCCGATCCCTCAACAGCATAGTATCGCACCATTGCAACCACAGCGGACTGGGCCAGCTCCAAATATCAAATTTGGTGTATCACCAGCTAAGAAGCTGACTCCTCAGCCGACTGGACGGCGGGCGAACCTTGCCAATGCTAGTAAGTTTATTCAACCAAAATCTTGTTCGTAATGACAGTACTGACATGATTGCAGCCGCTGATAATCCCTTTGGATTCTGATTGCTGGCTCTCCTAAGTTAGTAGTAGCAGTCACAGCCCGTTGTTGCCGGCCCGCAAGGCCGTTGTTCTCAACCTTTTGGTCTCTCTTTGCCCTCCTTCGGGACCGACAATGGTCACTACGATACATAGGGCAGCTCTGCAGGAGCCAGTGACAGATGGCAACCCATCCAACCGCAGCATCACAGGAGTTCCATATCACCAATTGATTGGTAGCTGCTAGGTAGAAGTTTGGCGGCAGCGAAGTATGGGAGATTAGCATGGAGTTCAAGGCTCAGAAGCGATTTACCTGTCCCTGGGTTGCAGGCCAGGGCTAAGCTCTATCGTGTGCGTTGCAAGCGGCATTGAAGCATTTGTGTTTATGGAGCGGTTGCGAAGACTTTTTGGAGGCTCCTGTCGACAATTTGAAGTTAGGGAGTTGATCCTGGTATGGACAGATGCAAGCACGAGTTTGTGAATATATGGCACCCTGATTTAATGACAAGTCACTCTTGAACCAACTACTTACAGACCGAGATAAAAAGGGCCATCCTGTGTATTGCGTAGTCTTGGTGAAGGTGTTCATCATGGGGTCGAACGACCAGGCTTTGGAGAAGGATATTGATCAGTGAAATCCAAGTCCCAGCCATGGAGGTATGAGAGGTTCACGGAAAGTCCTAGCAGCAAGACAGATCGTAAATCGCTTCGTATCGCGGCCCAGTTTGGCTTCGAATGGTTCTGCGTTTATGGTAAGTCCAGCCATGGTGACTGGTGATACTGCAAACCCCACATCCTCTGCTCAGCCTCACGAGCCTTCACCTTCAGCTAATCTGCTTCGGGTCAACTATTCGTATTCATGAAGCCATGGTGCCGCGCTGTCTAGTTGACGCTCGGTCATCGCCATGGGGCTCGTGCTGCGAACTGGCGCATGTGGTTCTTCCGCGTTCCTCGCAGCTCAACCCGTTACCGACCTCAGCTCTCGCGTATTAATTGCTGTATGCAGGCTGCCTCCACAAGGGAACATGGCGGAGTCTGGCCAACGCCCGTGCTCTACGGCTTTAAGCACAAGCGAGTCCCTGCTTAGAGGGATATCGAGACAGGAAGAGCATTATCGAAGCCAATCATGCCATTGAAGCATATTGTGCCTGATGTGCCTGTTTTCTGTGTTGGCTGTCGCTTCTTGGGCCTATCATGGACACAATCACCACGCTGAAGCTGATCCAGGGCTCCTTCTGGCAGGCTCATCGCTCGCAACGTCCTTGTGGTCTCGTGTGGCTGTGGAGCCTCGGTCCCGTCTTGCGACTTAATAATACGAGGTTGCTATCCATTGGACTTCGCGTCCCATGCTCGTTTGGGTTCATGCCGCGATACGACATGCGTCACTGCAGAGGTACTTCCTGGTCTCTGTCTGAGATTGTCTGCTTCGGACGGCTACGACACAATGTCTCCCGGGCCCGAGGGTGTCCAGCGCAACAAGTTATATCTAACTCCACATATCCGGCTTCAGGCATTGACTTTCCTGACGATTCCCCTCGATACACGACTACTACTAACATCAGACTGCCTGCCTTGTCACGGTACATTCCAGTCCTCGAGACCCTTTGACCTGCTCCTTCAGTTTGTACTTCCATTGATCCTTTGACATGACCGAAACAATTCCCGGTCCACGCAAACTTCCTGTCCTCGGCAACTTACTCGACCTGTGGGATGGTGAGAGCAGTATTATCGGATCACTTGAGCGGGTTGCCGATGCATATGGACCAATATATCAGGCCAAACTTGGCGGCTCACGACGCATCATAATCAGTTCTGCGGCTCTGATGGAGGAGATGACCAATGAAAAGCGCTTCGTCAAAGTACCGCCAAAGATAAGCAAAGGCGAAGCTGCTAGAGGGCTGTTCACTGCTTCCAACGAAGACCCGGACTGGGGTCAGGGGCATCGCATACTCATGCCAGTATTTGCGCCGTTGTCTACCCAAGACATGTTTCCCGACATGAAGGACATCGCCAATCAGCTCATCCTTTCATGGGCGAGAAAGGGGCCGACGAACCGCATCTTGGTCACGGAAGATTTCACCAGGCTGACACTCGATACGATTGCGCTATGTACGATGGGCTACCGGTTCAATTCATTCTATACGGACGGTATGAACCCTTTCGTGGAAGCAATGATGGTCGTCTTCAAAACGAACAATGCGAGAGCAACGAGACCAGCTTTCGTCAATAAGCTCATGTTCCAGCAAGAGGCCGAACGCGGAAAAGCATTCGCATTCATGAAGAAAGTGGGACAGGACATTGTCGAGAATCGCCGTGCAAATCCCACCGACAAAAAGGACGTCTTGAACACTATGATATATGGCAAAGATCCGAAGACCGGTGAAGTCATGCGAGATGAGCTCATTATCGCCCAGATGACCACTTTTCTCATTGCTGGTAAGTCTGGAACCATACCCTGCAAGAGCGCCCGCTGAATATCCAAAGGCCACGAGACTACTTCTGGGCTCCTGTCATTCGCAGTCGCACAGCTTCTGAAGAACCCCCATACCTATCTAAAGGCGCAGAAGGAAATCGACGACGTTGTGGGCAACAGGTCAATCGAAGTGGACGACATCAAGAACCTTAAGTATCTCAATGCCGTCCTCCGAGAGACTGCTCGCCTCACACCTACGGTACCAATCCTACAAAAGCACGTCAACCCGGACATTGCACATAGCGTCGTGACTGTGGACGGTGGGAGGTACGAAATCAAGCCAGATGATCATATCATGGTTCTCCTCGGAAAGGCTCAGAGAGATCCTAAGGTCTGGGGCGAGACTGCCGAAGATTTCGAACCAGAGCGCATGCTGGATGAGAACTTTGACAAGATCATGGCTCAGTACCCAGGGTGCTGGAAGGCAAGTCAAGTGTTCTAGTATGTCGTGATGATGACGGTACTGACCGACGTAGCCTTTCGGAAATGGCAGAAGAGCATGTATTGGACGGCCGTTCGCCTGGCAGGAGTCGATGCTCGTCCTCGCAATGGTCCTCCAGAACTTTGATGTGCAGCTGGACGACCCCAACTATACCATGAAGATCAAGCAAAATTTGACCATCAAGCCGGACGACCTCTACATTCGAGTAAGTCCGCGGAAGAACATGGAGGCCGCCGACATCGACAAGATGATCCACAGCAAGGTTGCGGGTGTCGGCCTAGGTAGCTTGCCAAACCGTACGAAAGCAAGCGAGCATGCTTCGACGTCTTCTGCGCCATCGACGGCGAAACCAATGACGATTCTGTACGGCTCGAACACCGGCACCTGTCAGGCATTTGCTCAACGACTCGCCTCGAACGCTGCATCTCATGGGTTCCAGGCCAAAGTCGCAGACATGGACAGCGCAACGGACTGTTTACCCAAGGGATCTCCAGTGATCATCATCACATCCTCCTACGAAGGACAACCACCCGACAATGCAGCTAGGTTCACCGAGTGGCTCCAAGGACGCGAAAGCGGTTCCCTGACAGGCGTCGAGTACACCGTCTTTGGCTGCGGTCACAGTAAGTTCTCATTCGTCTCTCACAATTGCCCTCCGCTCCCCCATCTGACAAGAATTAGGGGACTGGTCCCAGACTTTCCACCGCATCCCCAAACTCACAGACGAACTGCTCAGCAAAGCCGGCGCCAACAGTCTCGCACCAGCCGGATTCGCCGACGCAGCCAAAGGCAACCTCCAAGGCGACTTCGAGGACTGGCTCGACACGTCGCTCTGGCCGAACCTCTCGTCCGACCAGCCGAACAACAACGACAACAACATCCATGAGAACCCCATACAGGTCGAGATTTCCACAAACGCACGCGCATCAAGCCTACGCTACGACGTCAGCCTTGCCAAGGTCAAAGAGAACAGGCTCCTCACCAGTATCGGCGAGCCCGCAAAGTGGCACATGGAGATCGAATTGCCGTCGAACATGACATACGAGTGCGGCGATTATCTCGCCGTGTTGCCGCTCAACTCGGAAAAGAACGTCAAACGAATCATGGCACACTTCGGCTTGCCCTGGGACGCCGTGATTACGGTGAAGGCGACGGGACCGAGTATCATCCCGGCCGACGTGCCGCTGTCCGCGTTCGACGTGTTGAGGAGTTACGTCGAGTTGAGCCAGCCTGCGACGAAGAAGGTACGTAACACACACACACACAGAGATCTCTCTCTTTCTCCCGCTCAACCCCCCTCTCTATTGCCCCCTATTGGCAATTGCCCGTCCGGAAAATTCTTTGCTGACAGAGTTGGGGCGGGTTGTTTAGAATCTACGCATGCTCGGATCGTACACGGAATCCCCCAGCGATAAGACGTACCTCGAAACCCTGGGGAACGACGTCGACAACCGCTTCGAAACCGAGATTCTCCATAAGAGGACGAGCATCCTGGACATGTTGCTGCACCGTCCTTCGATCAAGCTCCCCTTTGGCGAGTTCCTCGCGCTCCTGCCTCCTCTGCATGTCAGGCAGTATTCGATCTCTTCGTCGCCGCTCGCTGCCGATGCGGGTGCGGGTGCGGGTGCGAGGACCTGTTCCATCACGTACGGCGTGATCGACACGACGAGTCTGTCTGATCCGGAGACGCACTTCGAGGGCGTGGCGGGCACGTACCTGTCGAGTCTGGTCAAGGGGGATACTGTGCAAGTCTCGATCCGGCCGACGGCAAAGAAGACGTTCCGCCTACCTCTCGATCCCGAGACCCCGCTGCTCATGTTTGCCGCGGGCACGGGTGTGGCGCCGTTCAGGGGCTTTATGCAGCAACGCGCCGTGATGAGGGCCGCGAATCCAGGCAGACGTATGGGACGGGCGCTGTTGTACTTGGGCTGTCGTGGGGAGGGCGACAGGGTGTATAAAGAGGAGGTGGATGAGTGGGTCAAGAGCGGTGTGGTCGAGGTGAGGTATGCGTTTAGCCGTGACAAGGAGAGGACCCAGGGGTGTGGCTATGTGAGTGAGCGGATGGTCAGGGATCTGGAGGCGCGGGATATTGTGGATTTGTGGAGGTCTGGGGCAAGGGTTTATGTTTGTGGGAGTGCTGGGTTTAGGGACTCGGTCAGGGAGGCGGCGAAGAAGATCGCTTTAGTGGTGAGTGAGAGGGAAGACCGTGAGAAAGGGGTGTGCAGGACGGAGGAGGAGAGGGCGGAGATGGGACGGACATGGAAACAGGAGTTGAGTGAGAGGGTTGCTAGTGATGTTTTCGATTGAGCAATCGCCGATAAGTGACTGGATGGGTTTACAGGTATTGGGTCTAGTTCTTGGGTCTCATTGGGAATCGAGATTTGCTTCTATCAGTTGAGTGCTAGTACTTGGGGAGTTTCGAATGTCCGGCCAAGGGAAGGCAAGGCGATTTTGTCGAGACATGAAGTGCTTTTGTCCCATGGAAGCGTACACCTCCCCTTCTCAAGCAATGCTACGTTTACTCGGACCTCACATGCGACTCACTGAGACAGCGCCACTTCTACTTACTTCTCTCCCACCCAACTCAACTTCAACTGGACTGCCCGCCCCTTTTCTTCGTCCTTCCACACTCTTACTTGATGAGTTCGCGTAAATGCTATAACACCATGGTCAGTGACAGCGAGCAACCATCTAGTCTGGATCTACAAACCATCAGCTGGCGTTTTCCCGCGTCGCCCGCCTGCAACTTCACTTTGTCGACGACGAGGTCTGCGAGGTTTCTCTTTCGTCTCTGCACATCCAAGATCCTCTCTTCCCAGGTGTTTGTCATGATGAGACGCACGATCCGCACGGGCCGTGTCTGTCCCATGCGATGGACGCGTGACATTGCCTGCTCTTCGAGCATTGGGTTCCACTGCGGTTCGACCAGGAACGCATGATTTGCGGAAGTGAGATCGAGCCTGGAAGCGTCTGGTGAGTGGTTTCTCCAATGAACGGGTCAATCGGGTCATACCCTTGGCCTCCGCAGGTGATTGATACTAGAAGCACTTGCACCGCGGGATCGTTCGCGAAATTGGACAGCACTAGATCACGCTTTGCTTTCTGCATCCGTCCATCGTATCGAGTAAATACAATTGTTGCCTGTTCCAATGCCTGTTCGATAACGTCAAGCGTCGTGGTCCAGTAAGAGAACACGGCACTGGCAGGGTCAGCAGAAAGAAAGTCACGGTCTGGAAAAATGGTCGTACCATTTCTCGCCACGAGGCACACGTAGTAGCTGGGATACCAGCGCTGTCACCTTGCTCGAGAAGCGACGGCTGGAGTTGGAGGTCAATGCAATGACCTCCTCTTCCAGGTCTAGTAATGACAACGGCGATGGACCGCCTGTTTCGACGTTGCACATCGAACAATTGGGGCAAAACTGCTGCGAATTCTCGACGGCGCTTCCTCGTAAGACGTCAAGAGCTTGCACCGCACACTCGATGTCCGCTTGAATATCTGCACCGCAGGAGACACAGATGCCTGCCCCAGCTTCCAGCAAATCGTCGAGCTCACGCTGGAAGGACGCGTCGTTCAACTCCGACGCAGTAGCGCTCGGAGATCCTTTGCGGACCGGAGCTTTGCCATGATTGCAGATGTAGCGCAGGTCGTTGATCTTCTGAAACGCACTGATGTAGACCGATCCACCACCGCCGTCGTCTGCCAAGAGTGCGGAGTCGATGACTTCGATGATGCCCAGCCTCGCTTTATTGTACGTCTGCATCTCTTCCGTCGTGAACGAGACCGGCTCGATGATTTCTTGCCGGTCTGGCAATGATATGACGGCCCTTGGACGCCGCAGTGCCAACATGTTCATCATGAGCTGAATTTTGCCCAGGGCTGTCTCGTCCATTCTGCTCTTCCACGGGCGCGAAATCTCGGTCTCAAACGTCGTGATGTTGTCATAGGGAAATACTTTTAAGAAGCGCAGAAGACTGGCAAGATCCCCCAGTCGGTTTTGTATTGGTGTGCCGGTTACACACCATCGATGTGTGGCATGTAAGGCGAAAACTGCACGGGCAATCGTAGTGCGTCTGGATCGGATCATATGAGCTAGAAATGTGTCAGTTGTGCAGAAAACCAGCGTGGCGAATCGTGGCAAAGAGTATCGAGAGTGTCGGCGTGTCGCTCTCACGGACACTAGGCATGATCATGCGGTTCTACCTTGTTCGGAAAGGCTCACCTTCGTCTAGAATGATACGATGCCAACGGTTTGAAAACAAGGGGCTGTGGCCCTTTTGGCTCCGTACAGACTCGCTGGACTTCCACTCCACTGCGACGGTATTGTAGGTGGTCATCACAATGTCATATTCGTTGAACACGCGCGCAAGTTGGTGTCTTCCAGGACCGAAGTAGCTGCACGCCCTGACCGTCGAGGGTTGAAAATGATGGTGAATCTGGTGCTCCCACACTTGAAGGACTGAGTACGGCACCACGATCAATGTGCCCTTCACCTCTTGCGGGAAGGTTGACGGAGGATCCCCAGCTCCTGTGAGAGGCGATCGGGCAGGATTCGAGGCGATGAGAGACAGCATGGTGCAAGTTTTACCCAGGCCCATTTCATCGGCTGCGCCACAGATTAATCAGTCAATACCATGCGAGATCAGGCAGCGGACTTGCCTAATATGCCACCCTTGAACGGAGGAGGTGGCTCTGATTGAGACTCCCCCGAGAGCACATTCTGATATCGGGTAATCCCATGCAAGTCAATGTACGATCTCCATAAATCTCGCCTCGACGCCGAAAAGGCCCAACCCTTCTCTCTGTCCAACATGAAAGTCAAAGCTTGCTTTTGGTGACTGTGCAGAGGTGTACAGATAATATGAGGCTGCGGAGATTCGTCAAACGTCTCCTCGCTGTTATACTTCGCGTAGATGGCGGCCGACGGTTCTGCCTCGGCGGTCAGCGGCTTCTGGTTTATGTCGAAGGTCATCTTCCTGGTCTCATCGCCAAGAGACAACCGCTGAGGGTTGTAATATCGAACATTGCGGTTACAGTGTTCCGGTAACTGAAGATACAAGTTGCAACTGCTGAGCCAGTCACCTACAGTATCAGCGATATCAGCTGAGCCATAGAGGATAGCACAGACTCTACAGGACGGTTGAGATTTTCGGTTACGGAAGCCTTTCGTTCGAAAAGTCGCAGGCTCTTCCCCGGCATGACGACAATGTTGGTAGAGAAACTGGATTTCAACGCCCGCGTTGTGGGAAAGTGTCGTCAAGGCCCGAGCAATACGCTGTGGGAGATGTAAGGCATGTTGTTCGCTTGAGTTCACCTGGATTGTCGTGGCACCGTTCCAAGACAGGACGCAGTCAATTGTGAGATGGTCTACCGAGCTGACACACTCAGCGTCAATATCCATCAGCTGTTTCCACGATCAGCGGGCACGGCTGGAATACTACGGGTCGTCTGGCTCACCATGCCAAAGCAAACCTCTTCCGAGGGTCCATCCTGATCTTGGCGGAAGCCGTCAACTTCTTGCCTCTCGGCCCGATCCGCGGGCGAGGATAGAGATGTCTTGGTTGCACACGAAGAGGTTCGAGGAGAAGAGTTCGACCAATCGATACGATCCTCGAGCGATGGCGAGGGTGCGTCCAGGAAAATCACGTCCTGCGCGGACTGAGAAACATCCTTCAGTCCGCAGTGGAGATCGGCTCCTTCTTGGTGGATAAAGAGCTCGTCGATCTCTGGTAGATTCGACGTAGGGCGGGTGGAACGGGCAGCTGTATGTGCGTCCCTCTCCAAGCATGGCGGCTTTGTTGTCCCCAGCTCTGGTGTGTTCTTCAACACCCAGTGGTGTATGTCTTGGTCTCCAAGCTGTACGGTTTTGCCAAGCTTGGGTCTCTTCGCATCTGGAAATTGCGAGGCAGGCAAGGTTCTCTTCTTCGAGGTCTCGGACCAGATCGCGTCTGGGAGGCTGGACACTGGCGAGAATGAGCATGCACCTTGATGGCCGATTTGTGTGGCACGCACTTGCTCACCTGACAAGCATGACAGGTGCTGTCTGTTATGGCCGTCCGTCAACGCGGAGGAAGCCGGCGTGACCTCAGCATCGTTCGCAAGGCACGTCGTGATATGTTCGTTTGGTCGATGAGACTCGAGGCATAAGGGCAACGGCGTAAATGCGATGGTGGGCGGCAAGGTAGGCGCAGTCAGTCGAGCGCAGTCGACGCGACAAGGCAACCTCAATGGCCGCATTTCTGCTTCTTGCCAGGATCCCTCCCACCCTCCCGCTTGGCACTCGACAACTCGAAATGCAGCCGCACCCGCCATCTCAAAGTTGTCGAATGTTTGTCTTCGCATGCATGTCGGCATCAAGAACTGATCCGGTCGACGCTACTCGCCCTCCAGCTTGATCCTGGCTTGTCCCGGAGAACGAAGACCCGATATTGAAGATCCGCGCTACAAGGTGATCCATGGACTCTGTCTCAAGAACACTAGCATGAGCCAGTCAGCTCAGGTACGGTTTCGGCAGCTGGACGGTACCGAAGGGATGACCACGCTGACCAACATAGGGTGCAGCCCTGGGCGACACCCTGCGGCGCAAGAACGATACCCTCAAGAGACTAAGACGAGAGTTAAAAGACAAGCGCCTTGTCATTGTAGTAGGCGCAGGTGTATCGCTGAGCGCTACAGCCGATGAAAATGGAAACTCGCTGTCGCGTCTGACATGGACGGGTCTCGTGGGCAATGGGCTGAACTACCTGGTCGATGAAGGCTATGTGGAAGTCATGAATCGTCGGGTCCAATATGCATACGAGGCGCTGAAAGAGCCTGCCTTATCGAGGCTACTAGATGCGGCGGGTATCTTGTCCAGTCTCATGACGGAGCATCGCCAGTATTCAACCTGGTTGGACTCCGTCTTCGGCAGCCTCTCCGATGCAGTCAGACATCCCGCCATCCTCGAGACATTACGGGACTTGCACGAGGCGGGTGCGACGATCTTGACCACCAACTACGACGATCTGCTAGAGAAGGCTCTTCGCCTGCCGCGGATTTCCAGATCGAGCCAGGAGGATTTGCTGAAGTTCAAACGAGGAGACTTGGATGGCGTCCTCCACGTGCAGGGGAGCTACCATGATCCACAGGACATTGTTTTGGACACCACCGATTACTACAAGGTCGCCCACGCAGACGAAGTGCAGAACATTCTCCGCACATTCCTGGAATATCGCACAATTGTGTTCGTCGGATGTGGCTCAGGTCTGGAAGATCCCAATTTTGGATCTCTGCTGAAGTGGGCAGGCGAGCGACAATTCAATATCCCGAACCGGCATTGTCTGTTGGTACGCGATGATGACCGCCTCAACCACAATATGCTATTGCGCCTAAAGTGCGGACCGCGGTATGATGACCTCGCGCCTTTACTCCGTCGATTGCTTGACGAACCAACGCCCTCAGCCCGCGAAGTGAGCACGAATGACGCTCCCAGCACCTCCACGGCGCCTCAGATCAAGACCGCCGCGAGCTCCGCAGGTATACCACCGAGCCACGGAGCCTATCATGTCGCAATAATCTGCCCTTTGGAGGTGGAAATGAGTGCTGTCAGATACATGCTCGATGAAGAACACCCCAGCTTACCTAGCTTGGATGGTGATTGCAATGAATATATTCTCGGGAAGATGGGCCGCCACAATGTCGCAATCGGGTACTTACCAGCAGGCTCGCAGGGCATCGGTGCTGCAGCCACCGTCGCCACCGATATGAGAAGAACATTCCCTTCTGCAATACGCCTGCTTGTGGGAATCGGCGGGGGTATTCCCGGTCAGAAAAACGATATTCGGCTTGGTGATGTGGTCGTGGGCATGCCAGATGGAAACCACGGCGGTGTTTTTGAATACGATCTTGGTAAAGAGACGGTCGACGGCTTTATCCGTAAGGGATATCTGTGCCCGCCGCCTACCAAATGGAGAACTACTGTCGTCAAGATGAAATCAGATCACCGAATCCAGCCAAACAAGATCTCTGAATTCGTGAACAACATGCTGAGGACGCATCCAACTCTTCAGGAATACTCTCGGCCTTCGCCAGAGAAAGATGTTCTCTTCACTGCAGATAGCCTCCACGTCCGTGACGAACCGACGTGTGACAAATGTGATACGGCCAAGATCCTCTCTCCGCGAAGCGTATTAGGTCCAGAAATATTCTACGGTACGATCGCGTCGGGAAATAGTGTGATCAAAAGTGCAGAAACCAGGGACAGAATCAGCCGTGACGCCGGGGGGGCACTGTGCTTTGAGATGGAAGCAGCTGGTCTGAGCAGTGGCTCTCCTTGCATTGTCATCCGAGGCATTTGTGACTACGCCGACTCCCACAAGAACGACGAATGGCACCCTTATGCCGCAGCAGTGGCAGCTGCATGTGCTAAAGAGCTTTTGACCTACTTTGACCCTTTCGCGGGTATGTAGACGGCATGCGCCCACTTCTCCCTGCGTCTGCATAAACAAGATATGCTTCCCTTCAATCTAGCCCAGTCAAACATACAGACCTTCTCTCCAATTGTCACGAAACAGGAGCGGCACACTGACCTTCATACAGGGAAGCAGGGAATCCCGATTTCCGGACCATGTGCGGAACCACAGACAAGTACCGTGGTAGCCGAATGCGGACTGTCCCATACTTCGAAACAGCCCACGACTGACGGCACACAGGCCCAAGCTGCACCTGAGGTGCTTCTAACCATTGCGCAGGCATTTGGGAAGCTCGATGGCGCTTTGCATCCGGACGATTATTATCTCTTTCGGTCAACAACACTCGAGGACGTCCAATACGCTGCAAAGATCATCGAATATGACCAGGAACAGCGCCGTTGTCTCCGAAATCTCCGCCGCATTGAGCCGCTATTCGAGGCTCTTCGTACACTCGCAGCCGCTCTCGATAGGCTTCGTCGAGGCACTCCTTACGTCTGCTACCTCTGGGCGCCGATCAAGCTGTTCCTGCAGATTGCCAACGAATACATCGACTGCTTCACCAAATTAATTGAAGCCTATGCCCAGATTGCGAAGCTTCTACCGCGCATTGATGCACTCAGGCTTGCCATGACCGATGAAGAAGACTTTCAGCACATCTTGGCGGACATCTACTCCGACATCCTTGAATTCCACTTGTATACGTACAAATTTTTGCGGCGACCGGGTTGGAAACACATGTTCGATGCTTCCTGGAGAAGCTTCGACAGACGTTTCCACGCCATCCTGCAGAACCTAGCAAGGACCCGGGGCCGAACTTGCGCAGGAAGAGGCGGTCTTGACGTTCTCAACGCGAATGACTGCAGGCGGAAGCTTCTCGAAGACCTTGAGAAACACGAAGCTGATCGTAGACAATGGCAATTTCGCGATACCATGGTATGGCTGGACTTGAATGGCCAAGATGGAGAGCAGGTAGACTTGTTCGAGCGCCGTTCCAGCGCCAGAGAGAGCGACACCTGTAATTGGATTCTTCAACATCCAAAGATCAGCCTTTGGCTTGATCCAGAGGACCGTCGTCTATTCTTTTGGCTGCATGGGAAGCCTGGATCCGGCAAGACGACGCTAGCTACGTACCTCGTGGAGGAACTTTCCCTCCCACCCGGGGCTCACATCCTGTACTGCCTTTGTTCTTACGGCTTCGGAAGGTCTGAACGAAACGCTTGCAGTCTTACGTTCAGGGCCCTGATTGCGCAGCTGCTGAAGAAAGAACCCGACTTTCTTCCGTACATTTACGAGAATTATGTCAAAACCGGGGCTGTCGCCTCCCTTCCGAAAGTGAAAGAGCTCCTAAAAAATCTAATTGTGTCATCCGGGAAGATATTTCTCATCCTGGACGGACTTGACGAATTCGAAGGTTCTGACCAAAGGCAGGTCCTGACCGAGATGTCGAACCTGGTGACCCACGATACAGGCCGAGATTCGGACCAAACAAATTTGAAGGTCCTTGTCTGTTCGAGGGAAACACGAGACATTGCAAGAAGATTGAGCAAGGCCCCTCAGATCTCTCTCAGCAACGAGGAGGAGGAGCAGTTCGTACGACGCGACATCTCCACTTTCACGAAGAATAGGCTCTCAGAGCTTCGGGATCGATTTGAGGACAACGAGGCTAACAATATCGGGAACGACATAGTCCAGAAGGCTAACGGTGAGTGATATAAATCCTCGAAAACCACCTCTGCTCATTCGTGGCAAGGCATGTTCTTATGGGTACGTCTGGTTTTGTCGACTGTCCTAGAGCAAGAGAGTGTACAGGACCTGCGGTCAGCCGTCAGGCACCTACCGTCAGGCCTCCCTGGATTGTAAGAACCTCCACGCTCACACGTCGCAGCACCCTCTGACGAGACGCCCAACAGATACAGGTCAATACTGGACCGACTTCACTTGCAGTCTGACGATCAGCAACGGATTCGAGCACGGTTCATTCTTAGCTGGCTTTCCTTTGCCTGCCGTCCGCTGAAGACATGGGAAGTTTGCTGCGCCATTGTCTTTCACAACGGGGCGGCAAAGCTTAACGACGAATCAAGACTCGGCAAAGGTATCTTGGACATTTGCAAACCTTTAATCGAGGAGCGCGAAGGAGAGACCATTGCGTTAGTTCACTTTTCGGCCAGAGAGTAAGGTATACAGTCATACTTCACCTCTTCATCTTTCTGACGCATGCGCAGGTTCCTGCTACATCGAGCAAGCGGCCCATATCTCTCACCATTCGTGGCACATGCCAACATCACAACCGCATGTACCAGATATTTACTCACCTGCGCGGAGTTTTTAAAGACCCCACTGTCCCCAGCTGTTCACGGTCATGTAGTCAAGGGATTCCACGACATATACGCATATGTTCAAGAATTTTGGCCGGAACACCTTCGAAAATTCACCGAGTCCCTTGTAGAGGTCGAGGATCGTGGAATCTCTGTCGAAGTCTTCAGCCAGTTACGCATCCTCGCAGCGACATATGGACGCATACCCGCGTCCGAGACAAGCTCCGACCGTGAACAAGACCGCCAGTCACCCGCCATGCCTCCCGCGCCGGCTTTTAGTACGCCGGATCTACCAAGTCTTCCGCCACTGTTACGACAATACCTTGATTTCAGAAAAATCACGGCGGTGAAAAAGTTAGCCGGACTCACCGCAAGCGCGAACACAGATGTTGAATCCGATCCAACCACCCTAACCGAGACATATTCTCGTTTTCGGACTGTATTCGAATCTCTACTCAACAGTCCACCTGAATCCCGATATGCAGAAATGGAGATCACCGTGACCGACGTGGAGACATTTCTTCAACGCTACAGGTCCACCGCGTACTGCTGCAGATGGAGTGGCTGCATGTGGGCGTCAATTGGTTTCCGAACCCAAGAGCAGCGCGCCGTTCACGAGGCACTTCACAAGCAACGATTTCGTTGCACCGACTCGGACTGTGACTTTGCGGTCAGCGGCTTCAACACTCGTGCTTCACTCCGGAAACATATCCTAAAATACCACACAGAAGCGGAGGAGCTGACGTTGAAAGAGTTCCCTGAACTCAGGAACAAGAGTGTCACACTCAACACAGATGCAACCAATTCATCGCCCGCGCCATCGTCCCCGCTAAGATCCCCCACTGTACCGCCATTCGATGGCTCCTTCGACAAGGATGGGTCATTGCCAGATTGGGCATTATTCAACGTGGACAGAATTGACCCATCGATGGGTAGCGGGGAGCTGCCTGAGGTAATGCCGGTTGTTCTCGCCAACTCAACCCCAAACGACGAGGCTGGGAAGGCGCTCAACGACGCAGTGAAGGCAGTATGGTCACCTTGGAATAAACATGTGCCCCCAAAGAAAGTCACACAGGGGATTGCCGCTTTTGGTCTGGCGATAAAATCTCTTCATGACTTGTGGAAGCCCAAGAACGACATCTTACTGGGTGGTCGGCAGGGGCCCCTCGCCTTGATTCAATTAGAGATCGACGTACCTTGGTACCGACGGTTAATGGAAAATGCGGTGTTGAACACGCTGACGTATGGGCATGCTGCGATCCTTGAAAGGTAACGCCTAACCTTGCATGTGCCGACTTCCTTTTCAGTCCCATGTACTCGATGCCAGGATGCTGACGCGACTTCCACCAGGTTAGGCGAAGACAGGTCTACGCTAGCGACATTGTACTCGTTCCTGCTGGACAGATCTACCGATGGAGACTTCGACGGCCACCTGGCGAAGTGTATTCTCAAAGTATGATATGGATCCCACACCCTTTGGATGGCATGTGCTGATATTGAGTAGCTTGCGTCCCGATTCAAGACTCTTGACGAAGAATCACTCAAGGCAGCAAAATGGCGCGAAATCCTGGAAGAGTTTTCCAACTCAGCGACTAACGAGTCAAAGACCCTCTCGTCCGCAATCCTTGCAAAAGCAGCAGCTGTTACAGCTAAGAATAAGATCACAGAGCACAGCGATCATACTTTTCACGCCAACACGGACACCTTTGCTCAAATGGATGATGTTCCAGTTTGCGGCCCATCTCTCGTTGATAGGCGTATGGCCCTCGTCGAACGCAGTCGAGATCCCAATTTTCGAAATCGGCCGACGTACACCGAATTTCGAGAGTTCTTCGAAGCCTCCAAAGGTCCGAATAGTGAGCCTTATCATTCCGGACATTTGTACCGAACGGTTCGAGAAACCGAGGAGTGGATGGGGATAGGTAAAAAGTTGTTCGGAAAAACTAATGGGCCTCTTCATGTCCTCGAGCAGTATCTGAAGTTCGTCGAGGAGCAAAACGACTCTTGCTTCAACCTCGGCGACACTTTTTCACCACCTTTGGATCCCCCATCTCGAGAACGAAGCCCTGCTGAAACACAGCAAAGAGGAACCGCAGACAATGGCCGAGCCCCGGTCTTCTGCATCTGTCGTCGACACGAAAGCGGCCTCATGATTGAATGTGAAATATGTCACGAATGGCGAGTTTTAATATTCATTGTCATCGTCTCCGGATCATTACTAATACTATCATTCTTAGGTATCACGCAAAATGTCTAGGCTTGAAACGGAACAAGGTCAAAGAGACTGAGACGTTTACTTGTCCGATTTGTGACTGGCGTGTCAGGATTTGGCGCCTTACAGCCAGACCAAACCTCGAGGTCCTGCAAGACTGGCAAGCCAAGATACCAGGTCTTCATTCCGACCTGCAGAAGAAGAAATACTAGGGCGTATCATCGATACTGCTCAAAATTTCCGCAACTTTCTTGCTCCGTTTCTCGAGGGCGACCAATCATCTCGAGCTATCGAAAAGGTGCCGGAAATGCTATTCTATCTTCGTAAGTTAGAAGGGGCTGAAGTATTGTTAGCCTTTGAGACAAACTATCTTCGACAAGAGCTACATAAGTGGCAGCCGGTGGCGCCAGAACCACCGCCGATACTTGACAAGATCCTGTCTCCTTCCCAACTACGGCCTAGAGGACCAATGGATCTAATGGGTCCTGAGTCTAAGTCCGAGTCTGATTTCATCATTGAGTCTGATTTCATCCTTAAGGCTCTAATACTAGGCTACAAGGGGGAGCACAGGCTTTGAGGATCTGGATATGGAGCTTGCGAACTGGAGAAGGCAACCATGTCAGAACAGAGACGATGGCTATCTCGAAGCCGTCGTCACGCTCGAAGCCGAAAGCTGCATGACGGAAACTGAGAACCACAAGACGCGGGCGAGGGATCGAACCACGGGCACGGGCCAGGATCTTTCGCGTGTGAAGGAAAGGGGACCATGATGGACCATCCGAACGAGACCGCTTCGCAGGTCGGAGTTGGACCTAATGGCTGTAATCTTAGGCTCCCAATCTAGGCTGCAATTGCACAAACAGCCAAGGACCGTTCTGGATATGATCTAATGCAACGTACAAAGAGCTTTGATCGTTCTGATAATGCAAATAACATTGGCGATACATCCACATTGCCAAATCCCGGCTACGTCCACGCCCAGACCTTTCACAAGATTCCGAAGATGGACTGGAGGTCAAGGTATTCTGCCCACGCTGAAGATAGCAAGAATTCATTGTAACAGCTTAAGCAGTCCTTGAGTCACCCTCCTCAAAATCAAAATCTGACCAAGCCGTAAGCCCGACCTATACCGAGGATCAAGTCCATGGGATTGAGTGCATGAAGGAATGCTTTCATGGGGCTGTACACAACACCGTCCTTGGCTCCCTCGTGCTTGTTCACTGCAAACTCCTTTGCGTGGAAGAAGAAGTAGAAGGACAGCTGGCAAGCTAGAGCTTCGATGCAGACCAACAGTGATTGCAAACCGATCGTGATGTCGTCGTATGTTAGTTTCTTGCTGCCCGTGGCGTGAGAGCCAATCACACTGAATACGAACTGCATCCCGAATTGGTCAGTATTTCTGTTCTGGTGGTCAGGATGGATAGAGGTGGGAAGATTTACATGTTGAATTGTCGTGATCAGTATGAACAATTTGAAGCTGAGAAGCTTGGGCAGCGCGTTGCGGCCGACCATGTGGTCTTTCAACCGGCGCTGGAAGCGGATCACCGTCACGACTGCTGCGATGGTCGTGATGAGTTGAAAGGCTTGGAGCTACAGGGTCGCTAGTCAGTATGGGTGGACATTGTAGATGAGGGATAATGAAAGACTTACCCAGACATGAGCAAAGGCGGGCTTGTTTGAGGTTTTGCAATAGACGCCAGTTGCCTCTGTGACCTCCTGTGCGATGATAAGGATGGTGTAGACGACTACGTAGGAGAAGATGATGGTCCAGGAGGTCTGAAGGTCTGGAATTAGCTTGTGCTTAGACCATGCGATGAGGATACAGGAATGGGGGCATACTCGGAATAGCTTGTAGTGCTGTAGAGGTTTCACGGAGCCGTTCTTCGTCTTGTATTCGAGCTCCCGAAAGAATGCGACCCGGGTGCTTTCTTCAGGGGCCACGTATTGGACATACAGCAGGAACAAGGACGCAAGAGCGATGGCTTCGTACAGTTGGGCAATAGGCCCGATGTACCCACTGGCGCTGTACGTATAAGTTGAGATCACCGCTATCAGCGACGCGACCACTGGAAATATGATGATGCGGAAGACGTTTCGTTGTTCGTTCGGTGCTCGATATTGGCGGAAGTGTAGGATGCAGAGGCCCAAGCAGAAGATCGCTGTGATGCCAAAGCATACCCAGCCTATGATGTGAACAATGTGCTGAAAGGTGAACCTGCCGATGATGGGTTCGCCCTCGATGCCGGCATTGGAAGGTTTGGGTGGACATGTTGGTGACATTTCTGGATTGTTGAGTCTGATAAAGGGGGGTGTAGGTAGTCAGTCAAGGAATAGACTGGGTAGGTGCTTGTATAGCTCTTTGATGCGAAATGAGAAATCTTGATCTGGTGGTCTTATGACTTCGGGGATGCAGAACAGTCTCGGGTCACTTATAAACTTGGGATGGAGAAGCAGCACAGGACCAACGTTGACGTCGACCTCGCAACACTGAATTCAACTCGCAACACTTCCGCGAGCTGGGGGCTATGGGCTTCACAGCCCTTCAACCCATATTGGATGCAACACGCGCGTTATTGACATGGCGCTCGTAAGTTCGGTTGGCCGTCTTAGCTTCGTGACTCTGTCCCGTGTCAGTTACGTAGAGACAAGCAAGGTGTGACTGTCACGATACAGTGGCATTCTTTGGATTGATTTCATGGGGGTGCATGTACCGAGGAAGCAATGCCCTCCTGCTCAAGCCACTCTGTCATAGTTGCTTTGACACCGCTATTCAGGTGGGCAGGCTGACATTGAGGTATTATTTCTTGCGACGCGTCCAAGCTCTGGGCTTGCAAGGGCTTCCCAATCCAAGATCATGTCACGGGCAGTAGACGAGGTGGGGGAACTTCCAATCCTGGAAACACGAGAAGCAGAATGGAACAACGCAACGACGTCCGAGCTTCTCAGTTTCTGGGACCATCCCGTGGCTCTCACAGAGCTGAGTACAACCAAACTCAATCACGAAGTCATTGTAGACAGAGTTCAACTTCGTTGGGAGCGGCAGACGGTCGAGAATCAGCTGTATACGAAGTAGACGGGCGGTCGAGCCACTTGCATGTGGTTGAAACAGCCTTTGCCAAAGGTCTTGGGAAGTTCCACGAGCGTGTGGAGGTTCGAGACTAGACGGAATCCAGGAATCGATGCGAATGGTCGGCTGGAGGTAAGTAACCTCGTAAACCTCGTAACCCTGGAGTGCCAAAATCTCGCTTCCCACACACCAATCCTGAAAAGCCTCCCTTCAGCCCTCGTGAAGCCTCTAGCCCATGCGAGCTCATTACCACCAATGGAACGTCAATCGACGACCCAATATGGAGTACGGGGTATCATCCAGCCATTCGCGAGCCGTGCTCCGGTTAAGGCTGCCAGAATCGCAACAATGGCCAACTACAGTAATATCGATTTGGTTTGCCGCCCACCAAAGCGAAACCTTTCAGGAGCTTCAATCAGGCTTACGGCCTCATACCTCGTATGCTACCCGTGGAGTGGTCGTCTGTCTCTCGCAAATCTCGGCCCCGACGCATTTCAGTGTGCCGCATATGGAATGCTCCAGTCTCGACGTCAAATATCCGTCTTGGAAGATGTCATCCACGGTCTCACACGGCGAGTCTAAAAAGCAAGCCAGAATAGGCCTCTAGATTTCTTCCACTCTTTGTCCTGTAGTGGCACCATTCCTCGCTGCTAGGTTTTGCCATGGCGGCACTCAGTCGCGCATCCAGCACCGAGGACGATTACAGAAGCGTCCTTCAGGCGGCAGTGCACGATCGCATACGAGATGGACTGGAGGTACACGCTCGACGACGAAAGCGTGCAAACAAGGACTTAGATCTACCTTTCCCTACCGAGGAGCAAGACTTGGAGTTGACCAAGACCGCAACACGCTGGTCCAAGGATGTTGGTCTTGCACCCACCAGTCTCTCTGACATTGATCCTCGACTCGACCCTGAAAGCGATGCCTTCAACTTTCGATTTTGGGCGTCGACATTCATACAACTGGTGAAAGAGGATGTTCTCCATCGCACCACCGTGGGATTCTCATTCACGTCTCTCACAGTTTCGGGCTCAGGTGCGAGTTTAGAACTCCAAAAGACAGTGGCTTCACCCTGGATTGCCCTCTTAAGGCTTCCCATGCTTCTTTCCAAAAAGAGGAAGCTGCAGCCCAAGACCATTCTAAACGACCTCAATGGCGCCGTCGGTACCGGTGAAATGCTCCTGGTACTGGGCAGACCGGGAAGCGGCTGTACAACATTCCTCAAATCAATTACTGGCCAACTACACGGGTTAATGTTGACTGCAAACTCGGTCGTTGCCTATGACGGCGTTCCACAAGCCACCTTTATCACAAACTTCAAGGGCCGAGCAGTATACTCTGCTGAAAATGATGAGCACTTCCCGAACCTGACTGTAGGACAAACCTTGCGCTTCGCTGCAGCCACCCAGACACCTCAGTCACGAATCAAAGGCGTTGATCGAGACTCCTATGCCACCCATATGGTCGAGGTGATGATGAGAATATTCGGCCTCACGCATACCCGGGACACCATGGTCGGGAATGATACCATTCGAGGTGTCAGTGGTGGTGAACGAAAACGGGTCAGCATTGCAGAAATGGCATTGACTCGATCCTCGGTGGCGGCTTGGGACAATGCGACCCGGGGTCTTGACTCGGCAACAGCACTTGAGTTCATTCGCTCACTGAGGACGATGGCCGATGTAGCCGGAGTTACTCAGGCGGCCGCGATATATCAAGCCAGCCAAAGTGTCTATGATCTCTTCGACAAGGTATTAGTGCTGTACGAAGGCCGACAAATTTACTTTGGCCCAGTTGAGTCGGCCCGGACGTATTTTGAGAGGATGGGTTGGTCTTGTCCACCACGCCAGACGACTCCAGATTTCCTCACATCGGTCACGAATCCTTCTGAAAGGCAACCTCGCAGTGACTTTGATGGGAAAGTTCCAATAACAGCCATCGAGTTCGAGGCATACTGGCGGAGCTCCGAAGAATACCGAGCCTGCATAACAGAGCTTTCGCAGAATCAAGAGAGCCATCGACAAACCGATCGCCTTCGTGCTCTGCAAGCCGCGCATCACCAGATGCAGGCGCACCATACGCGGGACAAGTCACCATATCTGATCTCGGTTTTTATGCAGTTGAAGATCTGTATGAGGAGATCTTTCCAGCTATTCTGGAACGGCCGCACGTCGACAGTGACACTGATAATCGGTCGAATCATCCTTGCCTTCATCATCGGCAGTATCTACTACGGCCCGTCAGGAACTACAGCAAGCCTGCAGTCTCGTGGGTCTGTGATCTTCCTGGCTACCTTAACGAACGCACTGCTGGCTGTGACCGAGATTGGTTCACTGTTTTCTAAGCGTGCAATAGTCACGAAGCAGCAGACCTACGCGCTCTATCACCCTTTTGCCGACGCCTTTGCAGCCTACATTGTGGACATTCCAGTCAAATTCTGCATCTCAACAGCGTTCAACCTGGTGTTCTATTTTATGACTGGGCTCCGACCAGAAGCTTCGAGTTTCTTCATTTTTCTCCTTTTCAACTTTTTCTGCACTCTTTTGATGTCGGCCATTTTTCGAACCATTGGTGCTGCTTGCAAGCTGCTCCCACAGGCCTACGCCATTGCTGGTGTCGGAATCCTCGTCCAGGTGATGTATACGGGGTTTACACTTCAGACCAGATATATGCGACCTTGGTTTCGCTGGATCAGTTATATCAACCCGGTGGCGTACATCTTCGAAGCTTTGTTGGTGAATGAGGTCCATGGAAGACAGTACCCTTGTGCTGAAACAAGCCTCATACCCCCGTATGCCGGCGATACAAATTTCGCATGCGCATTCATCGGAGCTCAGCCAGACTCACGCAGTGTCTCCGGTGACGACTGGGTAGCTTCTGGTTTTGGCTACAGCTACTCTCATCTCTGGCGTAATTTCGGAATCGCCATTGCTTACTTGGTGGTCTTTCTCGTGCTCTATTTGACTGCTACGGAGTTTCGATCCATGGCTATTGCCCAACCCCAACGGCTGATATTTCGCAACCGCAAAGCAGCCAGGGTCCACCAACGCCCACTCGTCGACTCCGAGCTGCCAGATCCAGAAGGGCAAACGGATGAGCTTGGTCCTGTTTCCATTGAACCCGATGAAAAACTGACAAAAGTCACAACAATTACGGCCGAGGCTGATACACATACCAGAGCAACCCCAACAATTACCAATGAGCTCTCCCATAGTGGCACGCTCACCTGGCGGGACGTGACTTTGGATATCAGCATCAAAGGTACGCCACGAAGACTCCTCGATGATGTTACTGGCTGGGTCAGTCCTGGGACGTTGACCTGCTTGATGGGGGTCTCAGGCGCCGGAAAGACAACTCTTCTGGATACGCTCGCCCAACGCCACAATACTTTTGGTAAGCTATCTGGTAGTATCATGGTCAACGGTACAGCGCTGAAGGGTTCCTTTCAACGAAAGACAGGGTACGTCCAACAGCAAGACCTCCATTTACCCACGACCACGGTCCGAGAAGCTCTAAGGTTCTCGGCAATCCTGAGACAGCCTTCGTCGGTTCCTGCGCAAGAGAAATTTGAATACGTCGAAAAGGTCATCGAGATGCTGAACATGGAGGCTTTCAGTGAGGCGGTTGTTGGTCAGCCCGGAGAGGGTCTGAATGTTGAGCAAAGAAAGCTCCTTACCATTGGTGTCGAGCTCGCGGCCAAACCAGCTATTCTTTTTCTCGACGAGCCGACCTCCGGGCTGGACAGCCAAAGTGCATGGACTATCGTATCTTTACTGAGAAAATTGGCCAACAGCGGACAAGCAATACTGGCGACGATCCATCAACCATCAGCTACCCTGTTTCAGCAGTTCGATTCGATCCTTCTTCTTGCAAAGGGTGGCCGGACCACGTATTTTGGACCATTGGGGCCTGATTGCCGGACACTCACAGGGTATTTCGAAGCCGCGGGCGCCCCAACTTGTGACGCAGAAGAGAATCCTGCGGAGTATGTCCTCGGTGTTGTGGGCGAAGGGTCTCACGACTGGCCAGAACTTTGGAAAACCAGTGAAGCCTGCGCTGGTATCAGAAGCAGAGTTCAATCTACCATGCAGGCTGAGCACAACAAGTCTGACGACCTAGATGACGATCGAGAGTATGCCGCTGCTCTGCCAACTCAGCTGCGTTACGTCCTCGTCCGACTCTTCCAGAACTATTGGCGGACTCCTGGGTACATTTATGCCAAGTTTCAAGCAAGCATCATGGCCGCTTTGTTCATCGGGTTCACTTTCTTCCTCCCGAACTCTTCTGAGACTGCAATGCAGAACACGGTATTCTCCATTTTCATGCTCAATGCCACTTTCTCCACAGTTGCCAACCAGGTATGTCTGCGATACTAGTCCTCTACAAAGATGTGACCAGACCACTAAATGATTGACAGATCATGTCGCGCTTCATCCCTCAACGCTCACTGTTCGAATTGCGCGAAGCCCCCTCTAAGATGTACAGCTGGTTCAGCTTCGTTCTTGCGAACATTGTCGTTGAGATCCCATACCAAACGTTCCTGTCCGTCATCGTCTGGGCCTGTTGGTATTTCCCCATATTTGGCTACCATCAATCAAGTCATACCCAAGGCTTGATGTATACCTTCGTGTTACAGTTCCTGCTGTTTGCATCCACGTACGCACAGATGATCATCTTCACGATGCCAAGTACGGAGACAGCTGCGGCTCTTTCGACACTACTGTTCACCATCACACTTCAGTTCAATGGCGTTTTGCAGACACCGACGGCGTTGCCGGGGTTCTGGATCTTCATGTGGCGGGTGTCGCCTTTCACCTATGTGAGTGACTCCAAAGTCCGACGCCGGGATGAATTGCTAACATGACCCGTAGTTGATCGGAGGTTGGGCTGGAACGGGACTCAAAGACCGACCCGTTATCTGCGCGCACAATGAGTTGGCCATTTTCGACCCACCCAGCGGCCAGACTTGCGGAAGTTATCTCCAGAGATACATCAACGGAGGAGCGCCTGGAGCATTGTACAACCCCAATGCCACAGAAAGCTGCGAATATTGTCCTATCCGGAACGCCAATCAATTCCTTGCAGGCTCTTCCATCTCCCCGTCCGACCAGTATAGGAATTTAGGTATCCTGTTCGCCTACATTGGGTTCAACATGCTGGCCGCCATGTTCTTATACTATATTTTCCGAGTCAGAAGAGTGTCACTTCTCGCAGGGCGAAAGCCAAGGAATGCGAAGAAGGCGAAGAACGAAAAGACGAAGGAGGATAATACGCCACGCTGGAGTATGATTGGATTTTACTACCATCTCGCACTGAGCATCCTGAGAAATATTGTGAAGTCAAACTACACGGTATGAAATAGAGGGAGATGGGACTTTTGCGAGTCCTCTACATATTGGACACTGGGTGGAGCGAAGCCCAGGTGGGACGGGATCTGATCATCAGGAAGGTCAACCTGCATCGTGACGCTTAATCAGCTTAACACAAAAGTCAGACGTGTCAGATTTACGAACCATAAGGACCATTTTGAGCTGCTGCCACATGAATCGGAATCGCAATCGCAATCGCGATTCGTGCACTCCGTAATCGACAAACTTGTCATCTGAGCCGTCCACAAGAACTCTCCAAGGTGAAGTTCCAGCCATGCAGCCGCATACGGAAATGCAACGATGATACATGTCACCAAGCCATAGCAGAGGAAGGCTTAAGCGACCCAAGCTTTTGGAACCGTCGGCATCCCCGTGTGGCTCGCATACGATTTACATTTCGAGGCACCATCAGGCACCGTGTGTCTGGTCTCCCAGCCATGGGGTAGTTCTCTCGGCTAGCTGCGCCCCTTTCCCACAGGGCTGAACAGGCGCTGCTGACGCCACGCTTCCCCAGAAGCGGCTGAAAGGAGATCAGCCCGGGCAGCCACAAGCCTCGATTCGGACGTATAGGAGGGGGACACCTAAAGGGTGGCATTTGAAGTCTTCCACCATTGGCCCGGTGCTGGCCTGGATTCTGGCCAAAAGAGAAACCGTTCAATGTGCCGTTTGACGTGTGATTTCCAAGTCTCCCTTTCCACCTGAACAGCGCAACCCCAAATACTTCGACGGTCACATTCCATCTTAGACCAGAATAGGAGCTTGGACCGTTGTCTGCGGTCAATTGGATGTGATTGTTGCATTCTTCGAATAAGCTGACCGTGTCCGGAGATATTCTCACTCAGCGCACATGCTTGACCAACGGTGAGGTCCCCACCTGGAGGTCAGACAGCCTCAACTGCTGCCAACACAATAGGTTGGCGTTAATTCTCCGGTCAGCTCTTCTTCGATGTCTATTACCCTTTCTAGATGCGGATACAACACGCGGAAGCTCCTATCAATTGAAGTTGTGCTTTTAAGGACCCCTTTCCCAACTTCTTCGAACGGTCACAACATTCAACAAAGAAGACGCTTGGTCAAGTCTCGGACTCACCTTGTGATACAAGATCATCAGATTCCCACTAGCTGACCAGGTCCGCACACCCTCAGAACTCGAACCATGATGCCTTTCCGGGAAGCTCTACGAGGCATATCGTTCGCTTCGACAAGCAACAAGCGTCCATCATCTTCCCGCACCAGCTCATCGTCAAGCACTAGTAGCTCGCGGCGCTTGCCCTCGATCGAGGAGGCTCGGGAAGAATGTCCCACTTACGACGCGATATGCTCAACGCCAACGCCAGGGCAAACGCAAGAACATCCTGACGACTTCTTCAACACACAATCCGAGCCTACACGGTCATACACCGAGAATCAGCTCGAGCTCGAGATTCAGAATGAGTCAGAACCCGACGAAGAGTTACCCCCGTACGTGCTGCTGGACCACGGCGCCCGGAAACCCGCCTACTCAAGACACGAAGCGGCCGCAACGACAAACCCAGAAGAAACGCAGCAAGAGCCGTCGAAATTGGACGGCATCCTATGTCCTCGATGCAACATCAAGAAGGCAAAGACTTGGTACCATCAGAGGCAGAAGGAGCGTGAAACAAGGTGATTATTTTGCCCCCCCCCCCCCCCCCCCCCCGGCCCGGGGACCACCACCAGGACGAGTTCCTTATTGACGACACATACTGACCTTTATTTTGGTACAGGCCAAAACCAAAACCAAAACCAAAAGTCAACCGTGCTCCTGTTCACTATACGCGTGCCGACCTCGACAACGCCACGACCTTTGCGTATTACATCTTTTGAAACAATTGAACTGTCGAACATGGGTAGACTGATCCCAGGGGGAACAGCGATGGTAAATTTTTTCTATTTTCGAGCGTGCGGGAAGGGAAAGGAGTTGGATGGAAACTTTTGACATGTTTATACCATTGAGATACCCACTGACAATTACAATGTTTTGTACCTTCCATAAAGCAAATTCGACGTCCCCTTCTCAGGTGGTTTCTCTTGGTCGCAGGGTCCCTGTCTTTCGAGCCATTTGTGTATCATGTGCATGTCGTCCATGCCCCAGGGATACAGCAGTGATGTCGTTCCGATCGTAGATCCGGTGTTTTTTTTCCCTTCGAGGCAACGTGGATCCTTGTGAGGTACGTCGTACTCCGGGTGTCGTCTTAGTCCTGCGTTGCTGGATGTCTCGTCGATCAATTTCTTGGGTGCTAGAAAGAAGTACCTGGGTGGAGATTGACATCAGCAACTAAGCATCTACATCTACATCTGCATCTACATCTACATCTGCATCTACATCCACATCTACATCTGCATCTACATCCACATCCACATCTACATCCACATCCACATCTACATCTACATCTACATCTACATCTGCATCTACATCTGCATCTACATCTGCATCTACATCTGCATCTACATCTGCATCTACATCTGCATCTACATCTGCATCTACATCTACATCTACATCTACATCTACATCTACATCAACTGATGGATGAGCCTCACACTCGAAATAACATTAACTGATTAGTAGTACAACGGAATCGAGTCTAGCTGCTAACTTATGTGGTAAAGAGTACTGGTACAGGGTCAAAGACTATAGTATATACTAGTATTCTCTCGCCTGCGTCGTGCGTCGTGGCGGTGTGGCGGTGGTGCTTTACGCATCCTCCAGAACGGCATCCGCGGCCTTCTCGCTGATCATGTACGTCGGCAACACGATATAAAAGCCCGGGATCTTGGGGTACACACTGGCATCGACGACTCTTAACCCGTCGACACCGTGGACTCTGAACCTGGAGTCCAAGACCGCGTTGGGGTCATCGTCAGCGCCGATCGGACACGTGCAGCTCGCATGATGGCCCCAGGCCTCCTTCTTGATCCAGTCCTTCATTTCTTGCTCCGAGGTCGTCGACACACGGTCCGCGCCGGGCCAGACCTCGTGGAAATCGCCCTGGAGAGGGATGTAGGATTTGAAAATCTCCCGCGACAGCTGCATGCCCTCGTACACGGCCTGCAGGTCCTTTTCGTCGGCGCCGGCGTCCGTGTTGCCTGTGTCGAAGTAGTTGAAGTCGATGACGGGCGTGTCGCGCGGGTCGGCCGACCGCAGACGCACGGTGCCCTTGTTGTTGCGCGAATGCGCCTTGAGCACGATCCAGCTCCAGTGGTGCGCGTCGGCGAGAGATAAGTTGGCGTAGCCGGGGTGGTAGCCAGTGAAGTAAGCGGGAGCTCCCGAGATCAGGAGGTCAGGGTCGTCGTCCGCGTCGGCCGCTGAGGACTTCTTGACCACGGCGATGGCGATGCCGTTCGTGGCGTACGTGCCCTTGAGCAACGGTCCCGACGCCGTCTTCCATTGCTCCAAGCAGGGGTCCGAGCTGGTGCGCAGAAACGTGCAGTCATGGGTGATGGCGAAGTCTGTGTTGCTGTCACCTACGATGGTCGCCTCGTAGCGGTCCTGAAGGTTCGTGCCAACGCCGGGTAAGTCGACGACGACGGGGATGTTGAACTTCTGGAGCTCGGCTTTGGGACCGATCCCGGACAGTTTGAGAAGCTGCGGAGAGTTGAAGGCGCCGGCGGAGATGATGACTTCTTTGCTGGCGTCGACGCTGCCTGGAGCACCAGCGGATGCTGAGCCAGAGCCCGGGTCGGCGCGGTAGAGCTTTGGTCCCTCGATGTAGTCGACACCGACAGCCTTGGGCTTGTTGGACACCGTGGTATTGGTACTAGTACTATTATTAGTGTTATCGAAACGGACCTTGGTGACCAGTGTGTTCAGCTTGATGTCGAGATGGTACTTGCGGGATCCGTCGGCGTTGACGGCATTTGCGGTTTCGAGGATGAAATCTCGAGGCCCGTTGCGCTTCTTGTCGACTTCGGTGACCGCTATGGGGACCTGGTAGAGACCTTCTTGAGAGTCTCTAGAGGGCACGTAAGCGTTGATGTCGCGCAGGAGGACTTCGCCTAGTCCGGCCACCGTGTTGAGGATTCTTCCGAGGAGGCCTTTCCCCATGGCTGTGCCGGCAGCGATGATGAGCGAGAGCAGCTTTGTGTCCTCCACCGCGAGGGAGAGCTCGGTCAAACTGGTTTCGTACCATCCATCGAATCCATGGCCCACAATGCTGTTGGGAAGGTATCTGCACCGTTCAAGGCGTTCAAAGTATTTGCGCATATTGGCCGCCTCCCACGAGTTGTCTCCCGTGATGGTCGCAATGTTGTTCCAGTCACTCTCGTGCGGATAGATTGTGATCATGGCATTGTGTGCCGCACAGCCGCCCAGGGTTCCCGTGCGTGGGTACCAGATTCCCAACGGGGTCGAGCCGGCTGGTGGACTGTTGCCAACATAGTGATCACCTGAAGGAGTCTCCCAGACCATCTTCGAGTCTTGCTCCTGACGGGCTTCGTCGGAATAGTGGTTGACAAAATAGTCCCAACGCATTGGTGCGTACTCGGTCGCCTGCAGCTGCAAAGCAGGAACTTGTTGGAAGATTGCATCCCCATCATCATCTCCGGCGTCAATCAAGAGGACCTTGTATCCGGCTATTGCCAGCCTTGAAGCAAGTGGGCCACCTCCCGGGCCACTGCCAACGACGACATAGTCGTATGCTGTAGAATTGGCCGCCTGTGTCGCGTTCGTACTTTGAGCCTGCGTGATATTCTGGCGTTTGGCAAAGTTGTGATGTAAATGCTTGTGTCCAGCCGTGCTGTGCTCCGTGTTAGCTGGACAGGAACCTTGGGCGATGAATACTCACAGTGCCGTCACGATCGGAGTCAGAATAGCGAGCAATGCAAACCCCTTCATTGTTGTGATCTAAAAAAGTGTCTTAACCACAACAGCTGTCCGCAATCCCAGACCTGTGACAAAATGAACGACTAAAGGGTCAGGCCAAAGAGCGACGCGGATGCTTCGGAGGCCAACACACGTAGCCTCGCGAGAGACTTATATCTGGATAATCGAATTGTTGTTTCATTGTTGCTTGAGTTCGGGAATTGGCTCATCCACCTGGCTGCCTTGCCGACTGAAGTGATCTGCATTCGATGGAAGCTGCGCAATCATGATCTGAGGCGCCGATTTCAGCATGATCGGAGGCCAAGCTTGACTAGATGGGGTACATACCACCCATAGCTACTCGTACCTGCCACCGGAAAATTTAAGAAGGAAAGCACCGTCCGGGGGAGGACCATAGTCACAAGGTGGGGAGGCTCGAATGCATGCAAGCAGCTACTGCTTACCATTGAAACGGCGCTGTGGAGACACCGGAACAAGATGGCCGCGGTTTCAAGATCCCTGTTCCCTGGACAGCGTCGTGATTAATGCTTGCTCATGCTGCCAGGCGGGTGCTTTCTTTAAGTGTTGTCCTCAAGTGGTAGTCCTGCCAGAATCCAACAGCTGCTTGGTGTTAAGCAGAGCTCTGATCAGGATTGAGACATATAACGTTGATGTGAGCAGGAACGGATGCGGGGCTGAGCTTTGCAGAAAGTCTACAGTACCACAGTACACACTCGTAGGATCGTCCTTGATACTCGTACATGGTATGCGCTTGGCCGGAGTCTGCCGTGAGGGGCCCCGAGATTCAATGGGGCGTGATCGACGCTGACTGCCGACCGTTGACTACCATAGTGTGCCCCTGCAGTAGTGGTCGATAGCCTTGCATTAACTTGGGTGGAGTTGCACCAACATGGTAGCCCCATGGCGCCAGTAAGAAGCCGGCCTCCATGGCTGCATTCCTACCGGCGCCATGGAGCTTGCATGCTGGACTTGAGACTGTGTTGTGAGCACCCAAGGCGTCCTGTGCCAGATTTCGGGGTCAATTACATGGCATGGGGCGCTTTTGGTGCCCTGAATGTAAGCAATGCCAGACGGTGTCGGTGTAAGACGTTCAATTCGCTTCAACCGAAAAACTGCTGAGTACAGAGCCCGAGAACAAGAGGAAGCCGGGCTTGTTTTCATAGCACTGCCATCATTAAGTACTTAACTCTCAAGTACTTGACTCTACCCAAAGTCTGTACTGCTACCGACTTCTCTGTAATTATGTACCAACCACAGTAATAGATCAGGCCATTTTCCTTGTTTACCAATAAGCTGCCTGGGCAAATAGGCGAAGAGCATAGAACTCGACGCTTAGCTCCCATCAGGCGTCAGATTGCAACACCAGGTCGACCGTCTTGGACGCTCTCGATGTCAACCAAGGGATGGAAGTCCCCTTTGTTCTCGTCTTTGCGCAGGTCCATGTGTATCACCGGCGTCCTATTCCCACTGGAACGGCCAGTATTGCTGCCCTTTGTACTCTTGCCTTGAACCGTGCCACTGAAGACCTGCGGGAAATAATGCTTGAACAGAGAGTATAGCGCTGGCATGCAGGCGCAAATTATTCCAACATGCAACTCTATGCTCGACCAGTAGCCGAAGGGCACACCATCCCACGAGACATTCGTGGACTTGGCGAACGAGGAGAGGGTGTCGAGTCGCAGAATGCTCACGATAGTGACACTAGGCAAAGGTGACCCTGTTAGCAGACGAACTCTCTCAAACTGGAAATGACGTTCGTTGAGCCAGGAGAACACTCACAATATACCAACACTTAACATGATGGAAATTTGCAGCTTCTTCTTCCAATGTAGGTTGAGTCTTGAAATCAAGCCGAGTGGCATGACAACTATCGTGACGTCAAGACCAATGTTGATTCCTGCTGCGGCCCATCCTTGTGCGTTGACATTGTTACAGTGACCTTCGTGTTCGCCGTCCCAGTGCGTCCAAGCGAGACTCACAGGTCGACACTGGAAGACGGAGACGAGCACAAATGCGATCATGTATGCCACAGTCGCCCCCATCACGATGAATACGAGTCGACGAAAATATGTTTCGGGAAATACTCGCAGGTAGAAGCTGAGAATGGCCATTTTCGTCATTGAGATCGTCACAAGATATATGACCTCGTCGACAAAGTATATCTGTCCCTGGTTAGTATCTCGTCCTGTTCACGAATACGCAAGCATTCACAAACCTTGAGAATCTGAGTGATGTGATCGAAAGGAATCGTCCAGATATCCTTTCCATAGCCATTCTTGGTGACTGGTTTCTGGTTAGATTGAATGGAAGGAAGTTCAGCTTGAAACTTACGTATCACGGAGAGCACTGAGAATACTATGCCAAGTACCTGCCATTCCTGTAAGTTTCAAGCTCGAACTCTTCTGAGAGATCTTACCATGGCAACGGTTATGCTGAGATCGTCGTAGCCCAGTCGTGCAGCTGGCACGATGAATTTGGCGGAAATGCGGACTATATAGACGACCAGCGCCACAGCACCTCCTCCCGCGCCCACGCCTGCGACGAGGCTGCCTCTGTCGCGTATTGGCGCTCCGCAGGTTGTGTAAGATACGTTTTGAGTAGCTTTGACACACAGTCAGTCTTTAACGGCTGGGCTTGCATGTTCAAGAGGTAAGACTTGCTCAGTTGCTCTTTGATGGTACAATTCAGTGCCACACACTGGGTGATGGCTTGTATCAATTCCTTGTCCGTGCAAATACAAGCTGTATCTGTTGGAGAACACCGAGACTGAGCAATGCCTGCCATGGTGCAGTCAAGCTACACTTGTCAGCATCGGGCAAGGCAGGCTTGGAGTAAAACTCACACCACATTTGGGATATTGTTGCTGTGCCGTGGCAGACGACAACAGGGTAGATAACGCAAGGGCGATGGTGGTAGTAATTAGCCGCATTGTGTGACAATTCTCACTGGGACTTATGGTGGTAGTGGTCGATAACGAAGCAAGAACAGATCGTGGGAAGTGTCCAAGGCGTGTCTATCATATATTTTGATGCCCGTGGCTGGCTATCAATGAGGAACGCTGCTCGTGCAGCAGTGCTTTCGCCGGGGCTGTGGGCTATCGGCATGCAGTGACAAGGATATGAGCTCCTTCGCTGCTGGGGAAAATCCAGAAGATACGGCTTCTGGTAGGGTGGAGATCCAGACCCGTATGATTGGCAACAGTAAAGCTCTTAACCCTGGGCTCTGCCCCATCCACTGAGGTGAATGGAGTGCTGGAGCCAGAGAAGAGTGCGGCCTGTGCAGAAGAACTTAGCACAATATCCAGTATGCAGGATCACGCGAGAGTCTGTTTTGCCTGACAAGCATCCAAATCCTGCAGTTGGTCCTGACGGCATCCCCGGTGGGTATTGCCATAGAATGATCGACTTCAATCATATAGACGAAAAGAGACGGTGGATACAAGGGAGCTATAGCAAGTCCTCCATAGGGGCTCTCAATACGGAGGTATGAGAAGGTAAGCTAGAAAGGCCAAGGCGTCCAGAGTTTGCGGGTGCAGGCACGGCAGGAAAAGGTGTCCGCACTCCCAACGATGCAGCCTTACCTTCAGGGATATCCCCAGCCTCAGATAACCGCGGCCTCAGTTGGCCATTAGTGGCTCAAAGCAAGATTGGCCAAAGTTGACTTGGAAGGTTCCGGCCTCATGGCCTGGATAACTGAAGTTGGCTTGGGCTCCCTAGCCCCAGAGCTACTGTACAAGTGCGAGTAAGTTAGTTTTGTTAAGAACCTCTGATTTGGAAACCAGAAACCCAAGCTACATAACCCGAGCTTCGATGTCGTGACTGCCCATCGTTAACAGGCAAACCGATAGAACGACGTGCTTGTATACCATCGTAGAGGCTTCATTTGAATCCTGTAGCAGAATGGTGGGTGATAAGATCGAATGCTTGCCGCGGCAGAAAGCCCAGTGAGCAGGATGAGCGGGTTTCCATGCTCGAGCCACGAGAATTCCCACGTTCCCGCTGAGCAAAGTGATCAGCAGAGTCTTCGAAAACCAAACCACAACGGTTGCAAGACCAAGCAGGCTTTAACAGCAGCGGTTCCGTCCATCAACATTCACCTCCGCTGGGACTGTGATCGCCGACTCGGCCCCAGCAAGGCAGGGTGATCGACAGACTCGTCACGCCAGGATCAACGATGTGCTTGGCCATGAAGCTGGCGCAATTGTGAAGTGCAGTTCAGGCCCTCTGGACCGGGGCCTCATATGATCCTTTTGATTAAGGACTCAGTCCGCTGTACCCTAATGTGATCCCTGTCGGCATCCTGCTTCTCCACTTCCCGGTTGGCCGGCCCAGGAGTCAGGGCGATGGCCCGGCACCGCGTGAATGGCTGCATTCGTGCCCAAGCATCGTCAGACCTTGGCACTGTTAAATCCTCCGAGTACGAACGAGTATGGAGGATGCGATGTGGTTCGTGAAAATCGGTACCATGAAGGGCTTAGTTAAACATGGTAATACTCCAGCTCTCTTTTCCAGGATGCTGTCGTTCGGCTCAGCCCGTAACCTTTTCGGCAGGTCCTGAGATCGTCGCCACGGGGAATTGCGCATTCTCATTCCCACCCCTACTACTCGTCGAGGGTTGGAACGAGCTGATTCATGCCGACCAATCGAACACTTCTGTGCCGGTCTCAAATGAAGAAAGATCAGCTCCACGTTCATTGGATCGACGTCAGTAACCGCAAACCGTCACAGAAGACTGTGCAACATTTTCGATGCCTACTCCCAGGATTTAGGTGTTGAGAACGACTTCAGTTGTCGACGCTTGCTTGTCAGCGTTCACCAACTCACCGCAGTCACTCTTTTTCGTACATATCGCTGCTGAGCTGGGCAGCTCCGTCGTTCTTTACCATAATGAAGTTTCCCTTGATTTCATGCACCGTGCTTCTCGGTTGCAGCTTTCTCTCTTTTGCATTCCCAACCGCATCGAACGTTGCACTCCTTGCAAGAGCCGGCGGGTTGGATATCCCGGAGGACTTGGTGTCACTTGACGACGTTATTCGTCATGTACGAAGAGACCAGCATGAGAAAAGGCTGCTTGTTGATCCGTTGAACAAGCCGGTCGATGGTATGAGAGTCTTGCAAACAGTGCAAGCGCAGGACTAACAGGCACAAGTCAGCGGCAAACACAAATGGCAAGCTCCGGATTTTGCTGCAGGCGCACAGCGAGGTCCCTGCCCTGGACTCAATGCGTTAGCCAACCACGGCTATATTGACCGCTCTGGAGTAGCAAATGTAAGTCCATGCCTTGAATTTGTCCTTCATGGTCGTACCTTAACTTTCGCATCATAGTTCCTGGACGTTATTGGTATCATCAACACAAGTCAGTAGCTCATAGGCCGTGAGTCGCCAATAGTCATGCTAATTCTAGGCAGTTTATGGAATGGATATTGGGCTCTCGACCATCCTTTCCACGATGGGTACTATCTCACTTGCTTTCAAAAGAAGACCATTCATTGACAAACGCAGGCACCGTGTGGACTGGCGATCCTTTGTCTTTGACTCCAGGCTTCTCCATTGATGGAGTATCTCCCAAGGTTCAAAATCTTCTGGGCAACCTACTCGGCCTCTTGGGCGAGCCTCAAGGCATTGGAAGGTCACATAACTTCATTGAGGCTGACGCTTCACTCACCCGGGATGACCTTTACCTCACTGGTGATGCCTCCACCATGAACATGGACAAATTTCTGAAGCTGTACAATCGACCTGGTAACGGGACAGACATCATCTCGATCGACGACGTCCTGCAGCAAGCGGTTGATGCTCTCAACGAATGCATTGCCACCAATCCATATTGCTGGTACGGGCCTTACACTGGCATGATTGCCCGCAACGCTGGGGCTGCATTTGCACTCCGATTGCTGTCCAATCACTCGGCGGAGAATCCTGAAGGGGTTCTGAGTAAGTTGCAGGAAAGCCAGGGATATGCGCGGCTTGCTAACATGAGACGCAGCCAAGGAAGTGTTCAAGTCCTTCTGGGGCGTGGTTGACACTGACGACGGCGGACTGGAGTATAAACGCGGATGGGAGCGCATCCCCGACAATTGGTTTCGAAGACCTGTTGATTACGGCTTGGTCCAGCTAAATCTGGATTTTGTAGCCTGGTTTCTCAAATACCCGGAGCTCGCATCAATCGGAGGCAACACTGGGACGGTAAATTCATTCACGCCCTTGGATATCTCGGATCTTTCTGGTGGTTTGCTGAATGTCGAAACATTGTTGGAGGGAAACAACCTCATTTGCTTCGCGCTCCAGATTGTCAAGACAGTGTCACCGAATTCTCTGTCAAACCTCTTTGCAACTCTGGCGGAGCCACTGAAGCTCATTACCGACGCGCTGGGCTCGGCGATCACGCCTTTGACATGTCCATCGTTTGGAGATCTTGCGTATGGTGGTCAACCGATCTGGGATTCGCTGAACAAAGCCTTCGCTGGCCCTGGACGTGCAGGCTCGCCGCTGTGAAGGATGAAGGCGGTTCGTCAAGTAATTGTAGCCTTAAAATACTTGCGCGAGCAGAACAGTTTTCCGTCTTAATTGCTGGATGGCGCTGCCTCTCACATTCGCTTCATCATCCACGTGGTCGCCGGCGTCAGCAATTAAAAGCTGCATTCGTGGCATTCGCACTTAACGGAAGGAATTTAGACTCGAGCCGGAACATGGATACCTCAGCTTCGTGCTCTGGATGTCCATGGCCGTATGTCTTCTTTAATTTCGTATTTGGTTGAGCGGTTCCTCTCCTAATCAGTAACTTGTTGACTGAGCGCCGGTAACTTGTTGACTGAGCGCCGGTTCCTGGTGGGAGATTGACGCCCAAGTCATTCCACGGTCAATTAATGGCAGCGCGGACTTCGAGGTGCGCTCTTTCTTGGCCTCGTGTCCGGCACTCGTGTTTGCAACAGCGGTGCCTCGTTCCGTTCCGCCACAGCTGATCATACCAGGAACCGGTCCTGGCCATTTCACAGAAGCCTCCAAACCAGGTAAAAGCTTCACCGTCGAAAGCGAAAATGACCTCCACGGATATAGACATATAAAGAATGGATGTCATCTCGTAAGATATTCGGGAGACTCCGGGCCCAAATGACAAACGAGACATTTTCAAGACCCGTACTCGTACAGCCTTCTCCAACTGCCGCTGATGTTAAGTGGCACCCATGGGCACACCAACCAGTGGTCGCAAGGCTTTGACTTGTGGAACTCGTTAGCAAACTTTTGTGCCTTTTTTGCAGTCTGGACGGACCTTGATTACTGGTCACCCCATCTCAAACTCATCATTGACAGTCAGGCCACATCTGTTCCTGAAAATATGAGCCTGCGGGTGCTAACTGCCGCGAAGTGCTTGATACAGATTTGCTTCTGTGCCTTACCGCAAAAGTTTGTACGAGCACCCCCGCGGAGAAATAGTCCGTATGGATTGCCGCAAGGCTTCAAGCCTTGTAAATGCTGACCCTATTGCGTTCGCGGGATTACCCAGCCGACACTGGCATCGGTGGCAGGTTTGATACAACGGGCCCACAGGTCGGCGATCCATCCGAGCAAATGCACGTATTGTTGATAACACGACCTCCGATGATAAGTGGAAAAGTGTGCACCACATGCCTTTGGTCTCCGTTCTTGCGCAAAGAGGCTGCCGCGGAGATAGATTGTGTAGGTTCTCGTCCGTACCACGATCCGAGTTGTTTTCTTTGAAAGCAATATATAAAATACTCCATAGCAGCCTCAAGTCACGACACCCCCAGATTGAGATACGCGTTGGAAGCAAGCCATATCAGTCCGACACAATGGAACACATCGACGGTGCCCTTATCTCTCGCGACCTCCCCACTCGCATGCGGTACATGCAATCCTTCCTGCAATGGGACCCTGCCAAAGACGGGCCACTTATTGAAGCTTGCAAGCCTGTCCTGGCACCCTTGGTCAACGACGTTGTAGATGCAGTCTACGATCACTTGCTCAAATACGACATCACAGCTGCGACATTTGCGCCGGCACAATCGACTGATGGATTGTCCGTCAACGTACAAGAGCTGCACCGCGAACACGCAAACATCAAATTCCGCAAGGACTTTCTCAAGGGATATCTTGTCAGACTTGTCTCGAATCACGATTGGACGCCCGAAAGCAAGTTCTGGGACTATATCGACAAAGTGGGCAAGGCGCACACAGGCACGCTGGATTCTGGCTTGAAGCACCGCAAGGGCAAGCCACCGTTGTTCGTGGAGTATCGGGATGTGAATTTGCTGCTCGGCTGGGTCGAGAACGCGGTCACTGATATCGTTATGGGTGTCGAGGCGCTGGATATCAAGACCAAGGTTGACGTGCTCAAGGCCTTGAACAAGTACTGGTGGCTTCAGAATGACCTGTTTGCGCGGCATTACGTCAATGAGCTGTCGGCAGAGGCACCAGAAGTCGAGATAGGGCAGGAAGTGAGAAGTATGGGATCACCGTCAGCTAATAAGCTGTTCAGCCATGAGACCCCAGCGACTGCGATTTATTATTCCGTGGCCGCGGCGGTGCTGCTGGCTGTTGGTTGGAAATTGATATGAGCGAGAGCATTTGGGCCATACTAGACGATGATACATCTGAAAGAATAAAGAGACCAGGGCACGACGGTACGTCTGCAAGGAGTATGTCTGAATAAACCTAGAGAGTTGAGGGAAGATGGCGTCGGAATACGACAATGACTTGATCGATTGAGGGAGTACTGCTGGCGAATATGTGGGAGAATCTAGATCTTACCTTTGTATGAATATGACACTGATGATATTAGCAACGAAGCTGTATAGCAAGACGGCGAGAATAAATAATAATGGGGAGTATGGTGAGGAAGAATGGCTTTCTGAGCAATCTTCAGGAATACAACGATATCTGTAGAGAGTGACAAACATGCCAAGCTTCCGGCAAACACTTCTACATTGGGACTTTTCAACTCGCGAGCTTCATTCAACGGTCTTCGGCGTAGAGAGAAGAACGAAGTCGACCACCTCTTCGGAATCTTCACTTTCTTGCGCAATACTGATACCCTGTAGTCTCGCTAGACATCCCGTCTCCCTCCTCGTCTCCTTCTCAGTCAGGCACAATGATGTGCTCCTCCTGCCGCCGGACTTTCCTCACACGCCTGCGCTCCATACATCTTCAACCTCAATCCTCACATCCACCGACAATCTCCTTTGCCCGCACCGTTGCAACGGTCCCCTCGACTCCCAATGCCGCTCCCCCTCAAGCGCCGCCCTCAATCGCTATAGATGGTGTCGGCAACCCATCTCAATCCTCAAACACTGCCGGCAAATCGCAACCGTTATCCGAACCGCACACTCCCTCCACGTCGACCGCAAAATCTGGCTCTGGTCCTGACTCGACGAAAAGCACAAGTTCAAAGAAACCATCTCGCCCAAAAGGTTCCGTTCCGGGCGGCGCCGAGCTTCGCGGTCTGGGCTACACAAAAGCCAAACCCAAGGTCACAGCAATGGAGGACGACGAGTATCCGGACTGGCTATGGACGTTGCTGGACGATAAGAAGACGACGCCAGGCGAAAAAGTTGATCTCTCAAGTAAGCTGATCTGATTCTCAGACACGCCCGTGCAAAGTGAGAGAAACGTGCAATGTCAGGACTAATGCGTATATAATGCTAGCAATGACGAAGAAACAGCGCGCCCGCTACGAGAAGAAACAAGCTCGCCTACTCCAAGACACCCCCAAGACCGTGCCAGTGCATGAACAGAGCAAAGACCTCACGGGTCCTGAAGACGACGCCATTATCAGCATGCAAAGGAGGCAGGAGATTACCAAGAGTGCTCGAGGAGCCAGGAGAAGGAGTATACGCGAGAGCAATTTCTTGAAGTCGATGTAAAACTAGACAAAGTTGTTCCTCGCTTGGCTGTGGAGAAGTTGTGTGTGAATACTAATTAGCATGTGAAGCCTTGTTTGACAACCACGCGGCTCTTGTCCAGTTTGCGTGGAGTGGGTGTCGAGGGTTCTGAGTCTGTTGCAGGGTCATACCGGCAAGATTTGTGCGTGAAGGAAGGCAGACTGAGATGTCGGGGATGGACAAAACGAGCTCAAGTCAAGACGGCTCGAAGAAACCCGCAGGCGAGGGAAACTGCGGTGATGAGAGAAACTCATGGCCTTGTTCAACACCAAGCGGCGCAAACACCTGATTGTCTATATATTCATATACCCAGTTGTGGATATAGCCACATCAAGGACGTATATCCCCATATACGCCGCTCAGTGGCTATGCTCCCTACACCATCATGATTCAGCGCCATGTCGTATATCATGCTTCGTGTAAGTAAATCCCATCAGTCCCGTCAGGGAGCACATGCCAAGTCATGCAAAGACTGCCTATATCGATATTGGTCGCCACCCCGGGGTATCAGCTCCATTTGTCGTTGTTATCAATTCGCAGCTCCTGTCGATGGCCAACAATGGTTGTCTCCTTCGCTGGCCTCACAACACCAAACTCACCATGACGCCAACAAAAAGATAAAAGCTCTCGTAGTCATCGTGTTCATGCACTTATAGTGCTCGCTGCTGATGTCCACCTCAACCGCCTCAAACCGGAGCCACTACTCCGCAGCGCTTCCCGGCTACAATTGCCACTTGTGAGGCCCATTTCACTTTCGATTCTGCCCACCTCGCGGCCCCAAGCGTACCCGGCGCTGAAGCTGATTGCGGAGAAGACAAGGACGACACCGGCTGATATCATCCACGAGGCTAGAGTCGGACTTATGAGTTCCTCGCCAGCCATAGCTGCTTTGGCTGGCCGGAACTTCTTGGCATGTCGTTCCTTGCTGGATTCTCGGGACTTTCGTTTGGTCTGCTTGGGTGATGATGTCCGTCTCGACCTAGGTCGTGTAGGGTTCTCCAGTTCCGACTCTGGCACCAAACGTAAGGCCGTCGCTTGAGCAGAAGGTCTGCTGGTAGGTGCAGCGGGCCGAGCATCAGGTCCCTTTGGACGTACTGCAGCGGCGCATGAGAGTAACGTTGTCAAAGAAGCTCGCAAAGCGGCATCATGATCAGGCTGGTATGAAGATGTATGAGCCCGGTACCTTGACTGGTTCTGCCGTTGATAACTTCGCTGGGTGATTGTCCGCTCGTTCGATGGTCTTTCTTGCGTGAAACCTGGCGCGGCTGGGAAGTACGAATCTGGAATAGGACCTTGCTGAGCGGAAGGAGGATGGGTGAAAGCATTGGGCTGAGGTGTAAACACCTTGTCCGTGTTGCCAGTCCCGAGCGCCGTCGAAGTGTCGTCATCGTCGGCCGTCTCGTCCTGGGATATATCTTCATTGGAACTGCTCAAGACTCGATCGCTGTCACTCTCGCTCTCTTCATATTCGTCTTGACTGCTGCCGGCGGTGCTTGTTGATCGTGGCTGGGACGCTGTAAGGCGGCTGGAAATATGAGGTTGGCGGGATAGTCGTTCGTCTCGAGGCCGGATCTGGAGACCCGTAGTGACTATATCATTGCTGGTAGATGATAAGGAGGATGAGGATGGGCGCGACGGTATTTCAATCCAGGAATCTGTAGAATCGTTAGTAAGGTCTGCCCTCAATGGTATCCGGCGGGTTGAGCAATGATTACCCTCGGAATGCATGCCTCGCACACGCGACGATGGCATTGAGGTGTTGTCTGCGCCTAAGGGATGGCGATTGTCCTGCTCATCTCTTTGGGGAGCGAGGGGCTCGTTATATGCTGGTCGCATTGTCTGTGTGCCTTTGTTTGCCTTTTGCGTGACGATGAGGTCTCCGCCTGGAATGACGATCAATATGTGGGCTAAGTCTCGAAAGCCTGCGCAGTCTCAAGTCTGCCCCTTTCAAAACGTGCTCAGTCGTTGAGGAGATGGCGATTGCAGAGCCACCGAGGTCGGAGCCTCCAAAAGTCCTTGACCACGTAGGAACTTGTTGAGGCGATAGCGAATGTAACTAGTACCGGCTTGCGTCTCACCGACTGATGCTGGCAATGGTGGGGTGGTGCTCCTGGTGGGCTTACGCGCAGACGCGAGGATGGCTGACCTAAACCTGCGCCACGGTACTTTGATGGCGGGGTCACTTCGTCGCACTCAAGAAGCCCAATTTCAGTCTGATTGCAACAATGAGATGTTGAGTACGGAGTATCGGTTCAGATGGAGGGATGAGGAAGTACAGAACTGTGCGTGTCCGACCAACGAAGGGAATAGCCAGCGCGGAATTGCCAGATGTACTTAGCTCTAGGTAGTTTAAGTCACCACCCACCGGCAAGCAGATGGTATGCAGGGTGAGCCACGGACTTGGGGGTGATGACTTCTGGACCAGCCTGATGAGTCCAATGAGCCCAATGAGCTGGGTTCTTTGGTGGGCGGCTGCTGATCGTCTGGCCTTCCGGGCACGGACACTCGAGACACTCAGACACTGCCAATGGCATCAGCTGTCAAGTCTCAATGACTTTGAACAGGGTGCATCACGCGGCATCCTCTGGTTGGCACAATCAGGTGAAGCCAATCAGTCACGTCAGTCATTCTTCTCCCTTCCAATATGCAACTTCTAGAGGCGGTGACCAGCATTTTAGCTAGTGCCAGCAGCCGATACCGGTAGCATCCTGTTCCTTTAGGCTCCTTCAGGCTCCTTCAGGCTCCTTTTAGGCTCTATTTGCGCATGATGGACCAGAAACAGTTTCACGATACACATCGATCAGAAGGATAGTTCAAGAGCAATGAGATTCTCGATTTGATACCCGAAGAAACAATAAAGCAGTTAAACTTTTCTACATTACCTTGCGACTCCCCGTGTCCTAGCCCAACAAAAAGAAAATGTTTAGATTCGCCGTAGAATCCAAACCAGTCATGATGGCCATAGGTATCCTGCAAGCGATCATAGTCAACAGTTGACGCAGCACCATTGATCTGGTGTCATCAACTTAGAAGGTAACCTTGGTGCCAGAGAAGTCTCCGAAACCACCACGGTTGGTAGTGCCTCCACGACCACCGCGGAAGCCGCCACCACGACCGCCGCCTCGTCCACCGCGATCACCAAATCCTCGGCCACCACCGCGACCACCGCCTCGTCCACCGCGATCACCAAATCCTCGGCCACCGCCACGACCGCCACCACGGCCACCACCGAATCCTCCACGTCCACCTGGAGAATCATTCTGGGGACGAGGTTGGCTGTAGTCAAGACGGACGGGTCGGCTCTTGATGTAGCCGCCTTGCATGGCTTCAAGCGCGCCTTGAGCTTCTTCGACTGAAGCGAAGGTGACATATCCGAAACCCTTGGGAGCGCCGGTCTCACGGTCAGTAGGGAGACGAATACCCATGACAGTGCCATGAGGACCGAATGCTTCAGTGACATCTTCCTGAGTGCAGTCGAAGGAGAGGTTGCCGAGGAAGAGGGTGTCGCTGGGCTGGCTGACCTGATCGCCATAGGACTTGCGTCGGTTGTCTTGCTGCTGGTCCTTGTTGGGACGAGCATTGGCAAAGTCAACATTGAGGGCGCGGCCGTCGAGATCAGCACCATGCTTCTCACCCTGGGCTTTGGCCGCATCAGCAGCATTGACGAATTCGACATAGCCGAATCTGTAGCAATGTTAGTACACCCTTGTAGCCAACGTAGATTGTAACTCACCCTTTGGATCTGCCACTGTCGCGGTCAGTCATGATACGGACACCGCTGAGCTCGCCGAAAGCCTCGAACTCTGAGCGCAGCCACTCTTCGTCGACGTTCCAGGAGAGGTTACCGACGAACAAGTTGGATCCCTTGGAGGTGTCGGCGTCGGCATCGACCTTGTTCTTCTTAGCAGCGGGAGCGTCCATGTCATCGGCCTTGCGTTTGTTGGCAGGCTTCTTCTCAACCTCCTCTTCTTCGTCTTCGCTGTCGTCTTCGGACTCGTCGCTACCCTCTTCGGAGTCATCACTTTCCTCTTCATCACTGTCCTCGGTATCGGCCTTGGTAGCCTTGGTACCGTTTGTCTTAGGAGCAGCGACTTCCTCTTCATCACTCTCTTCCTCTTCGGAAGACTCGTCGTCCTCCTCCGAATCGTCCTCGGAGTCATCAGACTCGGCAGGCTTCACTGCTTTGGGCGCAGTTCCATTAGCCTTGGGAGCTTCGTCTTCGGAATCGGATTCCTCGCTAGACTCTTCGTCGCTGGACTGAGCCTGAGGAGCGACCTTGACACCATTGCTGGGCTTGGCCTCCTCCTCACTTTCGCTCTCCTCTGAATCTTCTGAATCTTCGGACTCACTTTCTTCTTCTTCCTCTTCGGAGCTGGACTCTGGGGTCGGCTCCTTGACAGGGACCTTCTTGGACTTCTTCTCCTCTTTGGCAACAGCCTTCTTGGCAACTTCCTTGCTCTTGTTCTTGTCACTTTGGGCAGGCTTTGCGACAGCAGCGCCCTTGACTTTGCTCAAAACATCGGACTTGGTCGACTTTGCCTTGGCGGCAGAAGTAGGCTTTGACTTGGACATGTTGACGATCTACATTTGATTAGTCGAGGTAACATATGGGAAAGGGGATTGATGCAAACATTAAACCCTCAGTTCTTACTTCGTCCCTCAGAAAATTCTTTTGCAGTGCGGCTAAAATAGCTTGTATGGCAAAACCCTCAACCCACAGAGTGAATCAGAGCCCTCGACCTCAAGAGTCAAATGCCTTGGCAAGTGACTGGCAGATAGATCTGCTAAGCGCGCAAGCCCACAGTGATTGAATCGGACTGGACCGGACGGCAGGAATAGACAAGCAAGACCTGCGATGAACTTGTGAATGCCCTCGGTATCAAAGCCCACAGAGCCCTCGATAGACCTCAAAAGATGCCCTCGAATGATGACCACGATGGAATACTGAGATAAGAGATGGTGCAAGAGTAAAGTGAAGAGTAAAGTGAAGAAAAGAAAGGTTCAAGGAGAAAAGCTGGATACTTGAACAATCCATAAGATTTGGAAATTTTCTTCTTATCTTAGCGTCTCTTATCGTAGTGTCAGTTGTAGTGGCAGTGGCTGGGGATTGGCCAAGCCACGCCAAGCTTAGAGTGTAAATTGGCCAATCGGCGAGTCGGCTAAAGTCTGCACTCTATGGTTTACTGCTCTACCCTACACCTCTTCTACATGAACCAGCCTGGCATTTCCCAAGCTCTCCCATCACTCACCATGTAACTAGGACCACAATGGCGAGTCCTGCGAGTTCCCATAGACCACGGAAGAAGCGAAAGCAGGCTCCGGCCCTAACTCGAAGCGCGACAATTACAGATATTGTCAAGTTCACCTCCGAAGACAATACTGTCGCCCCTGAGTTTCCACTGGTGGCCTTCTTATGGCCAGCTCGAGGCACAACTTCTCAATGGATCCTCTTACCACTTATATTGATGATCGTCGGTCTATTTCGATGGAGCGTGGGGCTTTGGGGTCATTCAGGCTACCAACAACCACCGATGCACGGCGATTTCGAAGCTCAGAGGCACTGGATGGAAATCACAACCCATCTCCCAGTTTCGCAATGGTACTTCTACGACCTACAATATTGGGGACTGGACTATCCTCCATTGACAGCCTATCATAGTTGGCTATGTGGCAGAATGTGAGTATGGGACTGATATGCTCTAAGCTCTCACTAACCAATACAGTGGCTCGCTGTTCAGCCAGGACTGGTTTGCGCTCGACAAATCCCGTGGCCTCGAAACGCAAGATCTGAAAGTTTTCATGAGGGCAACTGTCATCATTTCAGAATATCTCGTCTACGTGCCAGCACTGGTTATATTTCTACGACGCTACAGCCGGGCCCAAGGTGTTGGGACGACTGCATCTTCGATTGCACTCGTCGCAATTCTCATGCAACCAGCGACTGTCCTCATCGACCATGGCCACTTCCAGTACAATACCGTCATGCTCGGCTTCGTTGTGGCCGCACTATCAAGCATATATGCCGGACGACTTTTGTGGTCGTGCATTTTCTTCGTGGCTGCTCTGGGGTTCAAGCAGATGGCTTTGTACTATTCACCAGTCATCTTCGCTTACCTACTAGGATCATGCTTCACGCCATCCTTTCGGCTGGGTCGCCTCATATCAATCGCCTTGATCACCCTTGTCGCTTTTGCAGTCTTGTTTGCACCGCTGCTTCTGGGGTCCCTTTACGATATCTACCAGAAAGCCATTCCCACGGGATGGCTTCCTCCACCTCCTTTGCTTGCAGAACACAGGATACTGCTCAACCCTAACAGGCCGTTCGACATGGTCATTCTACAAGCCACTCAAGTCATTCATCGCATGTTGCCATTTGCCCGAGGATTGTTCGAAGACAAAGTCGCCAATTTCTGGTGCTTTGCCAACACATTCTACAAGTTGCGCAAACTTCATAGCATCATTGACCTCTCACGACTATCTGCTCTCGCCACGCTCATATCAATCCTCGGCCCGATGCTTGTTATTGGCGCCGTTCCGAAGAAATCCCTCCTGCCCTATGCACTGGCGACATCAGCATGGGGCTTCTTCCTCTTCTCGTTCCAAGTGCACGAAAAGTCGGTCTTATTGCCACTTCTCCCAATGACGCTGCTCCTCGGCGGTAGACAAGGCCTGAGCAAGGAATATCGCGCCTGGATCGGATGGGCAAACATTCTCGGCTGTTGGACTATGTATCCGCTCCTGAAGAGAGATGGTCTACAAACGCCATACGCTGTCATTAGTCTCCTGTGGAGTTATCTTCTTGGCCTGCCGCCCACCAGTGTGAGCGCATACTACGATCCCGAACGGCCCAACGTCCCCGGCCGTGCTCTCACTGTTGATGAGCTGCGGACACCAACGAAGATCCTGCATTTCCAGACGTACATCGTCATGGCGTTCTGGCATCTTCTCAATGCATTTGCTTCACCACCAGACGACAAGCCGGACCTCTGGATCGTGGTGAATGCCTGCATTGGCGCAGTAGCTTTTGGTATCTGTTACCTTTGGTGCTTCTGGAAATTGATATCCGAAAGTGGATTGCTCGATGCGTACTTCGCTGATCAAGATACGGCTGAAAACCGATCCCCATCAAGAGAACGGTCTGCGGCACCTGAAAAGAAGCGCCAGTGAGGAAGCTCGGATGTTGCTTTCAGCGTTGCATTTCTAGCAACTATAGTGTATGAGAAGTTGTCACACCACGTTTGTTCTGAATAAAAGCACACTGTACATATACAAAACATCCATCCCAAAGGCTCATCAACCGAGTACCGTTTCATCACTCGTCATAGGTCTTGCTCATCCAGCCCTTGTTTCGTCAATCGTTACCGTCCCTGCCAGTACCATGCTTTCCAATCCACTCGGTCCCTCAATTTTACTCCGGCTTATGCATAGTTAACGACTCCTTGAACAGCCCAAATCTCGCCATTCCCAACCCGACCAACCACGCCATCGACCTCCAAATTTCCCGGCATAACCACCTTCTTGCCATCCTTCTCCTCCCACCACAGTTCCTGCCCGCCGAGAGTCTTGATCCTCCCTTCTTTCCCTGCTTTCCACGGACTTGTAGGCACAACATGCTCCTCGACAAACCGTGCTAGATTCTGGGCGGCTTTATCTTCATTCCGCGCCGCACTGATGCCGGAGTTGTCACCCGGCCTGTCTTCCCACGGTTTTCGGGGGAGTGCTTGCATCGCACTGTTCAGTGGCGCCAGCAGTGTCGTGTTATCTTCGGGTTTTGTAGATTCCAGACGGCCTGCGACGCTGGAGATGTCCCGTGTCAGAGAGGCGAAGATGTTGATATTTCGCGTTTTGGGGAGGATGTCGGAAATGGAGAGGGTGGAGTCGCTGGGTCGACCATTGTCTGCACTGTCGCCAGTTGAAGGCTCCTCGGGTTGAAAAGGGCCGGGATTCATGGGGACTTGTCCTGCGAATTGGTGGGACTGGAGGGATGACAGGGAGCCGGAAGCGCTGCGGAAGAAGTCGAGCGGTGACAGGGCGGCAGCGAGGGAGATCGATGAAAAGAGGCTGGCGAAGAGGATTGTGCGACGCATTGTCTTGAATGTACTTGAGGATTTTGTATAACAGGATTGGATGGAATGGATTGAAAGGGAGGATGCAGGCCCTTGGACAAGCCTGGGAGGATTCGGAGATGGAAGTGACGTCGCAGGCTCTACTCTTGACACGTGACACTGAATATCTGCGACTTTATCTTGCGATACCTAGCAAGCTACGGAGTACCTAACCTACCTAGGTCCCTACCACCTACTGTGTACAGACCCGACACGATCAAGTCTTTCATCGAATCATTCTCGTCATCCTCGCTCACACAGCCATCAAAGGCTGCTTAAGATCCATGTCTCGATCTGACAGCGCCCTACTCTCCCTCAAATTCCCGCACAAATCTAAGTAGCCCCCGAGGCCAAGCCACGCGGCGATCAACAATACCGCAGCTATCACAATGATCCAGGTCAAGATGGTGTTCAAGTGAGTGAACATGGCCTCTGGCGTGTCGTTCGCAGCATACAACAACATGATACCCATCACCGGCTCTAGAGACCCATCCGACTTGGCCATCGGCTTGTGCAGTCGAGTATCGTAGTGGGCAACCAGAGACCAGACATCCCCAGGATCGACATTTCCAGGCTGGCAAGTATCAATGCTGGAAATGTGCCGCTCTGAGTTGGCCATATACTCGTACCTTACGTAAGTAGCGTTCAAGTTGCACACAGCCTGCCCATTCTTCATCAGCTCAATGTGGGTTCCGCCGTCATGCAGATGCCCTCCAGCAAAGGTAAACTTTCCCTCACCCACGCCTTTGACCGGTGGACTCGAGTACTCGAACGTGGTGTTCCGATAAGCCGGAAGCCCAGACGGTCCGCATCCTCCACTGTCCAGCCAATATGGTGTGACTTTCAAAAAGTTTTGGATATGGGCTCCTTCGACAATCTCATACTTTATAGTGAGGACGACATCCTGCTGGGGAACGTCCAACATGTTCATAAGCTCCACAGAGAGAGCGACGGCATCGGCAGCATCGAGAAAGTATCCTGCTTTGAAGGTGCTGTGCTCGTCAGATACGTCTCGGCGTACTGCAGAACGACATCCGGGACACAACAAGCTTACCCGCCTGCAGAGAAGTCGACTGCAGTTCTCTCATTACCGGAGGCGAAGAATCTTTGGCCATATGCTCTTGGCCCGCAAACAGAATCCGTTCGATTGATATTGACCATTATTCCATGATGCAGCCACATTCCCGTGTCCGGGTTTGCCACGGTGCCGTTGGTATATTCAAGGCCCATATGCATCCAAGTAACCACGCACTGCGTGCAAGGAAGAGGCGTCGGACGCTGAAAGAAACCTCCCATCCCATCATTCTCAAACATTGGTGGCACCGAAACAGCTGGATATTTGACCGTCACTTTCTTGGATTGCAACTCGGGAAAGAGTATTCCAGAGCTGTAGGTCATTGACACTCCTGCCTCTTGTAAGTTCGGGCATCGTTGCTTATGTTTGATGTCCGTGACTCACCATCCGGCTCGACACTCGGCTGGACATGTTCGGTCTGTCCAAGGCTTAGGAGGGCAAAACAGCCCAAAAGGTAGGGCGAATGCGCTCTCATTGTATACTTGGATTTATGGATGTGACCGAATCTGCAGGCTTCCTCTGCGCACACAAAGACGAGGAATGAGGTCAAAAGCCAAAGGAGATGTGGGAGGACGAAGCGAGAGAACATTATCAGTGCCCTTCCAACAGGCAGAACCTTTTCAAGCCTTGAGAGACCGAAGGACTCGTATGCACAATGGAAAGAGGGGTAAGCCACCCATCACTGACATTGGCCAATTCGCCCGGGACCTCGACCATTGGATACTGGTATCATCGTGGATCAAACTCGAAGACAACTGGATGAAGGGTTGCTGACAGCGTTTTCAAGCCCAGCAATGGCCCCGTCGGATCTCAATTAAATACAAGATCGACTTCCTCGTGCCACATGAGCCAGTGTGCACTGTCATCTGGAGGAGACGGATCACTACTACGCTCTAGCAGGTACTCCATATCTTTGCACCTCGCCAACTGTATCACAGCCTTCTTCGAACCGTTTGCACCTTCTATAATATCTAAGAGACTGCATCCAGCGATCCGATCTTTTTCCGGTATGGCCTGAACAGCAATATCGTGAGATAGTCCAGCTATATCTGTTGAAGTCCTCAGTGATGTCGAGTGCACCCCTTCTTCCGCCCGAACCACAGCCTCGGCAACAGCGGCTTCGACATAGCTGCACCATGGACCTTCACGACCACATGTGCGCAGAAGTGAGATTGCTTTTGAACGCCATCTTGGCTCCCGATATTTCATTGCTGTGAAGAAAAGCGGCTGAATCACCCCCATTTCTGGGCTGAACATAGGCAAGTAGGTGTCGTGCTTGTTTGCCCCGAGGGTTTCCTCGACGAGTTGGACGATCTGTTGGAATCGATGTGCATATTTGTCGTATGCCATCTCATATGGGTCTAACTTTGTGGACACATATATCAGCGCGCTGAGACAATGTGCCTGAAGCACCAACCCGCGCAGCCGATCACTGTCAGAGACTGGTTTGCCGAGACTCTGGTAACCTTCTTGATACCACGACATCCACGTGGTCAAATTGGCGATGTGGCCGCCTTGTTCCGCAATCAGAGACTCACGCCTTGGATCGTGCTGCTTGTACTTGTATAGGCTTGCCTGCGGAGTGAAACTATAGCAAAGATGCAAAGTCCGAAAAAGGAGGCGGTCGGCTGCGTTCATCGTGAAGGCATCATTTGCAGCGCACATTGGGTTGTTCACATTTGACAGTGGAAGCTCAGGAGCCATTCCCTGGGCATACGTCGTAACCTGCAAGTCCAGTTTTCGAAGGATGTATGAAGTGTTGTCGTCTTGGAAACCAGGTTCCACATCGCAGCCGGATCGCAGATCCTGCATGGCTGACATGGCTGCATAAGCACCTCGCAGATGCAACAAAGCATCAGTGTTCCGGTGCTGAATAGTTTCGGCAGATGCCAGCAAGATGCAGGCTACAAGGACAGGCAGAGGTCCGTACGGAAGTCGAACAATTTCCTCCTGCAACTTCCTCACTGTTCTTGATATCTGCTTCAACACGGTCAACTTGGAGACTCTGCATTGCCGCCTAAGTACTTGGTGCTCATAAGAAGCCCCAAATGCCGAAGCTGCTTCCCTCACGCTGGCAATCGACCAGGTGAGTTGAGGTAGAAGGCATCTCCAGAAAGCCGCCTCTGGTGCTGTTTTGGTGCCAACAAAGCCATTGGCTAGCACCGTACAAGCTAGTGCCTGCAGGCGATCTTTTTCATGATCTCTTTCGCCAGCAGCATAAAGGTTGATGCCTTTGCCAGGATCCATGAGGCCGCCCCATCGTCTGTCCAAGTCCTGAATCGAAGCCACGGGCCCTGGGGGTGCTCCGACAGGATATCCTCCACATTGTCGAGGTGACTTGCTTTTGCTACACTTCAAGCAGCTAGGTTTTGTCTCGTCGCATTTCACCCGGCGAATCCTGTGGATTTGCTTCGTCAACACCGAGGATATTCAAGGCTCACGGACCACTTACTTGCAAGTGTAGCAGCCGTACTTGGACTGCTGAACATTGGTACGTGTTCTGGATCCAACAACGACAGAAACCGCCTGGGGATCCATAATTTGCGTATCATCAAGTCCCTGAGCTCAAAGACCGAGATCTTAAAGGAAGCGAGGGGGACTTTCTAAATGTCGTTGCCTTATGGAACCCTGGTCTGCATACGGGGTGGCGCAAAGTCACACGAAACCGGCCAATAGGATCTAACAAACACCGAGCTCGACTACGACAGCAGATCACCCTTTTTACCCGCCGCTCCTCATACCATGTCTGCCGTTACGAAGTGAGGATCGCCCCCAACCAAGGCCCCATAGAGCTCGGGCGATCGTCCTGATACGGTGTGTTTGTGAAAGTAGCAGAAGACTATCGGGATGCCACAGCAAATTTTGATGTCTGCCTGGCTTGCAATGGAAACCAGGAGGTGGTTGGACCTCGATATAAAACTTGAGGGGACTGCAGCTATGGTGTGCTGTCCATTCCACGTTTCATCAAGTCCACGCCGTCCACCAAGCTAAGTTGGCTGTTACGACCAATTCCAATCTTCTCGTTCTCCTTCACTAACGTGAATATGAGCAATTCGACCTCATTTGACCCTGCCAACTGCACATACGCTACCTGCTCCGTCGCAGAGTATGGGCAATTGACCTATATCCCTTCCCTGCCCGGCAATGCATTCTACCTCGCCATATTCGCAGCCGCCGCCATTGCACAACTCGTCTTGGGCATCACCTACCGCACATGGTCCTTCACAATCGGCATGCTATGTGGCTGCGCTCTCGAGATCTTGGGCTACGTCGCCCGCATCCAACTGCACTACAACGACTTTGACAACAACCATTTCATCGTGTACCTCGTCGGCTTGACCATCGGGCCCGCGTTCTTCTCTGGCTCGATATACCTTTGCCTGGCACGGATCATTGCCGTGTACGGGACCGGGGTGTGCGTGCTCAGTCCCCGGACGATCACGGTGGTGTTTGTGTGTGCGGACTTCTGCTCGCTTGTGCTGCAAGCCGCGGGAGGGGCGCTGACGAGCTTGGCCATCTCGGAAAGTCTGGTCCAGGCCGGGATCAATATCATGATCGCAGGGCTGGCGTTGCAGGTTGCGAGTACGACGGTGTTCTGTGCGGTTTGTCTGCAGATCGTGGCGAGGGTGTTTATGAGGCCGGAATCTGTTCGTCGAGATACGGCTGGGTTGGCGGTAAGACAGACCGGCAGGTTTCGATATTTTTTGTGGGGTCAGTCAAATCACTTTACAATGTGTGAGCCATACACGATGCTGACGGACGGTCGTGCACAGGTATTGCGATTGCTACCATTGCCATCCTGGTGCGCTGCTCTTTCAGGGTTGCGGAGCTGAGTAAGGGCTTTGGCAGTGATTTGGCGAACAACCAGGTCCTTTTCATGGTTCTGGACGGCGCGATGATGTCTGTTGCTGTGCTGGTGTTGACGGGTGGGCATCCTGGTCCTGCCCTGGGAAGGGAGGTGTGGAGAGAGGGCGGGATCACTCTGTGTGGCAACAAGTCGAGAAAGACGCGCCGGATGCGTGTGGACAGCGAACCTCGTGCAACGGAATTGAGGGCGACCATGAGGAAGTGAAGGCTTCATTGTCAGGGTAGCAGGCTGCAGAGGTTTGGTGCAGCATGACATGTCTCATGGCGATGGGGATACTACAGTTGGCTTTCCTGTTGCTCACGCTTTCCCACCCTGTAGCTACTGTCTCGGACTTATCCATACCTTTTACCCAGCACAGTAGCTCTGTGGGACTAGTACCACGACCATTGAGGCCCGTGAGGCCGGGAGGATAAAAAGGCCAATGTCTGAGGAATGGTCGGGAGGATAACCACCTACAAGGGGTGACTTACTGTACGCCTGGTGAGTCCCTAAGTTAAGCATGCCGACGTCATACAATGCCCCAGTCAAAGGTGGCATCATTGGGCCATTGGTGGTGGTGATGGCGGGGAAGTCTTAAGCATGGTCGGTGTTACTCGGGGTATCAACCGTTCCACTGAGCTTTTAATCTATCACGCTACTAGTACTCTGAGTCAACATCACGAGAGCAGACCGCAAATCCGCGGTGCTTCTTGAGTATGGCATACAAGGGACGAATTGCCATCATCGCTGGAGGGATCGGTAAGGTCGATTTCCCCGGCTGAAGAACCTGGACTGACTCGACGTCACAGGCGGCCTAGGGTCGACGACGGCTTTCCACCTTTGGAAGCTAGGAGCCAGCGTTGCGCTCTTGTATGCCCCGTTTGAAGCGTCACGGGTCAACGAGACCCTGAAGAGGGTCTTTGATAGCGAGACAGCCGACAAGGTCTACACCTTTGAGTGCGACATCACTTCGGAATCCTCAGTCCACGATGTTTTTGATCAGATTGCCAAGTTGGACGGTTTCCCCTGCATCTTGATAAATGCGGCGGGCTACGTGTCCGTGCAGCCACTCGAAGAGACTTCGGCAGAGGAGGCACTGAAGAACTTCCTCCCCAACATGCTGGGTCCATTCATCACGAGCAACGCATTCTTCCGGCTGTACCAGGCCAAAAAAGCGGAGGTGGCTACTGTAGCTGCAGAAGCGGAAGCAGAAGACAAGAAGGGCAAGGCGCCACCGGGGGGAAGGATCGTCAGCATCGCCTCGCAGGCCGCACACGTCGCCTTGGACGGCCATGGAGCGTACTGTGCGTCAAAAGCCGGCCTGCTCGGCCACACCAGGTGCATGGCAAGCGAATGGGGTCCAAAAGGCATCACGGCAAATACTGTAAGTCCGACGGTTACGTGGACACCGTTGGCTGCGAAAGCATGGGCAGATGAAGCGAAGAAGGAGAAGCATCTCGCTCAGATACCAACGGGGAGATTCAGTGAGCCGGCAGAGATTGCCCATGCGATTGGATTTCTGTGCCGTGACGAAAGTGCCATGATCAATGGAGCGGATATTCGAGTGGATGGCGGTTTCACTATTGCCAGGTAGCTGTCGTTCATCTGAAACACACAAAATCTAGCGGGAACAGACACAAATCTCATCAGGTCATGTCGGTCGAGCCTTGTTTTCGAGCAGCCTCTTGAGGGGTTTGCAGAGGTAGGTACAAGTACTAGTGTCTAGTATTCATCCCGGAGTACAACTACGGAGTACCTACCCCGGTATACCCGGTTTGTGCGGGGTTGATCAATGCTTACCGGCATCCGAGGCTCGCAGACTTAAGAGCTTACTGTTGATGAGGCATTAATTGCCTCGGCCCGTCTAGACGAGGTTCGACATTGTGCTCCCCGGCCTATTCATCGTTTCAATATCAATATCGGCTCCTTTGAGGTCGTCGAGACATGCGGCCTTGCAATTATGGCTTCTCGAATCCGCTATGACAACCAAGTTGCCGTGGTCACCGGTGCTGGCAATGGCCTGGGAAGACAGTACGCCAAATTCCTAGCCTCTCGTGGAGCAAAGGTTGTCGTCAACGACCTAGGCGGGACGTTCAATGGCAAAGACGCTGCGGGTGCAGGCGACTCGAGAGTCGCCGATGTTGTTGTCAAGGAGATTACCGATGCAGGAGGGATAGCTGTTGCCAACTATGATCCTGTCCAACATGGCGAGAAGATCATCAAGACCGCCATCGATGCTTTCGGCAGAGTCGACATACTTATCAACAACGCCGGTATCCTTCGAGACATCACGCTAAGGAACATGAAGACGGAGGATTGGGACATCATCATGGACGTCCATGTCCATGGCGCAATGAAGACGGCAAGGGCCGCCTGGCCCCATATGCGGAAACAAAGGTACGGCAGGATCATCAACACCTCGTCAACGTCCGGCCTCTTCGGCAACTTTGGACAGTGCAACTATGCCGCTGCGAAGATGGCTTTGGTGGGTTTCAGCGAGACGTTGGCCAAGGAAGGGGCCAAGTACAATATCCACTGCAACGTGCTCGCCCCTGGGGCCGCCAGTCGCTTGACACAGACGGTGTGGACGCCGGAGATGATGGACGTCATGAAGCCAGATTGGGTCGTTCCACTGGTAGGAGTACTGGTGAGCCAGCAATGCAACGAGACTGGAAGCATCTTCGAAGCTGCGGCCGGCCATTACAGCAAAATCAGATGGGAGCGGAGCAGAGGCTTCCTAGCACACCCTGATACTCTCGGCCCCGACTTGATCTTGCAGAATTTCTCGAAAATCGTCGATTGGTCTGCTGGTGCAGAGCATCCCACCGGACCGGCGGGTGCAGTGGCTCTGTTCGAAAAGACCACTCAACTGCCCAAAGCGGATGTCCCAGCGACCGGTCAAGCAAGTCTCACGGGAAAGGTCGCGCTCGTCACAGGCGGCGGTGACGGATTGGGAAGAGCATACTCTCTTGCTTTCGCCAGACTTGGAGCTCGCGTGGTCGTCAATGACCTCAAAAACGCTGAGAGAGTCGTGAACGAAATTAAATCCATGGGCGGAGAAGCCTGGGCGTTGGAATTGTCGGTCGAGGATGGCGAGGCTGTGGTGAAAAAGGTCATCAGCACCTATGGCCGGATCGATATCTTGGTGAACAATGCTGGCATCTTGCGTGACAAGGCGTTCGTCAACATGACAGATGAGCAATGGTTCTCCGTGATGAACGTCCACTTACGATCCACTTACCTTATAACAAGGGCCGCCTGGCCGTACATGATGAAACAAAGATTCGGAAGGATCGTCAACATCACCAGTACCACGGGCATATATGGGAACTTTGGACAAGCCAACTATGCAGCAGCGGTAAGTGTGGACCTCTACTAGTTTTAACATTGGGTATCGAGACTGACCTTTCCGCCCCAAGAAATGCGGCGTCATTGGCTTCACAAAGACCATTTCTCGAGAGGGAGCAAAGTACAATATCGTCGTCAACGCTGTGGCTCCATCCGCTGGCACGAACATGACCCGTACGGTGTGGGCGGAGGACTCTGTCCATGCAGTAAAGCCGGATTATGTTGCACCGCTGATCACCGCCTTATGCAGTGAGCGGCCACCAAGCACCGGACAATTGTACGAAGCCGGTAGCGGGTGGTTTGCCGCGACGAGGTGGCAGAGGGCCAGGGGTGTGGACTTTGAGCATGAACAGGGCGTTCCGAGCGTTGAGCAGGTGGCGGAGGTAAGTACTCGACTCTTATGGGGAACTATCAGGTAATTGATACTGACGCATGCTTACTATAGGCTTTCCCAGAAATCTGCAATTTCGACAACGGCAAGGCCGACAACCCAGAGACCCCGCAGGATGGAAGCAAGTACACCATGGGCAACGCCCTGAAGAATCCCAGAATCGTGAGTGTCTTGTCCTGTAGAAACTTGAAGTTCTTGAACCATATGGGTGCGATTAATCATAGTATGGACTGACTCCCAAATCCAGGCCAACAGCTTGTCACAAGAGAACCGAGCCAACAGGAAGTACATCTCCAAGATCCAGAATGCCATGGAGATGAAGGGGACGCCCTCAATCTACACCTACACCGACCGAGATGTCATTCTGTACAATCTTTCTCTAGGCTCCCATCGCACACAACTCGACTTGGTGTACGAGAATTCACCTAACTTCCAAGTCCTCCCGACCTTTGGCATCGTACCCACATACCACTCGACCACGCCATACGATACGAAGGACATTGTGCCCAATTACGACAAACGCATGCTTCTACACGGCGAGCAGTACCTGGAGATCAGGCAGTTCCCCATTCCGACATCAGCTACACTAAAGACAGAGACACGTCTGCTCGAAGTCGTCGACAAGGTCAACGCCGCACTCGTCAGACGAGGCTCCACGACCGTGGATGCCAGCAGTGGAAGGCCCGTCTTTTACAACGAGAGTGTCTCCTTCATCCGTGGCGCCGGTGGCTTTGGAGGCCTGAAAAACCCCGCGGATCGAGGCGCCGCGACCGCTCTGAACAACCCACCATCTCGAAGGCCTGACAAAATCGTCGAGGAGAAGACGTCAGAAGACCTCGCCGCGCTCTATCGACTCATGGGCGACAGGAATCCTCTGCACATTGATCCGAAATTCTCGTCCGCGGGCGGGTTCAAGGTCCCCATACTCCATGGCTTGGCGACGTTCGGCATCACTGGCAAGCATGTCTACCAGGCGTACGGGCCGTTCAAGAACATCAAGGTGAGGTTCAGTGGGACGGTTCTGCCGGGCGAGACGATCGTTACGGAGATGTGGAAGGAGGGAGCCAAGGTCATATACCGTGCCAAAGTTCAAGAGAGTGGGAAAAGCTGTATCAGCAATGCCGCTGTAGAATTGTTGGGAGGGAAGACTGTGCTGTAGACTTGGTTTTGTAGCGGCAGACTGGCATGGAAGTGAACGGTGGATGCTGCTGTCGAACCAAGGTCGTCGGAGCTCTTTGCGGGCACTTTTGGGCACCTCACCAGCCAAGGTTCGGGCGTGTGGTGAGCCGTTCCTCCTCCACAAACCGCCTCCGGAGGGGGATTACAGCGGCAAGAGGAGCACCGGAAATTACCAGCAGCAAACTAATCGAACATTCTGTGGCCCTCCCAGAACTTTACTGTATTCTAAGGGTTTCGCCGAACCTGATTGCAGCAACCGGCCGCTGGATGCCACGTGGTTATGGGGTCGTATAGTCTGAGAAATGCAGCACTAAGGGTGGTCTGAAGACTGGTCTCAATGCCCTGTGCTGGTACTGTATGTGACCAGTGTGGTCCTGTCCCTGTCCCAGTAAAAGGCATGATGCAGGAACTCCGAGTATCGGCAAGCTCAGCCGGTTCTCTGCTTGATACACTCGCTACATATTCTCGTCGATGGTCCAAATCAATCGAAATAGATCGAATCGAAGGGGATTCTCATGTGTTTCCTGCTGTCCGTCTCTGGCCAAGGCAATCGCGTCCCTGAAGCGACGTCTCTAGTCCTTGAGTTCAGCCTCACTAGCCTGCGCCTACCACACGCTCTTGGTCTGGGCTCGCAAGCGGTCCCAGACCCTGTACTTAATTGACTCTACATGGCTTCCCGTGGCTTGCAGCCACTCTATAATGTAGATACGTTTCTACGCCGACCCGAATGCTGATTGGAGGATGGCCACAGCAGACTGCAGTGACCGCACTATATGCGTCTGTTATCTATCCGCGTGTGTGTTATCGCTTCGACTATCAGAGCTGGTGGGGCTACTAGGCCTCCAATTCCTTCCAAGTCTATCTGTGCAGCGCAAGTCCGCATGAGGGCGACACCCAGGGCTTGGAAACCTGGCGGTAACTGCTTGGCGACGTCGCCCTCGTCCGTGGCCCACGCCTTGCTAAAAACAACAATCTACGATGATCGCAGCAGCGATTGGCTGGGCTCGAACAGCCAGATCGGCGCCCACCCCCGTCTACATGGGCGGAGGCAGTACCTATGGCTGGCTACTCAAGACCCCGGGTTAACTGGCATCGCAAAGCGGGTCAAGGCGACCATATACGGAAATGAATAGGATCTGGCCACGCGCCCTCGTCCGTAAGGAGAGTCTTGCTCGACAGGTATAAGAGATCGCTGATGATGCCTGTATAGCCAGGGAACGTTGGCAAGGGTACCTCGATCTTTTGCCATCAACTAGACAGTACTCCCAACATCACCATGTCTCTTCCCGTTCCAGGAACGGTCCATTTGGTCGATTTGGCCAACAACCTGGCCGTCAAGCATGGCGAAGGAAAAAAGGACATTGTCCTCATTCCACAACCATCGTCTGATCCCAATGACCCCCTCAACTGGGGCTGGTGGCGGAAAAACCACAATCGGCTCTGGCAGTGTCTCTGGATGATCTCTGGTTGTGCCATAATCAGCTCGCTCTCGCCAGCCTACCTGCTCATTCAAGAAGATACCGGCATCCCGATTGCCAATCTCTCCACTGGCATCGGTCTGATGTATCTGTTCCTTGGCTGGGGCAATCTCATCTTCCAGCCTTTGGCCCTCAACTTTGGCCGGCGACCCGTCCTCATCTTCTCACTCTTGGGAACCGCGTTGATGGTCTTGTGGTCGGCATACATCCAGAGCAGCGGTGTGTGGTACCTCAACCGCATCCTGATGGGTATTTTCTTCGCCCCGGTCGAAACTCTCGTCGAGATCGTCGTGACTGATCTCTCCTTCACCCACGAACGAGGTTTCCATATGGCGATCTACCAATGGACACTTTGGAACGGCGCTCTCCTGGCCCCCATCCCTGCAGGATACATCGCTGAAAATCACGGATGGCGCTGGATTCAATGGACGGGCACCATCCTTGGTCTCAGCGTCACATTTCTCATGGTCTTCTTCTTTGAAGAGACCATGTATTTCCGACAAACTATTCGGGACGAGTTCGTGGGCGAAAATATCCAGGAGACGGACATCTCATCCCAGGTATCACAATCTGAAAAATCCAAGGGGCCCGTGGATTCAAAGGCACAGCTCTCGTCGACATCGAACAGCGAGTCCCCTATCGAGCAGGCGGAGGTCTGGCTCACGCCAAAACAGAGCTTCCTTCGAAACCTAAGGCTCTGGAATCTTCGTGCACCGGACCAGCCAAGGACACCCTGGAAATCCGTCCTGCTGCCTCTGATATTGCTGCGTTATCCAGCCATGCTCTTTGGGGGTCTCTTGGTTGGCAGCGTTCTCTCTTGGTTCAACGTCCTCAACGCAACCACCGCAGAAGTCTTCGGCAATGCGCCTTATAACTTCACGACAAACCAAATCGGCCTGATCTACCTCGCTTCGGTGATCGGGGCTACGATCGGATGCTTTCTCTCGGGTACGTTAAGTGACATGCTCTCTGAATGGCTGGCCCGCAGAAACAACGGCATCAAAGAGCCGGAACACAGACTCTGGATCGGTGCGATTGCGCTTGTCGTCCACCCCGCAGGATGCTTGCTATATGGCATCGGGGCTACCCAACAGATCCATTGGGTTGGCCTTGCCTTCGGAATTGGTCTTATGTCTATGTGCTTGCCCATTGGATCCAACATTGGCATCACCTATGTCATTGATAGCTACAAAGAAGTGGCTGGGGAGGGAGTGGTTTCGGTAATCCTGGTCAGAAACACGATAGGTACGTCTTTCGAGAACTTCCCCCTTCTGTTCGTATCCTCGTCGACGAAGACGTGTTATTCAAGGACTCGCATGCTAACGTTATTGCTCGTCCAGGATTTGCCTTTGCATACGCTATCACGCCAATGATCAAAGATCTGGGCCGACAAAACAGCTTTATATTGGTGGCTGTCTTGGGCGCTGCATTCTGGGTTATGTGTCTGGTTTTCATCTGGGGAGGGAAATCGTGGCGACGTAACTCTGCTAAGACCTATTGGCACTTGGTCGAAGGACACGGTCTCCATGCCCATTAGAGAGGTGATTCTGGGTGCAGGGGGGAGCAGAGGTGTCGATACAGACAAGACTCGAGTATGGAGCAAGGAGTGGGTCACGTAGGCATGGGCCGGTGTTAGTGCTGATGGGAAGGAGAATGTTCTTTCGGACGTCTTGTAGGACTATACAATATGGGGAGAAGGTTCCTGTCTGGACTAAATAAGGGGTTTACGGCCGCATTTGGCCAAACCATGTCCCGGTTGTTAAAGAATGGCTGAAAGAGTCCCTCTTGGCCGAGCCACTTATTTCCTTCCCACTTGTATACTTGTACGACGCCCTGAGGTCTTAGTATCTCGGGACCAGAACAAACGTCAAGCGATGTAAGACTGTCTTTGTACCTTCTCTTCTGCCTGGCCCGCCCGAGGATGCCCACGCCCTGCAGTATTGGGATCGTATCGATCAGGATGGAAGCTGTCGTACGCTCAGAAGGACCTACCAACAGCCTTGACCAGTATTGTGTGCAATCTGTGCCGCCATCTGGAGACAGAGCACCCATGCAGAGTCGCTCTGGTCCGTCGCTCACATTCAGGTCCCCAGTTCTCCTCTCTGTCGCCCTCGTCCGGGCGTGTGTGGACCACGCCAACTCCACACGCACACGACCCCTCGGTTTTGAAAGCGTTATAGGATCAGCTAACTAGATCGACTCCGCTCTGTGATTTGAAGCTGCTTGTTACATTAAGGGATCTGGGTCAGCTTTATCAAAGTTCATGGGAAATGTCGGCCCGTTTCAGTAACTACTAGCGTCTTCGTTGGACAGATTGTGGCTGGAATTTGCATCGTTGTGGCCGAGACTCCTCGAAATACATATAGGTCCCAGCAGACTCTCTTGCTAGTACACACCTGCGATACCGTCCGCCCACTTCGATCATCTTGAAGACTTACCAACAACAGCCATGTCGGACCAACCAGTCGTCCGCATTCCCATCATCGACATCTCCGGCTACCTCGCCGGTGAGCCTGGCGCGAAGGCGAAAGTTGCCGCGGAGCTGCGGACCGCATGCGAAGAGCAGGGCTTTCTGCAGGTCGTGGGCCATGCCGTGCCCGAGGACGTTCAGGCGAGATTTCTCGACGCGATCCAGCGGTTTTTCGCCCTGCCTATGGCGGAGAAGGAGAAGCTCTCACAGTCGAATTCGAAGTGCTATAGAGGCTACGAGCGACTCGGTGGCCAGAAGCTCGATGAGCTTGACACCTCGGCAACGCCCGATCAGAAAGAAGGCTTCTCAGTGCGTCCTGAGAGGCCGCTGGGCAAGTTTCTACAGGGCCCGAACCAGTGGCCGGAGAACCTGCCTGGGTTCGAGGAAGCCTATATGGACTACTTCAACTCGGTCCACGAGCTGTCAAAAACCATGTTCAAGCTGATGGCCTTGTCTCTTGATTTACCCGAGGACTACTTTGACTATTTTGGCTCGGATCCTGACGGTATGTACAGATATACTCCATCCGTTCTCGTATTTCGAATTTCTTACGTCTTTCCCTAGGGCTTTGCTTGTGTCGTGCGCACCATTACCCCCCTACCCCGGCAGATGTGGCTGGGAGAACGCGCGGCGTAGGCGCGCACACCGACTTCGGAGCGCTGACCCTGCTGCTCCAGGACGATGGTAAATGCTGAAAACCTCTCTGAATCGTCGAGAGCTTGATCACTAACCCATGATAAACAGTTGGCGGACTCGAAGTCCTGCACAAGGCAACAAACACGTGGCATCACGTCCCGCCCATTGACAATGCGTACGTGTGCAATATCGGCGATCTGATGCAGCGATGGACCAACGACCGCTACAAGTCGACCATGCATCGAGTCATCTCCCCTCTTAGTGGCAAGGATCGATATACATGCGCCTTCTTCAATGACGGCCCGTTGGACATGATCGTCGAGTGCTTGCCCACCTGCACCGCAACTGGCAACGAGCCCCATTACCAGCCAATCAAGGTTCTAGATCATGTTGGGCCTCGATATGTGCAGAGCTATGGGGCTGCCGGGACGGTGCTGACCGTGGCGTAGCGCTGGTTGACTTGGTACTACTACGACTCTCCGACGATGCATTCACCGGCTCGTTGGCACTTGTTGAGTACAGCAATGAAAGCTACCGCTGTATTTCGAAACAACTTCCCGGAGTCAAACAGGGACAGCAGTTGGGAACGAGGATAGGGGAACACGCAACGAAGAAACTTGAGACACACATTGGGAAACTGTTAGCTGGTCCGCCACTTTTCTTTTGTCGGATTACAATGTTTGCTGTTGAAAACGGTCCGTCTACTGGTATCTTGGAGCATAAAGTACTGCATTAGTGGATCTCATTTACACGGACTCTAGCCACCACTATACATGTAAAGACTGGTGCCACTCTAAATAGTATTCGGAATGAACAGAGTCTAGCCACTGTCTACGATCGAGAACTTAGTATTAGAATGAACAAAATATTCTTTGGACACGGCGCTCAGCGGTCGAGCGCGGAGTCAAGCGACACTAGCCCCATGCAAGGGAATCATCGGTCTCGTTGATCAATAACAAGGTTTGGCGAGGCGTGTGCATTGCATTGCATTGCATTGCATTGCATGCCCCGCTTGCTGGGGTGGCAGGAGTTGCAGGGGGGATCCCGGAAGAGGGCGAAGAGTAGTGTCGCCCAGGTCCGTTGGAGAAAAAAAGGTACAGAGATAACTGCGGCCGAGGGAAAAGTTGGATGGGACTGCGCGGTCGAGGGCGTTTACAGTATCTCTTACAAACAATGTCGAAACCCCCAAGGATGCTTGAAGGGAACATACCATATAGTACTCGGCCATTTGTTGCGAAGATTGATCCAACCCAGAGATAAAACTGTCCCCTTTGTTCACGACATCTGACCCGAGGGAATGGCGCCTTCTATAGCCGACGTGGTTGCACAAGATGCACTCTACCACAAGACACGCACGCTGTTGGACTTGCTCACTCTGAAAAACAAGGTCACAGTGCTTACAGGTAAGACGAGATGTTACCTGGCCGTCCAATCTGTGCAGGATGGATAACGGGTTGACAGGTGCTGGTCGGGGCATTGGCTTGTCGCTTGCGAGAGTCGCAGCAGAGCTGGGCAGCGATGTCGCGCTACTCGACGTCCTTCCAAACCCGCCCGAGGACATAAAAGAACTGGAGGAGCGTTTTGGGATCCGTGCCAAATACTACCAGTAAAATCAGTCCCCGCTGAATCCGGGCTTGGGTGTACAGTACTGTAGCTGACACCACATCCGCAGGGCCGACGTGACCAACCTGCCTCAGTTGACGGAAGTGGTTGACAAAATCAAGACCGAATTCGGACAGATAAACAACTGGTAAGCCTCGGACGTTCCACAATACTGCCAATGGTTCTGGCTCGCTGATGCACTCTATTCAGCGTTTCCGCTGCAGGGATATGCATTGACAAGCCCTTTCTGGATCACACGTGGGATGACAGCGTCAGAACCGTCAACGTCAATGTAAGGAGTCAAAGTTTGCCACCAGACACACTACAGACGTTCCTAATGACATGACATTCTAGATCCTGGGAAGCTTTTTCATCGCGCAGCTCACTGCCAAAGCCATGAAGGAACAGAAAAGCGGTGGCAGCATTGTGCTGGTCTCATCTTCTGCATCGCACATCTACACTACTTCGCGCTGTATGTCCATTTATAGCGCATCGAAAGGCGCCATCTCGGCCTTGACGACGAATCTTGCCGTGGAGCTGGCCGAGCACGATATTCGTGTCAACGCTATTGCGCCTGGCTTCATCGCGACGGAGATGGTCGTTGACCAGGCAAGTACCGATCCTCAGCTATGGATCGATTTCAACGAGGCGATTCCATTGAAGCGAATGGGAAGACGGGAGGACCTCAAAGGAGTGGTGGCGCTACTACTCAGCCCTGCTTCTTCCTTTATCACCGGCGGGGAATACGCGGTTGATGGAGGAATGACATGCGGGAGGAAATGAGGAATGGAACATTCAAGAGCAGCAGACAGAGATTGTACAGAGGGCCAGCCCTGGAGAAAGACAGTGCCACTTATAACGTCTGAGGTCAATTCTAGGAAGGGTCGTGTTGTATTTCCCAAGTAGAATCACGGCTAAGAGCGCTTCACCGCTCTTGCGACATGGCATGATCTTGCAAGACCTGGCGAAGAACCCTCGCGTTTGGCCACTTGATGGCACATCTGTCCAGAACCGTGCAGGCAAGAACATGCCCTTTGAGAGTTCGCTGGCCCGAAGTACTATCTTGCAAAATGAAGATGCCTGCTTTGTATGCCCAGTGCGGAGTAAACGCGTCCAGCACCATATCTTCCTGGCAATAACACGCCAGCAGGTCCATGGCTGACTCAACAGTCGGTCTTCTCAGGAACACGCTTTGGCACATCTTCGCGAGAAGGCAAGGCGAGTACTCGACCGCTTCGAACTCGGTTTGTAAAGACTCTTTGATCCCATCAAGGGACTTTTCACTCTGCGACCCCGATTTCGTTGGATACAGCGAGCACAGAAACATGTTCTCGTTAGTCGTGCTGAAAGAAGATTTGTAGTCCTAGACTTAAGAATGAGCACCATCAAAGTGTAGACCAGGGTTCCACTGACTGGAGCTATAACTGCTGGCGGCCTATCCAGGACAGTCGCGGCCTCGCTCCCTATGCAATAGACCGCACATTGCAACCGCTGCAACGTGGCTCTGGCGTCTTCGACGTCGCGGGACCCCAACTCGGTCAGCAGGCGCTGTGCGAACGTGACCTGTTGACCAATATTGCCTTTCTGTGCATCGAACAAGCTTCGCAGAGCCAGGAGAAGGATAGCCTGCAGGGCTTCGACATCCTGGTCAGTCGTTATGCTTTCGAGAGAGACCAAAGCTTCTGCATATAGCGCGTCGGATAAGAGGACCAAGCTGTTGTCGTTTCCCGGTAAGCAATGGCACGCAATGGAGCACACCATCTTAGACAGAAACGATTCGAACGTAGAGAGGTTGCTTGAGGGGCCAGGAGGTTGTTGTAGACACGGCTGATTGGCATCGATGACTGGATACATTTTGTGCAAGACTTGCACGTACCTACCAACCAGGACTTGATGCCACTGGCTGTCAACGAGGCCCGCCAATGAGGCCACAGGGGGGAATTCAAGCCTGGTGGCCGTTGATGCTGGACCCGCACCCGGAACAGACAGGAAGTCTGGTCGTGCCGCGAGGAGAGCATTGCTGCCGAGATATCTGAAGCCTCCGCGAGCTTGAACGAAATGATATCCATTGTCGGTTGAGACGGGAACGGTGTCTTCTGTGCTAACAGTATCAAATTGCTTGTTTCGCGCTGCTTGCAAGGATTTCAAGTGGTTCAGCATGGAGGCGATGTACCTGCGAATGGTCAAACCCGATCGATCCTGCATGGAATTTTAGGGCCCTGGAACCTTACTTTCGCGGCAGTAGCTCTTGGGTGATGTGGTCGAGGAAGTTGCATTCGGCGCCTGAGCGGGTGCAATTGGCACACGCTGGAAGACGAGTATCACATCGCTTTCGGGCAGTGCGGCAGCGTTTGCAGGCAGGAAGCAGCTGGACCAGGTCTGCTTCCCACGAACCGACATCATCGCCATCGACAGCGTACCCCGAGTTCGGGCTCATTTCGACTCGACTGGTGTTCTCGGTTTCGCCATTGGCGCTGTTCGAGAAGGGAGGGGCGCGGAATCAAGAGGAAAAATCCAACCACACTGATGCTGCTGCCGGCAGGCATAAGTTGCTGAGATCTGGTCTGGGCAGAGAGGAGACGGGAACCCGTCACTGATATGGCCCGACATCACGATAGGACTAAACATTAGCAAAAACATTAGCACCACAGCCCACGGGCCACTAGCCTCTCTCGGCGGGCACCTGGGGGACTCGAGGAAGACAGGCCCCACGATGGTGAGGCTTGCCATTGGATGCCAGGGCCACCCTACAGCACCTGGTACTTGTCTCATTGAACTCAATGCAATGAAGCCCGCTCGCAAAGATAAACGGGCAGGCCTTCCAATCGGCTTGGGGGATTGCCATCTGACACCTCTTCACCCTCGCTGCCGGTGGCTGGCCAGTGACTGCTGCCAGAATTCCCCGTGAGCCCCGCGTGCCATCATCTGGCAAGCCTAGAACAACTATATCAACTTTAATCAAACAGTCGGCCACCCTCTAGTGACTGTCCCCAGGTCCCTGGCTCCACGCCATTCTCGCAAAACACAATGGAAATCAGCATCCCAGGTACCTGCGAACATAACAACACACCGATGATCAAAACCCAGCGTGTTCGTCGGCGTGCTCTCACATGTGCCAGATGTCGGCACCGAAAAATCACTGTAAGCTAGATCCCCCACGCCCTTCACCCAGGTTTATCTGACCATGTTCTGGGAAAGTGCGATGCCATTTCGCCGTCATGCTCGTCATGCCTGGCGGCAGGAGCATCTTGTGTTGCCTGGAACTCGGCGGCAAAATCCACTGCGCCACGCAGCATCGTGAGATATCTGGAGGAACGGATTGCTGCTCTGGAATCTAGCGTCACGTCTTCTCCCTGTTCACTACGATCAGCGGAGAGTCTCTACCAACACTCGCGGGCTGATGGGCCGTCTTTGAGTGGCGGGATTAGTCACGCCCTTCTCGATACCACGACGTCCTTCCTTGGCTTGACGCAACATACTCGGCTCGCCGGTTGCGTGGTGGCGCCCACCAAGGTTCCATCTGCCAAAGATTCATTCAGCCTGTCGGATCTGGACGAGAATAATCCACGGACAATCCTCAATCAACAACCCTCCCATCTGTCACCGACCTCGGTGCCTGTTCAAGTGGCCCGATTCCTGTTCAGCACGTACATCACCCGCATCATTCATCAATACCCCTTCTACCACGTTTCGGATGTCGAGCAAGCGTTCAGTGCTATATTCCCCGATGGCTGCGACAGGCCGATACCAGAGAGTCATGCGGAGGCTCGAGACATCTATATTGTCAGTCTGATCATGGCCATTTCCTTGTCTACCGCCGCACGGAATAAACAGGCACATGCTCATGGCCTCGCCACTGGCTTATTCAAGAAGGCCATGTTACAAGTGCCAGCTGTCCTCTCCAACGATCTGTCTGGTCTTCAAGCGCTCCTGTTACTTATCCAGTATACGTTCCTCAACCCCAGTGTAGCCAACCTTTGGCTGTTGACCGGCGTCTCGAGCGAGGCATGTTTCGACATGGGATTGCACAAGGATCTTCCGGACGGAGCAATCGATGTTGCAAGTAAGGATCTCCGTCGACGGATTTTCTGGTGCGCCTGGGAAATGGAAGTGGCGGTGAGCGCAGGCTTTCAAAGACCTATCAGGACTCTAAACAAGTACATCAACGTGCCCTTCCCGACCGAATATGACGACCGCGCGGTTCACCAACATGGAATTGCTACTACAGGGCCAAAAGTGAAATTTGTTTCTCGCCGAATTTGGCTTTTCCGTCAAATCGAGTCTGAAATCATATCTATCCTCTATCAAGACGAACCCTTACCGACGGATTCCATGTCACTAGACCAGTGGCTGATTGACGTTGATAAACGCATTTCTCAATGGCGACACGAGGTTCACCAATCGGCAGCACAGAATCAGGACGACCCTTTAGTTAAGTTACAGTGGGACGAGATCTCATTGTATACCGACATTGCATATCACTATATCTTGGTCCTGATGTATGGACCGTCACCAAGGCTAAAGAGCCCTCCCCGACGAAATTTGATAAAGGCATTCGAAGCGGGGGTGAAGGTTGCGACGGGTTACTGGGAACAGGCCAATACCGAGTTTGGCAAAATTAAATACGTCTTTCACCCTTGCTACCACACCTTCTCCTCCGCCGTGGTCTTCCTCAAAGTGTTGCAGAGTTGCAAAGCAGACATTGCGCATTTGTACACATCGGAAGAGGTCGAAGATTACGCCCTCTGTTTCTCGCGACTGTTCTCGACGATTGCAGAGAGATGGCCTGCCGCAACTCTCTGCCTTGAGGAATTCGATCGACTTTGGGGCACAGTAAAGAAGGAATACGCCGACTTTTTGCAGTTGAAGGAGATCAATTCATTGACGCAGACATGGCTGGGTCACTCGGTATCCCCAGACGACCTTGACGACACAACTGATATATCTGGCGACCTGAATTTTATGCCCTTCTTTAACACCTATACGACCACGACGGAAAGTGACTGGAATACCGCATGGACCGTCATGCCTAACGATTGGAACGCCGAGTTTAATTTCGGTATGGACTTTACGGACAGCGTTGGAGCATGAACACCAGTGCGAACGCAACTCCCAAATTTCACAGTCGATTTTGTTGCATGGAACCTTGGAGATGGGAATGGTTGACTGTAGCTCAACCTCCAGTCTCGGTCGGAGTGGGCCTTTCAAAAGTTGCATCACGTAACCATTTTTTCCAAACCGTAGTCTGGGGTACTGGGTTGGACACCCCCGAGCCACCATGACGTTGCTGAGCGGAATCATCAAGGCATTCACGAAAATCCTCTGACTGGCCAAAATCGGGATGACCGACCTTGAGCCTGCTAGCGTTTTCATTTCCGCCGAGTGGATAGGCTCAGCGGAGCTGAAGCAAATGGCAACAAGCACGAAGGAGAAGCAAGCGCTCTTTCTCCATACCGGGGTGCCTCTTCGAGACGAATGGATCCGCTGTAACCTTCCCGGGGCGTGGACACTGTCTTTGCATTGAAAGCACGGGGCTTACTGTACACAACGAATCGCACTCCTTTTCTGTGGTAGGAAGCCGTACATGGTATGTAGTTGACTACAGATATTCAAACTGCGTTGGCGTTACAAGATTACTTATCACTCTCCGCTCGAAGAGGCCAATACGAGTACATAGTAGTTATATAGCCCACAAACAGGGATACAACAAGCGTATCACATATACATAAGGACCCTGATCATACTTGCAGCACTAACAAGATGGGTGTATACCTAGGACTCCGCCTGTTGGTGGCAATACTATGTAATTCCCTGGGCACGCAGCTCGCCGAGAAGGCTCTACCATGGTAGCCAGCGTCTGTCGAGGACCCACCACCACCACTATCACCACTACACTATCGTTATATTGTGAAACGACAGACTACTTAACTGGGCTAGCAGTATCAGGGCGCATAAGGAGGGGGTTCTGCTTGTAATCAGAACTTGACAAGCAATAATATCGCCTATAACTGCAACACGGACGAAGGCGACGGAGCACAGCAACGGACGAGGGCGACGTGGCTCGCTTACTGTAGCGTGAACGGCACACATGCTCTAGATCGCAGAGCTATTCGCGGCTTGAGCCCTCATCCTCTGCATTCGTGGAGGACGAAGCCGTCATTAGTAGGAATAAGCTATGAATTTGGAACAAGCACAGTGCCTTTTTCCTCTAGTTGTGCTGACTGGAATAGTAAACAAGGGACAAGCCATACACCAATCATATAACCCAGGGCGACCGCTCAGGCCCATCGTCTATAGCCGAAGAAATGTGGGCCTATAGCCTCTAATGTGTCGCCAGGAGATATGAATTGTCGGCTGCAGTAGCCTGTAGGTACCTCTGTTCCACTTCTCTCTCTACATCAAGCTCAAGGTCGTCAAGCCGCTCCTCGTCAGTTAAGCGCAAGCAGTCCTGGTTAACCCTCTACAAACATCACCATGGGTTCCGTTGGGGCGTCGAGTTCAAAGCTTTTTGAGCCTCTCACGATCGGCTCGATGAAGCTGCAGCACCGCATGATAATGGCACCTTTGACAAGATTCCGCGCAGACGACTCGCATGTACCACTGCCATTTGTGTCTGAATACTATCAACAGCGCGCCTCGGTCCCAGGCACCTTGATCATCTCGGAAGCGACCCTGATCTCCGAATCCGCCGGAATTTACAACAACGTTCCTGGGATCTGGAACCGCGATCAAGTCGATGCGTGGTGCAAAATCACCGACGCAGTCCATCAGAAGGGTTCCTATATCGTCCTCCAGCTTTGGACGCTCGGCCGAGTCGCAGATGCAGCGGCCACAAAACAGAAGGGCATCAAACTTTCCGCGCCCAGTCCCATACCTGTTGCCGAAGGGGCCGAAACTCCCGAGGAACTGACCATCGCCGAGATCGAGTCGTTCGTTGCAGAGTATACCGTGGCTGCGAAGAATGCAATTGAAGCAGGATTTGATGGGGTCGAGATCCACGCCGCAAACGGCTACCTCGTTGATCAGTTTTTGCAGGACGTCAGCAACACCCGCACCGACCGTTACGGCGGGTCGATCGAAAATCGATCACGGTTAGGCCTCGAGGTAACACAAGCTGTGGTCGATGCTATTGGAGCTGAGCGGGTGGGAATCAGGCTAAGTCCTTTCAGCACATTCCAGGGGATGGGTATGAGGGACCCCATCCCTCAATTTACGCATTTCATCCACGGTCTCCAGGCGCTGAAACTGGCATATATACACGTGGTTGAGTCGCGCGTCTCTGGCAACGCCGACGTAGAGCCCACCCACAAGATTGATTTCGCCGTCAACGCGTGGGATGGGACGAGCCCGGTTCTGATCGCCGGTGGATTCACCCCGGAGTCGGCTAGGAACACCGTAGACGAGCTTTTCCCAGACAGGGACGTGGCCATTGTGTTTGGTCGGTACTTCATCTCGACGCCTGATCTGCCGTTCCGGGTCAAGCATGGCATTGACCTGGAGGCCTACGACAGGAATACGTTCTACACGGCAAAGGCAGAGGAGGGTTATATCGATTACCCCTTCAGCAAGGAGTTTGAACAGGCATATAGAAATTAAGCGGTGCCATCCTTCTGAATGAGGAATTTTTGCGGTTTGATGTTCGAGTTCTTGATCCAGGCGTTCACACACAAAGTGCTTTTCTCACATGCAGATCTTGATTATGGTGATGCGGTCCCTGCTTATAGGGCCTTAAAGAAGCATCGCTCCATGTCATGATACGGAAGCGCACCTCTGTAAGCAGCTGCCAACCAGAGCGTTGGACATGAGTAAAGGCCAATTTAGGGCGAACCTTACCTCCGCCATTTCGCTCTATGGTCTTATCTTTGACATGCTTTCTCCTCCCGCCCCATACAGACGGATAAGAGAGACGGCCCAGGGCGAGTGACCAATAGGAGTGCCTATGTCCCAATGGAGGATAACCGAAACGGACCAAGGCGACAAGGCAAGTGACTTCTACGGCTTTAGGAGCAGGGGGTCAGAGACGATCGAGGGGCATGGGCCGAGAAGCCGTGAGGTTTAAACATCTATTACTATGGCCCTGAAATCGAGGTTGTCCTGGACAGCCCAGTACTAAATAGCCTTGGACTCGCTCGTCCACCCTCCCCTTGGTTTCTCACCAGGACCAACAACATGTTTATTGACGTTCAGAATATTCAACCAGCCACTGGGCTGGGGCTCCTTGTTGCCATCCTCGTGTTTGTGAAGCTCGCGTCCGTCATTCATACGGCTTACTTCTCGCCCCTCGCCAGGGTCCCTGGGCCCGCACTCGCGAAGGTGACTGACCTCTGGCTCCTCTGGCAACTGTACAACTACCGCAAATGTCCGGCCCTCGAAGATTGCTTCAGAAAATATGGGTCGATCGTGCGGATCGGTCCTAACAAGCTCGCCGTCAATTCGGAGGAGTCGATGAAAATCTGCTACGGCGTCGGCACCAAGTTCACCAAGAGTCAATGGTACAAATCCTTTTGTTTCCTCGGCTGGAATTCAGTCTTCACTCTCCTCGAGAACAGGGAGCACTCCGAGCGCAAAAGGATCACCGCGCGGTTGACGAGCAAGACGAGCGTCATGGAGCATCTGCCGGAGATCAACGAACACATCAAGGGGTTTCTCAATCTCATGCACCAGCGGGCGAACCAGGTCGTCGACATCATGTGTGTGTATCGGTACCTGGCTCTTGACATTGTCGGATCTACCACATTTGGGCGCGGCTTCGGCCTCATGAAGACGGGCCTTAGCCACCCATTCATCGACGATCTTGACGCTGTGGTCATGACGTTCCCGCCGCGCGGATACCTGTCCAAGTGGGTGTGGATGGTGGCCAAGAGAATCCCCAACAAGCAGTGGCAGCACCACATTGCCGGCGAGGCCAGACTCTGCTCTCACTCGGACGTGGTCATTAACGAGCAAATGGAGTATGCCAGGACCCACGGTGGCAAGCTGAGTCCGGAATATCTCAAGACAATCGTCGGCGCGTATATCGACCATCGCGACGCCAACGGCCAGCCGCTTCCTCGCGGGTGTATCACGTCGGACATTGCGACAGTTTATGTAAGTAGTATTCCCTCCGGTAAGATTTGCATGCCCCTTTTTTGACCCGAGACATAGTTCGCCGGCACCGACACGACCAGCATCTCACTCTCGTTCCTGACCTGGGAACTGGCAAGAAAGAAAGACCTGCAGAAGAAGCTGTACGACGAAGTGCGTGCCCATTTTCCCGACCCGTCGCAGGTTCCTGCGCTCGCGGACGCCGAGACATGGCCGTACCTCAACGCCATCATCAAGGAGGCCCTGAGGCTCTACCCGGCTGCGCCGTCGCACTTGGAACGCGTCGTCCCTCCAGGCGGCGCCACGGTCGAAGGCAAATGGCTGCCGGAAGGAACCGTCATCGGCGTCCAGGCGTACTCCATCCAGAGAAAGCCCGAGGTCTTCCATGAGCCGGAGCAGTTCAAGCCAGAGCGATGGTTCAACGAGACTGACTCAATGAAGCGGTGCCTCATGCCGTTTGGCCTGGGGGCGCGCGCCTGCCCCGGCCAGCACATCTCGTACATGGAGATGCGGCTGGTCGTGGCCATGCTGGTGCGCAATTTCGAAATAGGCTTGTCCCCGCTGTACGACCCCAAGGATATGGATGTCAAGGACTTTTGGCTGCTGTTCCCGGCGGCGAAGAAGTGCGAGGTGGTTTTGAAGCCACGCGAGTCTTGAACCGCAATAGACTCAAATTGTTTTTTTATGACAAGCTCAACGAATGGTCATTATTTCTCGAATTCCAAGACCTGGTTTGCATATGCCTGTCGCAGGCAGGGGGCGTAAACGGAAATCAATCATGTGACTCTCCATTGGTGTGTCAAGGGTCTGAACGCTAGTAGTCTCTCGGCTTTGCAAGCCAAAGGGGATCGTATTGTGTGACCAACTGGACTGGTTAGAGAGATAGTCGACAAGGAGCCATTGGCGTATCGTGAGTGGTGCGGCCATAGACGACGGAAAGGAGCGCGAAGTGGATACTGATATCGGAACTGAGCATTTGCGGGCACACTACGGAGACGTGCACCAAATGTAGTTGCCGCGCTAAAGTTGAATGACGAGGACGTCAAAAGACCATTTATTTTCTTTTCCGTTGCTCCGGAGAACGGTCCCCGGAGATATCGGAGCTCGTTCCTTCGTCTCTAACTCTTGTTTATTCTTTATCACTAAGTTACTTAAAGTAGATTATCTTTAGTTAAGACTTTAGTTAAGACTACCTAAAGTAAGAAAAAATTTATCGTTAAGCTATAATTCGAAGAACGGTCCCCAGAGATATCGAAGCTCGTTTCTCCGCCCCTAACTCTCGCCTATTCTTTATCACTAAGTCGCCTAAAGTAGATTATCTTTAGTTAAGACTTTAGTTAAGGCTGCCTAGAGCAAGAAAAAATCCATCGTCAAGCTGTGATCCTGCGTCATTCAACTTTAGCGCGGCAACTACATTTGGTGCACTGCTCCGTACAGGACTAGTTGGTCGGATTGATAACTGGCTGGCTAATGTCTCTTATCTCTAGTGTGTGCATCATCTAGGACGCGATGAATCTAAAGGACATTGAACGATCGAGCCACGAAGACAGTCGCTTGGAGGGTTAGACAAGGCTGACATGTGTGTGGTAGAAGAGGTTTGCGATCTACTGGTACAGGGTACAAATCCTCGCCACTAGAAATCCTGTGTGACTACACCAGGAATCGTTTTCCCAGTAGCAAAAATATCTCTCCTCCTCATCTTTCCGTCGTACCGTACATTAGCATCTGGAAGCTGGCCCATGCTCACACAGCATTGATGGTCAACCCAGTGGCTTCACAACCTGATAGCCGAGTCGATGACTAGTAGAAAGTCGCGTCGATCATAGTTGTTGTAACAGAATCTGATTCATCACGTTCTAGATCGAAATGTTCCCCAGAGCAGGGGCTACCACTCCGTCCACCATCACCCGTCGTCATATACTTAAATGTTTCTCCTTGACAACTTCGCGCAGTCTCGAGGCCAGCCCGGCAAGTTCAGGGGCAATCTAGGCACCATGATTTACGTTCCAGGTTACTTCGAGACTTCATCATACACTTTCCTTAGAACAGTCAAGCCCTACAGAAGGTGCCTTTACCACCGGGAGCCCTAAGAGAAGTCGAACCCCTATACTCAGTTACTCCTATAGGATAGAATTTCGAGCCACAAGAGATATAGCCAATTATACTAGAGTAGCTGCTCCTTATAGCCTATCAATACACTCGGGATAGCTTCCCTTTAAAAAGCTAGGTCACGAGTGCTCGACAAAACGCATGGGCTAGCACAATGGGCTCGTCCCCGTTGGCGCTACCCTAGGAAGACTGCCGCGCGTGGATTAATAAGCGGACGCTGGACGACGCTATTAGGACTTAGATAGTTAGGGTAGTGGAACGCTAGGCAAAATAAAACAACAATTTAGCTGTTATAGCCCATCAGTATAGAGAACTTCTTATAAGAATTCTACACTTCCGAACTCTCAGTGCTCACCCATCAAGATATCGAGAGACCTACGGCGTTTTAAAGCACCGCGGACCCTATAGGATACGGAACTCCTTCGAGTATTCCCCTTATAGGGATTAGAATATCTTCGAGTTATATCCCAAGACGCCCCTATTAGTAAGGACAAGAGTCTTCTCTTTACTATTGTCGAGTATAACTCCTTCGATATAAGAGAGTACTATAAGTCTATAGAAACGACAAAGGAGTGTAATAGATAGGTCTTCTATAGGTACTAGATAGCGATGCTATATAGGATATATCGCCTCCATACCCTTGGTAAGAAATATAGGCCCGAGTTGTAACTGAGCACGCAGTTTAAACAGACACTAGCTCATAAGCTCGGAGACTAGTTATGCATAAAGATAAATAATTAATTGTGTACGCTTAGTTATTCTAGAGGGTATCGTCGGTTTCAGGGTCATTATTTTTCTTGAGGACCGGCAGCCCAACTGAATTTGGTACTTATTAAGCATGATATATCTGCCTTACCATCGCTATTTGTAGACTAGAGGAGCAGAACGAAAATTGCAGTAACAGATGAGAGTAAATCTTAATGTCGAAGCAAGTCTAAAGTCTCCACCCATGGAACCAACACGCCTGGTAGAATCAAGTCACTCAAAGCCAATTTGGTCGGCCTACCGACGATATTAGCAACACCCATCCACGTAGGGCTCAGGCGTACGGTATTGAGGGCTCGTTCCCTTAGGCAGCTGGTCCAATATATACAACAATCCTTCTACGGCAGCCATCGCTACAGCGAGGGTGTCAGCGCACGACTACACGTAGCCCATCTTCGCCCTAGGTCAGCTTGAAGCGTATTCGACGTCGGCCTTCAGCCCTTAACTTTCAGCATTTTCGGTTTATAGCTGCTTGGCATCGAATTTCTAGACGGATACTACTATCTAACTAGTATTACTATACTACTATTTTTCTACTATAGTGTCTATCCTATATATTTTAAATCGATAAATATATAGTATCTGTATATTAAATATAGTTATTTAGTATTTAACCCTAATATATAGAGGCGTACATCAAATATAGATGCCGCGCTAAAATCGAATAACGAAGGGTCATTACCTAACAATGAGTTTTCTCTTATTCTAGGCGGCCTTAACTAAAGCCTTAACTAAAGATAATCTACTTAGGTAGTGATTGTAATAAGGAATAGGCGAGGGCTAGGGACGGCAACGTAAGCTCCAATATATCCGGAGCAACGAAATTAAAATACCTAGTCTTTTAAAGTCCTTATCATTCCTTTTTAGTACATTTAGTACACGCGTCTATACTAAGACAACTAATAAAATATATCGAATCATTGTAAATTCTTAGTTTATTATATCGTTTTCCTACTATCTTTATTATTCTTCATTAATAAAGTATCGATTAAGTATAAGTTTAAGTATCCTTTTAGGCGACGACTAGATCCTTTTTTAAGGATAGTATATACTATCAGGATAGAATAGAATAGAATCACTATTAAGGACTAATATTAAAACCTATATAGCCAAGTTAATATAGTCCTTCCTTTATAAACTAACTATTTAATAACTTTAGTATTAGACTTTTAAAAAAGAAAGAAAAAATTAAGTTATAAAGGCTAGATTCGAACCCCTATATCTTTTTTTAGAATTATATTAATAGTAGTAATAGTACTATATAGAAAAATTCTTTAATAGTTATATATAATATATTAAAGAAGCATTAGAGAATTATCTAAGAAGGGATCGAAAACCATTAAGCATTTTAGTAATTATCCACTATATCTCTAAGAAGTCTTAGCTAATTTAGCGAAGGACTCTTAGAAGCAACAATAATAATACTACTAAAGTCTTTATAGTTAAGTTAATATAGTTATTCCTCTATAATTAAAGATTAGATTTTTTAGCGTTAGACTTTAGAATAATGAAAAATTTAAAAAGACGAAAGTACTAGATTCGAAACCTTCGTATATTCTATATTAAGGATCTAATATTTCTCCTTAATCTTTAATCTTTAATCCGTGATCCTTGATCCTTACTTACTACTTAACCCCTAACCCCCTAATTAGTTAGGGGCCGCTGATTTTCCTAGCAATCAACTATTGATTACTATAGGGGCCGTAGTAGTACTTACTATTATATTAGTGCTAGTTCAACCCGATTCATATCGAGTTCAATCGAGCTACTATAGTAGTTCAGGGGCTCTGACTGCGCTTGAAATCGAGACAGTCCCAGCCAGCACGAGCGCCGCCCTTTGTAGCACCTTCAGCGCGGACTCAGCCTAGGCTCAGCTCATTCCTGGCTCGAGCTGGCATCGCATAGCGGTAAGAATCATCATTAGATCGATAATCTTGCAAGGGTAGGGAGATCTCAGGGTGCAAACTTGCTTTCAAGGGCCAATTTTCCTTCACCCCCAACACCGCGATCCGTTGACAAAATGCAGCATAAAACGCACTGGATGGAGTCTAGGGCCAGGACACCCTGCATGATCGACGTCCGTGCCCGTGCGTTGCGGTAGCGATCCTCAACCTTGGCAAAGTTGAAAACGTGGAGGCTGGTAAGTTCAGGTTGCGAGGCCCAGATTTAAGGTCTTGATAGACTCGAGTTCAAGCTGTTGCTAATTCAGTTTGGTCGAAGCCTCCGAGCCCTCCTTGTTTTCGTATTACAAGATCATATCGAAGCAGAGGGAGGGACTTTTCGATTGTCGGTTGCTGATTGCGCTGTGCATCTTAAGAGGACCACCTGTGGAGTTTCCCAAGCCACTTCGCTTGTGGTTTTCACGATGAAAAGATGCTCAATTGAGCAGTCACATTGTCGATATAAGTACTGACAATGTCGAAGGTGCGATAAGCAGTGCTAAGGCAGTACTAGGCTACTACTAGTACTACTAGGAGTACTTACTAGCACCTCATCTACCTGGTACAGTATCACCAGTACATACACACATCATCTACTACTGTACTGAGTTCTTCTGATCAGTCACGCCCGGCCGGCTGTATAAGTACCAAGTTGCAAAGGATGGCACCAGCAAGTGCTTTTGTGCGTGCGTAACACAACAACAGCACTGGCTGAGTTCATTGCTAACACTTACAGTTTCCATACTAGCGATCAGTACTTATCCCAGCCGGAACCCACGACCACTTCCTGTGGAACTCGAGAGACTGCAGGACTGACAGATTAGAAATTGTACTTGTGATCGCGGGAATTAGTCAAAAGTGGAGGTCGCCTTCAGGGCCAATCATGCACTTCGACTGCAATCTAAACCGCGTTTGGGCACCAATGCGAGCAAAAGCATACGACTTTCCAGAGATATCCTGACCAAACGATGGCAATTCGCAGGTTCGCATCGTTCGTGGACAAGTTCAAGACTAGGTGAGTCCGATCAACCAGGAATGTTTACGAGTACAACTACTAGTATCCAGCGAGCCAGGAAGCACTCAGTGACATCTTGTGCATAATTCCATACTCAGAGACCGAGATCCCTGTTCGAACCATTTTTTGTACGAGATCGATTGACCACATGACTGTACCGCCGTCTCGCGTCCGGCCAGACCTGTGTCCGCGGAGGCTTTAAGCATGATGATCTGGCGCTCCTCCAGGAAGATATATATACTACACAAGTACTTAACTGGTTCGGCTTTTGACTCCCAGCCCGATGTTGGTCAGCCTTGCTCTAGGTCATTGGGCAAGAAATGGCGCCCTCAGCAGTCCAAGACCTGCCTCCGAAGGGCAAAGTCATCCGTCAGACCCCGAGATCACTTGCTCATGTTGTCTTGTGGACCACGCCAGAGAACTACAAGCCGATGACGCAGTTCTACTGCAATCTGCTCAATGCCCATGTCGTCCACGTCGACCCAGTCTTGACGTTCATGGCGTACGACGATGAGCATCATCGAATTGCACTTATCTGTTCGCCAGATGCCGTCCCAAAACCCACAGGCACCACGTACGCCGGTCTTGATCATATTGCGTTCAGCTATTCGACACTCACGGCGCTTGCGCAGCAATATTTCTTTCTGAAAACCTGCGAGAAGCCCATTCTCCCGCTATGGACAGTGAATCATGGCCCGACGACGAGCATGTACTTCCGCGATCCGGACGGGAACAAGATTGAGCTGCAGGTGGATAACTTTGATGATGTGAATGAAGCCAATGACTTCATGGCGGGGCCGAAATATGATATGAATCCCATGGGTACAGACTTTGATCCCGACGAATGGTCGGAGTATATTCTATCCAAGGCGCTGCCCAATGGTGAGGAAGGGTCGTCGCCTGCTGACGTGAAGGCGTTGAAAACGAGAAAGGACATTGGCGAGAGGAAGGAGCTGCCTGAGGGTTTCTGAGGCTTCGGAGAAATCGTCTTGGACACCAACATACTTATCTCTACAAGCAGGGGGGAAAAGTGGATCACATGGTTTTCACTGTATTGACATTTCATCGCGACGGACAGAGTATTAGTTATCCCATCAATTGCGTTTCCTGAGCCTGACCAAAAACTCATCTTGTCCAACAAACCAGCCTCCACAAACCTTCCACTGGTGATCCGGCGTGGGAAAGGTGAACTTGTAACACAAACTGCTGTCAGCCAGACCTTTCCACGTGTATTAGCAGTTGGAACGCACCTCGTAGTGGCGCAAGAGCTGCGGCACAAGTTTGGCTATCTCAAGCATGGAGATGTTCTTGCCAATGCATGAGCGGGCGCCGTGGCCGAACTGATCAAGGCATTAATTACTCCGTAAGTTAATGCGAGCTGGATCACACAACGACAACTTACCGTAAGACTTGCGCGATCCATCGCTGCTAGCTGTTCCGTCGAAGCTTCCAGCCACCGTTCCGGCCTGAATGAATCTGCATCGGACCCGTACACGTCTCTGTTTCGTCTGTTCGTCTTTTTGTAAGCAAGAGAGGCCAGGAAACAAAGATCGGTCTGATATCACTTACGCGGCCACCCAAGGATTCACTCCAACAATTGTGCCTTCGGGGATGTACTTTCCTGCAAGCTCTATTCCTCCCTTTGGTACATATCGTTCAAGGAGCAAGCCAACAGCCGGATGCATTCCTAGAACGGGGCATACTTAGCGCTTGGAAACGTACAACTAGTGCAGGACATCACCCTACTCAGAGCTTCCTTGATGCATGCCTGTAAGTATGGCAAGTTGTTTGACTCTTTCCAAGTGACGAACTCGCTCAGATTTCCAGCTTTGTCCGCTTGGTCGATTTCTTCCACAACCTTTTTCAGGCAGTCTGGAGACTTCATAAGATAGTAGAAGACCTCGGACACAGTCAGCAAACCAACCGGTGATAAGACCATCGTCGGTAGTGCTGTACTCACGGATCTGAAAGATATGCCTGTGGTGTCACTTCCGGCCAAGACGTTGTCAATGTTGTACATGCGAATGATCTTGTCGGTCACGAGATCCGGATACTTGGACTGAGCCTCGAAACATCTCGTCAGAAAGTCTCGCCTCTTGTCCTCCACGCCCTGGGCTTTGACGGCGAGCCGCTCCTTCATCCTCTCCACGGTGAAATTCACAATGGGATGAGTTGGAACAAGCGCCAGGAAAAGAGGGCTCTTGGTGATGAATTTGTCCACAGTAGGAATCTGACCGACCTATTACACAGGAAGTTTAGCGCGCCACGGAGGTAGACAGAGAGGAAGGAGACGAACACTGCCGCCGTAGAAGACCTTGGTACGGATATCCGCCATGATCCCATCTACATCCGATCGTGTCTCCAAGAATCCCAGTTTCGTGCTGAAGACGATCTCGCCACTAGGTGCGATATTACTTAGCAACCATTGGAGTGACAAGGGGAGGCAAGGACAATACACACATGACATCAAACGCATACATCTGCAGCCATTGTCCAAAATTGAAGGTTTCTTTGGACGCGACGAATTCGTCCAGTCTCGACATGAAGAGGGCGCTCGTGGAGTCGATGAGTGGCTCGAAGTCAACCAAGTTGGACATACTGTAAGCATTTGCGATTGGTCTCTTGTATTTGGAGTGGTAAGTCTCATCGAGCGTGGTGAACAGACTAGGGGTAAACTGTCCATGATAGGACAGCATATGCAAAGTATAGAATTTTGTTTTGGTGAACCCGGAGTTCAAACCATAGATCTTGGGGATCAAGGCAGGGTCGGCCACCGAGACTGTGCGAGGGCCGATGCGGACGAGGCTCGAGCCTGTCTGTCGGTGAAGTTTGATGTGAGTTTCGTGAGGATTGGCAAAGAGTGCATCAAAGAAACGCCATAAGTCGGTGAATCCGGCGACGAATGGGCCAGGGATGGAGTTCAGCTGTCTCCGGTATTTGTTGACCACGAGATAGACGAGTATCAAGCCAACAAGTAGACTGGGCAAGTTGGCCCGCAGAACCCGCAGGCCTTCTTGCAAGGACTGATTCAGGGACTGATTCATTCTTTGACGTAGTGTTACGAGGCTTTGGACAAATGAAGACGGGACGGGGTCGATAAAGGCTTGCGATGGACCTTGCGTCAACGGGGCTCTAGGACGTTTTTATATACATGTTGGGGAAACTCTCACTTCACCGAATCGCAGGAATGCCAATGTGGAAGGAGATACTGGTCAGAGATGATCTATTGACGCAACTGGATCATAGAGATATGGATCTCCCGCCTACATCCTGCTGTAGGAAACGCTGTCTGGTGACCACGTGCGAGTCGCACATCTGCCTTCATCGCACGCTTGGTGGCTTTATTGGAGAGCATCAGCACGCGCGAGTCGCACGAGCATCAAATGTGCCGACGGACTCCACCATTCCCTTGTTCCTTTATTGAAACAGTGGTCAGTCTTCCCGGTCCGAGTACCTCGCTTCTCCGCCCTTTTCCTCCCCCTGCTTCGGGACCCCAGATTTCGGAACAGTGGCGATCGACATTCACAGATACTCGCTAGCGTCTTGACTTGGCCATGGTCTTGGACGCGTGCCACATCTGTTGAAGGACTCGGCGCAACTCTATTCCCCTGACTTTGTGCCTTGGCGCAAAGACCGAGAGTGGTGCAGGGCGAGAGAATGATCGGCTCTCATACAGGCTCTGCCTTCGCCTTGTTACTCCCGATGTCAATTTCGGAAGCTGACGATTGACTCATCGGGAAAGATACCTCAACACACAGGGTATCAAGGCCCAGTGCGGTCAGGTGTGAACCCTTGAGGCTACAGTATAAAAAGCATCCTCCACGCCGAGTGTGAAGGGATCTTCCTCCCCCCATATTGATTCTCCTTTCGGGACTGTGTTATTATTCAACTATCTCTAACATTAGTATATTTCAAGTCGACGATGATGGACAACTCACCAGAGCACTCCGTTTTGCACGGAGCTGACACCCTTCGGCATGAACCCACACTGACGCATGCCCCGTCTGCTGGAGCTGTCTCTATGAGCCCTGAGCTCTTCGAAAAGGTATGGACAGACTTGACCTTTCAGAAGAGCCGCATACTAAGCCAGGACAAATATACAGCTCTATTTAACTCCCAAGGTTGTTCGCGCTGGGGACAACATCAAGCGGTTCGCCAACCCTACGCCCCTGGGATTCATTGGGTGAGCTTCCAAAAGAAAGGTAGTGGATTTTATTCTTGCCTTCCTAACAACATATGGTCTAGCTTCGTCATCTCTGCCATGACCTTTTCCATGGTCTTGATGGGCTGGGGAGGAGCGAGTGGACTTACGCCAGTTGTGTAAGTGCTCACCGGAATCCCCTGAGTCCGTAGACACACTCACTCACTCACTCATTTAAATCAAACAGGGGGATTTTCTTCTTCGTTGGCCCAGTCCTTCTCCTGTTGACCTGCGTCTTCGAGTGGATTATGGGTAATTTCTTCCCTATGATGGCGTGTGGTGTGCTGGCAGTCTTCTGGTTGAGCTTTGGCATGTTGCAGCTACCTACGTTGAATCTCGCGGCGCCATACACCTCTGCCGACAGCAGTCCTGCCGGCGCACTCTCGACAGGGTTCAACGCTGTCATCGCCCTGTACCTGGTTGTCTGGGGGTTTGCCATTTTGACATTCTTGGTCCTGTCCATCAGGACCAACTTGGTCTTCGTGCTGATCTTTCTTTCCGTCACTGTCGGTTGTTGGGTCCTCAGTGGAGCATATTGGAAACTCAGTACAGGTGACTATGGCATGGCTGGACAGCTGCAAAAGGTGGGTTACCCCGAATATCTTCCTCCGTACAAAGTATCGTGAACTGACGCTTGTCCTCTGTCAAGGCTGGCGGCGCTCTCATCTTTGTGGCAGGAGCTCTGGCTTGGTACATGACAGTTGCCATGATGGCAGCCGAGCTGCAGTATTCTGTCTATCTTCCCGTTGGTGACTTGAGTCATCTTTTCAAACCGCCTGGAACGGGCGCCAGAAAGGCAGATGAGGAAGCATAGAGCCTTTTCGAGGACAGGGCTTCTTGTAAAGGGGTTATTGGAGGGAACGGGAAGCTGGCCACAAAACAGGCTCATGCCCCGAGTAAATGGCTTTCGGAGGCTATGCTGGGCGGCTATTAGTGACAGGAATCGAAGGGAATAGAACGAGATAGTCTGGAAAGGTCGAGCGGAAGAAGGTCAAGGCACTGGCTAGCATTTTAACCGAACGGGGACGTGTATCCGAAGAAACATTGCGTTTTGACGTCTTTTCCCGAAATTTTGCTTGGACTGTGCTGCGTCCAGTTCTGTTCTTCGAAGTATTGTCTACACGGGTTTCGTTTCGGCGAAGTCTCTGCTCTTCATCTGGAAAAAGGTTCACTATTGAGTGGTTACAGAGAGAGTGAAGCAACCCAGGCAGGAGAATGCATGCGAGGTCGAACTCCCCGGTCGAATCCTAATTCACGGTGTGCGAGTCGCACAGATGCTGACCCCTGCATGCGTCTCCTCCAAATTCATTGGTCGATGCCCACAGACATCTGCGAGGTTCTCCAGAGGAGCCCCGGTCCGAGAACCCCGAGGCTCACCCCCGCAAGGTCTTCGGCAACACTCACCAAAGCAGCAAGGGTCTTGCGTCACAGGTCCATGCATGGTGATCGCAATCTCTCTTTGGATCCTAAGGAATTCCACTGATCGGTTCTGTGCGACCTGGCGTGATACTACGAATCTCTGGCCCGAATTCCGCCTGACTTGACATCTCAGCGCGACGACCCTTCTCTTCGAGTGATGGTATACCGACAGTCGAGATCCTGTACCCCAAGGGTGGAGCAGTGGGCTTCTGGACGCAAGCTGACCAGCGCCCAGCGCGAAAGGAAGCGCGCGGTGGACCGCCTGCGGGCAAGCAAGCGAAGAGCCCAAGTTGGTGATCATGTTGCCGCCCTTGAATCGAAGCTGGAAGAACTCGGAAACGAGCTCGAGGCGCTGAAAAGAAGGAGATCGAGTCCGCTTCAGTCGCCACGATATGAGATCCCAAAGACTTGCGAGGGAACACTACCAATTTCGAGCGGGGACCAAGCTGCAAAAGATGGCCTTCCGCTGTGTACCACCACGGATATATCAACGCCGCTTTCCCCTCTCGCCACTGCAGGTTGGATACCGGCTAGTCGATCACCTCGGCACGATGGTATAAACACCCAGGCCAGGAGCCTGAGCTCGATAAATCCAAGGATCAGCACGACGAGCCGGCCCAGTGAGATGTCCTCTGGACCGAACATCGGGACTATGTCGAGACGCACCCTCACAATGAACTGCGATCCCGTCATGATCACGGAGCAATGGACCGATGCCACATCTTTAACCGGCGCGCCCAGTCGTTCAGATCCTACGAATGCCAGTGATTGTCAAAGCATCTTCAACAACCTTCTGACTACCGCTCGTGCTTTCTCAAACACCAGCGTGTGCACCGATTCTAGCTTGAATCAAGACGCCCTGATCCGAGGTGTTCTCTTCGGCTGGGACGTCGTCACGACCATGTCCCCATTTTGTTGCCCACTGTGGGAAATCCTACGACACTTGGACAAACGTATATTCCAGTTGAGCGGGACTATCACTAGGCTATGCACTTTGCGAATGATCCATTCACTGCTCCTGGTAAATCACCCCATGAGCTTTATCTTGAGAATGCTGGTAGCTGGCCGCTGACAATGTCTCTAGTACTTTGTGAAGGCCAATTCCTCAGAAAGCTTGCCCCCATGGTATCGACCACGGTAAGCATGTTACGAATCAGCCTGCGACCAGGAAGAGGCCGTGACGCCTTGCTACGTGGGACGGGGAGAGGAAAGAGTGCCGAAGAGATAGCCTCGTCCCGGGTAAGGCTGGGTCACGTGACACTGATCTGTTGATCTGGTGCTCTATCGGCCCTAGGAGTAGAGTAAACAGAGCAATAGATCATATAGATTATACGACTATATATACAAGGTCGTTTTATAGCTTTACTATATAGTTAACTTCGTTCACGATTATATCTATATATTTTAGATATCGATTAGCTTCGCTCTAGTATAGCGACTTACTTATATACTTGTGCTCTTATAGATATACACTTTATACTTTCTACTTACTAAGAAACCTTTATCTCGTGATACTTTATCGTAGAGCGATTTATAATACTTTAACTACCTCTTGACTAGAAGTATACGATACTATATTTAGCTCTAAAGCTTCTATTCGTTCGCTATCCTCTATCGGATTAGTTCGATCTACGGCCCCACTAACTTCTATTAATACTTTGGTATTCGATAAGAAGAAGAATAGACTAAAGGTTAAGCTATTCTATAGGGATAGAGCTAAACTAGGAATATTCCTTATCTAACTCTAAGCTATATTTACACTTCGACTAAACGATTATAATATTTATTCTACTAGGGTTTTATATACTACTATATATATAAGAGGGTTAGCCTTTTATTAGATTAAGCCCCTTATAAAAGACTACTTAATCTATAGCTAAGATTAGTAAGAAGATAAGACTAAGAGGATCTTTAGTAAATACGATAATTTTATAGATGTAATTATATAAATCTTCGAAGTACTAGGAGAGACTCAGTAGGCTACCTAACGAATCCAGTAACTTAAGCAAACTAGTTTAGTTGCGTAGTACTACGCCTTATTTTAACGACTTAAGTCTAAGCTAGACTAGGAAAACTATACTTTTATCTTTATATTCTATTAGGGACTTAAGGACAATGTAAAGAACAAAATGGGAATGGACCGCCTAAAGTAACTTAAAGACTTAGTTGCTAGGGCTATTAGTATCAATAATTAACTTTTCGAACGACGACTTGAAAAGAAGGGTTTCGGACAACTATACTTTAAAGGAATCTTTTATTAAAAGAAAAGTTACTAATCCTATAGAGACCCGATAAATCTTAACACTATAGAACGAGGTCGGTCCTTACGACTAAATAAAGGTAAGTTCTAGCGTAAGGGGCTATCTAAAAAAGAGTAAGAGCGACGAAAGAAAGAAAACCTATACTATAGTTATAGAAAATCCGAATATATAGCTAGAGACTACGGAAATAGGCTAAGAGAACTATATATAATAGAAAAAGTTATAGCTAGTATCGAAGGAAAAAAGGCCGATACTTCGATAAAAAAAGAACTCGCGTAACTCGAAGAGCTAAAAAAGAAAGCCTAGATATAATTCACTAAATTATATAATGCGTTTCGACGTATATCGCGAGGTTACGATAAAATAATAGCTATTATCGAGAGAGCTAGTATTGCTAAGAAAGCATAGAAGGGACTACGAAGAGTCTAGAAGAAAGGAGCAACCTCCAGGGAAGCATTATATCCCTAAGAAGTTAGAACCGCACTAACTATAGCCAACGACGACTTAAAGAAGTTCGAAGAGGATCTTAAGCGTAAGCAAAAGGAGAGCCTCGAGTACGCTATAACTTCTTAGGTATTCTATTTTAACGATTATTGTTCTATCTATCTACCTAAAAAGGAAGGTTTAGGATAATTCCCTTACGGAAAAAAGAATAAAAAACGTTAGCAACGACAATAGCTACTAGATACTTTAGAAGAAGACGAGTAGACTAAAAGTCTTTTAGTTATAGAATTAGTCTATCTATAGAAAAAATATAAGGTAGAAATAGTAGGAATAAATATAGTAGTTATCCGCACTAAATATTAGGTCGATATACCTTATAATAGGTTATATATTAACGCCCTAAGAGGGCTAGGGTAATATAAAACTCTACACCAAAAATTTAGCCCTTACGGCGACCTAAAATTACGAAGTAAGTTAATCCTATTAACTAAATACGAGGTATAGTATAAATATAATATTTTATATATATACAATATTATAAAATAAGAAAGTTATAACTTTACTTTCGTTATAGAGGAAGAGAATATTAATAATAAATAGAAAGAGATCTATATACTACTATATACTATTAAGGAAGTATACTAATATATAGCGATAATATTTACTAGGTACTAAATAGCCGAAAGATTTATCTACGATATACCCTATATAATACCTTACCTTCTATATCTAGCACTAGATAAATAACCTAGGGAATAACGAGATATTGTACTTTAGAGATATTACGCTTATAAAGATAAGGCGCTATAGCTATATATACATTATATATAGGAAAACGGATTACAACGAATACTTAACTTTCTCTACACTAAAGGGACGGTAGACTTTATTAAGGAAATATTTATAAAGTATATAGTTATTAAATACAATATATTATTCATTACTATTTCTATAAGATTTTAGTAAGGATAAGGTATTAGACTATATTTTAAGCTATTCGATGACTCTTAGATATATTCTATTATTATAACTCTTACGTTATATATATCGAAAAAATGCCTAGATAAAGAAAATATATACTTACACAATATCTAAGGGATACTAATGTAGAAATAGAATATACAATACCTTATATTAGAAGTCGACGAAGAACTACTAGCTTACTAATATAAAGAATAGAATAATAAAGATTTATACGATACGGATAAAAGAATACTAATAATGATAGAACTAAAGATTATATTAAGCGAAGAGATAGAACTATATAAATTTATAATTATCAAATTAACTAGAGTATCACTAACTATAATTACTTAATATTGGAAAGTATAACCCTATATTAATTAAAAATACGAGATTATTAACTAATAATATTTATATATTATATTCGACCCTAATATCGAACCAAAGAAATATATACGAAAGGTTACGTTGCGATATTGTTAAGATCTTAACTACGAAGAAGCCCTAAACCTATATTTTCACTATATAGATAGAGAGTGTTAAGATTACGATATACTAGAGACGATTATACGAAGTATCTATAGAAAACTTAATTCGATAATATATAATATTGTAACGCTAATAGTAAAAAACAAGTAGAAATAAGGAATAAGAGGCTATCCTTATTCCCTAATAAGCCTCGAGAATTGTATATAATTTATTAACTAAGATTACTAGCCTACTTTATTATAAAAGGGAAGGTATAAGATATATCTATCTATATTATAATTAACTATAGTATATAAGAAAACTATATATCACTACAACTAAAGATAATATTAAAAAAATATTGTAAAGAAAAAACTTATCTATACTAACTAAATATAGTAGATAGTACCTCTATAGAGTATAGCGGGGGATAGATACGAGACGAAGTACGAGACGTTTAACTTACGATCTTAAGACACGAGGAGATCGTAAGCTTCGACTTTGTACCTATTAAGTATAACTTAATTTTAGGATTGAAATAGCTTTAAGAATATAATCTAAGGATAGATTGGAAATATCGAAATTTTACGTTTCTCAATTATAGTTATAGAAATAGGACGGAGGACCGATTATCTACCGTAGTATACTATATCTAGGTAGTGTATATACGACCTCGAAGAAGGATACTTATAGGAATAAGTGTATAAGCTATACCTAAGGAATACTAAGAATTCGTCGAGTTATTTAAAGAACGGGAAGATTTAGCTACCTTATCTAAATATAAGCTATAGGATTATAAAATACTACTCGAAGAGAGAAAAGTATCGAAGTATAACGGGTAGCTTCGACAACTATCTAAGAAAGAAGAAGACTTTCTTAAAGACTATATTAAGAAATACGAAAAGAAAGGCTTTATCTAACTATTAAAGTCTTCTATAGTATATAGGGTACTATTTACTCTAAAGAAGAATAGAGGACTTCGAGTATATATTGATTACTAATTATTTAATACGATTACTAGAAAGAATTAATATCTATTACTATAAATTAATAAGCTATAGAATCGACTCCTTAAATTAAAATACTTTATTACTATCGATATATAGAACGTCTACTATTAAGTACAAATAAAGGAAGGCGAAGAATAGAAGACTATCTTTAAAACTCGATTTAGATTATACGAATATTTGGTTATATCTTTCGGACTAATTAATGTATCGATATCCTTTTAGGAATTAATTAACGATATAATTCGAGAATATCTAGACGATTTTATAATCGTCTATCTTAATAATATACTTATTTTCTCGAGGATATATAAGGAATATATAGAATATATATAAAAGGTTCTAAAATAACTCTAAGAGAGAGATCTATTAATTAAACTTAGTAAGTATAAGTTTTATTAATAACGGATACGTTTCTTAGGATACATTATCTTCGAAAACTAAATAGAAGTGGATCTTAATAAGATTCGACTAATTAAAGACTAGCTAGAACTAACTAGCGTTATAGAAGTATAGGCTTTCGTAGGATTGCTTAACTATTATCGAAAGTTTATAAGGGACTTTTCGAAGATTACCGCGCTATTAATAAACCTTATTAAGAAGGATATTAGATTTAAATTTAGATAGGAATATAAGAATATATTCTAAATACTAAAAAAGACTATAATAAGCGCGCTAATACTAATAGTATATAACTCGAAATACGAATGTATACTAGAAACGGATGTATCTAACGGAGTTATCGAAGCTTACCTTACGTAAAAATAGCTCGATAGAAAACTAAAGACGATTATATACTTTTTAAGAAAGATAACTAAACCGGAACTTAACTATAATATATACGATAAAGAATTACTTACTATTATTGAAACAATAAAATAGTGGAGAGTATACCTTAAAAGAGTAAAGTACCCTATATAGGTCTACACTAACTATAAGAATCTACTCTACTAGATAACAACAAAACAACTTAATAAGAGATAAGTCCGATAGATAGAGACACTAGCTCTATATAACTTTAGGATACACTATATTAGAGGAAAAGAAAATACTATAGCTAATACACTTAGCCGTCGACTAGATTATATAAAAAATATTAAACTAGAATTAATAGCTATACTTAAGGAAAGAAATAACGCCTTAATATATACTACGCTCGAGATTACTACTCTCGCGGTTATAGATATTAAGTTAATAGAACAATAGAAATAAGAGATTATTAAATTAAGATATAATAATAAGCTAGTAGGTCACCTAGGGATCGAGAAGACAATCGAACTAGTTATAAGAGACTTTACTTAGAAAGGACTATAAAAGGATATAATAGAGTATATTAAAAACTACGATATATACTATAAAGCTAAATATATAAGATATAAACTATATAGACTACTTTAGATACTAGAAATCACTAGTAAAGTATAGTCGACCGTTATACTCGACTTTATTATTAAGCTACTAAAGTCTAAAGAGTCCCTTATAGATATAGAATTTGATAGTATCTTAGTTATAAACGATACTCTAACCAAGTATATACACTTCGTACTATATAAGGAAGTATCTATAGTAGAAGAACTAGTATATATATTCTATAAAACTATTATTGTATAATATAAAATACTAAAAGAAATATACTTAGATTAAGATAAACTATTTACTTTATAATTTTAGTAATTACTTATAGATTTAACGGGAATATATTAAAAACTATTAATAGTATACTACTTATAGTTAGATAGATAAATAAAAAGAATTAACTAAACATTAGAACAATATCTACAATATTACGTTAATTTTTAATAGAATAATTAGGTAGAGCTATTATTTATTGTATAGTTTGCTTTCAACAATAGTACATTAATTACGGGAATATCACTATTCTATACGAATTACGGGAGACACCTAAATATTGATAATAACCTAAGAGGATTTAAACCAATTATAGAGAAAGCGTAGATATTAGTTAATAGACTTAAAGAACTATATAGAATACTACAAAAATAGTTAAAGAAAATCGTAGAAAAAATAATAAAATAAGTTAATAAGAGAAGGTTTAAGGGATTAGACCTTCGAGAGAGAGACCTAGTCTATATTATTAAAAAAAATATAAAAATATAACGACTATTAGATAAACTTAATTATACTAAGATTGAACCCTACAAAATTAAAAAGAAACTTAGATTAATAATATTTAAATTGGAACTATCTAGGGAAATAAATATTTACTCGATATTCTATAAATTACTCTTTAAGAAAGTACCACTAAACGCTAAACTCGAACTAGTACTAATATATAAAGAAACCTAGGAACTACTATATAATATTAAGAGGATAGTAGACTTCTAAACTAAAGGACGACGAAGGTACTACCTAATTAAGTAGTTAGGGTATAAAGAAGAAAAAAATACTTAAGAACTCGAGGAAAACCTTACCTAAGGACTTATAAAGAAGTACTACCAATAGAATCTAATAGGGAAGACTAGTTAACGTCCGAAGACTTCGGCTATACGTTAGGATTGGTAAAGACTACTTCCGTGTCTTCGGGCTAGTTCTCTAGAACTTTTAACGCTATTATTTTACGACGAAATATTCTATAAGATTTGTCCTCTAGTTTAAATAGATCCTCGTTAAATTTCTCATTACCCTCTTTAAGTAAGAAGATCTCTTAATCTAGGGATAATATAGTCTACTAGGCCTCGATAAGGGTACTATAGACTAATACTCGCTTTTCGCGGAGATAGTTAATCTCTCGGCGCTTAGCGCGAGACTTTAGCCACAATCGCTTCTTTTATTTAACTATCTTATAGAATTTCTTTAGAGAGAAGGAACCGTTATAATCTATATTCTTTTTTAAATAATAGGAATACTTAATCGATAGCTTCTTCGAGAAGTAATATAGTTTACCTAAGTTAGTGTAGTTCGAATAGACGACTATTACGATAGATTGCTCGAACTCGATAGCTAGGGTAAGGTTAAGGCGGCGTTAGGTAGAAGACTACTTTAGATGTCTATAATAGGGACGCGATATAGTTAGCTATAAGAAAGGAAGAGAGTTAGGATATACGGAATAAGGGATAGCTTACGTTTATATACGTTGAGGATAACGATAGATTCTAAGGAGGGGAAAGTATTACGAATTAGCCTACGACTAAGAAGAGGCCGTAACGCCTTGCTACGTAGGACGGGGAGAGGAAAGAGTGCCGAAGAGATAGCCTCGTCCCGGGTAAGGCTAGGTTACGTGATACTGATCTATTGATCTAGTGCTTTATCGGCCCTAGGAGTAGAGTAAGTAGAGTAATAAATTATATAGATTATACGACTATATATACGAGGTCGTTTTATAGCTTTACTACGTAGTTAACTTCGTTTACGATTATACTTATACGTTTTAGATATCGATCAGCTTCGCTCTAGTATAGCGACTTGCTCATATACTCGTACTCTTACAGATATACACTCTATACTTCCTACTTGCCAAGGAACCCTTGTCTCGTGACACCTTATCGTGGAGCGATTCATAACAAAGCACTGCGAACACACCCAGACCACGCCTGGAAGCCGCTAACGCAAATCCAACAGCCCTTCGCAGTATAACTTTCCGCATGCCCTGGCAGCAGACGTCCTCCCCTGGTAAGCCGACAAACACAACCAATAATCGTCGCTGGTGTACATACTGAGTATTCTTTCCCTTCATAGGCCAGGATTGCGAGAACGCGCTGTGCTCTGCCAGAGCTTGACGCAAACAAACAAGTTCTGGACGGAGGTCATCTACTACTTCCGGTTTTGCTGGCCCTACACCATCCATGAGATCGTAAGCCTCAGTCCAGATACTGGGCTGTACGAGTTTTCGGGCATGTACAACCACTACCTGTATGAGATCCGAATGTGGAAGATGGACATGAGGTTCTTTGAGAGCTTCCCCGAGACATACGACGACATCATCCCCGCCCTGGAGATTGAACGCCCAATGCAACCGGCCAGCGTTGATGCCCCATTGAAGTGCTGGAGTGCCAAACCCTGGCCTCGACCTCTGCCTTTGCCCGAAGACCTCAACGAGAAGGAAGAGAATGCAACGGAGCTCGACCAGTTCTTTTCAGCGTCGGAAATCTGTGACTGGGAAGCGGTACCGCAATTGGCTGTTTCCTGACACTTCCATCGAGGTCGGGTGAGCCTTTGCTTTTGAAAGATATGACGATCACGACGATCTACAGTTGTGGTGCCACCAACACTAGTAATACTGGGTGCGATGGCGCTTGACCTATGTACTGTAAGTTGACAAAAGCAATGCCAGGCTTTTCGCGAATACTGTGCTACAACAGGACTGCCTAAATCTACAGCCCCACGAGATTACCTGCCACCGAGCGATCATTCTAATCTGCGATGACTTGTGATCCTCGAGTCTTCTCTTCCACCCATCCGCCGACGACCGACGTTCAATGACAGCTGTCACATCAAGGATTGAATCGATTAGACTTCGCTCCAGACGGCTGTCAACCCATTCCGTCCAAAGACTGTGATTGCAACTCATCAAACAAGACTTGCTTGTGGAAAAGCTTAGCTGTCGCAATCTGGTTGTATCAACACTCTCTTGTGACATCTGTCCCGCCATCGAGGATGAAGATGATGATTCTTCCCCGTGTGTACCATGTGGCTGACTGTCTACTTTCCCGCACAGACATACAACACAGGGACAAGATTAACAAGCACATCAAGCTCCCCGATTAAGCTTCTTGAGTAAGCTTGAGGAGCTTGACAAGTCTGCCAAATGCAGGCAGGCCTGGAAATTCCTTCTGGCCAAATACTTGCAAGCCAATCTTAAGGCTCGCGAAGGTGCTTGCACAGGCCCACGATGTAGGGATGTTGGTGTCTCCTCGAGATATTATAAAGCCTCGAAAGGTACACCCAGCTTGCTCTTCGATCTCACAAAGCGCTCAAACCCGACTCTCCAACTCACCCTAGTCATTCCTTTACCTTTTCCCATCGCCACGATCTTAGACGGAACCGATTCTTCATACTGACTTTGGTATTCCATTCAATTCCACCAACTCCTTCCCCTCCAAAAACAAGTCAAAATGAAGTATCTAGTTGCTGCCGCCTCTCTTGCCCTGGCTTCGGCCGTATCTGCTGCCCCAAGCTGGGCCGACTGGGTCTCTTCCTCGTCTTCCTCTTCCTCTTCGGACACGGTCACCTGCCCGGACGTCGTCTGCCCGACCGATAGCTGCCTCCAACAGTCCGACGCCGAGGACATTGTCAGCAAGTTCATCACCATCATCCAACACAAGGACATCGACGTGGCCAACGCGACTGCCCAGGCCTTGCTTGCCGATAGCTTCTTTGAGAAGAGTGACTCGATCGACATCCTTGCAGGAATTCCGGTCTGTTGCACCACCCACCCAATGATTGAAAATCCTGCCTGTAACTGCATGGGAGAGAACAATTTGACTGACAGAGAGAAATTCTTCCAGCTCGGCACCGACAGTTTCTCCAGCAAGGCGGCCTACATCGCTGGCGTCCTCAGCGAAGATGGCCCGACCAACGTCACCACCATCCAGGTCATGCCCGCTGGCTGCAACAACGTTCTTTGGTACTGGATGATGTATGTCGGACTCAACCAGCTCCCCGTGCGTGGCATGAACCTCATGCAAGTCAACGACGACAAGCAACTTCTGGGCCAGTTCCTCGAATTCAGCAGCGTTGCCTGGGGTATTGACACTGGTACGTGTACTAGTACCATTCCTTATCTGTCCTTAAAGAAAAGCATTGGCACTAATCAACCCTTGCTACAGGCTACTCCTGCAGCGCTCCTGGCGGCCAGCCGCTTCCTCTCGTCTAAGATTGAGAGAGTGAATTGGAGCTTTCTTGAAACCGATGGGTTTAGATGATAGGGTGGCGTTACTTATTCTGGAGCAACTGGTGGGCTTTGGGCGTTGGCATTTTCTTTGGCTCACCAGGTCTAGGCGCGGCGTCACGGATGAGGACGATTCGATGTGCAACGACACATTCATGGGGGGAGATATACTTTGTTCTTCTGATGGTTGCCCTGCCACGGGCTCGAGGGTACTTAACGTACTTTGTGACCGACGAAATGCTCAGATGCATGCTTCGATCAATAATTGTCTCGCTTCTCGAGTCTCGGGTCTTGTTTGTCGGATATCGAACTGGCTGCGACTTGCATTGCCGGGGGTATTCCCGGGACCCACGCTTTTTCACCCACCCTCCACAACATCCCAGGTCTTGAACCAGGCGGAAAAGACCCATGAGCCAGGGCTAGTCTCGCCGGGGTCGTCGACTACTCCATGCCGGCTGTTCAAGCTGTTCGCCCACGTCCCCCGTACCCCAGGCGTTTTCTCAGTCCAATCTCCTGATTGGATCGACTGGGCAGTGGCCTTGTCATTGACTCGGTGGCACCACCTTGGTCAAATGTAGTCTTCGGAAGATGGGCTCGGCTAGCAGTACTCGTAGTGGTTATAAGATCGCCATGATCTTTTTGCATTTCAACCACCACTATTCAGAGGCCAGAAGATACCCTATCGAATAGCATTTCTTTGGACCAGCATCGTCAAATACTAGTACCCAAAACATGGGAGAAGCACCCCGGTCCTGGATGGACTCACGTTGTATCGATGACTACCGGCCGCTGCGTGTGATTGTCGTGGGCGCTGGCATCTCGGGCATCCTGGCATCGATTCGTCTCCCTCAAAGGATACCAAATCTGTCACTCCAGATATACGAAAAGAACTCAGACATTGGGGGTACATGGTTTGAGAACAAGTACGTACTTCTCCCGGAATTCTCAACATGGCAACCCTCCCTGAAGCATTTGAGCCTCAAGTACTGACTATTTATTCCAGATATCCAGGCTGCGCGTGCGGTATGTACGGACAGTTTGCGTTTCCAGGCTTGTTCGTTTCCTTCCTACTGACTCAAAGAAAAACGCAGACATTCCCGCTCACACATACCAAGCGACATTTGAGCCAAACCACGAATGGTCGCAATTCTATGCAAGCTCCAAAGAAATCCACCAGTACTGGAAGAAAGTGGTGGCCAAGTACAATTGCATGAGACATATCAAACTCAACCATCAAATTGTGAAGGCCGACTGGAATGATCGACAGGGCAAGTGGCACGTACAGGTCAAGAACACTCAGGATGGCAGCGTGCTGGAAGACTCCTGCGACGTACTGGTCTCGGCGACTGGTGCTCTGAACGATTGGAAATGGCCTCAAATCCCCGGCCTTCTAGACTTCAAGGGCAAGTTGTTGCATAGCGCCAGCTGGGATGAGACTTTTGACTGGACCGTAAGTCGGAAGGCAGAATCAGCACCATCGAACACTTCGGCTGATGTTTGAGACAGGGCAAAAGACTCGCTGTCATTGGAAACGGCTCCAGTGGCATACAAATCGTGCCGGCAGTGCTACCCAAGTCCGCCCACATCGACCACTACATCCGGGGAAGGACATGGCTTTCACCAACGTTTGCCAGAGAGAAAGTCGACTTGATGGGCAAAGGCTTGGATAACTGTGAGTACTAGTACTTCCCTGCGGTCGCGGACGTGTCGTCGCAAGCATTGCTGACAGGGTGATCAAACCAGTTTCGTTCTCGCCTGAAGACATCAAGCGATTCCAGACCGACCCGGATTTTTACGAAAAGTTCAGGAAGGACATCGAGCTCGAACTCCAGACCGTCCACGCCGTAACGATGAGGGGCACGCCTGAACAATTGGGGGCCGTGGAAGTGTTCACGGAAAACATGAAGAGAAGATTGGCGGGCAAGCCAGCTCTTGTGGATACTCTGATGCCCTCGTTTCCCCCAGTCTGTCGGCGCTTGACTCCAGGACCTGGCTACCTTGAGGCGCTCACAGACCCAAAGGTGGACGTGATCACGACGGGAATCCAAGCAGTCGACGCCGAGGGCATCATCACGACAGACGGTCAACATCATCCCGTCGACGCCATCATCTGCGCGACGGGCTTCGACACGACATTTTGCCCTCGCTTCCCTATCACGGGGAAAGGTGGCGCCAGCCTGGCCGACAAGTGGAAGGACGTGCCCTCGACGTACCTGTCACTCGCCACGGACGAGTTTCCGAACTACTTCATCTCTCTGGGTCCGAACTCGGCGCTGGGGTCGGGCAATCTGCTGCTCCTGATCGAGAAGGCGATCGACTACATGACGTTCTGCCTGGCAAAACTGCAGAGGGACAACATCCGAAGCATGGCGCCACGGGCCGAGGCCGTCGAAGCATTCGTCAAGTACTGCGATGAATACTTCCAGACCACCGTGTTCACCCTGGACTGCCGGAGTTGGTACAAAGGTGGCACGTCCGACGGGAGGGTCAGCGCCCTCTGGCCGGGGTCGTCGCTGCATGCCATGAAAGCCCTGGCCCATCCGAGATGGGAGGATTTTGTTTACGAGTACGAGAACGACAATCCTGGCGCGTGGATCGGGAATGGCTGGACGGTCGACGAGAGGGATAAGAAGGTCAAGGTGGATTATCTGAACAGGGATCGAATCGACTTTCCTCCATGTTCGCTGTGATGTGATTGATGGGGCATTGATTTGATTACTCGCATCATTCTCGTAGTCATCGGACAGGCGTTTCTGGAGCATCTTGGACCGGCGGTGGAGAGGCTCACTAGGCGGTGGGATGGAGATGTTAGATTTGCAATACCCAGGTGTGTCGTATGCAGGCTGACGACGAGGAACATCTTGTATATACTACTCGTGGTAGCTGCGGCAAATACCATTGTAGTTCTCAGCATGGCATTGCCCCAGAGTGATCATGGATGGTTGCCCAGTCCATTCTGTTCCCTAGGCATGCTGGGCGTACCCCGCAAGGACTGCCCACAGACTCCCATCTTCTCTCGAGCTTCTCTCTTGTCTCCCACGGTATCCCTACACCGAGCGAGCGGTGGGCGAGTAAGAAGGCCAGTACGAAGTACGGGGCGAATACTAACCAGTAAATTGGTTAGCGGCGGACCCCCAAACTCCGCATTCTGGCCACCCTCGGAAGTACTACTTAGTGGCTCGGTGGGTGCTTAGTATTTGGTGCTGGGCACCGTGTGGGCACCTCTGGGGCTAGCGAGGCTCGTCTTCAACCCACCATCAACATCTTGCCTCTTCTTATCTCTCCCTCCAACCCCACAGCACCCTCTCGCCGTCGCCGTCGCCGTCGCCGTCAGCATCGCCGGCCGCCATGGACGAGTTCCACGATCTCATCCGAACCCAACAGCTCCTTTCGGCGGCTTGTGTGAAGCAGTCGAACAGCCCTCCCGCAGCGTCAGCGGTGTCTTCCGAAAAGAAGCACCGTTGCACGATTTGCGGACAGGGGTTCCATCGCGCCGAACACCTGAAGCGCCATCAAACGCGACGTGAGCTGGCCCGTCTCTCCTGCTGTTTCTCGAGTGTTGTCTACGTAGTAGTATAGCTGACAAACGGTGCCGTCCGTCGCAGATACCGGGGCCAAACCGTTCTCATGCACGTTCTGTGGGCGGGATTTTTCGCGCAAGTACGAAATTTCTTATTCTTTTTTTTTTAAAAAAAAATCATCTCTACGGTCAAATTGCCCACGGGGATGCGAAAAGATGGTACAGCACTCGTGCTAAAACGGCAACCAGAGATCGTTTGCAGACCCATTACAACAGCTGTCAATGGCGGGGAGATCGCGAACCGCCCAGCTCGGTGCCCAAAGGTCGGCGACCGCATGCTTGTATGACAGTAAGTCACGATGCTCCTTGCATTTCCTCCCCAGGCGACACCATGCCCTCTCCAGAAAACGCCGAGGCAGGACTGACATGGTATTTTAACTAACGTTGACTTAGTGCGTCTCGTCCAAGATCCGGTGCGATGGAGGAAACCCTTGCGCGCAATGCAAGAAGAAACAAGTGGCTTGTCGCCAGAAGCCTTCGACCACCGACGATTCAGCAGGTTAGTAATTCCGACGCTGACCTGCCCGTATTCTCGGCGGCCACTCTCCTATGTAGGGGAAGTGTGCATGACTAATCTGAGTCTCTCGCTCCAAGCAGGCGAGAAATTAGACCCTTCAGACGATAGGGTGTCCATCAAAGCCTTGTTGAACGGTGGAGTTGATACATTCACCAAAACATACAATCTTCCACCGAGTGACGACAGAATCCAGAGCCTCCAATTCCACCACGAGCATGACGAATCAGGAGAAACAAGCGAGGCCAATGACCCCCGGTTGGGCGACCCCAGCCCGGACTCGATTGATTATTCCGGCATGTTTGGATCCTTTACCGACATGGACGAGCAGTATCTCAACTTCTGGAACGGCCCTTTTGGTCTGATGCCCTCGCCGAACTACGCCGACATGCAGCTCGATTTTTACGATCCCTCTATCGTGTCGGCAGAGGTCCGGTATGGCCCAACTCCATCGGATGCTGCGTCCAATCCTCCGGACCAAGCTCAGTATATCTCTTCTGTCAACATGGCCATCTACAACAAACTCTGGTGTCTGGCATTGGACGACAAAGCCCGTCAGGAACTCACGTCGTGTCTGAACTTCCTCCTGACTCCAGAGAAGATCCCGAAATTCATAACCATGTACTTCCGGAACTGGCACCTGAATTGTCCCATGCTTCACAAGCCGTCGTTTGACCCGTCCAAGGTACCAACCTCGTTGGTCATTGGCGTCGTCTTTGTAGGAGCAATGTATTCAAAGGACCAGTCGGAGAGACTTGCGGCCAAGAAGCTGGTCGACATAGCCGAACTGACGGTCTTTGACTCGGAAATATTCTCGTTCGAGTCTGAAATCATCAGATTCATTCAAGACTCATCTCCGGCACCGCCTGATCCGGGCGATGGTATTGCAGATCCCGAGTGGTATCGGTTTCAGGAGCTGCAGGCAGGATTCTTGATGGTCATCGCACAGTATTGGGCAGGGTCCCGAATCCCGAAGCGTCGTGCTTTGGAATCCAGGCTCGGCGAGGTGATAAAGGTGTTTAAATCCTGGCCTACATTCTCGCTCGCTTCGGTGTCTGACACAATATTATACAGGTTCTTCGGAAATACCAATACCATCATGCACGCCATCAACCTTCAGATCGAATATCGGAGACAGCATGGCTGCAGAAGGAGTCTCGAATCCGGTACGGCGAAACTTCAGAGAGTATAAGTACCGCTGACTGAATCATTTAGGACAATTGCCAGCATTGCGTTGCTCGACTGTGCGGGACGAATCTACTCCAACTTCCCATGCCGCATGGCCCCAGCCGAATTTGATACCGACCTACCTTGCAAAGAATCCATCTTCAGCTCCCGGCATCCTTTCATGCAGGATGAATTGATTTTTGCTCCCCGACTGACAATCTCTCAAGCCTTTGGTCAGCTCTTCGAGGGCAAGGCGAGGACGTCATCAGCTGGCTTGTCTTCGTCAATGGCTTTGGTGAATTCCAACTTTGCAGAAACCCCTCCGCAACTAGGAGACAAGGATAACAGCTGCGATCTCACCCCATTCGACCTGTTTATCCTGATCCATTGTACGTGTTGGCTGTTCTGGCGTATGTCTATTGGCCAAGCTGACGCCTGTGATAGTTCTTTACACGTATATCCATTCTTGCATCATGACAATATCACACGATCTACCTTCGACGGTTTCGAGTCGACCGGCCATGGCATCCAAATCCAGTCCGATATTCCAAGATCTGAAGACCGCGCTGGAACGATGGCGGCAGCTGTGGCAAGCCGTCCGCTCACAAGCCACACACGAGTCTTTGAAGTCTGCTGGCATGTACCGAAATTCGTTTCATTTCTGGATGATTTGCCAGTTGATTCTGAGCAAGGAGGAGGCTATTGATGTCATTACTGGCATGGAAGTCAATTGCGACGATGCCTTGACGAAACTCAAGGTCTTGTTTCAAAATGAGAACGAGTGAAGCAGCAAATGGGAACGGATGGATGGCGTGCCCTCTCTCAGGACTCCGATATCTCCAGATTGTGGGAGGCTCTCGCAAGACCCGCTCCTCGACCGCAACACCTCGGCACAGATTTGGGCTTCTTGAGATTTTCAGGCACCAGGAATTTCAGTGTCTTGTCAAAAACATGGTTGTGGCGATTGGATGACAGCGTCAGTCTCTCAGAGGCCCGTCATGACTTACATAATGATGTTATGCACCGCCACTCGGTGTGGAAAACTTCCTCCCACATCAACGATTTCACCTATCCCATGAAGTGAAGGTGTCACGGTATAGTAAGCGAGCCAAGAGTAAACATGATAAGAGTGTCGACGTTTCTACGTCCGTGATGCAGGATTCACAGTGAAATCCAAATGATCACGATGGAATGAAAGTAAGAGGACAGTGTCTTCGAATTGTGGCTGCACGTGGTTCATGGTCGGTTGATTGGTTGGTTGAATGACTCTTGGCAAAGGTGTGGCGAGTGATGTCAGGGTGACCTCATCGAAGAACCCCTCCACGCACGTGACCATCTAGGCACCATTCATTCTTCCCATGTACTTACCTTACCTACTCGTGTCTACTACAACTCCTCGTAGCCATCCTCGTCCTCATTCTCATCCTCATTCTCATCCTCCATCCGTCATCTCAACCTCCTCACCTCCCATACCCTTGACATCAACATGTCAACCAACAATCTCGGCTACGCCGACGAAAAGGCGCCTGAGGTCGAGGTGCTTGAAGTCCCGGCCACTCTCACCTACAAGAAGCAGCGTCCCAGCTTTGCCCACCGTCTTCTCAAAGTCATCATTGTTCTGTTCGGCGGACTGTTGGTCGTTGACCTACTCAGCCATGGACCAGCATTGGGCCAAATTTCTCGAGGATGTCATGGTCTCCGCCACCGGCACCGAATGAATGGATGGGATGATGGCCACCAACACCCATTCCCACCCATCGACAAATGGAAGCCTTTTGAGGGAACCACCCATTTCGAATTCGAGCCAAAGGTCGCCTCCGGTTTCACGGTTCGCGGAACCAAGGCATTCGGCAAAGTCGTATTTGAGACATCCAAGCTATCGGAGAAGGTGGTCATCGATCTAGACATCAAGACCAGCAAGAAGGACAAGAACAATGATGTCAGCGTCGAAGAAGACAATGGCTATCTCACCATCCACACTCCCGACACTGGCAAGCTCGAGACCTATGTATCGGCCAAGATTCAGCTCCCCTCCAATATCATTGGTACCTATGGCATTCCGAAATTCGAGGTTGATGTCCCACGTCACATGGTCGACTTCAGTGGTTTGCCGGAATCTCTCGAAATCGGTGAGTTCACGGTCAGAGTTGCAAAGGGCTTCGTCAAGTCTGGTCCTGTACATACCAACATGACCACCATCTCCGTTGCTGATGGAGCGCTCCGTGGCTCTTTGACTCATGCCCGCAAGCACACCGATGTCAACGTCGTCAAAGGCAATGCTACTATCGATATTCCTAGAATCAGCTCAGGCAACGAAGGCTCTACGACCATCCACCTTGGCAATGGCCACCTCAATGGTACTTTGTCCATCTACAACTCTACCTCCATCGACGTCGCCCGAGGCTCCATCTGGATCAACGTTGACTTCAAGGATGCCGAGCCTCGAGCTCAATTCACTACCAGAATCGCATCAGGCGACTCCCGCGTCTACGTCAACTCCATTGCTGAAGAGCGATTGTTCCACTCGAACCACAATACCGTCGCTGGTGACCAATTGATCACTTATCCTTCCAACTTCCAGGGCACAATCGACGCCCGTGGCATTGCCGGCAACATCAAACTTGCTGGAGAGGAACTCAACGTGGAGAAGGTCATTGGCGGCATGGTTGGCACGAAGGGCGATCCGAACAGGAACTACATGAGTGTCAAATCCGTCAAGGGAGCCTTGGATATCCTCGTTGGGGATGAGGATAAAGCTGAACGCCAGAATCATGTTTGATGTGAATAGTCATGACAGTCCCGGGGGACGACATTTGTACTAGTATTTTAAAAGCGAACTTGCATGGAGAGGAATGCGAGCTTATTTCTATGATTAATTAGCATTGGCAGCAGCCAAAATGGAAGCATTTTCCTCTGATTTATTTTTGTCACTGGGTCCGGTGCCCAAGCCTCGCTCAGCATGTCACATCATGATGGCACCCATTTAATCCCATTCGCACCCACTGTTGGCTAATTCCCACTCCGCTGTCATAGATTCATCCCGTCCTTGATAGTAAAGTCTGCAGCATCAGTATTCGTGTTCGTATTCGTCCGGCAAAAGCACGAAGACTTGATCGGGACATCCGCCATGGCCATCTGAAACGCCAACTGCGGCTTGAGAATCCGCGCCTCGGCGGTGCGACCGAGCCTCGTCAGGCATTCATAGTACCCGTGCAGCGACCAGACGTTATTCGGATGTCGCAACGCCCGGGGCAAAGTGTCGTCGAAGCCCAGGTCGGCACTGTACACGGCGGCGGCTTGCTCGACGTGGCCTTGCTCCAACAGCAGCGCGCCATACGCGTGGCGGGGCGGCTGCATCCAGCCCCAGGGTTCGTCGTAGGGCAGTGCATCGTCCAGCTCGATCGCGCGGCGGAGGTGTGCGAAGGCCTCCGCGAAATTCCCGCGACGGTACTCGAGTTCGCCGTCCAGCATGGCGGCGGCCACGCGCAGGATATCCGTGCACACGTTGTTGAACAGCGTCCTCGTGCGCTTGACGCGAGAGAGGCTCGTCCGAAAGACATCCCGCTGCGTCTCGGCCTCGCGGACCCGTCCTGTCGCCGCGAGCGCGACGCCCCGGGCGTACTGGATCAGCGCCGTCGTCACACAATAAAGGTCCTGGTCGGCGGGAAGCGGGAGGGGGAGGTCCTCGCCCTCTAGGATCTCGCGCCACAGCCCGAAGCGGATGTACACGTGCACGCGCATGCCGAGGAAGGCTTCCAGCCAGTCCGCCATGGGCGGGGAGTCGACGCGCAGTAACTCTTCGGGGATGGAAGCTTCGATCCACGCTGCCGTTTCGAGCGCGACGTGCTTTTGGCCCGCGAACATGGCCGCGTACAGGCGGAAATGGTAATCATGCGAGCGGTACAGAGTGTAAAATTTCAGGGCGCCCGCGCGCGATAGGAATTTTTCGTCCGCCACGATGGCGTCCATGTTCGACGCGATGGCCCGCCGGTAGTCGCCGCACAGGATGTCCAGGTGCGTGGGCATGTGGTGCAGGTGGCCCGCGTCCGGCACGAGGCCCCGAAGGTGGTCGGCTACGGGCATGGCGAGTTCGGGCGTCGGCGACATTTCCATCAGGTGGATGTACAGGTGCAGCACGCCGGGATGGGAGAGGCCGCCACCACGATCGCGACGGCTGTTGCTTGGGCCGGGGGGGGCGGCTCCGGTAGGACCCAGGGGTGCCAGGGATAACGCGCGCTCGAGGATGCGCTTGATTTCGAGCGTGCGTGCACCCGGTGAGGGTTGGCCCGTGGATAGGTCCCATAGTTTCCAGGGCGTGAGGTTCATCAGCGCGTCGGCGCAGAGGGTCGCGACGTCCAGATCGTCAGGGAAGCGGGCGTAGACGGAGGTCATGGCCGCGGCGTAGGGCGTGTTCCATATCGAGCAGTCGCTGGCCGGTTGGCCTTGCGGGTATCTGAATTCCAGGGCGTCGATGAGCGCCTGTTCGACGGCACTGGCAGAAGACGCGCCTTTGGCTTTCGCTTTGGATTTGGCTGACTCGACGGCCGAGTGAGTCCGAGAGACGGTGGACTCAAGTTCTTCGCCGTCAAAGAATTCCCAGGGTTTGTTGTAGTTCGGCCCCAGGGCGTAGGCCAGGCCCCAATATGCCATTGCGCAGTCCGGGTCGATGGAGATGGCCCTTTGGAAGCACGCTGCCGACTCTTCGTGGTTGAAGGCGTAGCTCCAGATCAGGCCCCGGTCGAACCATTTCTGGGCTTCTTTGCTGTTGGTGGTCACGGGCCGATGGTACGTGCCTAGGTCGTAGTACCCATCTGGATCAAGCGCGCTCATCGTTCAAGACTGTTCTGGTATCGGATCATGCAACTCCCTGACCCGGTGGACGACAAACGACAGCTATGATATAGGATTATAGTCGTATAGCTTCCTCGAGGCATGAAGATGCCGCGTCGAATGTGATGGGTCTACTATTTGAATGTGAGATTGGCGTGGAAGCTCAGGAGAGAAAGGGCGCTTTGTAGTGTATTGCTTCGCCATGGTTCCGTGAGACAACGTACGGTGAAGTATATACATCACTTAGCGCAGAAGTGTGAATGGTCACGATGGTGTTGATACGAGTGCAAGCACAAGTAAGTTGAGTAAGATTAACACTATCGAGAAGGTCTACATCTCATCAGACAAATCCTCCCCGGCTGCAATAAACATACGACAGTGAGACCGTTGTCAAGTACACGCCAATCAAGCAGCATTAGTTTAATGTGGACCCTCAGACCCCCTATGTCGAGGACCTGGACCTCGATCACCCCAGTATCCGCTCCTCCCTCTGAACTCACTAGCATTCCGACACTGAGGATGCTCGCGATCTTCCACCGAGCCAAATGGCCAGATCGGTATAAAACACACCTTGTCCAGAGGACATTCGCCGCATTTTTTCCAGATGGTCCAATCGAGATATCGAATCAATTCCTGCAAATTCCCCACGGATTCCGAAATAGGAACCTTGGTATCGAAGGCGGCGAAAAGACTGGAGCAGATTCTCTCAGTGACCGAGTGGATGGCACGTCCTGCAAGGGATTCTGCCAGCTTGACTCCGGCAGGAATGAACTGTCCGACACAGCGCCCCACCTCAGCAGTCGTGTTGCGCTGATCTGAGTCGATGAAAACTTGCAGCATGACCCCAAGCTCGCTGAGGAAAGCGTCGGATGTCTTCAGGCTGCCCGAGACCAGATACTGCAACTCCTTCGCGTACCTTTCGACAATCATGTCGGTGATGCTCTGCCAATTGATCAAGGTTGAATCTCGTTTGGAAGGATCCCATTTTCTCACCATGACGTCCACGTCGTTACGGACCTCGTCAAGCGATGTCACTGACAAATTCTCGAGCCTAGGGAGGTCACTGTCCTGGTCCTTGAACAGGTCGAGATCATAGGCATAGCTGGTCACAAAGCTGTCGTAATCATCCTTGACTCGGTCACCACCGATGCCATCGTACCGGGCGGTGATGGCCTTGATCCATTTCATGCCATCCCCGCGGCCTGGCTCGTCTGTTTTGGGGTCTTGGCCGTTCGGCGCAAAGGGCCCGGCCTTGACTGCTTGGACGAAATCAAGATGCTCTGCAAACGAGCACAGGATGATCTCGAAGCCTGCTTCCATGCGTATGAAGCCCTTGACTTTTCCATCCCAGGCATCTCTAGCCAATTTGCAAAGGCGGTTTGCCCTTTCGACCTCCCAGAACCCGTGGCGGTCCTCGTCCGTCACATTCAGCAACAAGGTGTCCTGCGAGTCGAGGGTGCCTTTGTCGCTTTTGCCAGCTGACATGCCGTCAATGTAGAGGAGAGGAAGGGTGTCTCTGGTCTTGTATGTATGCAGCCACCCGGGATCCATCTCAAATGGTGGTCGTCTCGGTTGTTTGTCCTTGTCGTCACCCGCCATCAAGGGGTTTTGGGTTTGGGTTTGGGCTGACTCGTGGAGCGCGGGCTTGTCTCCTGCATGTGGTCGTTGTCGGTCCAACCTCTCTTCCCGTCCTTCAGGTGATAGTATCCGGTCTGGGTTATGGCAGTCCTCCTTCGATGAGAGCAACGGGAGTGGCTTGCGACGTCCTTTCTCCGGCGGCGGAGATCTGTGCACGCCATCCTCGTGGTGTTTGCCTGGTCGAGATCGAGCAGCTCTGTCGTCGAAGACGGGTGGGGGAGGCGCATGTCGGTCATCCTGTCCTGGTCCGCCGTGAGGGCTGCCCTTAGGATGTTTCATCCTTCTGGCGAAGATGATAGCATGCTCCGGCTCAAAGGCCAGCCACTCCATGCCTTTTACTGGCTCTAGCTGACCCGTCCCATGATAGAGGTGTGTACCGGCGGGCACTTCAGCCAGGAAGAAGGACATGCCATTATGGTTCAGCGACGAACCCCACTGGCGCATGGACGAGTGGACGGCGTTGAAGATATGGTTCGCATTCCGCGTTCCATTGTCCCCCGGGTCGGTCTCTGGTTCTATTTGCGGCACAGCTGCTGCTCGTACATAGTGCGACAGGCCGCAAGCAGCCAGCAGCAGCACGCGCAAACACAACATCATGGCCGATGCGGCAGGTTGAGGAGAGGAGTCGGCGCAAACCCGTCCTTACCTGTCTGAGGCCTTACCTTTAATAAAGCATCGGGAGGAAGCACATCTTATCTGATGCCCCTCTGTTGCATCCCAAAGCGTGGGAAGATTGGCTGCTTACGTGGCCCGGCGACGCGGCTCGATAAGAAGCATCTTTGAGAACCCGCTCAACCAATACTATTCGGCGTCTGCTGGCGACCAGGGACGCCGTCTCGCCTAGTCTGGGGACCTTATGCCAGTGCGGTCGCGTCAAGCCATCCACGAGGATAAACAACAGCAGACAAGTATATGAGTACTCGTACGATGGAAGGAAGGGAGAGCGAGCCAAAAGCCATGATCAATGCCGCGCACGTACTGTGGTAGGTTTGCCGGTGTCATTCTCCGACCAACTGTCGAAGCACTACTCACTGTACTCAGCCTCGTCAGCCTCCATCTGGATACTTTAAATAGTTTGCATTAAAGGTACGTCAAGCGTGGTCAAGGTACTGCGTCGATCTACCGATCATTGTTGTCAAACATGCAAAGTGGCACTTGTTCATACTCCTCCCGCATCAACAGGTACACTGTGGTCGACGGCACGAGTAACTGGTCGCTTCTAACACTCAATTGCTGTCCAGATCTATTCGCATGCCACTTCAACCCATCCTTTGACGCCCGCGCCCTATGCAAAACCGTTATCGTAAGCTTCAATATTGAGGCATGCGAAGTCTATCATCTGCCGTTATGCCATCAAACCCGTCTATTGTATGTTCATGCTTCATTCCCAAGCCACCCGTCTAATTGCAACGCCAACGCTATGAATCAGCATGCTTTGGTTCCCCATCTATTCCGCCTCATCGTCCGTATCTGGTGGATGGGGAGTTCCCTTGGGACTGTTCAACCATTCAATACTAAGAAAACCACAAGTTAGCACATTACTCAAACCACAAAGCCAGAGACTGAACTTACTGTCGTAATCTTCGTCGCACCTCTCGATCCTTCATTTGCGCACGTGTCAACTTCTTCTTCTTCTTGGCCTTGAACTTCATCTCGCTATTGTCTTCGACGCCCGAGTTGGTCGCCGAAACATTGGCGCTGGAGACCACGGAGCTCACGTTACTCGATCCAGGACGGGAATCCTCAAAGCGGTTGAGGTCAACCGCGAGATGGCCCTTGTGCATAACCTTTCCGTCAGCAACGTGCCATTGTTCGGGACACAAAGCCCCGACAAATTCTTCGTTGTGGCTGATCATGACAACACCGCCCTTGTACTCGCGGATAGCCACTGCCAGGCCACCCAGCGAGTCCCGATCCAAAAAGTTGGTCGGTTCGTCCAGGACCAGTAAGTGAGGGTTATTCCACATAGCACCTGCCAACACGACTTTGACCTTTTGCCCACCACTAAGACCCGAGATCTCGTTGTGGTTGGCAATTTCAGGGTCCAAGCCGACATCTTCGAAGTGCTTAGAGATCACCTTAGGTTCCAAAATGCGGTACCCAAGACCTTCTCGGGAAGCCTCATGGTCGTCAAACTCTTGAATCAATTTCTGGAATCCCCACTCGAGCAACGTCTCGCGAGACACCTGGCTGTTGAACTTGGGATTCATGTTTCGCCACTTGACCTCGTATTGGAAGGTCTTCTTGTACTTCTGCCGACCCATCAAATTCTCGAGCTGTCGTGGGCCTTTGCCGTCTCCAAGGTCGACCCACTTGTCCATTTGCGCCTTGTCCTCGTCCGTAAGCACACGAGTAGCTTTCATCAAGACTTCTCGATCGTCGCCGTTGGCGTATCTCCATTGCAGATACTGGTTGGGTGTCTTCTCAAGATGCATCTCCACGTGTTCGAGAGCGTGTTGTTTGATGTAGCCGATTCGTAGGTTGGGATGTTTTTCGACCTTGCCACTTTGAGGAATAGCCTCTCCAGTCAGCATCTTGATCAACGTCGATTTACCAGCACCATTGGCACCAATGATTGCCACTCGGGAGGACAAGGTCAACTGGCAGGAGACGTCCTGCAAACTGGGTTTAGAGGCCCCTGGATAGGTGTAGCTGACGTTCGTCATTCGGATGATAGATCTCGTGTTCGATTTGACGCCAGAAAGGATTCCGGGGGGAGGGAACTTGAACTGCACCTGCGTGGCAGAAAGAGTGTAATAGCTTGATGCTTCGGGCTTGACCTTGACGAACGCAGCCAAGTTGCCGGTATAATGGACGAGCTTCTTCTGTTCATAATGTAGGATATCAGTGCAGACGGCGTCCAAAAACCCAGAGTCGTGGGAGACGATCAAGGAAGTAATATCGGTATGGCCTCGGAGATACTCCTCGAGCCACTTGACGTTGGCGACGTCAAGATGATTGGTCGGTTCGTCGAGCAAGAGAACATCAGCTCTCATGAGCATCGCTCTGGCCAAGGCCAACTTCATCTTCCATCCACCGGACAACGACCCGACCTTGTGCGATTGCCTGCCTTCGGGACCAGCAGTGAATCCAACTTCACTGAGAACCTCCGAGATGCGCTCTCGGCCTTCTTTGGCGATTTCGGGGTCTTTGGAGACGTATTCAAGGATGCTAATGTCCGCATCTTCACCTTGGTTGTGCTCGACGAAACACGTCCTCAAGACATCTTGGGAAGGGAAGCCTTCAAGCTTGCCACTAGCAATGCTTCGCATCAAGGTGGATTTGCCGGCACCATTACGGCCACAGAGACCGTACCGGTGACCCTTGAGGAGTCGGAGATTGGTGTGCGATAGCAGCAACATGCCACCATAAGCAAGAGAGAAGTTGGCATTCACAATTTCAACCTCGTTGGGGTCTTCAACCACAGGCGCACCAAACTTCTTGTGGTCTTCGTCAATGAAGTATTTCTGGACACCCTCGGCAACTGCGGAGCAGCTCTCATCAGGAAGAATGTATTTGAGGTAAGGGCCAACTCGACCGGGAATTCGAGAGAAAACGCGGCTGTTCACATCCTCTCTCACCATTTCAGACACATAAACTTGGCCGTCTTTCCAGATAGCCGCATCTTCTTTTTGAAAACCACCCTGCGCTCGGATTTGGCGATCCAGGACTTTCAGTACGTCGTCGGTCGTTGTTCTTGCGATCTGATCATTGGTGATGCTGTCTTTGTCGTCGCCCATCGCCTTCTTCATGACATCGTTCGCCCTGGTAGCCAACTCCCGGACCTCGGGAAGCGAGGCACTGTCCTTGACTCTTTGAACTCCCGGCTGGAGCTTAGGGAGGAATGTCTTGGCTTCGACAGGATCATGGACTAGTTTAGTCAGGTTTTCCACCACAACCACAGTCTGTCTCAGCACTTCTTGTGATGTAGTTGGGGTATTTAAGGATCTCTCGAGTAGAGGAGTGAGAAGAGCAAGAACTGGAGAGGTGACGATCGCAACGAACGTCGTTTGCGAAAGAGCATGGATGGCCTTCTGGAGAGTCTGCGACGAAGGATTCTTCATGGTGTCGATCAATAGGGGCACTCGAGGTGCGACATCGTCGTTTTGCAACAAGGTGGTGAGAGAAGTCATTGTCTTGGTCGCGGCTTTGGCGACTTCGGACTTGAGGTCATGCATTCCACCCTCGACCACGGGAATCAGGTCCTTCAACGTTCTACCCATTGAGTCACGGAGGACATCTTTTGCTTCCTCCTCTTCTTTTGTGCCTGTCCCCATCTGTGCCTTATCTGCCATCTTCCCCAACAGAGTGAAGGCTGCCACAGTCCCTTGCCACTTGCCAGTTGGCTTGGACAAGTATCGTTGCAGAGCCGGAAGCAGGCCAACAGCCATGGCCTCTAGCTCGAGATTCTTGAATAACTCATCAACGGCATATTGAGCCGATTCTCGAATCGAAGAACCTTTGTCCGCTAACCCGTCCAGCACCAGGTGTAATAAGCCGCCGTCACGGACGAGGAAAACGACCTCACTGATGGGCTGTTCTCGAGGGAATCTTTCAAACATGGCACCAAGCATGAACATGGCGCTTTCTCTTTTGGAGGCATTTTTCTTGTCTGTCGCAGCTTTCTTGATTGCTGGAATCAGATCATAGCTTAACAGACCGCGAATGCCTATTGACTGAATAAGGAGGTTTGTGAGGGCGTAGGAGGCATCGAGTGAGGTTTGAGCGGAGTCCGAGTCGACGATGGTACGCAGAATGCTGCTGACCTCTTCGACAGTAGGAGGGATTCCGGAGAAGTTGGACTTGGTTGGCACCACTGATGAGGCCATAGCGGGAGCCGAAGGAGGGCTTTCAATGTGTGGCATAGTCTGGAAAGGTTGGGATGCGGAATGCGCGATGCCGGATGCCTGACGAGGCACAGAAACAGAACGAGAACGCTGGCTGCGGTCAAGACGCGGCGACAAAATCAACGCTCTCGTCTTCTATCAACCAGTCCGGAGTGGAGAGTCCCAAAAACAAAAAGAAAGAAAGTGCTAAAGAAGATGCTGTGAGAAAATCTGAATCAGCCTGCGACTTTTGAGGACCGAGCCCCCTTCAACGCTTGCCGGATCGCTGCCACTTTTTTTCAGCCTACGGAAATTTTCTGAAAAGCGGCGAATATCGTGCCTGATAAGCGATAAGCAATTGGTCAGTGACGCAAACTGACTAAGCATCGAATGGCGGGCTTTCATTGGTCAGTTGCGGGATATTTTTGATCTTTCCTTTCTACTGTGGTAAGTACATAGGTTTGTACAACCTGGTATATCAGGTACATATAGGACTTTTCGTTGAGCCGCAAGCATCAAGATCTTCTAAGAGCTGCTCAGCGAGATCCTTACCTTGAGCATATCGTGACTCGGAGTAATCTTTTCTCCGAGCATGGCTCGTCCGTGCTCGTTTTGGAAACGTTGTGTTGGCCCACCTGGCCATCTCTCACAATCTACGGGAAGCCGCAAGTCTTATCAGGTGGACAAGCATCGAGCAGCTGATCTGCCGGCATAGTGGCCTCGCCTTATGCTAGACATCGACTCTGTGCCAAGAATCATGACAGAGTACCATTAAAAACCAGTCTCTGTGTTGCCTTCACCCATGCTTTTGCTTCCGCTGCTGCCAGACTGAATGGCTCCAATAATACCATCAATGTAGGGAGCGCCACTCCATTTCTGGTGGGTCAAGACATCGACGCCTAGTTGCTTCTCTCGGCTCTGAACTAGATTGACGTAAGCGAGCATACCATCTTCTTTGAAACCCTTTGACAGTTCATTGGTAATGGTAGCTGTGGAGTGCAATCCGGCGAGGGAAATGAGCTGAAGCACAAATCCTTCTTTGGCAAGGTCCCAGACGAACGATTTCAAGGATGCATCGTCGAAGCCTTGTCCCATCCAATTGAATGAGGGGCTGAGGTTATAGACCAAATGCTTGCCGGGGAATTTCTCACGAATTTCCCTTGCAAAACCGGCCGCCTTAGACACAGTGGGAGTAGCTGTCTCCAACCACAAGAGATCGGCATAAGGAGCGAACTCGACGGCTCGCTTAGTTGCTGCAGGTAGTCCTGCACGGTAGTGATAGAATCCTTCTCTTGTGCGTGGGATGTCGCAGGACCAAACAACAGGAGACTTGGTGTACTGAGAAGACAGAGCTCGACGCTTGGAAAGCGACATGTTGCGGTTCTCCTCGGTTTTGGCGAGATACTCAGAGGGGTTGCCGCCCTCTGACTTGATGTGAGCCTCGACAGCCTCGTCAAACGTGACCAGCTTGTGCTCCCTGACCCAACCAGACTCGAATTTGTCGATTTCCGGTCCGCTGGCGCCATTCAACTCCATCTCCTGCAAGAGCTCGGAGAGTGGCTCTGTCTCTTCGGTGACACCTAGGATGAATTCATGATCCCGTATATCCACGGCGCTCGAGAGCAGTTTTCCACTTTCTGAATCTGTCCTTGCAATGACCAAGTTCTCGCAGCCCATCATATCCCATTGAAATCTGGCAGCCACCAGACGGTTGATGTGGTCTCCGACGGGGACCAACACTTTACCTGCCAAATGCCCGCATTTCTTCCCACCGTGAAGCTGGTCTTCGAAGTGAACTGCGGCGGCACCATTCTCAGCGAAGAGTTTGGCCAGCTTAATGACAGCCGACAGACCGCCGTGGCCAGTATCACCATCAGCCACAATGGGCCTCATATAATCAATGTATGGTGTGTTCTTGCGTTCCTCTGGGCTCATCTTTCGTCTGGCATCGTAATTCTTGCGGTCATGTAATTGTTGGGCCTTGAACAATCTTTGCACCTGGTTGGGTACTGTGTTATATGGATAGTCACCAAAATCTGCGGAGACCTCGTTCGTGGTCGTAAGGACAGATGAGCAAGCCCAGCCAGATACGTAGAGGATTTCTTGGTTTGGAGCTTGTTGGGTCATTTGCACGGGGTCAATGGCGCCCATTGTGTGTACTGGTTTGCCCTCGGCTGCCCTCTCAGCAAGAAGATTGAAGAGCTTCCGTGCCATGATAGAGCTAGGATATGTCTGCTGCAGTGTGCCTCTCTTGCTCACCACATCCTCTGGCGTGTAGGGTCGCTTGATCCCTTTGTACCGGGGTGATGCCCACCATTTCTTAACGTCCTCCACCTGCTGCTTGAAGAGTAGATCTTCTGCATCGCCCGCCTTCGTTTCGGTCGAGAGTAACTGGAATGAATCGGAGGGGAGGGATGCGGAGACTGGAGGTTCGACGGGAGGCAATGATGACAAGTGACGGGACATGATGGTGAGGAAGGGTTTCGCGGCGCCTCTGTTGGCAAATGGTCGGCTTGAGAGCCTCGGTAGGCTTCTTGGAACTCGTCGTAGCATAGTAGTTGGTATGTTCCTTCTTTCCGTTATCTAATGAGGAGGTACTCCAACACGATGGCCGGAGATCATTAGAGGTCTGCCTCCTCTTTGTACGGCTGTCTAGATGGGCTTAGCGGACAGCAGCCCGAAGACGCTTTGTAATGAGGCTCAATGACAGTAGTTGTATGAGATTTGGACAGGCTGACCAGATCATTACCAAAGTGAAGCATCGAGCATGCGCGACTTTTTCGCTCAAGCCTCCATCCGATCGCGCAAGTTCAGTCTTTGTAGAAACCCGAGTTCGGAAGGAAATCCACTGGAAATCCAGTGAACTCCCACTTTCAACCTCGGCCATCATGGCACGGTTATTATCGGAGTCCCCTCGACTCGAAAAGTTCAAAGTCTTGTCTGACAGAAACATACAGTCTCCGTCAATGCTCCTCCCACGTCCTCCACACTTTGGAAGAGGAATATGGATTGTCAGACACCGCCCCCGATATCTGACACCTGGAGGACAGCCGGAGACAACCATCATGCAGCCTCCACGATTCCACTTGTGCCGAGGAATGTCCCTTCGTGCAGCGTCGGTGCGAAGGAAGGACGATCAACAATTTTGGGATTGGAAGTGGAAGCTTCAGAGCTCAAACATTTTATCTTCTTCTTCTCTTGCGAGGTTCTGCCCTACTCAGCGTCCAAGGTTCTTGCTCACATTACTCTCAGTCTGCAGCTACCTTGCAGTTTACCACATCTTCGATACCCCGCAATATTGACCCTGTAGGACCCCAGACACGTTGTTGCGCGAGAGCTTGTCAACCACAATGGCTGCCAGCACGAGAAGCGCTCAACACGCTTTGAGAGCTCTGAGAGCTTCCTCAACCCGATCCTATTCCTCCTTCGTCTGCCGGGCTTACTCCTCCGCCGCTGAGCCCGAGCTAAAGACCACACTAGAGTCGGTCATTCCTGAGAAGCGAGAACTGCTGAAGCAGGTCAAGAGCCATGCAGACAAGAAGATCGGAGACATCAATGTGGGCATGGTTATTGGTGGTATGAGGACCATGAAATCTATGGTCTGGGAAGGCAGTGTCTTGGACGCCAATGAAGGAATTCGTTTCCACGGCAAGACGATCGCAGACTGCCAAAAAGAACTCCCAAAGGGCACATCCGGCACTGAGATGTTGCCTGAAGCCATGTTCTGGCTGCTTCTGACAGGACAAGTCCCGTCAGTTTCTCAAGTCCGCGCCCTTTCGCGTGAACTTGCCGAGAAGTCGGAGCTGCCTACTCATGTCACAAACATGCTCAGAGCCTTCGACAAGAACGTTCACCCTATGACACAGCTGTCATGCGCTGTTGCTGCTCTCAACTCCGAGTCGCTCTTTGCGAAGAAGTATGCTGAAGGTCTGAACAAGGCTGCATACTGGGAACCCACCTTTGAAGACAGCATCAACCTTCTGGCCAAACTGCCTCGTGTGGCCGCCGCCATTTTTGACAAGGCTGCTCTCGACATGCCCATCGACAAGGACCAAGATTGGGCATACAACTTCGCTAAGCTCCTAGGCAAGCCCGGAAAGGACAATGAAGGATTCCAAGACCTGCTACGTCTGTATCTTGCCCTTCACGGTGATCATGAGGGTGGCAACGTCTCTGCACATGCCACTCATCTGGTCGGATCTGCTCTTTCTGATCCATATCTATCCTATGCTGCTGGTCTGCTGGGTCTGGCCGGTCCTCTACACGGTCTCGCTGCACAGGAAGTCCTCCGATGGATCTTGAAAATGAAGGACACAATCGGCGAAAACTTTTCAGACAAGGACGTCAGTGAATATCTGTGGGCCACCCTCAAGTCTGGTCAGGTCGTTCCTGGTTACGGACATGGGGTGCTCCGCAAGCCTGATCCTCGCTTCAAAGCTCTCATCGATTTCGGCGATGCTCGCCCAGACATTGCCAACAACCCTGTCTACCGCCTGGTCAAGAAGAACAGTGAGATTGCACCAGGAGTCTTGACCGAACACGGAAAGACCAAGAACCCCCATCCCAACGTCGACAGTGCTTCTGGTGTCCTCTTCCACCACTACGGATTCCAAGATCCTCTATACTATACAGTGACCTTCGGTGTCAGCAGAGGTCTAGGTCCTTTGGCTCAATTGATTTGGGATCGTGCCTTGGGTATGCCAATTGAGCGACCGAAGAGCATTGATCTTCAAGGGCTGCTCAAATTGGTCTAGACCTTGAAATTTGTATGGCTTTTGTACATATTTGGTGGGAGTTGTCACTGGGCTGAAAAGCAATAGATCTCCAATTGATGTTCCACAATATCATTGACTCGTGATTGTTGCCTCTACTAAGCCCTAGTATCGCCATGCACGGTAGATTGCTCCGTCTTGGGCTTTTTTCTTCCTATGAGACCCCACAAATTCCAAAATCCTCGATAGGGATACCCTCGGTAGGGTTTGTCGCCGAAGAATGGTCTTTCGTGCTCTGACAGAACACCAGCATGCACCAATCGGTCGATGGACGGGTCGATTGTGACACCGTGAAGGATGTCACGAAGACCACCTAGGTTGGGTGACCAAGGCTGCACCCAGTTTCCTCCATCCAGCTCGAAGTGCGACAGTGGAAGGAGTTCTGCGCAGGGTTAGCTATTTCCTACTGGTTTGGTGAGGAACCGTCCCTACCTAGGAGCCACCAGAAGCGACGACCAAGCCAAGTCGACCCACCGCCTCGGACAAGGAGGTCATGCTTGATCAAGCCGAGATGCTTCGCTTTCGCTTTGCCCGATTCGAGACCATCGTTGATTTGACGTACTCGTCTCTCGAGCCCATCGAGCCCCTTGTCAGAGTCCTCAGGGTCTTCCTGGTGCCAGGCTAGAGGGTTTTTCTGAAAAGGCAAAGTATCATCAGCTCACGAAAAAAGAAAACATAAAGTAACAGGAAAAGGTTTGGGAAGTAGTTCACACACCTGCGGCGAATGCTCGACCTTTCGCTTGTCGACCTCTCGCACCTCGTCGACCATCCACTTCAACGCGATTTCCGACAATGCGTAGGCATCTGGCGCGTTTGGCCATCCTCCGCCAACATCGCCGTGATTGCCTGCGAACCAGCGTTCTTGAAGGTCGACTGGCTCCTCTTTCTCTTCGTGGGATTGTTTGGCCAACAAGAACAATGTCGGCTTGAATTTTGCCCGACGTTCGTGGATCGACACGGCATGTCGGATATGTGAGGCCGGCGGACACCGTATGTATGGAGAGATACGGCGGAACAGGGGGACCTCGAGATTGGCGACGCTGTTGACACAGTCGAAGAGGCCAAGGAAATGGACTTTGACATCCTTCCGGCAGAAGGTCTTCTTGTAGTCTTGGATATACTGCCAGTCTTTGTCGAGGTAACCCGCACGACAATAATCGCTCCATTTGTACCACGCGAAAGACACATGCTCTTCGTTGCCCCGGGACAAGAGTCCGATGTCGTGGATCATCTCCGCTAATACGCGTGCGGTATATGCACCTCGACTGAAGCCGAAGATGTATATGTCGTCGCCGTTGGCGTAATATCTCATGAGGAATTTGTAGCCAGCCATGACATGCTCGGCGAAGGAGAACGCGAAACCTTCGTCCAATTTCGCTTTGAGCCCCGACCAGGCCTTGGAGAATGCACTCCAGTACCTCGTGTTGGTGATGGGCCCGCCGGCATCGTATGTGCCGATTCCAGCTGGACGACAAATGTTAACGTGCCTGATCCGACTTGAAACATCTTCTTTTGCTGGCCAAAGCTGGAGAACTTACGCTGGTAGTAGTGATACTGATCATCAGTTTCGCGGTCTAGCATTTCGTAGATTTTGACGATATTCGTGTCGGCACTGTTGGCCTGGAATCTGTTGCTTGTGCCATCGAAACAGAGCACAAGGCGATTTCTCTTGGGGGCTTCTCCCATATTGCACAAGTATACCCAGATTGCAGGTAAAGCCAATGAAGGTAGAATGATTAGTTTGTTAGCAGTCCAGAGAAGTACGCGAGGTTAGGAGAGAACAAGTTGATGTCTTTACAGATGTCGAGCGCATGGTGGTCGACGTCGACCTTCATGACCCAATTCGACTGGGACACCCTTTGAGCATGAGAAGCCAGCCACATTGACCATTTAGGGCAATTGTAGAGGCCGTGTCATTGAATTGACGGGCAACCAAGTCGTTCAGCTACGCCACGAGGCAACAGGCAAGGCTAGGAGCTGACTTATTGGTTGACATTTTCGGCTGCGCTTCAGCCGCACCTTCAGCTGCACAGTTGGCCGCATGAAGAACTTCGGCAACTGCCGGCAGTGAAGAGTACGTAACGATAAAGTTGAGAGATGGATGTTTGTACAAAGCATTTCATGCAGATGCAAATTGTCGATGTTGGTGGAAGTTGTCCAGCCTCCAGAAATCGAGCTTCGTATTGTTCTGCTTCGGCCCGGACCTGACAAGGCTGGTCACGTGGTGCTGGACAATCACGGGACTTGTGGTTTCTGATTGGCCGATCAGAGCGCGTCTCATCTTGACATCCACACATCCCTGTGAACCCACTACCGTAGGCCCATGTGTGCGATTCTTCGTGCATAGGGACATCCCTATCTATATCTCTTTCCTGCAACAACATTACCCTCATTTCTACCTACCTAACCTAGGTATGCGTGATTTACTGTCTACACTCTCGAAACCCATCACACTTCACATTACCATGACCTCTACGGAATCATCTCCACGGTTACAACCAGAAATCCCCAATTCATCACCATCAACTCCCTTCCCTCACCCGTCAATTGCACTCATTGTAGCCCTGTTGCTGCCACATCTTCACGCTCTTAACAATCATCTCGCCGCCTTCTTTCCATGTCGGATACCACATGTCCTTGGCTTTCCAGAAGTCTCCTCGTGGGTCTCGACTGCCATCAACCCACGGCTTCCCGTTCTTGCCATCTTCAAACCAGCCATTTGTCCCACCAACTGCAACATTCAAGATGAGATAGAAGCCTTGATCGAATGGCGTTGACTTTATACCGGTCTGGCCCCAAGGATTCACGATCTTGGTGCCATTGCTGTCGGCGTCAGGGAAGTGGCCGCGGGTCCAAAGGTCCTGATCGAAATTGGTGTACAACACTTGCAGCAGTCGAGTATCAATGTAAGTGAAGATATATTTCTCCGACCACTCGAGCCCAAAAGTATGGAACGTCTTCGCATACGTGGTGTGCAGAGCCTTCCTCTTCACGTTAGTCTTCCACCACGCGTCGTTAGCTGCATTTGGACCCCAGTGCAAAGAACTCGACACGATGTTGTTGCCACCTTGTGGATAGGTCCAATTGTTGCCCCGAGATTCGACAATGTCGATCTCACCGGAGCGAGGCCATTCGCCGTATTTGCTTTCGGCAGGCAGAAGCCAGATTGCTGGCCAGAGCCAGTCGCCCGCAGGCAGCTTGGCTTCGACTTCGATGCGGCCATACTTGATTGATTTGCCCTTCTTGGTATTGATTCTGCCAGACTTGACGGGATTTGCGGTTGTTTGATTTGCGGCACTGGTGTTGGTACCGGTAATACAATTGGTCCAGACTGATGACGTGCAGATACCCTGGGACAAGAGGTCGATTCTGCTGTTCTTCTCGACTATCGAAGCGTCTTGGAGAGTTGGTTTGATGTGGAGCATGCCGTCCTGGATGAAGACATTCTCATTCGTGACAGTGGTCTCTTCGAATTGGCCATTACCAAAGCCGCCAACTTCAGCTTCCTTTGTCCAGATATCGGCCTCAAGACCTTTGCCCGGGAAGTCGCTCATGTAGACGGGACAATAAGTGTGATTGATAACAGTTCGCAGGCCATCCCAGACCAAGAAACCAGCGATTCCTAGCCCAACGAAAAGGCCAATCATTGGAATAATCGTCACCCACTTCTCCTTCGGATCTTTCACTTTGGTCCATGGTCGCTCAACTTCGCCTTTCTTCACCCTTCGAGAATGGAAATACCTCTGTGTGGCTACGCTTTGATGCAAGCCCGCAGAAGAGGTAGTTCGAGATGGATCTTGCGAGGTGTACGGGGTCAAGAACGGATTTGCTGGTTTCTCCTGGCCAAAACCATGTGTACCCGTCAAAGATTCAGGTGACCCGACCCGAGGTGTCGCTTCGATGCTTGTGGGAGCCTCTGGCTGGGCAGCGTAGCTTGGTCGAGAGAAATGCGTCATTGTGAAGGCTCGCCAAACGTATACCAGAACCGAGATTGAGCGAGGACGAAGGGCTCAATATACAAAGGTAAATCAGTGAAGCTCAATTTGCTTGACAGGAGAGTCAAGATGCGACAGGCCCCCAGATGCTACTGCCCTGGTCGAGAAGGAAGCAAAGACGGCGAACTTAGAGCAATCTCGGTGAACTTGGTGACCGAACCCGCGCCAACTATTAACAGCTGAGGGAAAGGAAGCAGTCTCCTACTGAATGGCCACATGTCTCAGCCAACTCTGCAAATTGGATCGGGTCGACCAGATCTTCGACAACAAGGCTTAGCTGCACCTGCTTGACTACAGCCAGGTAGTACGGACCGCTCTCCCGGAAATAACAACCTGTGCAAACATCACCACCCTGCACATCCCCCATGGTTGAGGCAATGTCTCAATCTAGCCCAGACTGGGTGGGAATGTCCCTAAAATCGGTCCAAATTCAGATTCTTGAGCCTACATCACACTGGAATGATCTTGGAGTTGGCGCGCCGATTCATGGTCTGGTTTCAGGGAAGAGGTTCGTACTGGCTCAATTTATTCCTGGGTGGACCTCTGTATCAATATGCGCTGCACGCGGGCTCCATGCATATGCCAAACAAGCTGGTTGGTGCCTGGTTCGAATGGAAATCACAAAATGTCGTGTTACCTTTCAGAGAGCACCGCAGCCGTAGGTACAGTTTTGAAAGCGACCAGACTAACTGCAACAAGACGGATTCTTTCTGAGTCTTTTGCGATCCATCATTTCATTGGAGAATGCCAGATTTTTCTCGGTTTGTTCTCGCCTTTTCGACCGTTGGTCTCTGGTCATCCCTGGCAGGAACCCGCTTTTCAGTTGTGCATACTCTTTTCGGGCGTGGGCGAGGCGGCGCTCGCTTGTCTTTAATGCATGTCTACAGCTTGCGACAACTCCACTCGTCGTCACTATTTTGTCGACACCTTCCTAGCATTCCCCATCAGGATGGAGGAGCCTTGAAGGCTCTGTCTATGATATCCTGGCGTGACCCTAGTCCGGCAGGAGAGCACTGTATCGCCGCCAGAATAAACGAAGCAGCAGCCACCACTTTCGGCTTTCGGTCATCTGGTTCAGCTTATTTTAGCTTGCCATTGAAAGGCCTCGAATTGTATATGAGCTATCAAATGTCTCAAAGCAGGGCCTTCGTCGAGCATCTGGACGTGTCCAGCCGCCGAGCGCCCTCTGCCTCCCGAAAGGCCTACCCTCTTCCTCCTCAACGATAGCCTCGTTATCGTAAAAGAAGTGTCACATTGCAAGCCTCACGACACACGTCTACTTTATTCTTTCCAAAACCAAAGAGTTGGCTCATCAGTAGCCACTGACAACGACGCCGAATATGCCTAAGCTGCCGTTCGCCCCGGCTGCGGGCTCCCCCAACCCTGATGGCTTCTTTTTTGAAGACTCTCCTGTCCAGAGTAGCGCCGCTTCCATAAGTGGAAAATCGGCGCACAGCTCGAAAAGTGCGTTTCTCGAAGATATCAAGCACGAGATCATGGTCAGCCACCTGTACCAGCAACAATGCTCGCACCTGTGGGTCAGTGATGGCAGCGGAGAACGAGAGGGGGTGTTGCTCCGGAAATCCAGAGGGCATTATCTGGCGTGCCCACAACCACTCCTCGATTCATACTTTGCTGAAGCTTGCAGGCTATTGAATGTTCAGGTGAGTGTCCGTCCCTTCTTGATCGTTCTGTGCTGAGCTGTGACCTAGGTCGCCATGACTGTCAATTCAAGGGTCATCAAAACATTCCTTGCTTGGGCACCTGATGCCACCGATGTTCCGTTGATGAATGGTCTGCGAGTGCAGATCTTGCCGACCATTCACGATCTGCCGCGGGCTCGAAAATATCAATTTGCCGCGTTCATTGCGTCGGAGTCACTATTGGTGGTATGGGACGACGACGCGTCCAACGTGGTGAAGCGAGCAACCACGATCGAAGCACAGCTGATGGAGCTCGTGTGGCACACGGGCGAGGCTGGCGACGAAGACGATGTCACGAACGAGAAAGCTGGTGGCGTACAAGTCACCATCGACGCCGAGTCGGGAGAAGTTGTGCCTGAATACCGATCAACTAACCTTATGAACACCATTCTTGTCGCCTTCACACTGATCATTGTCGTTGTCCTGCTTGGCCTCGGATGCCGGTCTCTGGCCATTGAGATCACCGTCGACCGCTCGTATCTTCGTCTCGCTTTCCTTGCTTTGGTGCCTGTACAGGTATTCTTTACCCTGGTAAGCACGCCCCTTCATCATGCCTGTTCAATTCCTTCTACTGACCGTACCCAGTTCTTCGCCCAAGTCATTGTCGGCTGCATCGCCCAGTGCATCGGCCCCGTGCGTCAAATGCAACTAAACTCGAAGTACTACTCTGCGAAATGCTCACCTCGCCTACGCACCCAGACACTGCCACACGTCACGATCCAATGCCCGGTGTACAAAGAAGGCTTGGGGTCTGTCATAGCGCCCACAGTCAAATCCATCAAGCAAGCCATATCCACCTACGAGCTCCAAGGCGGCACGGCAAACATGCTGATCAACGACGACGGCCTGCAGATCATCTCGGAAGAAGAACGAAAAGCCCGCATCGACTTCTATCAAGACCACAACATCGGGTGGACAGCGCGGCCCAAACACAACAGCGAGGGGTTCGTGCGCAAGGGCAAATTCAAAAAGGCGTCCAACATGAACTACGGCCTCATGCTGTCTTGCAAGGTCGAGGACAAATTGTCGCGGTACCACCGGCCCTCGACGTGGACCCAGAACGACGAGACGCGCGCGTATGAGGAGAGCCTGCTCCAAGTCTTGCGCGAGACGCCTCGCGCCTGGGCCGACGGCAACATTCGCGTGGGCGACTACATCCTGCTGATCGACAGCGACACGCGCGTGCCGGTGGACTGTCTTCTCGACGCGGTGAGCGAGATGGAGCAGAGCCCCAACGTCGGCATCATGCAGTTCGCCAGCGGCGTTATGCAGGTCGTGCACACGTTCTTCGAGAACGGCATCACGTTCTTCACGAATCTGATCTACACGGCCATCGAGTATACGGTGGCCAATGGCGACGTCGCCCCATTCGTCGGGCACAATGCCATCCTGCGATGGAGCGCGATTCAACAGGTCAGTTACACCGACGAGGACGGGTACGAGAAGTTCTGGTCCGAGTCCCACGTGTCCGAGGACTTCGACATGAGTCTGCGCCTGCAGTGCGACGGGTACATTATCCGCCTGGCGAGCTGGGCGCACGGCGGGTTCAAAGAGGGCGTCAGCCTGACCGTGTACGACGAACTGGCCCGCTGGGAGAAGTACGCGTACGGGTGCAATGAGCTTCTGTTCCATCCGATTCGGCAGTGGGTGTATCGCGGTCCGTTCACGGAATTGTTTCGACGGTTCCTGTTCAGCAATATCCGCTTCACCAGCAAGATCACCATTGTCAGTTATATCGGGACGTACTATGCCATCGGGGCCGCCTGGATCATGACGCTGGCGAATTACTTCGCTATCGGCTGGTTCAATGGGTACTTGGACAAGTACTATATCGATAGCTGGAAAGTGTGGTTTAGTATCGTGATTGTGTTCAACGGTCTAGGCAATGTCGCCTTGGCCGTGATGAGGTACAGAATCGGGCAGGCGAGCTTTCTCGGTGCGCTGGTCGAGAACTTCAAGTGGATCGTCATGTTGAGTATCTTTCTGGGCGGCCTGAGTCTGCACGTCAGCCAGGCGCTGCTGGCGCATATGTTTGAGGTGGATATGACGTGGGGCGCGACGAGCAAAGAGGCGGAGTTCAGCAACTTCTTCATCGAGGTGCCCAAGGTGATCAGGAAGTTCAAGTTCAGCATTTGTTTTGCGCTGGTTGCCATCGCCGGCATGATTTGGCTTGCGTGTAACCCTGGAGGATGGTTGCCGTATGATTGGGTGATTGGAGATTTCATCGCCATTTTGCCCATGAGTACGGTCGCGGCGAGTCATTTGCTCTTGCCGATTGTGTTGAACCCGGCGTTGATGACGTTCAGTTGGTGAGCCACGAGGGAGGGATACCAGTATTGCGGTAGGAAGGGTGGTGCTTTGATGGTTGATGTGTGCTGTTTTGTGGAGTCGAGTCCAGTGCCTTCGTCGCAGGGACCTTGGTCGGGGAGGAATACTGGTGTACGTGGATCCCGGAAGCCCCTCGCAGATGGCTTCCCAACAAGCAATGAGTGTTTGGCTGATGGTATACGTGGAACTGGTGAGCATAGTGGTCGTTTGTTTCTAGCTGGATCGGTTAATGTAATATGCTGAAACATGAAGGGATCTTGTCCATGAGCGCAAGAGGAGCCATCAACAGTGCGGAATGGCCGTTTTGAGACGCATGCGAATTGCTTGAGGGTATACTATGCACTTGGCAATAGTAGGCCCGAAGTGCGTGCCTTGGACGTAGATCGATATATTGGTACGTGGGCTATTATGATACCTTCAACACAGCTCTGCCAGCGAGCTTACCAGCGATCATCAAGTCCATATACTTGTCCAGATCCTCCAGAGTACCCTTTGTCAGGATGGGCTAGCACATTGCCTCGTTAGCCGAGCCCCAGACGACAAGTATGGAGGGAGTTTGAAGCACTTACATGTACAAGCCCTCGTGCAGTAAAGTCGAGAGCCTCCTCGACGTCCTTCAACGTCCCAACGACACTGCCCACAATGTTCAACTTCCTCAGGCACAACATGAGAGGAGGTGCGCCGGCAAGCACAGTCGGGTCTTTCGGCAGACCAACGGCCACAACGGTGCCGCCGGGTCGGAGAAAGCCTGGTGCAGAGGCGTAGGCCTCTTTCGTAGCTGCAGTGACAATGACGCCGTGAGCGCCGTATTTTGTGATTTTCAGAACCTCTGCGGCTGGATCCTGGACTTGAGTGAAGTCGATGAATTCTTCGGCCCCGAGTTTCTTGCACAGATCCCGTTTCGCGTCGCCGCCATCGATGGCGATGATGCGCATGCCCTTTTTGTGTTGGATTATCAGTTCCATTTTCTTTCCATGGCTTCCACGAAATCGAAACGCAGCCAAAAAAAAGGGAAGTCATACCATGGCTTTTGCATATTGCACTGCAAAGTGCCCGAGACCACCACCGGCGCCAGGCAGGACCTAGAAACGCAACGCACAATCAGCATTCCGCAAACGCAAACAGAAGTCGAGGATCGGGGCAGGGACAGTTACTGACAATCCACTGTCCAGGCTTGACGCCGCTCCTCTTACAGGCAGTGTAAGCAGTCACGCCGCCACACATGATCGGGCCGGCTTCCTCGTCGGCAACGCCGTCCGGAATGCGAGTCGTGTATTTCCCATCGCTGAGTGCGTATTGCTGGAAAGTGCCGGCCGCGGTAAATCCGGCGTTCTTCTGGTTTGGACAATGAAGTTCGTCGCTGCCGTTGGTGCAGAATTCGCATTCGCCGCAGACGCTCCAGACCCATTTGATGCCGGCTCGGTCGCCGACTTTCCATTTGTGATGCATGTCATCGCCGACAGCTACCACGACACCGGCACCTTCATGGCCCGCGATGCCGTTGGTGGCCGGCTGCATAGCGACGCCGAATGGGGCCCATTCATCATGGATGAGGGATTTGTCGGAGGCACAGAGGCCGGTCCTGGAATAAGATGTAAGTGGATGAGGGAAAGAAAGGGTAAGTACGTCGGTGGAGTTACCAGTTGATCTTGACGAGGATCTCTCCAGGTCCGGGTGTGGGCACATCGACTTGTTGAACCGGAGCTTTGGCGGACTCGCCGTTGCCGATTTTCACGGCGGCCTTTTGTTGCTTGGGAATGTCCACTGTGGCCATTGTTGTCTCTCAGGTAGGTGTCTGTGGGCGGATAGTCGATGGGAAGTACTGGAAGTGCTGAAAGTGCTTTGATGAAGAACCCACCAAGACAAGAACCTGCGGGAGCAGCGACAGGGGTCCAAGTATCTATAGTTTTTGTCCCTGTACGGGCGATAGGAAGCGGCGGCATGCTTATGACATACCACTAGCCAGGTCGAGTCGATGCTATCAAGTCATGTCTTCCCCGCAGTCTAGTCTGGATATCAGGCCATGTGGGCACCGCACTGCACCAGTAGGATTGACTCTGCCATTGGGAGGAAGAAAAGGTGGGGTATATGGAGCGGAAGCGGTTCAGAAGTACTTACTGTGGTGCGATTCCTCCGTTCGCTCTGGGCTAGGTGATGTCTGATCTTCGTCGGCAATCGATGGATAAAGTGACACCCACAGCCGGCGGCTCAGAACCTTGAACATGGCGTTTCGCATTCCGTATGGGGATCTACCATCGATCCCTTCTTGAATGGAGGTCGAGTCTTTTTGGGGCCGACTTCGCCATGGTGCAGGCACAAGAGATCCGATGGAAGCAGTCACTGAGGAAACAAGCCGAGTCCAGGCAGACGACATATCTTCATTGAGAGTTATGCACAGAGGATCCCTTCGCTGACGTTGACTTGCATAAACGAAGATGAACACGAAGCGCCCGGTCGGATCGTACCGAGGTCCAGTATTGATTGAAAAATGAGGAAGGTATACCGAGAGCTAACATGGATGTGTGGATGGTAAAGGGAAAGTGCGCCGAGGGCCTCATCTGTGATCAAACCAATATCTCTCAAATCATCACTCTCTGTGGCCTCCCAGGGCAAGTCAGATGAACGGAGCATAACCATAGCAGGTAGTTCCGCGTCTTCACAGTTGGTCCTTGACCTCAGATCACAAGCACATCAGCAAAACATGGTGCTCGCAGTATGCTTCCTTATCCGACCCTGTGCCGCCTGGGTCTTTGGCTGATGATACCTCTCCCAGGCCGTTGGGCAAATATGCTCGACCGCATCCATGACTCATAACCTTGCTCAATGTCAAAAGCTGGTTCATAAGGCTGTACAGGCTGGTGCAAAGGTAAGTCTTCGCTATTCTTCTCGCAGGTGCTGTTCGATGTCGACTGCGCAGTTGGGCATTGACCAGAGCCTTAACCAGCATTGGCCCTTCCTAGGCTCTGTTCCTTCCTGAGGCTTCGGACTACATAGCGTCATCACCAACCGAATCAGTGTCCCTATGTCAAGATGTTACCAAGAGCCTTTTCGTGCGTGGCCTGCAACAAGCTGCTCGTGAGAACAGATTGTCTATCAACGTGGGCATCCATGAGCCCACAGATCCACCTTCCAAAAGAATCAAAAACACGTTGATCTGGATTGACAAAGAGGGGGACATTGTACACAGATACCAGAAACTGCACTTGTTTGACATCGACCTGCGTCCGGATGGTCCCAGAATGAAAGAAAGTGACTCTGTAGAACCAGGGTCAGAGGTCGTGCCGCCATACGCCTCGATACTGGGGAAAATTGGCAGTCTGATTTGCTTCGACCTACGATTTCCTGAACCTGCAGTTCGACTACGCCGATTGGGTGCCGAGGTCTTGCTTTACCCTTCTGCCTTCACCGTCCCGACGGGAAAACTCCACTGGGAGATTCTACTGCGAGCAAGAGCTATCGAGACTCAGAGCTGGGTGATAGCAGCGGCACAATGCGGGAGACACAATGAAAAACGCGTCAGTTTTGGTGATAGCATCGTCATCAAGCCCACTGGCGAGGTTGTCGGACGATTAGACCGCGTCGACGATGCCAAAATCGAGAAAGAACATGCTCGCGAGCCTGATTTGCTCACGGTCGACATTGACCTGGACTCTGTCAAAGATGTAAGGAGAGGCATACCTCTGTTAAGAAGGACCGACGTGTATCCAGAGATTTGAAGGTATACATTACATCCAGTGGTACTGAGACTTCGCTCCACCAATATGCGTGGTAAGGTACGAAGAGCAGCTTTTGACCGGAGGTTTGGTGTTGTCAGTCGTGTCTCAATCACCCTTGCAGATGCGCTTGATCAGGACATCACGTCAGTGCAACGGGGTTTGTAGTTTGGGCGACAAGATTCTAAGGGAGAGTGCATGATGATAGCCATAGACAAATTCGACATCAGATGTGAAACATCCAGATACTAGTAGGAGTAGATGATCTAAGCCTTCCCTGCCATCACACATCTGCGAAGGTTGACTGTCATGGCCTTGATCAAAATCAAGATGTATCTACAAGCCACTGCCGTCCTGTCAACCGCTTGCAATTGTGCGTAAGTGCCGTGCCGCATATCCGATAGCGGAGCCATGACCATCATCATCATCATCATTTCCATGGAAGGCGAAACAACTCGAGAGATGGATGCCGCAAGCAAGAAACCCTTCGATATCTGCTTATTGCGGTCTGGAGAGAGCGACTTAAGCCCATGACAGAAGGCATGGCACTCCAGGGCCAAACCGGTAGCGCGACAGTGGATGTTGTTGAGAAAGATGTCGAACTTCAGCAACGCGTCCCTACGGCTCCAATGCGCGATACCGGCCAGGATCTTGTCGAGTTCGACGGCCCTGACGACCCAGAGAATCCAAAAAACTGGCCAAGGGCCAGAAGATGGAAGATCACTGCAGCCATGGGAGGCATGGCCTTCGTCGTCACATTTGCAAGCTCGGTGTTTGTAAGCAGCATCGCGACAAGTCCACAGCGCGACAACGACTGACCAGAGCTTCTAGAGCGTTGCAATTCCGCCGGTAGCTGAGAAGTACCATATCGGAACAGTTACTTCTACACTCGGCGTTTCGCTTTTCCTACTCGTAAGGGACGGTCCAATCCTGGTGATGAGGAGGAGAGCCTGACAAACACCAGGGTTTTGTTTTTGGTCCAATCTTTTTCGGACCTGCATCTGAAGTGTTCGGCCGCAGAATACCTCTGTTCTCCGGTTACTTATGCTTTGCCATCTTTCAAATACCAGTCGCTGTTGCGCAGAATGTTGAGACGATCATGCTTGGTCGATTCTTCGGAGGATTTGCTGCGTCTTCGCCTCTGGCCGTCATCGGAGGTGCTCTCGCCGATATCTGGAATCCGATCGATAGAGCTTATGGAGTCTGCATCTTCGCAGCTGCCGCCTTTTCGGGACCAGTAGCAGGTACAGTAGCTTGAACTCGTCATCTTGTGTTTGCTGGTGTACTGATCCGTGGTATCTTACAGGTCCGATCATTGGAGGGTTCGTGACTCAGTCCTACCTTGGCTGGCGCTGGACTGCATGGATCACCCTGATCATGGCCGCCTTGTTTGGCTGCATCGGATATCTGGTGATCCCGGAAACATCGGCCTCGAAGATCCTCCAGACCAAAGCGAAGAAGCTTCGATATGAGACCAAGAACTGGGCGCTGCATGCCAAAGCTGACGAAAGTCCCGTCAATGCAAAGACCCTGATCTTCGTGTATCTTGTTCGGCCGTTTATCATGATCTTCCAGGAGCCCATTCTCGCCCTTGTCACTGCATACATGAGTTTTATCTACGGGTACGTCGGGCCAGAGACGGTGGCTCAGCCTTCTCAGATTTGTGCCGGGCAAGGCTGATTGTTCACTAGTATCTTATACCTATTTTTCGAGTCTGTGAGTACCCCTCCAACCTTCCATATTGCCGGATCAATGACAATTGAAGTTCCCCATAAGCTTCCAGGAGGAGCGTGGGTGGAATGCCGGTGTCGGATCGTTGCCTTTTGCCTCTTTCATCGTCGGCATTGCCATGGGTACTGGACTCATAGCATATTCTACGCGAACCAATTTCACCAGAGCCTTCGAGAAGCACGGTAGACCAATTCCCGAAGAACGTTTGCCGCCTATGATTGTGGGTGCTGCGGCCCTCCCTATCGGCCTCTTCTGGTTTGCTTGGTTCGTTCTGAATCGCTCTCCGCCTCACGCATTTGAAGCTAATGTGCTTAGGACTTCGGATCCTCACATCACCTGGGTACCACAGGTTCTTTCGGTCGCACTACTTGGTATGGGATGTTTGGTCACGTTCTGGCAGGGCATGAACTATATCATCGACTGCTATGGCTTTTACTCGAACAGTGCTATCGCTGTCAACACATTTGTCCGGTCCATTGCCGCAGCAGGCTTTCCGCTGTTTGCGCCGGCCATGTACCATCGTCTGGGCACAGCGTGGTCGACATCGCTTCTGGCGTTTCTCTGCGTCGCCTTTTTTCCGACGCCAATCTTATTCTACAAGTACGGAGCCAAGATCAGACAGAAATCCAGGTTTAAACCGACGGGCTAAAGGGATCATCTAGACTGGCTTTGGAGAACTGTATCACTTTGTAGCAGCTTTTACCACGCAGAATACATTGGAAAGACAACCGCAAGCCAATTTCTAGTGCCAATGACCGACAATGACCGTTCTAAGGTTCGAACTGATGCCTCAGCAAGGATGGTACCGGCGCGCACGCCGCCAGGAGCAACAAAGGGAATTCCACACCAGGTGTCATCATTGAGACTCCCACCTGGGCATTCAAAGGGCAGCTCGCCGACTGGTCCCCTGATACATTCAGTGCTGGTAGATGGTCTTGATTTCTGCCGGCGCTGCCTTGGATACTCCCGTATTTGCTGAGTCCGCGTATTCCTGCCCGTGGCTTCCCCGACATCGATGAGCGTGTCTCAGCGAAGAATCAATTACGAATGCGCCTCTCCTCGGCTCCCATTGTCATTCAGGCATTTTGGGACGTGTTCCCCACAAGCGTAACAAGTGGATTTCGCTTCTCCAGGTGACAGCCACTTGGAGCATTCGGGGCAAAGCAGGCAAAGCAGGTGTTGAAGTGTGAAGACTGCGACACCCAGCTACCTGGGACTAAGCTTACACAGGAGTATACCCACCAGCCTTGCGCTTACGCCCGGTGCTGTCAAAGCCTATGGCAGTAAGCCTGCTTAGTTAGGGGCCTCGGCTCAGCGAATGACTTCGGCAGACGCTAGGTGACGGAACTCCCGCCTACGGGAAGTTTGAGACATGAAACTCAACTACGACTTCTTCGCCTACCCTTTTCAACCAAAGAGGCTGCATCGTCGCGGCTTTCCGATGGGCGGGTCGACCGCTCGCACGTCTTCGTACGAGTACTTGGAAAGGAAATCATCGCCAATTCTTTGTCCTCGGTCTGTTGACTGTTGGCCGACATGAACTACACCGTATCCATCGACTTTCTGAGCTGATTGGAGTGCCCAGAAAGAGAGCCAGCTCCTTCGAGACTCGAGCTAATCAAGCCCCTACGCATAGCTTGAGTGCTTGGAGTACATGGCATACCCCATGTTTGGTACCTCCTGCTCTTGTTCTGGAATTTGATATGCACTCTGATGACCGGCTTGGAGTCGTCAGGTCCGGGGATATGGATCGGCTGATCTAGTGCCTGACCTTTTCTCTGTCTTTGCCCTCGATTCCCTGGCCTCTTCCCCAACATGATGGAGATATCAACAGACCTGTGGGGTACGGAGTACCAAGATGCATGAATCCAGGATAGTCGATCGTCTCGACGCTGGTATGGTGCACAGACCACCCGATGTACCAAAGCAGAAGTCATCTTACTCGTATAGGCATTGCACATCACCCTGCTTCCCCAATCGCCTTTATTTTCTAGCAATGGGGAAGCTACTCTACCGACAACCACGCACTTGGGGAAATTGTCTAGACGAGGATGGTATACATTGGGGGAGCTTGTCGCAGCTGCTCCTTTCATGTTCATGCAGCTGACATAAAGGCCAATCTTCTGGAACGCGGCCACGGGGTAGGATTCTTCAGACGCTCGTCGCCTTACCAGAAAGCAGGATCTGAAGGACTATCACCATGGCTGTTAACGCGTACAATTTCCTCATCGTCTACTTGGTGACCTTCGGGTCTTTGACTTATGGCTACAATTCCGCCATCATTGGCGCCGTTATCGGTCTTCCGTCCTTCTTCGAATACTTCAACATCGACATCAAGTCAAACGATGGGTCCCAAATCACTGGAGGTAAGTCGCACTAGGTTCATCGCCACCTTTGTCTTCTGAGGAGTTCCTGCGTGGTTGGCTTGACTTGATGATGCGAGGCTGATATTTGCTGTAGCCACCAACGGTCTCTTCGCTGGTGGTGGCCTTCTCGGCTGCTGGTTCATCACTTGGCTCGGTGACAAGGTTGGCAGGAAGAGGTCAATCCAGATCACGGCCTCTATCTGCATCGTAGCTGGCGCTCTACAAGCTGGTTCCGTCCATATTGCCATGTTTTTGGTTGCCAGGTTCATAATGGGCTTTGGCGTCGGTATGGTCAATGTTATCACTCCGCTTTACCAGTCAGAGATATCTCCTGCCAAATCAAGAGGACTCATGGTCGGATCGCATGGATTCGTGCTGTGCATCGGCTATGTAAATCGACCTCTTCCAGTTTTTCGATCATTCGACTGACTATCATGCAGGGTCTGGCTGGCTGGACTGGCTATGGCTGCTACTTCCTAAAAAGCCAAGTGGCACAGTGGCGTCTGTGCCTTGCTCTTCAGATTGTTCCGCCTCTCTGCCTCTTGATCGGGTCTCCATGGCTTCCTGAATCTCCTCGACACCTTGTTGCAACTGATCGCCTGGAGGCTGCTTTCGCGATCCTCAAAAGCCTGCACCATATACCCGGTGATGAGGATGACACGATTGCGCATGAAGAGCTGTACCAGATCCGTCAGCAACTGGAGCTCGAAAGGCGTGAAGGCTTAGGACAGGGCTGGATCAAGGGCTGGATCGTCCTCTTCTCAAGAAAGTCGTATCGAAAGCGCCTGCTGTTTGGCTTCCTGCTGCTGTAAGTCCAATGCGTCATATTATTCTGTTCTCCCGCTAACCCGTCTATAGTGGGTTAGTGCAATCGACAGGCTGCCTCGTAATCAACAATTACCAAGTGCTGTTGTACAATGGCCTTAGCCTCTACGGCGCTATGCCTCTGATGCTCTACGCCATCTGGGACACCTGGGCTGCCTTCATGAACTTCATCAACGCAAACCTGCTCGATAGGGTCGGCCGCATTCCCATCATGGTTGTCGGACAGGTATGCTCACTTGCACTTAGTTCCCGCAATAACTAACGCTTCATAGATTGGTTGTGCAGTCTCGGTCGCTGGTTTCGCGGCTTGTCTCGCAAGATATGGTGGTACTGACAACAAGATCGGCAACGGATTTGGCGTGTTCTTCCTGTACCTTTTCGTTACTTTCTTTGGAGGCAGTATGGACGCCTCAAGCTACGTATACGCATCCGAAATCTTCCCCACGTCGATTCGTGCTCAGGGCGCCGGGTTCAGTGTCTCGGGATTGTTCTGTTTCAGCCTGATCTACACTATGAGCGCTCCTGTTGCATTCAACAATATCGGCTGGAAATATTACCTGATATTCATCATTGTGCCGCTATTCGGAGCGGCGCTCATGTACTTCTTCTACCCTGAGGTGAGTCTCAACTTGCACCGTGATCGGCCATCAAAGCACCACGCTGACAACATACGGTTGTCTAGACTAAAGGGCTCGCCCTCGAAGAGATTGCAGCCAAGTTTGGAGACGAGGTTGCGGTTGACTTGTCCCATCTCTCAGCCGAGGAAAGAGCCAGACTCGACAAGACTCTCGTTAATTCGGAAGTTATGGAAATGGAACATGCAAGCAAGGCATGATTGCAGAGGTTTCGACAGGTTGGGCAATCTGCGAAGGCGATATCTCGTCCTGAACAAGGGACATGTTGGTGAAGGCTGTAATTCCAGGCAAGGCGTTGCGGGCTCAGAATGCAGGCATCCCTCAGTATTCCATCGGAGCCCAGATACATGGAGGAGTGGGATCATATATCCGAGATACAACCATCCATGCTCCTTCCCTTTGTAGAACGATGACGATCGTCCACTTATCAAGCGATATCCAACGTCCAAGGTCAGAGCCTGGGGCAGATCATAATGTAACCCTCCTTGCCAACGATATATGGCTACGCCTCTCCTGCCGACGACATGCATTCATGGGCGACGAGAAGCGTAAGGCTCCAGTGGACACCGGCGTCTACATAATACTCGGTGGATGGTAAGACATCTACTATAGTATTCCGACACGTCGACAGGCTTCAGGCTCGACCATGACAATCCACAAACACAACCCCTGGCTTACGCGGCCCCAAATCTCCGGCCTCATCCCGCTTCCCGATCGCGGCTTGTCGCTCTTCACGTCATCCTCCGGGCCCGCACGCAAGCCAGGTGAACCAGTGGTCATATTCTTCACCGGCGCTGGCGCTCCATGTATCAGTTACGTCAAAGTCCAGGAGCATCTCGCCCGGTTCGTGCGGACATTGTTCTTCGACCGCGCTGGTTACGATCGAAGCACTCTTCCCCGCCACGATGGGCCGCTGCTGGCCGAGGACGGCGCCGGAGATCTCGATGCCCTTTTGCGGACCATAGGCGTGGACCCGCCGTATATATTGGTGGGGCATTCGTTCGGCGGGATACCGGCCAGGGAGTTTATGCACTTACAACTAGGATCGCGCAAGCACCAGGCTGAAGAAGGTGAAGGTGTGTTAAGAGTCACGGACGTGATCGCGGGAATCGTTTTGTACGACACGGCGACGGAACTGGTGCTCGGTTTCTACCCACGTGTCCCCTCCAGCGAGCTGGTCGAAATATCCAAGGACGTCGATTGGGAGGGGGTGACCCATCTGCGCGAAGAATCGGGCTTGAGCGATGAGCAGTGGCAGTCTATCATCGAGGCCGTCGAGCGGACGGGACCCCGCGGCGCGAAGAGGGAGGATACGCATGTCAGTGCGCGTGCGCTGGCGTTGAAGCGCCAGCTCGAACGGCATGCTTACAGGGGCGGTATCTTGAGCGTGGTCAGGTGTAACAGTACCATGGACTACCAGAGGATGTACGATGAGGGTGTCAAGTTGGGAGCAGGCACGCAGGAGGAGAGAAGGCTGGCCAGGAGGTTCATCGAGGATTGGGGCTTGTACAATTACGAAATGGTGAGGGCCCAGTTGGATCTGGTGGTGCGTGATGATGAGGAGGATGCATGCCATGCACAGTATGTCTATCATGGGAGCTGGGGGCATGATAGTCCATTGCGGAAGAGGGAGTTGATGGGTGACCCGGTCCGGTGGGTGCTGGAGGAGTGGCAGAAGATGAAGAACGAGTAGGTCATGAGCGATGGTGATGGTACCTGGAAGCCTTACGCACAGAGACTGCGAGGTACTGGCTTATCACATAGACGCTCTGGAAGTGCTACGCCCTGTGGGCTTTACCTGGTTCGATGGTGCTCTTCGTCGAGGATCTCTGAGCAACAGCCTAGTTAGTTAACTCAGTAATTAGTAGCCTTACGAGACCATTTTCTAGGCGTCTAGGTTAGCGTCTTGCTAAATACGTAGGACGACTTAGGCACTAAGGACAGCGCCAACTTAGTTAAGCTTTATAGGCCCGAAGTCCCTAACTGTACCTACAGCAACAAGTACAAGTACCTCACTACGCTCACCTACCTCAACTTAGTTAATGACGTCGAACTCGTTTACTCACTTGATCGACACAAATGTTTTTTTCTGGCCCAGCGCAGCACTCTTCACCTCCTCTACTTCTCAGATACGCTGATCTATAGTACAAGTTACACCCGCGCTCGAATTGGCTCTTTCCCCCTGGATCAGAAATGACCACACCCTCACAGTCTTCCAACGAACCTCAACTCGACGACAAAATCTCCTCCATGAAAATCCCCATCAACCCACAACGAGCCAGCACCCTCACGACCAACCTCGAACACATACATTCTCGCATCTCTTCCGTCTTCTCGCAACAGCCTCCTTCAGCGCACCTCCCCCCTTCTACGCCTCGCCTCGTCGCCGTCTCCAAACTGAAGCCGGCCTCCGACATCCTGACCCTGCACAACCCACCGACCTCGCACACCCATTTCGGCGAGAACTATGTCCAAGAACTCCTCGAGAAATCCCGCCTCTTACCGAGCAGCATAAAATGGCACTTTATCGGCGGCCTGCAGTCGAACAAAGCCACACAACTCGCAAGGGACGTTCCGAGCCTGTGGGCCGTCGAGAGCGTTGATTCAGAGAAGAAAGCCACACTCCTCGACAAAGGTCGTGCGCAATCGTCGAACACAACAGAGCCCCTCCGCGTCTTCATACAAGTCAACACCTCGGGCGAGGAGTCGAAATCTGGGGTGTCTCCTGATTCGGAGGAGCTGGTCAATTTGGCGAAACACATCCGCGACAAATGCGAGCATCTCCATCTCCAGGGGTTGATGACGATCGGGGCGATAGCCCGGTCAAAAGCGACGACTCCAGAGACCGAGAACGAGGATTTTATTTGTCTCCGCGAAACAAGGGATAAACTAGCCCAAGCACTCGGGATAGAGGAGGCGTCGTTGGAACTGAGTATGGGTATGAGTGAAGACTTTGAGGGCGCGATCCGCCAGGGCAGCAACGAGGTCAGGATTGGGAGTACGATTTTCGGCGAGAGACCGGCCAAGAAGGACGCGAAGGTTCTATAGGACTTAAAAGAAGGAGATGTGAATGTTGAATCAAAAGAAATGACCTAATCTGAGGAGGAGAATAGCACTATTCCCGACATGTGCAAATATCTGAACATCGGGAAACGCGAAAGGAACAGACCCTCGCTCGCAAGAACGACAAAACGGTCTGTCCTCAAAGACGTCCCTCGGGCAAGCTACGCCGGGTGAAACCGACTTACACAGGCCATCCGATAGGCATCATCCGATGAAGGCACCACACGAGCGGAGACTGCTACAGACGGTAATGTCGACGTCTGCTGAAACCGTGAATGCGGTGGGGAAGGACTGTGTGAACCGGTGGTGTAAAAGCCCGGGCACAGGCACGGCTGCGGGAAAGATATCTGAGGCTCAGGCTCTGGCTCTTGCTCTCAGAACAGAACAGAACATGGCCAAGACGGGACAACCCGCACCGCAGAGCAGAGCAGTGCAGTGCAGAGCAGAGCAGAGCAGTGCAGAGCAGAGCAGAGCAGTGCAGAGCAGAGCAGTGCAGAGCAGAGCAGAGCAGAGCAGAGCAGTGCAGAGCAGAGCAGTGCAGAGCAGAGCAGAGCAGTGCAGAGCAGTGCAGAGCAGAGCAGAGCAGTGCAGAGCAGAGCAGAGGAGGGCAGAAGCTCACTTTAGTCCGCGAAGGAAGAAGAAATGGGCTGGACCGGACTGGCCCAGACGAATTTCTCTTCATGTGCGCGCCCAAGAGTAGCCCACAACAACATCACGACACTGCACGGGGCTTGGAACGTCCCGCTTGACGAGACCACGACCATGACCGCAGTAAGAACCACCCTCTGCTACACTACACGAAGACACGAAGACATGAATAATGCGAGAACGTGGACTAAATAGAAACTGGCCACACTATATCGAGCTGTGCTGGCACCTGGGCTGCCGCCCCCCCCCCCACTGCTTCCCCTGCTGTGTGTTGGCCTGACAAAAGGGCAGAAGCCCAAAGAACTTGCTTGGGCCGATATTTTGTTACGGGTTGAAGGCTACAGCTATAGGTCCAGCTACAGGAAAATTATATTTGATTGCATAGCAAAATGATAAAAATAATATATGTCCTGAAGAAGTCGTTGGTAAGGCTAAAGCTGTGTGCTCCGAAAGATCGGCTCAACCATGCATCGCATGCCCATCAATGTTCATACCTGTCTTCGCAAGCTGAAAAAGCATATGTAAGTTTCTTCAAGGGCCCCTAGCAAGCCTCTCCTGCATCATGCCTAGGAGTATCCCTGGCACCGTGTCCTGCGTCGCTCGGATCGTCATGCGGAACATCTGTCTCATTGTCAGCTCTTGCCCAGAGATCGTGATCTGATCGCTTACCTTCTGCTGCTGGTTCGGTTCTAGCCGCAACAAACAGCCTGTCTTGCCTTTTTCAAGCTGCAAAACCGCACAGCCCACAATGTTCCTCGTATTAGGATCGACGTTGTCCAAAATCCGCCATCGGAAGCCCAGCACGGTCTCGCGGGTGAACTTATCACTCATTTCGGTCGTCGGGGTTTTGAGACTAAACGTACTCTGTGCTTCCAGCGGGCCCGCGCCTATTTGTCGCCAGCGCTTGAAGAAGTCCTCTGCCGACAGCTCGGATGGGTCCATGAACCGATGAGGCAGGATGGGGAGTCTTAATGTGTAACCCTGCAATGCGCCGGCGAGATATGATATTCGGATCGTTGGTGGTTCTGAGAAGGGCGCTATGGATGTGCACACGATAGTCTGCTGGACTTGTGAGTCCGCCTCAACATGGGACTCGGGAAGACTCTTCATGTCAATTTTCAGCGCCGGTGCGGATTTGTTGTCAAGTGTAGTCGTGAATGATCCGATAGGAAAGGATGCTTTGTTCGCAAAGTAGAGTTTGATCACGCCCAGGTAGCCGCGATATTCTGTTCGTATGCCGACCTGAATCTGAGGATCTTCGTAGAGCACTCCTTCATCGGAGAAGTACATCTGTTCGTAGCCAATCTCCCAGTCGGGCGACAAGTGAGCTGCACTGGCTAGGTTCGGCACTGTCACATCTTCGGTATGGCCATTCATGTCGAGGCCCTCGAGATCCTTAGATGCCCCACCTGCTGCGTCCTGTACTCCGCTGACACTTCTTGATGTTGTGCCGTTGGTGTTTGATTTGACTCCTCCATTGACAATGGTGGTGAAAGTCCGTTTAAGGCCGGTCTGTTGAGCTAGTAGCACTTCCTGTTTATCGGCATTGGCATCCTTTCCGCCCACGAGCCAAGTCCGTCGCTCACTTATGCCAACGCTCTTCTTGTGGAGTCTTTGCAGTAATATTGATGTTCTTTCCGAAAACGGAGGCATTTCATCGCAGATGGTCCTAAGCAGATCATCCGTTGGCATCGTCGTGATAGCAAGATACTCGCAAGCCCTTTGCTGCAATTCAGAGTCGGGTGAATGGCTGTAGAATTGGAACATCTGCAGTAACTGAGGCTTGATCTCTGGAAATAGGTTGACAAACTTGACGAATGTTGACAGCATGAGCGCTCTTGTGGCATCCGGCGCGGAGATCATCTTGGTTTGGAGCACCATCAATTGTTCGATTGGGCTGCACCCCTTGTTGTCCGCAATCAAGTGTCCAAACTCTCCCAGGATATACCCGCCGATTTTGACCAGAGTATCGTGGCAGTTCTCAGCCCTTAGGTATTCGAAGATATGTTGAGCTGCATATGCTTGCAATTCCTCGTTGTTCGTAACAATCTGGACCACCCGTTGCCACACTTCATCACTGACATGATCACCAGCCATTGCCAACAGCCTGAGAGAGATGTCAATGTACCACTGAGCATCAGTTGCATACTTTTCCGTCAGGATGGCAATTTTCAGCGTCATTTCTTCTCGTAACGAGAAATCTGCGGATTGGAGATATTTCAACAATTCGTTGACGATCGGCTGAGCATTGGTAGTGTCGCACATGCTGTAGAGCAGATCCAGACCTTTCCTTCGCACACTAATGTCGCGGTCTCGTAAAGCTCCGATGATAATATTCTGATGGCGCTTGATCGGATCGAGCGTATCTGATCTGGCAGCGAAATGGGTCATAGCATCAAGACCCAGATACCGTACGTTGGTTTCACGAGATTGAATAAATCTCCCCAACTTGGACGATATCTGCATCATGAGTTGGTGCTCGGTGTCGAGATGGATCAGAAGATTGATTGCTTCGAAGAGCACCGCATTTTGAGCATTGTTCTGTTGTACATTTTTGGGTGCTTCGGTGGCGGCAGCCATGATAGCTTGCAGCGACTCACGGATGATATCTCGGACATGTGTGTCCTCTGAAGGCGGATAGTATTGTAACAGTTTCAAAAATTTGACTTGAATCCAAGGACATGGGACTTTGTAATATAGGTAGTCGGGCGAGACGTCGTTGTCGATGACGATTTTCCGTAACCTTTGCGCGGCCTTGATATAACTTCCTTTATAACCTTCCGGATGGTCCTGGACCAAGGCCATAATCAAAGAAGTCACAGACAAGACGACCCCCATGTCCGGATCGTCCATCAAGGATATTATTCTTTCTGCCCATTCTGATTGCAGGATGCCCGGGTACTTTCGGTACAGTCGGAGAAGAGTGAGGGCGGCCTTCTTCTTCACGAAAGATTTCGAGGTGGGAGATATTAAGAGCCGATGTACATCTGCACTTAGGGCTTCGCCCATTTCTCTCCCACCAACATTGGCGACAGCATGCAGCGCCAGACAGTTGTTGAGTTCATTTTGATCCAAAAGGTCTTTCCGTATGCTATTGACCACCAAATGTAACAGTTCATGTTGTTCGTGGAGGAAGAGGGTCACCGCCAGGTAGCCGATTTGCTTCTCCGAGTACTTGGTTGCGGAAATCAGATTGACAGCTTCGAGGTGTCCAAAGTCGACATTGTACCCTTGGATGTAAATGTACAGCAGCTTGCAAACGTATTTCTTCTTCTGGTATCCGTCGAGTTTCTCGCTCTTGAATTTCTGTCTGATGTTGGCCAACTCTTTGTTGATGCGCTTTTCCTCGAGTTCTCGGGCTCTTGCGTTCCGGAGGTCCGCTATGAATTGGACAAGACCGCGCATGGACGACATCTTGGAGGACGAGGCAGAGAAAGCATCTGCACGCGAACCACGACGTCTCTGGAAAGGCGGGCGCTGGACTTAGGAGGCCGTGAGGGTATTCGTCACTGACGCATTCTCTCGAGACAACCACCTCCCATCACTTTCGGATCGAAAGGCTAAGGAGCTTGCGGTGACAACACATGAGCTGAGGATGAGTAAAAAATAACTCGTCTTGACTTGGGCTGTGTTGGTGGTAGTCGCAGCAGTTGTAGTTGCGCAGTCTCCTAAACACGCTGATGAACCTGATGAACCCCTGCCACAATTTGGTGGCAGTAAAAGTCTCGGCTTTAAGTGCTTCCAGCTCCGAGAATGCCTCCGGCGCCCAGTCTGGGGTACGGAGTACGAGAGATACATTAACAGCCCGCCTGTTCATCTATCACTCTTGGATTGAAGTTCAAGCCACGGTATTGTATTCACTGTCCCTACGTTGATCCTGGTCTGTCATCGCCCAATGCTATCATCTCATCCAACAATGACACCGTCTCAGCCGGACTAGCAATCCAAGCACAGCAACACGCACTTCTCGCTTTGAAATCATTCCCACCACCACTCAAGAATTGATCACCCACATGAAGGGTGCGAGATGGCAAGATCCCACCGAACCATTCCTGACATGCTTGCACTCCCAGCGACTTGTCGCCAATGTCGCAGAAGACATCTGCTCCGCCATTGAAGACAGTAAATGGTATACTCGTGTGTGCAGGCGGCTCGTCAGGCCTGGAGCTGGTCATGGTAGACTCCACCACTTGCTGTACAACCAAGACAGTCTCTTCCAATTGCTCCCGAGTCAATTTCTTTGATTGGTCTGCAGCATAGATGCCGACAGCTCGTTCTTTCCGCAGTACTTTGGCCTGCAAGTGGAGGGTCCGGATGCACGAGTGGAACGCAGCCTCTGCCACATCCAGGAGTGATTGTATCTCAGGCTCGGACCAATTCTTCATGGCATCGAGGACCCATTCTCGTCGATGAACGTATCGCAAGCAGTGTTCTGCCTTTTCGTCAAACGCCAGGAGGAAGTTCGATTCTCCCCCCATGATGATCAGATTGGACTTCTGTGTGGATGTTAAGTCCGCAGATTCATTGATTGCCACAAGCAGGCCGGACAGACGATTGTAGTAGTGCTGCGGTTGCATGTACCCGGCCGCTGTGACAATGCCGATTCGGACATCTCGGGCGAGGAAATGTAGCAGGCGATGGATGACCGGGTTCGCTTCTGGTGAGTGAAGGGATGCGCCGTCCTCGTAAAGTGTCACATCACCATCGAACGTCAGCAGTTCCAATCCGGGAGATGGCTTCGCCTTGAGTGAGCGGTACGGTTTCGGTTGCAACATGGCCATTATCTGAGCAGTGTTGAGGATTAATCGTATATCATTGAATGATGGTGCAACGAAACGCCGTGATGAGATCGCTCGTATCGAATCCTGGTAGTTGAAGGCGTCCTCTAGCGCAAGGGGTGTGAAGAAGGTCGAGATGGTCGGCACAAGCATACTAAGCTTGGATCTTGTGTTCTGCGTGCCTTGGTGGTTGACTGCGCACATTCAGACTATATCCATGTCTGCCTTGACAAACTCACTCTGATCCAGGATCAAATCCTCTACATCTCGAAAAATCTCCGCGTATCTCTGTCGGGCCGACCTCGCCATTGTGTCCAGACTTTGCGTGTTGGTCTCGTCGTACTCAACGGCTGGCTGTGAATTGAGAACGAAGGGCACGGCCAATAGACCCTATATAAGTGAGTGAGTAGCCATAGGAAGATGCTTTGCACAGATGGATGGCCTTGTTTCTGCCACCTCACTCACTTTGATCCATTCGATCTGTTTACCAGTCGTCAGTCCAGCGTCGTGGCAGTCAGCAGGATTGACTCACCAGCTGATCTCTACGGTGGGTCTATACACTCATGGCTGTCAGAAGTGTGCGGTCCCAAAGCTGGGAGCTTATGACTTGCCTTTAATGCGTCTAAAGTCGGTCAGCGACAAATGCATACCTCCATCTAGGGTCCATGACGTACATTCAACGCGATACCTGGTCGTCATCTTGGACTCTGGCGAGACGTTCGTTCCAGGCGAAGGAATATCCGCAGACACAGTAATAATGGTAGATGTTTGGAAGGAAGAGGAAGTGCGAGGATGAATCCGGTCAGGTATTACAGAAGTTCCTTGATGGACATGGTGGAACAATGTTTGTGCACGCTTATTCGCGGAACTATTCTATTGGCTCTACGTAAAGCAAATACCAATGAATCTTGTGCCAGCCTTCACAGTTACGAGGAGTAATTGATTCATAACTCCAGAAAGGTTCTGCAAGTACTACTGTATGGGCTTCTCTCATAGACCATCTTTCAAGATTTTGGTGAGAGCTTCATCGAACGTTGTGCGAGCTTCGACTGTACCCTCGAGTCCTCCTGTCGTTGAGCATCCCCCAGATGTCCATGACCATATTTCTCGCTTAGGGGAAGACCCTTGTCGCAAATTCCTGACTTGCATCACAATCGCTTCGGCCTGCACCGATAGAACCACCTTTTTGATCGGTGCTCCTGTATCAAAGAGACCTAGCTCTCCATTGTGTGGCTGGGACACGACCCATTTCCTGGAATTACCCTTTTCAGCATCCGAGGGAATGGAAGCCTGTCTTGACAGAGCTTCGGCATGCGTGACAAGATCTAACATCAACACGTGTCTTGTAGATAGTAAGGCAGCCTCTCTGGTGTCCTGTCGGGAGATGCGTGTCTTTGAGAAGGCAAATTCGACGGCAGAAGTCTCGTAACGTGAACCGAAGAGAGGTGGTCCTAGAAACGTGGCCAGGACAATCTCAAATTCCTTGCCTTCTGTCAGGCTGATTTTGAAGCCAGTCTTAGCGGGAGCCATCAGCTCAGAGAGAATTGTACCAGATGCGTCGATATTTAACCCTTGAAAGAAGGCGGTGCTTGATTTCTCAATCTCAATTGCAACGGGTAAGCCAGCTTGCTTGAAAGGGTGAATCATTGTTTGGCAGGAATTCCAAAAAGCAGCAGCTTCAGCCCGGTGTCTGAGATGAGCGAGGACAGGTCGTATCAATGCATATTCGAGATGATGGCGAGGTTTGAGCGTCATCGCAGGCGCTTTTTGTGACTTCCTGATCAGATTCTGTTCGTGAGCAGCGTTCAACAATAGCCGTAGGGAAACGGCAACGAATTCGGCTATCAGATTGTCGTCTGGGTTCGTTGATGTTTCTGTCTCCAGACCGTGGTCGTACACCAAAGAGAGCTGACAGTCACTTCCAACATTGATTTCCACTGCCTGGGCACGAGTATTGATCCCTTGATTTGCCACTATTCGTGCTTCTCGACAGATTTCGTAGAACAGCTCTTCCTCGAAAAGTGAGTCACGCATTTCAGTAGTTTGTTGGCTGATTTCTTCCGTTTGGCCACTTTTGTGCGTCTTGAAATGGAAGAAACCGGTCTTGCTGTTGTGCCGAATAACGAAGACTCCCAAGGCTTTGCGCCTCCGCTGTGCAGATTGCCCGTCCAAGGTTACCCTCCCATCATCAAGTTGCCGGAGCAGAGCGAAGCCTTTGTCCCGGAATTGGGGTGCGGATTGAGGAAACCCAAAATGCACTCCGATTGCTTTACGATCACGAGGGAGCCTTGACACTGCCCACCCTTGTGTCGTGAGCTTGGCAATTTGTGCCCAATATTCTGCTTCTCGTTCCGCATCTTCTCTCAGTCGATTTGACGCCGACAATAGCTTCTCTGATGCAGACCGAAAACCCTCCGATCTCCAACCCTGTGAGGTGGAAGCGAGCTGACGTCTCACCGGCGGGGGAACTGGCTTGTTCCTTAAAACGCGTCCAGCCAGCGTGCCTACGGGGACGGCCTCCTTCAACGCCGGAGACATAGAGTTTTGGGCTGGCACCCATTGTTTAGAGATGAGCAATGACACAAAGTCCAATGCACATAGGATTTCATTTTGAGCATAGCTATGAATGTTAATTGGGCTGTGGGATCGAATTGACGAGCGACTCACCTTAAGCGCTCTATCATTTCCTCCCTGCGCTTCCATAGACGTTCCTGACGCTTCTGAGGAGACTCATCCTCTTCAGCTCCGGGCCCATCTACGCCGTCGGTATCTCTGTCCGCAGCAGGGGCTTTGCCCTGGATTTCGGCTAACAAGGAACGTTCAGTCACATGACGAAAATGACCTTTCTGCACGACAACGCGTTGAATTTGAGATTGGAGATCTTCGGAAGTCAGGGATGCCTCAGAGGGGATGAGAAGGCTGATGGATGTTGATTGGGACATGTCGTAATGCTTGATAAATCTGTTATCCCTCAGATACGAACATGATGGGCAGATGACGCGAAGGATTTGGCAATAGGTCAAGCCGTTATCTTGATGCGTATCTCATCGTACTGATATTGCTTTTGATCATGGCGAAAGATAGCTTTGATTGGAGAGCCAGAGCGATGCAAGCCTGGGCGCTGAGAGCAATGTCATGCACCTTCACGTGCTTTGAGCCACAAAAAGGAAGATAGCCGAGAGGGGGATCACCATGCCCAAAAACCCACCGAGCCAGGCATCGGTTCTTTAACTGGAGCTTCCCTCACTTAACTAAGAATGGACCAGTTAAAGGCCCGGACGCCGATCTCATGGCTCGCTATCGCCCAATGACGTGGGCGGCCTCAAGCATCTTTTTTGCTTCGGCTCAGCTTGTACCACCAGAATTTCGCTGCAAAAACAACGTCCAACCCTCATTCTATCTTCATCTTGCATCCTTTTTTCTTTCTAGAGGAGCTTTTCTTTGCCTGCGAAAGGCTCCTCGGTTTCGCCCTCTATTCTCCTGCACGACATATCTTACAAGTATTCTTCCTTCACCGTCCGAAGTCCCTTCGTCGTTCCTCGGTACCCTTCCTGTCCACGCTCTCCTACCGTGTCTCTCCTCTGCGGCTGACGTCCTGTTCACCACCATGGCTGAGCAAGGTCAAGCTCCCGTCCCAAAAAGGCGGAGGATTGGTGTCATGACGAGTGGAGGTGACTCTCCTGGCATGAATGGAGCTGTTCGCGCTGTGGTTCGCATGTCTATCCACATGGGCTGTGAGGCCTACGCAATCTTTGAAGGTTACGAGGGTCTGGTCCAAGGCGGCGATCTGATCAAAGAAATGAAGTGGGAAGACGTCAGAGGATGGTTGTCTCGAGGTGGTACCCTGATTGGCACTGCAAGATGCATGCCTTTCATGGAGAGATGGGGGAGACTCAAAGCAGCCAAGAACATGATCCTCCGGGGCATTGACGCCTTGGTCATTTGTGGTGGTGATGGTAGTCTGACCGGCGCAGACAAATTCAGAGCCGAATGGCCTGGGCTGATCAAAGAGCTGGTCGAGACTGCAGAACTCACACAAGAACAAATCGAGCCCTACAAACACCTGAACATTGTCGGATTGGTCGGGTCCATCGATAACGATATGTCGGGGACTGATGCCACGATCGGCTGCTACTCCTCCCTCGAACGAATTTGTTCTGCCGTTGACGACGTTTTCGACACTGCAGCTTCCCATCAACGCGGTTTCGTGATCGAGGTCATGGGTCGGCACTGTGGTTGGTTGGCACTGATGGCTTCGATAGCTACAGGCGCTGACTTTGTCTTCATCCCTGAGAAACCTCCTCGAGTTGGTTGGGAAGATCAAATGTGCGACATCATCAAAATGCATCGGTCAAGAGGCAAGAGGAGATCCATCGTCATAATCGCTGAGGGTGCCCACGACGAGAACTTGAAGAAAATCACGGCGAATCAAGTCAAGGATCTTCTCTCACACAAGCTCAAGTTGGATACAAGAGTTACGGTCCTTGGGCATACCCAACGAGGAGGATCAGCCTGCTTCTACGACAGATGGTTGTCAACTCTACAAGGTGTTGAGGCTGTGAATGCCGTGCTGGAGGCTACGCCTGATACTCCCACACCTGTCATTACCATCCGAGAAAACAAGATCGAGAGATCCAACCTTATGGAAGCTGTTGCCTTGACCAAGTCAGTCACTGCCGCCATTCAGGCCAAAGATTTCGATAAAGCCATGCAACTGCGGGACGTCGAGTTCAAAGAATACTACAATAGCTACATGATCACCACTTCCACCGACCATCCTAAATTACGACTTCCCGAAGAGAAGAGAATGCGTATCGCCATCGTCCATGTTGGAGCTCCTTCTGGTGGGATGAACCCTGCCACTCGAGCGGCTGTGGCATACTGTCTGACAAGAGGCCACACTCCCATCGCCATTCATAATGGCTTCCCAGGTCTACAGCGTCACCACGACGACAAACCCGTCGGATCCGTCCGCGAATGCAAATGGATTGATGTAGACCCATGGGTGAACGAGGGCGGTTCAGAAATCGGCACAAACCGTGGACTGCCCAGTGCCGACATCAAGACGACTGCAGAGTGCTTTGAAAGATATAAATTCGATGCGATGCTCCTGATTGGCGGATTTGAAGCTTTCACCGCAGCAAGCGAAATCAGAAAAGCCCGGCATGAGTATCCAGCGTTTAAGATTCCTCTGATCGTTCTGCCTGCAACAGTATCGAACAATGTCCCCGGGACTGAATATTCACTTGGCAGCGACACGTGTCTAAACACATTGATCAATTTCTGCGATGCCATCAGACAATCAGCGTCGTCGTCCAGACGGAGAGTGTTTGTCATTGAGACACATGGTGGTCGATCAGGGTATCTAGCAACCATGGCTGGCCTTTCAGTCGGCGCACTGGCCGTGTACATCCCCGAAGAAGGCATCAACATTCACATGATCGCCCGAGACATAGAATTCCTGCGAGAAAATTTCGCCAACGACCAAGGCGCATCTCGAGCAGGCAAAATCATTCTTCGTAACGAAAAGGCCAGTCAAACCTATACCACACAGATCATCGCAGACATGATCAAAGAAGAAGCCAGAGGACGGTTCGAGTCTCGATCAGCAGTGCCTGGACACTATCAACAAGGGGGTAAACCTTCGCCTATGGATCGGATAAGAGCCCTCCGGATGGCGATCAAGTGTATGCAACATATTGAGGATAGATTTACAGGCAAGTCCAAGGCTGCGATTGTCGACGATCCACTCTCTGTGGCAGTCATTGGTATTCAAGGGTCGGAGGTCGTGTTCACGCCCATGGGTGGAGAGACGGGCCTGGAGGCCAACGCGACGGACTGGCAAGACCGACGACCAAAGAATGAATTCTGGATGCCGATGAAGGATACGGTCGACATCCTCAGCGGACGGCCAAAGTTGAGGGATTGCTGTGGGGAGTGCGGGAAGCCGCTCTCAGGTGATCTCCGTAGAGGTATGCTCCCGAAGCCGAAGGAGAGAGACGAAGAGTAAAGACAACAAAGGAGGAGGCTGGAGTTTGGGGGTCTCCTTATAAAGGTGCTGAACAGGGCGACTTGACCGGTGATCAGAGCGAGCGTCTATTTCTATCGTAATTCACAAGAGTCGTTTCGATCCGAAAGACTTTCTCCGCTCCAGACTACTATGTACATAGTAGTCCTTTCTTTCCTTTATGTCCTATGTAGGTCTAGCACTTCTTTTGCTAAGCCAGGAAATCTCTAGCGAGTTTGGCGAGACGGCGCGGTAGTTGAATAGGAATAGTCTGGATATGAGGCTCTATCAGTGTCAGGAACGGGAGATTGGAAGAGCCGGAGTGGGATTTGGGATTCTGGGGATGGCGGTGTGGTTGCAGTGTCGTTGGTGAAACAATTCGGATAGAAAGGAATCTGTAACCAGATCTTGCAGCAAGTTCAAATGCAGGTGTCTGACAGAAAGGATTATCCAGGATACCACTAAGGTATTGGTGAGAATCAGCGTCCAATCTTTTGTCAGACGAGTCTTGACTAGCGAGTTTTATTTGGAAGCGGCAACGTCGTGACACCAGCATCGCGCATGCACGTGACATACGTCTTCCACGTGAGGCCAAGCGGTGAGGGAGTTGCAGAACCGATGGCGGAACCAATGGTAGAAGCACCAATGTGACAGCCGAAGCCAGAGGAAGGAGGTCTGAATCGCTGCTGATGGAGACAAAGGAACGAGTATCCGTAAACAGTCACGCAGTATAACGCGCGTTCATGGATTGGGAGTGTCGTGGAGCCCCCTTTTAACGAACCGTCCACTGCCGGGCATTCCCAGAAAGCAACAGGCTGATGCGGCTCTCTTCTTGGCCCCGGTGGCCCCTACTCACACAGTCACAGTACTTTCCCACTCCATCATTTCTCTTGGCACTTGTTCGATTCTGACCAGCCGATGCCAGCTGACTTACGGAGTACCCTGCTCCCTCGCTACCTCGAGATCTCTGGACACTTGGAGCAGGCAGGCGAGGGCATAAGCGAAGAGTTGTTAGGCGATGCTATACCTGGAATAAGGACCAAAGTTGACGGCACCACCACGAGAACCAGAGCAGTCTTCTAGGCGCATACCAGGTACCTACCTACTGTACCTTAAGGTATCTGCCACTTTTTCAATATATCGAAATCGAGAACGGGGCATTAGAATCGGAAAATAAATCACTGGCCCTCGGTAGATCTGGACTCAGTGATTGGGTGGCAATCAGGCCGACACTCCCCCCAGAGGCGGTTTGCGTAGACCTTCACCAAGCCAGCAGCCCGCGAGGCCCAAAGGGCGCAAGAGGGACGCGCGGCGCGGGCAGGCATGGCGGGCTAAAGAAAGGCAAAGCGGCACATCTGCCCTGGCGTCGTCAGCACGAACCAGACTCCCAGGCCACGTCGACTCTCTCGCCGTTCTTCCCTCCAGGGAGCCAGGCTTGCATGGGGCTTTGAGTCTTCGACCCAATTGCCTGTCTGTTTGCTACCTCCAGGTAACCCACTCTCTCTCCTCCCTATTGTGTGCCCGCTCACGCAATCTTGCCAGTCCACGTACACCTGCGCCAATCCTCACAATCACAATCCTCATCGTCGCCATCTACCACCCTACTACACCACCTCACTCTGGCCGTTCTTTCTACTCCCACTACCACCGTCGTCCTGGGTTGTTTTGCTCCCATATATCCTGCCAGAGCGCCGCTCCTTCACTAAGCCTGCTTTCATTTGCGGCCGAACTGTGGCGAGGCAACTCAAGACTCGGGCTGTGCTCCGCGGCTGCGCCAATCACTTCTCCCGCGCTCTCAAGACTCAACTCTGAACTCGACTAGACCACGCCCTGGCTTCCTTTACTTCCTCTTCTCGAACGACTCCTCTTAGGATAATCCATCTGCTCTTCCTACCTGATAGACCCTGAGTGCCACTGGAGGAAAGATTTGGCGGTCATGGCGGACAACAATCGCCCGCGCACCCTCGACGACGAGTTCGACTTCAGTGCCGCAGATCTCACAAAACAATTTGAACAATTGTTACGCACAAGAAGACTAAACGAACTCGAAGAACAAGCCCGAACACCTCGATCTGCTTCTCCTCATCTTGCGCCTAGAACATCATCACATTCATCAGCGTCGCAAATCCCACACTCTCCAAACTCTATACAGTCTTCCCGTTCGCAACAACTGCAGCAGCAGCAGCAGCAACAACAACAACAACATCCTCCTACATACACCTCCTTCCGCAGCCACCCTATAGTACCATGTCCTCCTCAAGACGCCGCTTCTCTCAAGTTCCGCAATCTCCTAATCACCTTGTCCATGACGCCTACCAAATATGAAAACCCTGGTCTGCTCGACGATGCTCTGACCCACGTGCCAATCGACAGAATATATGCAGAAGCTGAGGAGGAACATAGCCTCATGAAAGTCATGGCCGAGTCTAAGAACGACGGTAGTAAACCGGAATGGGGCTACCAAGACTGCGTCATCAGGTCATTGCTCAGGTAGGGCAACCTGGGTCCAAATGTTGTGTCCGGTTCTGACATTTCTCTCTAGATGGTTCAAGCGGTCTTTCTTCACATGGGTCAACAATCCTCCTTGCACACGGTGTCATGGTGCCACCCTGGCTCAAGGACAAACGCCGCCCACACCAGACGAGGTGGCTCGTGGAGCCACACGAGTCGAACTATACCGGTGTACAAACCAAGCGTGTTCGGCCTTTGAGAGATTCCCTCGCTATACTGACGTCTGGACGTTGCTCGAGACGCAGAGAGGTCGGGCTGGAGAGTTCGCCAACTGCTTCAGCATGCTGTGTCGTGCTGCCGGGGCTAGAGTGAGATGGGTCTGGAACAGTGAAGATCATGTCTGGACCGAGATCTACAGCGAGCAGCAGCGGAGATGGATCCATGTGGATCCTTGTGAAGAGCTTTGGGATACTCCTCGGGTGTATACAGAAGGTGAGCAATACCTCTCAATCGGTCGAAGCGACCTGATGCTGACTCGTGTCCAGGCTGGAACCGAAAGATCGCCTACTGTATCGCCTTCTCCAACGACGGCGCCACCGATGTCACACGACGATATGTCCGCAACTCGCGCTATAACTTGCCGAGGACTCGATGTACAGAAGAAGTCTTGCTGTGGATCATGCACGAGATCCGCAAAATCAGAAGAGACAATATGGAGAAATCAGTGAGGACACAACTGATGCGTGAAGATGAAAGAGAAGAGCGAGAACTCCGAAGTTATGTCGCAAGCTCGCTGGCTAAGGAAATGATCCACTCCATGCCGGGAGCCGTCAGCCCTCAACGAAGCGACGAAGTCAAGACGCCTGCCGAGAGACAGCAGGAAGCTGCTGTCCAATGGTCGAGCCACCAGCAAATGGACCACTCTGGCCCCCGGTAGGCCTGCTGTTGCGACTCTCAGCACCTTCCATGTCTTGCACGATTATGGTTTTACGTCTCCTTCGATGATACCACTTTATACTACCTACGGAAGATTTACTGGAACTATTATATATGCACGCACTCGGGCGTACAGCGTGATTACTAGCATCTCATGCATGCGGAACCAAAATCAACAGTTTACTATATTTTGCACGGGCCTGGCTATCTGCATATCATCTCCGGAGTTCTCATCTTGGATTTCCGCCTTAGTCAGGCCGTCACCAGCAGCGGTTTTTGTCGGTTTACAGTCCACTGGAGCCTTTGAAGCCAGTACGCGCACAGGTTGTTTTGTCCGAAGCATTGGCGTTCACCGGACTTTGATGTTTGAGATGGGGTGATTTGACTATTTCCCAAAAGACCGGGAAACAGCCAGCAGAGGACGACGAGGTGACTTTGATGTTCACAGCCTTGAGTAGAAAGATGAGGACTGGTTGCAGCTATACGAATGAAATCGTGCGATCGTATCATGTCGTTGTATCATTCATTGATTCCTGCTAGGGCTAACAGCTATGTGTCACTATACCCACGTACACATGAGGACAGTCGACGCCCCTTTGCCCCCGATGCTTCGTATCTGTAGTGGTTCCGATCAAGGAGTCTTGTGCTGAAGGACAAGCTCAACAGAGCAGTTCTTGACAGTTTTCCGTGAAAGAAATAGGCTGACCTAGGTCCACCTGCCCAGGTATCTCATTGCGCGGACAGCGACGATCCACATGATCTACGCTCTCGTGCCTCTCCTGTCACGAGTCGTCGCCCACGTCGCCCACGTCGCCCGCCCCATCTTGGATGCTTAGATGCTAGCACTTAGCCTTGCTAGGTGGCCACCCCATAAGGGAGGGAGGGAGGGAGTGGATCTCATTACGAGTTACTCTCACTCTGTGATAGTCACCTCTGCGTACGAGTACTGTGATAAGGTAGTTCAAACTTCACACCGCAAACATCTGGCTTACGTCGCCCTCCCCTCTTGGACTCCAAGTCCACGATACCTTACCTAGGTACCTAGTACTACAAAGTATGACACTACTCGTAGTAGTTGTTGATGGACTTCAGACTGTACTTGTTGGACCAGATCGACTACCGTAGGCTACTAGGCTGGCTGGCTGTACTTACGTACCTAGGTGCCTTGGGGGTAGGCTGTATCCCTAATGCCATTGCTTACTACGTATGCCCGCTCAACACTGCTTATTCCCATCAAGTGGCAACGTATCACGTCGCTTGGCCATTGCATCCAACGTTTGGGCCGTCCGTCTATGTACCTATAGGTACCTAACGAGCGATTCTTATGTACACAGGACTCCCGGAGGTACGGATACCTTGGAACCTTTGCACAATATTTACTTTTGACATGGATTCTGGCATTTGGCTGCTGCTGCGGCTGCTGAAGACACCTTGCGACCGCGCTCATGGGTCGTGAAGAACAGATCCATGATCAAGTCCCTTCCGCCTCTACAGTAGGTGGCGCCCGGAGAACCGAGAGACATTACTAGGTCATCAGATGCAAAAGCATAGTGCAAAAACGAAAGTGAGCGTGAGCGAGCTGGTTCTAGCCTTGCGTGTTCTCGCACGACGTTTGCTTCTTTTCTTCTTGCGTACGGAGTATAAGGAATCCAATTCAATCCAATCCAATCCAATCCAATCCGCCTCGCTGGGGATCGAGTTCAGACGTGATGTTGCTCGCGGCGCCTTAAAAATTCTCAACATGTTCCATAGACACAGAAATGACCGTGTCGCTTCGCCTCAATGGGATGCCATCGCTGGCCGGGGATTCGAATATCCCTCTGCAAGACCAGGAAAGACCATTACCTGGTAACTTTTTTTTTTTTCATGAAACGGGCTCAACATGTGGCCACGATGTGGCGTATCAAGAGCTCGGCGGTGATCGTGTCTTGAACCAAATCGACCGAAATCGACCAAACCCTTTTTCACGAGCCTGCGCCCATCTAGGTACGTAACTACCGTAGGTACCCACCTAAGTACTTGGTAGATTGGTTCCGGCTCTGAAAGACCAGGATGTCCTAACTAGTGGACTTGACTGAGTGGGCTCTCTCTGCCGGTTGCAGTGACAGGACGCTCAGCTCCCGTTCCAGTTCCATTTCCCGGCTTCATGCTCATAAGCTCAAAGCTCAAGACTCAAGTCTCCCAATCCTGTCCAGCGTCGATTCTGCCATATGGAGCCTTCTGGACAAGTTCATAAATGTCCCGCTCCACAATGACGACTTCAAGATTCTGGTTCTTCTCTCCACTCTCGGTTGACTCGTCTGCTGCTGGCGGTGCAGGTCCAATCACGCCAATCCCCAGAATCCCACGGTAGGCAAATGTACTCCAGTGCAGTGGTCGAGAGCTGTGCGTGTTCGTCAGTGACTGTTGTCCTTCCATGGAGGAGAAGGCCTTCGCATCCTGGTTTTGGTCCTGATCTTCGCCACGTCTCATGAGTGCAAGCATGTCATCTCCGTCCTCATCGTCCACCTCCGCATCCGTGTTCTGATCCATATCGACGTCAAAGTCCATTTCAATCACGTCCGCGTCACCGAGATCCGTCTTGTACTTAAGCATCGCACTACCCAGGCCGGTGCCCCGTTCGTGCACGGGTATTGCGTCGCCTGCGCCTGTATTGCGTTTACGCTTCTTCTTGGTCTGACCTCCATGATCTTGAGTTTGACCGTTGGACCTTTCGAGCGCAGCCTTGGGCCCTTGCTTGCCGTCAGCAGGAGATACGGGGTCTAGCACATCGTACCGGCCCAGTGTGCCGACCTTCTCCACTTTCGTTGCCTGATATTGAAGGTCTTGCGACACATCGAGCATGAACAGCCAGTTCAAGCCGTACAGCCAGAGCCGCTCACCGCGTGTGGTCCGGTCAGTGCAGTCCCAGAAACAGCCTACAACGCGGTCTTTGAGCCGGGTGAATGCGTGTGGCAGATATTTCGAGGGGTTGCGTCTTGACCAGTCGCTCAGTCTGCAGTTCAAAACGTCAAATTCAACGAGTTGGTGGGTCGCAGTGACGGCGATGAGCTTTTCGTCCGAGGAAGGTAGTTCGTGAGCAACCGGTTGAGCAGTGTGACGCGTAGCGTGCAGGCCGCGATTGCCGTCGGCGGGGTTCGACAGTGAAATTTTTGGTGACGGCCGGAATGTCAATGCGAGAATGGAAGAGTCGAGTCGAGGAAGACGAGAACCCGAGGGATTTCGAATCCACTTTTGCGCGTGGATCACAGGGGACTCGTCTTCATCTTCGTCGTCTGACGAACTGGAAGAAGAGTCAGAGGAATGGTCGTTATCGAGCTCTACCGTCTCGATGAAGTCCAGGTCTTCATGCCCTTCGAGAAGCCACGTGTCGATAGCACCCGAGAGGTCCGAGACCGCGAGAACGCGGCTGTCGCTGGAGAAGGCCACATGACTGATGGTTTGGCGATACGTCCCCAGCGCTGATTCCGGAGCGTTGCGAGATGTTCGGTATAGCTTGACGGTCTTCTCGTGGACAGTGGGTCGTTCTTTCGCGTCCTTCGAAGGCACAATTTTGTTCAAGGCGACAGTGTTATCTTTACGGATGGTATAAAGCCATTTACCGTCTGGAGAAAAGCCTGTTCGTCTGGCACCTAGCCTGACAACCGTGGATGGCAACTCGATCTGCCTCGTGCGAACGCACGGTCGTCCTACGGCTTGTGTCTTCCGTAGCTGAAACAATTTCACCGTGTTGATGGTCGCTGCAGCGATGAACTGACCGTCGGCAGAAATTTGCGCATCCTGGATGTTCTCGTCGCCCTGAAGTATCAGTCGGGTCAAGGTCTCATACGCAGAACCTGCAGAGTCATCGAAGTCAAAAGTGCTGTCTGCTGAATTCCGTGGCTTTCGAACTTGGTAGACCACAATCTCCCGATCCCACCACGAAATGAATAGTCTGGCGGCTGGGGATGATGCGATTACCGGCCGCTGCGGGAGATGCGATAGTGTGCGATGAGTTTCTGTTTGCATCTTTCGGATTGGCACAACAACCGGTCTGCAATCCATACCACCTGAAACCAAGACGCTGAGATCCTTGCTTTCAAATGTTGCCGAACATTTCACATCGTGGCGATGGTATCTCCGGTGAGATACCTCGGCCCATCTCAATTTTTTGCTGCCTGCATGGCTGGCCACTGCCTTGTAACTGACGGTCCTTCTGTCCACGCCAAACGAAAAGATGGTGTCGCCAGTCGCACTCATGGCGAGGTCGATGATATCATGAGTGTGTGACTTCAGCCTCTGAACCAGAGAGTAATTCTGAGCGTCCCATATTTTCAATTCTCCAGTCGAGTCACCGGAGATGATGGTTCCGTCAGGAAGACACTTGACAGTCCAAACGATTGTGTGATCTCCATCAGCAGGCTTACCCAGACTCATATTGCGAATTGCCGTCCTGCTGCGTACATCGATTACTCGTATGGCGCTGTCTTCATAACCAGCGACTACGGTATTGCGATCTCGCCATGTGATACTGACAACCCTGGGCTTCTTTACCGGTGGCGTCAGGAGCGGTCGCAGGTAGCGTAAATCATCATCTTCAGTAGAAAAGAGGATGACTGTCCCACTGCCACAACCCGCGGCCAGCAATTGCGAAGACGTCCCACTCTCCAGCCCTTTAGCCTTTGCCGGATTCTCAATTTGCGGTTGCGCTGCAAAGCACCATATGTCTCCAAAATTCCCTTCTGTTTGTCTTTTTGGAGCGCCCGAGCATATATCCCATTCGATGATCGACTTTGAGCCAGAAGAGCTGAATAGACGTAAGGGGCCATGTGAAAATTTTGAGCCATCAGCGCCTTCTTCCACAACCAGGTCCCGAGTCCATGCCAGCTGCTCGATTATGCTGTCCTTTCTGCCCTTGAGGATTACTTCCTGCACCCAGTGGCCGTTTTGTGGATTCCAAATTTCCACATCTCCATTACCACGGCCAAGTGCAAGGCGTAAATCGGAGGGAGTCTTTTCCTTCGGAGAGGAAGAGTGGGAGAAAGCGAGGGCATGGATGGGTTCTGCAGGATGCTTGACGAATCTGCACCGGTGGATATCCATGTTGTCAGATGGAAAAGTAATGTACCGTGTCGATCATATCTTATGCACATTGGCGTTGACACAGGACATTCATTGTGAAAATTCTACGATAGAGGCATGACCATCGAGCGATATTCTTCAACTTTCATCGCCGCAGGAAAAAAAGTTGTAGATTGTCGGCCATGAAACCCACCGACGCTCCGCTCCGACGTTACCGGCTCTTGATTGGTTACTGCAGAAGACTATTCACGTGACCACTGTGGTACTATGGTACCGATACTCTTTACAAGGTTGGGGTCTCTCGTTCAGCGATATTGGCTTCAGCGTTGACCGACTTCCTCATAAATGATCGTTCCCTGTTTCTGGCTGTCGCTAGTCATCCCCAGGAGGGATCCCAACCGACGACAACTCCCTATCTCGCCGTTGACTGACGGAGGACGATGTAACGTGACCAGATTGATTTAGATCGGCCCTTGGTAAGTCCCTCGGCGCCCGTCTTCTTGACAGTATGGGGGATCGAGAGCAAGTACCTTATAAGAAAAGAAGTTTTGAGGCTGTATCGACAAATTGGACGAAGCGCACACGAGCAGCTTGCCAACGATCAACGCTGCGTGCCTCTGCCCTCTAGTCCTCTGGGCATCGGAACCGCTGCTCGCTTGGGGCTAGCGAATGGGCTGAGATTCACTAAGCTAGGGCTTAGTGATGTTCACAAGCCAGTGGCCCCCGAGTGGCCAACAACAAGTCCCCGGGGGGTGGACTGACTTGTGCTACGATCCTTGCCGATACCACTATTTTATCCTCCGCCCACCTCTTAGTAATCGAAGTAGCGTAACACTTAACTCGAGCCGAATGTACGAATCTCGTGTACAGGGTACAGGTTTGCAAGAATCGCCCTTTCAGTCGCGCCTCCGGTGACGCTCTCACAAAATCGAAAACCTACTGTCATCCTGAGTAAAGCGGAATCAAGCAGATGCTCTTGGTTCTGGCAATCTCTTCTTTAACACGAGCTCGCCACTCCATTAGCATCGTCTTTCAGATACCAGACACGCTTCTCTGAAACAATCGATCAAATTCAATTGTTGACTCCCTCGCCTGAGTCCATTGGAGGCCAATATCAGGCTTTCATCGTCCTATGGAACCATGGCGACTCTGGTCAACTACGACTTGTCTACTTTCACAAAGCCAAGGCCCAACAAGCGCCGACTACAAGAGTTACAACACTCTGAGGCTAGGGCGCATGCCGCCCGTGTGGCATACTGGCGCAAAAGACAACTTCCTCCGACTGCCGCGCCCGAGCAAGCGCACGTCGAATCGGACCACCAGGACGCTTCGCCTGATGCATCCTCTGCTTCGGACAACGTTTCGAAAAAGCGCACGAGTCAGGATATCCAGGAGGAATCATTCGTTCAAGAGGATCCTGTTATCGGCGAACAGCCTAAAATCGCGCTTATATTCGTTAACGAATATAGCAATACATTTGGACGCGAATCTGTAACAAGCAGCAACTCAGAATCACTAGCAATTTGCCCACAACAGAGAAAGTCATCGAGCGGGAGTCATTGGCAGTCGGACTCAGGAAGTGATTTGTGCCCAGGGAGCAATGGCATGGAGACTCGGCTGGACGTTAAGACGCTCTCCGATATGAGGCTTCCAAGACACCTCAAGTCTCCCCTATTCGATCCCCTCGACACTCTGCCAGTTCCGCAAGGCGATGATGTGATTGCAGCGATGGAGCAATGTGAGTTGCCACTGTGTAGCTATAGACTCTCCGCCTCTGACATGTTACAGATCTCCACGGTTGGGCACCCTCACAGAGACCTGGGTTAAAACACCAGACCAAAAACAATCCCCTCATTAGGGATGTTTTCCATTCGGCTTTACAGAACGTAGAACTCTTCGAATCTATAATTGCACTCATCACGAGCTTCAAAGCAGCAGGACAAAACTTCCAAGGGCGCCTGTCCAATGTGTCCCTATATCACAAAGGTCAGGCACTGGCAGGCATCAGAACAAAGTTGAGCTCAGGGCTGGTCGACGAAGCCGTTATGCTGTCCACAGTATTCCTCATGATCATTGACGTACGTGCATCACTTTGTTGAGAGACCCTCCAATTAACTTTCCAAGAACGTTTTTGCAGAATCTGAAGCCTACCGTGCGCACTTAGACGGCCTTCGAAGAATGGAAAAGGCCATTCCGACGTCTGTCGAAATGCATTATGCTGGTGTCCTGCGAACTTTTGTATCGTGGTAGGTCTAGCATTGTGTCATGCTCAACATTGTCTGACTGAAATTCTAGGGCCGAATCGAATGCGTTGCTCTTGTTCGGGGACAGCGTCTCATCGCAGAGTGCACCGACGACGATGTGTGCATTGAATCATTGGGAACGGCCATCCTCAAAGACGGTGGCGAAGATGATTGCTGCCCTACCACCTGGATTCAGGTCCATTAGCGACCAGCTTTCGCCCCAGCTCATTTCAGTGCTTGGGAAGACCGTCAAGTGGACGTCCTGCATTGATCGAGGGGTCGTCGACCGATCCGACAGCGATGAGGCTTTTTTAGCGGGCTTCGATCCCCGGGCGAACAATGCTGAAGCTATGAGGCTAGCATCCAGCCACGCAATGTTGGAGAGGTCAATTTCCAAAGCGCTTTTTCTTTGTCATGCCAATATATTGAATTGGTCATGTCGCTGTGCAGTCTACCAAAGCACAGTGCTAGACCTCGCTGACACCTTTCGGTCAGACATGGTGGAGGAAGCCGGTTATGAGGAGCTCTGGACTTGGCTGGCTCTGGTCACGGCCAATGCAGCAAGACGAGGCAGACTGGAGCAAATACAAAATGGGATCCTATACAAACTCGCGGCGAGTCGAGACTGTCAATGGGGATCTATCAGAGGGGTGCTGGCGAAGTTTTTGTGGCACAGCAAGTTGGAAAGGGAATGGAAGCAGTGCTGGGAGATGGTCAGAGCCACAGAAGATTTGAAGAGATGACAGGGCCCACAATCCGACCGCACATGATACAGGGGTATTTGGCCCATTTTCTGTCATATCTAGCCCTTTGTATACCTGAATCAAGGTCGCGTGTATGAAGAGCGTTCAGTCTTCCGAACAACTTCGAGAGTGGTCACACCTGTCGGGAACCGGACGTACAGTTAATCCGGCTCCTCGGCTAACATGCCTTGGGACAAGGAGGCTAATTGTCCGCACCTCTCGTGAAACTAACGGCTAGTGCCTTCCTTCCGATCCGGGCTTGTACCCGTGTCTCCAGCCCTTCCGCTTTCCAACTCTTTCACAAATCCTTGATGCGCGCAAGACATACTACGTATCATGCTTTTGACAGTGCGTAACGGGTGATCCAGTGCAGTAATACCCAAGATGAGCGCACATACAACGCCTCAGTCAGTCTTGGCTATTCGGTCCTCACCTAGTGTATCTCGCTGACTATTTTAATAGGGGAGATGGCAAGCAGGTCAAACGAGCATGTACGGAATGTCGGCAGCAAAAGGCAAGTTACCATCGATGCACCAAATTGAGTGTGCCCGCAACGGTGTTTGGCTGTTCTCGATCACCATACGACAGCAACCACTGGTTTTGAGATGTTATTTGATCGTGCGAGCCAGACTACATCAACCCTTTGAGGTTCTACGCGTGTTCCCCGCTGACATTCTGCCGTCTAGGCCAAATGTGATGCATACCTGGATCCAGACAATCCTTGCTCACGATGCCGGAAGATGAGCAGACAATGCACCATCTCGGAGCCGTTCAAAAGAGAGCACAAACGCAAGCGAATATCTGAACTCGAACTCCGCACAGATGAATTACAGGAACAACTCAACTCTTCCGCCCAGCGCGACACTTCCGCCTTGCCAGAACCAACATGGACTGCCGTCAATTCTAATGACCATCGGAATGCCGAGAGTGAGAGCCGGCTAGCATCAGTGGCGCCTTTCTTCAGAGATGCAGCCATCGCCCCAGTCTCTTTCCGTTCTTTCTCTCAGGCTGCCGAGACTTTGCAGACTCCGGAAAGCCTTCCACGTGATCAACCAACTACAGGAACCCTACCAAGGTCTCTAGAGGGCCAGACTATCGACGCCAAAGATATTGACGCACTGTTCCAAACATACTTCCGGGAATACGCAAGTCTCATGCCCATCCTCGAGCCCTCAATGACACCAAACGCATGTTATGCTCTTTCACCGTTCCTCTTCTGGGCGATCGTCGGAGTTGGCTGTCGTACATGTCCCAACAATCCTACATTGCTCGGAGTCCTCCCACCCAAGATTCATAAGATGGCTCTGCTGTCGGTCAACTGTAACGGCTCATTACAAACTGTGCAAGCGTGGTTGCTTCTCCTGTATTGGCCATTCCCTAAAGCCAGCACAGGACAAGATTTGATTTTCCCCATGAGTGCCGCACTCTTGCACATGGCTATGCAGTTAGGATTACATCTACCGTCGTCGGGTCAAGAGTTCAGCAAAGTCCGCCTGAGGTTGAATGAGGAAGAAATGAAGAAGCGGGCTGAGACTTGGGGCTACTGCACGCTCATCTACCAGCGCTCCTGCGTAGCTAAAGGAATGCCGGCAACACCAATCCTCGATATCCCTTACGACCTCGAACAAAGAAGAGCGTTGTTCCAGAACATGTCCCCCCGGCTGAAATTCGAGCTCAAACTTCAGGACGTGGTGACAAGGGGTTCCATTGCAGTGTCGCAGAATGGCTTGCGAGTCATGTCTGCCGAGCAAGAACGGTCGTTGGACACGCTCCTAAATGTATTCCAAGCCCAGATTGCCGGTGTAGGTCTAGAGTCTGCATCGGACCTCGATCGCCTTTATGTTCAACTCTCAACTCAAAGTATATTGGCATACAACCTCTACAAATCTCCGGCGACACAGGATCCAACGTCTCTTTACGACTTATGTATGACGTGCTGTCAAGTGATCGAGTCTTTCGACCATCTCGACAGAACAGGGCAGATTTGCCTTCCAGCCGCTCCCATCTTTTTTTACCATGGTCTGATGGTGCCTTGCCACACACTGCTCCGACTGCTCAAGACCTCATTCTCCCGCTACATCAATGTCGAGAGAGCTAAGACTGCACTCTTCCTTGGGATAAGCCTGCACAAGCGAATGTCGTTGCAGAATGACGATGTTCCTGCAAGGAGTGGAGTCGCTTTGACTCAGTTATGGAACAGCACCAGGGTCTTCCGCAAATCAAACGGCACGGAAACAGTTGCGCTGCGGATCAGAAGTCGATTGTCTGGAAGTATTGTCCTTGACGGTATCGTCTGGTGGCGAGAAGAGTTTGGGGCCTTTATGGGCGTCTATCCGCCTCCTATCACTGACGCTCGAAATGATCCTCCTCCCAGTGAGAACGGCATCGTTTCGAATGGCAACGTTCTGCCCGAGGCTACAACGCCAGCTCCGGCCAAGCCGGATTATTCCACTTTCCTGGATGACCCTATGTTGACCGAGTTTGGTTGGCCTGTGGATGACGATATTTTTTCGTCCATATGGGCTGATAACACGCTCGGAAATCTGTGAAGGAAGAGGTTTTTGTATGACTAGTGTGTATTGATATTGCAGCAGACTTGAACACGTCTCGGGTATTGAATACTGCTTCTCTCCCAGACCATTGGAGAACAAGGCCCCAACGGCATATGTAGGCTGAATTTGAACCATCCGACGCGAAACAAGAAGCCAAACTCTACTCCCATTTGTGCTCGAAAATCCCGATCCAAATGCCATACCCAAGGATCTTGCCTCTGATTGCTTCCTGCAATTCAGCTTTTGTTGCCACGGGCTTCATCTTCTCGAGATCCAGTTTCTCCCTCAACGCAATTACCTGGAAGAAGTATCTATGCTCGCCGTGGCCTACTGGTGGTCGGGGTCCACCGTAGATGGTTCCTCGGATATTCTTGCCCAACCGGAACCCGCCTTTCAGCCACTTTGCCTCACCAGCTTGCCTTGCCGTATCGACTTGCAGATCTTCTGGACCAATGTGCGTTTTCGCTGGTGGGATGGCGTAGTACATGCCATGGTTGGGCACGATGGGGAGCGGCGCGTCGGGGTCTTCGCAGAGCAGGATATACTCTTTGATGTCGGAGTGGGAGATGTCTGCGTCGGGAGCCAACGACCATGAGAGTTCCGGGAATCTGCTCGCGCCGAGCGCGCTATGCTCGATGCCCAAATGGGAGCCGGAGGGGCCGACGTCGGGAGAGGTGAGTTCGATGTTCTTAGGGACATTGGCGAAGAGGGTGGCATTGTTGGTGAAGAGTTTCGCGTCGCGACCCTTTGAATTGTAGAGTAGGCGCGCGAGGTAGTATTCTAGATATCGGAGAATGGCCATTGCGACTGCGACGGTACTACGTACGTACTACTGTGTACGTAGGTGAGGTGAGGTGAGTTGCGCCGCAGACGGGTCCCAGACTGTCCAGTATGGGTTTGAGAGACGTCCGATGGGGGATCTGGGAACGACCTACGGAGGATCCGTAAATGCGGTACTCGTACGATGGCAAACCTTTTTAATCGAGTGGCAAGCCGGTGCGCCGGAGTCGGAAGATGTGCGGTTTGCACGGTTATGAAATGATCTTCGCTTTGGAGGGTTTAGGCATCGGACCTTACCTAGGTGGTTGATGGCGGACGAGCAATACCGGAGTAGACTGTACCATCGGTGGTACTGTGGTAGGCTACCTAGGTAACTCTTACGAGCTATCACACTTACATATCCGTACATAAGGTACTTTACCTAGTAATGGGCACACCGGGATTGCCTTGGAACCGGGGACTTGCTGCAAATGCAATGTAGATGGGGCAGCCAATTGGAATGCAGGAGGGGTCACCGTAGCGGTCAGGGATTTGTGTGAACGAACCCACCCTCCCTATCTCAGCTGCAGAGGACCGGGCCTGAACCGGAGGACTGGAAAAAGGATGGTTGTTTCTTTTGTTTTTAAGTATTCGGAGCAATTAGAACCTCCGTCGTCGATTTTCGTTTTGCAGTTTTGATGAAATGATAACGCTGCTTGGTGATATCACGTACAGTCACCAGTCACCTCGGAGCAGCGAGGTCAATATACTGCAGTGGCCTTGCATCCCTCAACGTACTTCTTGGCCTTGTTGCCCAGCCTTATCTATGGCATGTTTGCGATCGGCCATGGATGAATCGATGGACCACAAGTATTCAATTTGGCAGGACTGGAAAATACTACTATTTTTGTTTCTTCGCTGGGGGGTATAGCTCGATCCGAGTAGCCGCATTTCTAATCCTCATTATTATGCGATCGTGGCATCCCGATGTAACTGTGCAGTGTGTAGAAGCCGAAGAGATCCGGAGAAGCAGACAAGGGGGGGAAATGGCGCGAAAGCAGGAGAAAATATGGAACCCGATGGGTAGGAGGTAGGAGGTTCTGGAAGTCCTGGAAGTTGAGCCAGACCAAGACCGACGAAAGGCGATGGACGATGGACGTGGATGGACTGATCCTGCTTGGCTTCCTAGCTACTGTAGATGGCGGTACTCCGTACCGAGTGTACTTATCTGGCTTATCTGGTAGTTCAGGTATTGGGATTGTAGGTACTCCGTATGGGATGATGGATCTTCCTTTCGCCCGGGCCGGCGCCATCCTTGGAATCGATGGAGACATTTCATGGACAAATACTCCGTACAGCTGATCGCGACATGGGTAGAGAAAAGGTTAGATGGGCCACAGCATCGTGGACAGGCCTCCGTCCACGCCGGCTGAGATGAGTTTGCTCAAACAGCAGCGTGTCTATCTGAGTGGCTGTAAGTGAGACGGCGAGGTGTGAGTTAGGGCACTAAGCGCTGCCTAGGTAAGCCGTAAGGCAACGACCCTAGGTGCTACCTAAGTTAGGCTTGCTGGGCGTTCGCAGGAAAGGCCCTCTAATAAAGAGTTTCCTACGCAAGCACGTGGCAAGGTACATCGCTGCGCACCTTAGGTGAGGCACGCAGGTTCTGTCACGTGACTATGTATATAGCCGCTGGCTTCTTATCAGTAATCATCACGTGCGCACTCTTGCGTTATTATTTGCAGCGCACAAATCGTAATGCCTGGGCAGCACCCGCGGGCAGTGTGTGGCCACCACCAGTGACCACTTAATTAGTACTAACAACTGACCACTGACCACCCGTTCGCCCCTCCAAGTTCCAACCTCGACCAGGTGCCTCCGTCTCGTCTCCTGCATGTTCTTTCCATCTTCCAACCAAATCCCTTCCTCTCTATCCATAACACCACTTTCATCTTTCCAAGGTCACGTAAGAGGCGTGCTCTCATCTCCTCGCTGTCACCCATCCTTGACTTGTTCTTCTCCAAGCCAATCCGGGTTTCCGCCCCTTGTTTCTGCCGCGAGTCATTTTATACGAAACGTCCGTCCTGTGATCTGCACAATCTGCCCAGCCCTGCGACCGATATAATCAACAAAGTGTCATCCTCCGGCGCGCCTCAAGCCTTTTTACACAGTACACGCTTTTTCAGGATCCCACGGCCTGATCGCGGGCGGTCAAATTTTGCAACCCTAAGCCGGTGTGTGCTCGCTTAGTTAATTCATCGCTCCCAGACGCCGATCTGACGTCGCCCGGACCAGCCGAATCTTCCGTGCCATCCTACGCTAGACGCTCAGCATCCCAGCCTCACTTAAAAATAACGACATCATCGAGGCCGACAGGGCTTTCCTTCAATGAGTCGAGCTTGAAGAGAGAATGGAACAGCCTGACCATTGTCTATAGGACTTCTCTCTCTCTCTCTTTTTGCCCCTCTCCCCTCAGCAACTAACGCCTCAAAATGCCGATGCGGCCCAACATGCTCAAACGGGTACGTAGCCACACGAACCGACAATCTCTGAGCGACCTGGTACACGGCAGAGGAAATTCGCCGCATCCTCAACCAGACACCATCTCCGGCCACAAGCAAATCGAAGAGGAAACTCTGCCCAAATACAACGCGGATAATTTCTATCCGGTTCGCTTAGGTGAAGTCTTGAATGACCGGTATAAGTTATGTGTGAAGTTGGGCTTTGGCATGACTGCAACAGTCTGGCTCGCCCGGGATCTGCATGCGTATGTGTCCTGCATCTAAATTCCAGATGTCCAACTAACCGGCAAACAGTGAGCAAAGTGCTGGCAACCACAAATATGTCACCATCAAAATCAACGTCAACACCTTGAGCGAGGACTTCCTGAACGGCCGGCGCGAAATTGCACAGAAGCTTTTTTCGGCCAACCCTGATCATCCAGGCTACAACCACATCCGATTTATGCGCGACACCTTCAAGATCAGGAATCGCCATGGCGAGCATCTTTGCATCGTTTATGACGTCCTCCGTGAACCCATTGATGCATGTATGGAGAAATTCCCCGGTCGACGTTTCAACTCTGAGAAACTCCGCAAACTCTTGCCCGCTCTTCTCAAAGGTCTCGATTATCTCCACACAGAATGTGGGGTGGTGCATACCGACCTCAAAGCAGACAACATCATGATGGGTCTAGGTGACCCGACCATTCTCGATCGGTTTGTGCAACGTGAAATCGATCACCCGTCGCCGCGAAAAATGCCAGACTCTCATGGCCGAATCATCTACACATCATGCAGCGACTTTGGCGAGGCTCCTACAGACGTGGTCATTGCATCCGCCAAGATCACTGATATTGGTCTAGCAGCGTGGGGAACCGGCAAAAACACCAAGCCAATCCAATCCAATGCCTTCATGGCCCCCGAGGTCATATTACAAGCTGGCTGGTCGTATCCTGCCGACATATGGAATCTAGGGGTGATGCTGTGGGATCTTTTCGAGACCTTTGGCCTATTTGACGCCATGGACACGAGACCGGGCCATTACCGCCCAGAGAAGCACCTGGGGTTGATGATAGCGCTGTTAGGCCCGCCGCCAGTAGAGTTCCTCAAGCGAGGAGCCAAGTCGTCCCATTATTTTGACAACGACGGCAAGTTCAAATATCCGGACTACATCGACAAAGAGATATCTTTTGATTCTTCGATTCAAAGGCTCAGGGGAGAAGAAAAGGAGTTGTTCCTCGACATGGCTCAGCATATGATCTGTTGGGTGCCCGAAGAACGGTGGACAGCCAAGCAGTTACTGGAGCATCCCTACCTGACCAAGGAACGAGATTACATTCCCACACCAGGCAATTTGTCTCGTGCTTCGACCGCATCATTCCAATCCATCATTCCGTCGCGGACTGGAACTCCGAATCCAGCACCATCGAATTCAGTATCCCGACGGACGTCGAACCTGGAAAGGATACCTTCGCGCGAGTACTTGGTACCCAATGGAATGGGGACGTCGCCGGACAAACCATCCTCGAGACCTACCACGCCGGCCACTTCCACTATGACGCTACCGCATCATGTGAAGAGAAGCGATGATAAGAATGGCTCTTCGGCGATGACGAGTCCCGGAGGACACCTTGCACTCAGTCACAATGTTGCGAACAAGTGCTCACAGGACCTCATCGATTCGATTCTGAGCAAGGGAAGGAACCATAACGGCCAGAACGGCCAGAACAATGGTACAACTCGCTCATCGATGGACTGCAACAATACGCCGACCAAGTAATGCATACTGGCTGAATTGGGAATGGCCCTGTCGATTTTATAGTTGCTGGATACCCGTCTGTACGGAGCCTGGGGGGTTTTATAGGGCATGGTTGTACGGAGTTCACGGCGTGCTGGATCCCAGATGGGCTGTCCAGCAGAGCGCTTGTTCGGAAATTTGGCTGGCCTTCTTGAGCGAGCACCTTTTCATGTGGAAACTACATGGGCTCAGAAAAGCTGCATCGGTGGGTTTGGGCGGGCAGCCGAGACCGAAGTCGAGCATCTATGTTTTTTTGTCTGGTACGGCAAGTGAAAGAATGCATCACGCTCGCCCACACGCTTCCTTGAGCGTACAGAGTATAGATGTTGGTCCAGTTCCTCTTTTCCCCTAGGCACTAGTATCTACCTAGCTACCTGCCTGCGTGCATGTGTCATATGTGCCTCTTACCGTGTCTTGTTTCAGTACAAACCTACAAAATCTCACAGTATTCTCCTTTTCCCTGTGGGGACTACTGCCAGTGCTCTCTCTTCGGAGGGCTCGGGAGGAAGACGCGCCAGGTGTGTGTGTGTGTGTGCAAGGAGGATTGCGGTGCGGTGCGGTTCGGTTCGGGTTGGACGAGGGCGTGGCACGTTCTCGTCTGCATCAGCTCCCACGTCCCATGACTGTCATGTGTTCAGGAGTCGCCGTCCTTTCGAGGGGGGCGATGACAGATTGGGGTTTCTTGTTCTTGTTTGACGGCGTCGAATCACTGCGCAGGATGAAGGTGCGTGGGTGTTGTGTAAGGGAAGAGATGTTTGTGCAGGTTGACGAATGAGGCCACGGCCGGACCAAGCGTGCGAGTTGTGCCACGACGTGCCTAAGTAATAGTAACGCGCCGAGGGGGGGAGGCTCACTAGGCTCACTAGGCTTAAAACTTTGGGGACACACTCACCTGCAGGTAGGCACTAACTAGGCCTCACTAACTTAGTTAGCCTGCAACAGTTAAGCTTGTTAAGTTAAGGGCCACAGGCAGGGCAGTGTGGGTTTCATTTAGGCGAGTGTGGCTGGATCGGAAGGGAGAGGTGAGGAGAGGAGAGGAGAGGAGAGGAGGAGGATAACAATGCGAAAGAGAAATTGGGGAACTGGCACGTGACTAGGAAAAGAAAATATATACCCAAATATCCAAAACAAAGGCGGTCAGCCGAATTGGGTGAGTGAATTTGCCTTATGAGGAAATATAGCGGCAGTAATTTTTCTCTTGCTGGTACAGTAAAGTCTCTAGAAGGTGACGTCGGCGACGTGTCAAGTCGGCTTCTCTCACTATCCCCAGGTTTATTGCGCGGGCAGCGTACGTACCTTAGGTAGGTGGTTATATTGCCAAGTTTTGTGTCTTATCCTACGACTTTGGCCGCTGAACTTCTTCTTTGTCCTCCCTCCTCCCTACTATACTCCTTCCTTGACCTTTTGCGGGCGGTGAAAGCTGTGGTGGGCGTTTTGAAGATACGTAGTCATTATCCCTCGATGGCGGCCCAGCCAGGGGTCTTTTCGTTCGTGTTTTGATCAGCATTTGGTGGTTGGGAAGCCGCGTTCATGGGTCGATTTCCTCGGCATAACGGGGCACGTGTCGATGATCGACGGGCAGGGTTACGGGACGGTGTTGCGTCGTCAAAGCGCGTCGTCGGTGCCGGCGGAGATGGTCACGGTTATGGGCATGTCATTCTGAACCTCCCCATGGCGTTGAGCTGCCCCAGGAGGCATAAGTTCAGTCCAGGTCAGCGAGGCGCTCGGTGAGTTGGGCTGATGGTAGGTGGTGGTCCGGCCCTGTGGCACCGAAAATCCTGAAACGAGCAACGAACTAGCTAATAGGTACGGATTATCAGATTTTGTTTTGTTGGTGTTAGGTTCAACAACAATTGCAGATGTGGTAAATTCGTTCACCGGATCCCCGTCCATAGACCGTGGAGGCTCTCTCTGGGGGGTGCTACGGGAGGGTTTCGCGATCAGCACCACATATGAGAGTGTGTCTTGTCTACCAATTCCGATCCGGCCTCTACTTGGTCCACATCGAAGGAGTCCAGAACAACCATCCACACGACGCGCCAGGAGGACCGCAATCATACTGCGCCGGCATCCACGGGGATTTGTTTTCCGTCGGTTGCAGGACTGGACTTGGTTGCTACTTTCTGACTTCTTACCCTTAACCGTCAACATCCAGGCGACAAACATCAGGGCGCGCACAGTCGGGGTTGTTATATCAGGTGTCACCGCTTCTTTGAGCCCTGCACACCACAAGGCTCCTACTGGCTCCTGCTGCAGTAGAGAAGCGACCACCTACTCAGACCTGCCCCGGGTGCTAATAAGGCGGACTGCAGACGCTTCCCAGCGCCTTCGACAAAAGACACGCATGGATCGGAGCAATGAGAACGATCCAAGGGCGAACAGTCGTGCTCCACCATCTGCATGTCGGCTATGAGAATGCCAGACCGCCATGTGCATCTCCTACGAAGATCTGGCTGCCTTTCTACCTTATTATATCCGGCCTTTGCTTGGTTGAACTGTGTGTCTTCGCAGATACACTTTTGGGGGGAGTGTCCCCTGCTCCAGACTCCGGCTCTGCTTTTTGAAATTGTCCTGACAGGCATCTCGCTTGTATGCAACATGTCTGAACCTACCGGTCTCATTGAGCTCTACCGTGGGGAAGATCCTGTCGTTGAGTCTGTTTCCCTCCGAAGAGCACCCATGGGGTAATGCCTCCCTTACTAACCATGCAAGAGTATAGTTGCGGTTCATGGTCTCAATGGCCATCCGCTGCGCACATGGACCACAAAGTCCGGAAAGTGCTGGATGAAGGAGCCAGACATGCTACCGGCACATCTGAAGCAGTCGAGGGTTCTGACTTACGGCTACAACGCGGACGTGCTGTCGGTTCTGGGCAAGGCTTCTGACGATCGCATCCTCGAACATGCCCATACACTTGTCGCCGAACTGGTTGCCGATCGCCAGGTGAGGTCCATCTCTGACCAGGAGATATTGGGGGGCAGTCTGACATTGACCACTCGTTGTACAGTTGGACAAAGCTGCTCGGAGGCCCCTCATCTTTATCTGCCATTCGCTTGGAGGGATCATCGTCAAAAGAGTAAGTTAGGCAGGCATTTTCCTTGCCTCACCCGCATACTAATGGCCATTTGTTGTTCAGGCGAATAGTCCTCTCACATAGCCGTACGGCTCGATCCATCGAAACCATGCACTCTATCTTTGTGTCTCCCTGCGGAATATTGTTTTTTGGGACGCCACGTGATGGCAGCGACAAGGTGAAACTGGCCTCTTATTCACGGCCATTGATGGATGCTGTGATACCGTCCAAAGTCTGCGACACCACCGGGTGAACTTCTCGATGCCCTCAAACCAGGGTCGCAAGTCTTGAAGGACATCACCGACATGTTTGCTCCGCTGATGAAGAGATTTCGCATCTTCTTCTTCTGGGAGCAGGAGAAGACCAATCTAGGTGCGACGACAGATTATGTGAGTGTATTCAACTGTGCTTTTGGCCAGTTTTAGACTGCCGCATGGGATAGTCCTCGTGGCTGACTGTATGCAGATTGTCACTGAGTCTTCGGCGGCGCCCATCCTCGACGGTACGGAGCGTTGTGGTCTTGCTTATGATCATCGACACATGTGCAGATTCGAGTCCCGGACTTCGCCTGGATACAAAGTCGTAGTTGCCGCATTGATGCGTTATTCTGAGGATGCTGGGGCAATTATCGCCCAAAGATGGCTGAACAACGACGCAACACTGAGTTCAGTGCGTGCAGGTGAAGCTGCAGAGCTCTTCCAAACAACCGATCCGCGTCCGTTTGTGGATGCTGGAGAGAAATCGCATTGAGAAGCTTGTAATCTGGTTCAGAAATGTCAAGAGTGCATTTCAACCTTGCAGCCTTCAGTGATGGACATGACCAGTGTCATTGTTTGCTTTTCGACGCCTGTCACCTCCACCCGCTCGGTGGAAGGCAGTCTAATGACCGGGAAGCGTTGCATCAGGCGAACAATGGTGTATGCCGCTTCGGTGAGGGCAAAATCCACTTACCAAACGTGTCAGCTCTGCGACCATTGTCCAAAAGATCTCAGTCAATCAGGAAGAAGCACTTACTTCCCAGGCAGATCCTTGGTCCGCCATTGAAGGGCAGATAACCCCATTTAGCATCCGTAGAATTGCGATTTAGAGGCATGTCCTCGTCCCATCTTTCGGGACGAAAGCCCTCGGCGTCCATTCCGTAAAGATCTGGTCTGCGATGCAAAGCATAAACGCAATATGCAACAGCCGCGCCCTTGGGGATGAGCACAGGAGATTTGCGATCCGAGCCACCGCCGGTAGGTAGTATGGTGGTTCTCGTTGCGGTGCGGGTGTTGACTGGCACGGAGGGGTACAGACGAAGTGCTGCGGACGATTAGCAGATCCAGACTAGAGTCGCTTGACCATGGGGCGTGGCAAGAGAGTCACTCACTCTCCTTCAGGACATTCTGCAGATATTTCATTTCTCTGAGATCATTTCTGGTGAGCTCTTCTTTCCCCTCACACGCATCCTTGATCTCCACGCGCAGCTTGTCGAGGGCACGTGGATAGCGAACTAGTAAGAAGCTGGGAACAAGTGTCAGCGGTTGGATGATGTGCAAGATGTGGTGTCTGAGGGTGTCTTACAAGGTCCAAGAAAGCAGGCATGCCGTGGTATCACGGCCAGCGACCAAAATGTTGATGATCTGGCTTCTGAGAGCATTTCGATCTGGGATGATCTCTGATACTGTCTTCAGAAACGTGTGTCTCTCTTCACCAGTGGTGCCACATTTTTCCTGCGCCAAGTTTTGTTTGATGATCCAATCGGCGAACTTGTGAACATCGGCGCATGCTCGTTGGAATTTGGGACCGCCTATGAGCCAGTAGAAATCCAAGAGCCGAAATCTCTTTGCCACATATTCTTGCGCGATGTTGAAGGCGTCGGCAAAAGTTTGCTCCCCAGCCGACTTTGGTGCTCTCAGACTTCGCACAGATTCTCCGAATAGGAACGCAGTGGTGGTGTCTAGAGTGAGCCGGAAGAACAAAGGCTGAAGGTCGACGACTCCTCCAATGGACGGAATCGCGGTCAAGAGATCCTCGATGGCGTCGCCAAACACTCCCAGATTGTCATACTGCTTGTGCGCAAACTGCGGTCTGAGCAATTCTCGGGAATGCTTCCACGCTGGCCCCTCTTGAGTAAAGATGCCATCGCCGAACATTGGGAATGTAATCGCCCTTCTTAGTCCCATGCTGTAATCTGAACACATTTCAGCCGTTGTTGTGGACGAAAGCAGGGCTGCAGGGTACCTTTGAAATTGGTGCTCAGGATCGCTTCCAAGTTGGCGGGATCGATGGTTCCAAAGGCTTGGGTGCCCAGGAAAACTTGGTCCAAGGTATTTCCAGTCTGTCGAAAGTGGAGGAGAAAAAGCTCCATCAGTCGTGATTCCGTGTTGGCCCTGAAGATCTGTTCAAGGCGGTCGATGCCGAGTGGCCGTTGATTCTGAAGTCTGGGTGGTGGTAGGCAGCCGTGACGTTGCGCCAGCTGCTGCTCCTCCTTCTAAGACATCGTCGGTAAGAAAAGATCTACTTGAAAGTCATCGTGCCTTGCCAACTCACTCGACATTGTGTATGGCTTTGAAATCGATCGCCAACGAATCGAAAAAGCAAAACGGAGAATATTGCAAGCACGACGTATGTGCACATCATGCTTCACGAACAACCGACATACACTGACATCAGGGTAGTAGTATGGTCGTTGAGAGATGAAGAAGAAAAGCACCTTGAGGAGAAGTTGCCTTCCGCGCGAGACTCCATGTGGCTTGCTGTTGTCTCTGGAGTCCCCAACCCCGTCACATCGCGTCACTCGATTTGTGGGATCGATGGCAGATGACAGCTGGAGTTGCACCAGATCTCTGAGAGGGGTTCACAGGCCGCGAAGGAGGAGCTGATGGAGTTGATAGAGCTAAGCATGGCTAATAAGTTAACTAATTGGCCGCCCGGATGATCTTCTGCTTTAGGCGACGGAGCAGCCCGTAGGTTAGCGCCTCGGCTATCTCCCGAGGGTCAATTGGGGGGCAGATTCGAGATGCCAGCAAGCAGTGACTCCCACAGAAGAGACCGGCGGTTGCGGAAAACGTAGTCACGAACGTCCTTACGATAAGAAAACGACCACTAAAAGCGTGCGTACTACTTGTGGTCCATCAACGATCTGTCTAATGTCCCGTGCGAGAGGAAGCGAGCTCGATCGTCTCAGTGGTTAATCAATGACTTTCTCTACTGTGGTTTCTACCGGCAGCAACAAATCAGGATTCGATGGCAACGTTCAGAATTTGTAGACACCGGGAGCCCAGTTTCCTTCGCCTTGCTCCGCAGCGTTGATAGTCTCCAGGATGCGCTGCAGGATCATCTCAATGGTGGGAGGACCTTGCTGACCAGGCGACTTCTTGCTCGTATCGGCGAGGAAAATAGGTATCGGCCTGACACCCTGGGCAGCACTCTGTATTTCTTGGACGTCTGGCGGGGCGAAGGCACCGATGATGATCAGCGAAATATCGGTACGGACATCGCCCGTGGCGTTGCTGCCTAAGCCCGACGAGGGCGTGATCTTGTCCCCTTTGAGGAGAGCTGGGATCTCAGAGAGTGCCGCCTCGGTATTCGCACACACATGGACAACTGAGACTTTTCGTTAGCCGGAAAGGGCATCTTCAAGTGTATTAAGGGCGCAAAGTCCCGTCGTCTTTTTTGTTTCGCACCGGGAGTAGTCCATACCTTGTATTTTCGATGAGAGATACTCGATCAAATGTGCTGCATGGGACGGGTCTCTGCCGCAGAGAATGGCAGCTGGAACCATTGTAATCGTACTGTTGTATCGACTTTCCTCTGGCTGAAATCTGCGTTGCTCTCTCAAAGACTGATAGGCTTGACGTTTGGTTTGAATAGAGCTGAGGATGACAATTCGCTGGCAGCACTCTGGAAGAGGAGTTGAGTAAAGAAAGTGCGAGGGAAGGAAAAGGGAGCTGAAATGCCTCACTTAAATAAGAGTTCTACACCTCACCTCGCCCATGTGAAGAAAATACAAAGGAAGCGGTGAAACAAGGCGTCCGGAGTCCAGTTGTGTACGACGAGTTTTGATAGGGGACAACAACCGGCTGGCTGCATAAGGATTCGCCGGCGGCGGCGGGGAGTTGAGCTTCGCCAATGTCAGATTTTGCTTGCTGGGGCCAAAATGCAAGCATCGTCAATGACTGGGCGGCCTGGGAATGTTTGAGTTGGGGGAGAAAGAGAGGTAATGGGTTAAGAAAGGGTGTGTGTAGTTGTTCTGTGCCATCGAATACTATCAAAACAGCCTGCTTTCGCTGATATCGTGGTGTAGATACTGTACGTAGCTGACGAGCTGACTAGGATCTGGTGTTACTTGTTGCTTAGGGACGTCAGAAGTCTGCTGGAAGGCTAGTGGACAGGCTAGCATGGAGATTCCCGTACGGCTGTTCCGGATCTCTCCCAGCATATGCTTGAGTTGAGATCATGAGTACTACTAACTACGTAGTAGTACCAGCATCTCAAAGTCTTCAAGCGGCTGTAAAAGCAACGGACCTCGCCGATGTATTTCGTGCGACTGTTTCCGCTGCAACGAACAGATGCTTGACTCGCCTACTTGCTTTCGGTGTTCTGCAGGTCGACCAATATCTTGCACTGCAAGAAGCCAATCAATTCCAGGGGTGTTTTTGCGCGATTGTGAATGCCACGTTAGTACTGAGGAACGACGGTGCGCTCTGTATGCGATTTTCTTGTTTGGGACTTGGGTAGGTACTCTGGCAGCATTACTAGGTCATGGCAGCAGACCGGCCTCTTGCGGGCATGGCCACTGCACGTCCACGTCTCCAGCCAACACGCTGTGAGGACTCAGCCGCACGATAAGTACCTCACAGACACGGGCGGAGACGATCTTGCCACGACAGCCGTCATGCGACGCCGGGTCATGTAGATCTTGCATTTGGGCCCTGCGGAGAAACGGATGGATATAGCGTTTGAAGTGGAAACGAGGGCTGCAGAAAACCCTCCGATGTGGACCATGCGTCCAGCTGTCAATGCAAGGAACTTCGACTTGGAAAGACACGAACACGTCCCTCCAGTCGGAGAAGGCTTCATGCATGGTACTTGGTGAGAGAGGCTGCGCGTGATGACATATGACGAACAGTTGCGATGCCACGAACGACAGGGCGAATCGGACGGGTGCTTGTTGGTTAGTGTGGCGTGCAGTGCAGTCAATGCAATACTCCCACGATATGTACTGTATGCCAGCTGGAAGCTTCGTATTGGCAACGGAGCCGGAGTCTCGGTGGATGGTATAAGGCAACTGACAAACGACGATTAAGGGCTACTGCACAGCGCTTGCTGGTGGATATGGTCACACGGTTCAGGCACGGCACAACAAAGCACAGCACAGAATCAATCGTGCGCCGTTTGATAATAGTACCGTGCTGGCAGATTCGCGGCAATGCTCGTCCCCAGGTTCGTCGAGATTGAATGATGACTGTACGGAGGTGAGTTAAAGCCCGAGTGTCCATCATGGTCTACCACAGCCACCACAGTAATTCAGCTGAACAGAGGTGACAGAACAAAAAGGGTGGTGGAAGCAAAAGTTCCGCCAAGTTCGAGCTTCCTCTTCCTAAGTTCCTCGATGGTGGAGAAAGAAGGAAAGAAAGATTGCAGGGGCTTTGGGCACGCGGCAGTCAAAACGTGAAGCGGGTGCAACCATCCATCAACAAGCAACTCCACTGCCCTGCACCGCCTAATCTAAGCCGCCGCCTCACCCGTCACTTGCTGATTGGGACCCAAGGCTGTGCCGATCACACCAAGATGCGGTCCACCATTGGGCGCTCTGCATGACGATCTTAGCGACGAATGCATGCTTGCAAACAGCTGATCGGGGGAAGGAGGGTTCTCATAGAATTCCTTGCCCGGTTGCTGTGGACGCTGGATGAACAAGTAGACAAGCAGGCGAGGAACACTACGTGAGACGCTTACACAGTGCAACAACAAAAGCAGTAGATACCAGTATCGGTAAGCTTAGTAAGGAACTGGATTGTCCATTCCAGGCATGTCCACCATTTATCGATACGTTGCCGATATCCAACAATCGATAATCACTAGCCAAAAAGATACTTACAGTATCATGATGGCCTGAAATAGTTAACTACAAGTACCTAGGCTAGCTCATAGCAATAGTTGATACAAAAGACTTGCGTCCTGCCCGTTCTCTCTATTCTTCAATATTGTGACAGTGCCATTAGGCAATAAGAGGTCGGGAAAGTAGCCAATTCCTCCATAACGGTCCCAGCATGCCCATGATAGCCCTTGAATCCATCGTGACAAAAGAAATGCCCTTTGCAGGGTGTACGCACATGCCCATGCCCTTCAAGAGTGGTGATGCCTCACATGCTCAACCGTATCCATGCTGAACTCCGTCGATGCCCAGATAACTCAATAAGTAAAACTCCCTCGCTTGGTATCACATTCTTGATGTCTCCGCTACAAAAGAAAAGGTCGTACAGTCTTTGAGTGGGACGAGCACCAGGCTCGTTTACTTCCATCTGTTGTGGCTCATGCCTGCGCTCCGTACGGGATCGTCTCGGGTAGTTGTGTGGTGGTGGATGACGACAACCTCGCGCTTAGGAACTGGTCGAGGCTCTTTGCGATCTCGACCGTCTCTTCGTGGGTTGTGGTAGATTCTCTCGCCACTGCTGCTGGAGCCAGACGTGCTGTGGTAATGAGGCATCTTGTCGGGGGTAGTGGTAGTGGTATTGATTTTGGTTTTGTTTGAGGTAGATTGGTTTCGCGATGGTGACGAGGCTGGCTCGTTCAACCCGATGTGCTCTTGAGATATTTCCGTAGCAAAAGCCTTCGTTATGACGTTGTAAGCCGGAAGAAACGTGAGGTTTGTTCGATCCCAGATATGTAATAAGTAGTTCTGGAGTCCAGGGCTGGAACTTGTGGCGAGTGTTCTAAAAGTGGTGGTGGTGGATGGATTGGTGGGGGCGGTTTTTTGAGAATGTTGCAAGGGGGTTGATGAGTTCGGGAGTGTTTCCGATGGTCTGGCTTGATGGTGGTGATGACGGGGATGGAAAATGGAAAGGAACTCCCGACCGATTTATAGTACTCAATGCTCAAGAGTCACAGCGTAGGAATCAGGCTCAGCCTGGCATTGATCAAAGGATGGTGAGTATTAGGCAGAGAAGAGGCTAGCATCAGGCAACTGAACTAAGCCCTCTTCGTGACTCAGATGACGAGGACAAAGGGAGTACCACCACGTAGCCAAAAGCAGAATGGCAGCAGCGGTAGTATCCGTAACAAGGCGAGGTGGGCGAAGAGCTGGAACCGTGATGGTGGGTTGGATGCGAAACAATACACAGTCTAGCAGCAGGCTGTGGAATTGGGTTCAGGCAACACACGGCAGACGTTGATGGATTGTCAGTCAGCCAGCCAGCCAGGGAAGCCAATGGAATGTGGAATGATTTCCTGGATCCATTGGGCAGCCAGCTGTTGACTTCTTTGCAGGATTGAGTCAGATTTGCCCGCGTCCGGTGCCGCGAGTTGGAAATAGAACAAAATGGAACAAACACTGAGACTCTGGGAGAGTGATTCTTCGTAAACACCGAAAGGGGCGGCCGAGATGACGTGCGACAAGCAAATCAAGGGCAACGGATTTGGGATGGAAAGGAGCAAGGGCCATTCAGGGCTCGTCAAGACACAGGGCTAGCCTAATTGGAAGCGTCGAAGCTCACCTACCACAGTTATGGATGCTCCTGTCGCCAGGCGCGTCCCAGGGAACGAAGGGCGCTACCGGCTTGTCTCGAGCCTGTCAGAAACCCACAGAGGAACCATCATGGACCGTGGGCCCCGTCTGCCACAGTACCAAAAGCACTCACCTATCGTAAAGCTGCCGTTCCTGCAGCAAGAGGAGCATCATGGAGCAACCAAAGTGCCCACCAGAGACAATCAATCATGCAGCATTCCTTTTGCCACCTCGTATCTCTGTTTCCCGGAGCATACTTTTTGAATGGTCGTAGGCCAGATATGACAAAGCCCATCAAGCTGATTTGATGCATTCCTTCTGTATCGCCGAAGCGTCGCCAGGGGGATTGCCCAGATGACCACAGCCCATCATCCGGAGGTTGGCGAACTCTTCTGAAACCGCCAGCCTGCTCCTCTTACCGTAAGGGACTGGGCCAAGAGCGATGCGACACCTGTTTCACGGATGACTGCTGAGCCACGACTCCAACGCCCCATTGCTGGTCCACGCCTGCGCCACCTCTCGTCTCTCGTGGCCGTGATTCTTACCATCTCCTCCAGCGAAGTTAGCCAAAGTTCCCTGCCGCCCCAACATTCCAGTAAAGCAAGCCCAGCCGCCCTTGACATGCGCGGTATCTAGGACAAGAAGCATCCCACGTAGTCGATCTTTGGACTTTTCGAGTTGAGCAAGCCTCGTCGACGCCCAACGGTGGATGCCAGCTCCGCCGCCAGAGCCCCAGGGCTCCAGCACAAACGCCACTACGTCGCGCTCGGCACCTCAATAAGGCAGCAAACTTCAACTTAGCAGCCGAAAGCCGCATCTCAAAAGATCTTGTCCCACGTCGATCCCTCCATGTTGGACTCAAGGTGAGGCGAGAACCGAAGTTGACTTCAGCCAGGCGCTGCTAGCGACAAGTTGTTACATCACGTGGACCTCCTCGTTTGTGAAGCTCAACATGCACCATGGCACTCCACGAGACCGCGTATAGCCGTGAGGATGGCGCATTGGACAGCTACGAGTAGCATGAGCCAACCAAGATAGTGGCGACTGCTTTCCCTGTTCTCATTTCCCAGACTACAGTATGCTAAAGCATGAAAGGAGTCGATTTCTGCCCAACGATGGTGCAGATCGCCGAGACTTTGGATCACACTCCCGCTTCTATGGGACGCTACCTCTCATGCACCTTCACAACTACTAGTACATGGAAGACTCGGTTGATGCATGATCGACGAACTCGGTCACACGGATAACGCCTTCAGTCATGCCTTCATCACCGGTCTCCGTCTTGGGAACTTCCCGACCTGGTTCTGCGTCACTCTGCATCGACCGCCGCCTTTTTCTCCTTGTGCCAACGTAAGTCTTGGTTGTGTTGTGCTAAGAACTAAGTTCGGAAGGGTTTGCCTGGTCGTGAGCAGGCAAGGCTATCACTCTGCCACTAGGGGTGGTTCCGGACTACGGAGTCGTACACAAAGCTTTGGCACACCGAAGTGTGCTTGATACCTTTTCCGTGCTATAGCGACCCACGCTCATCTCTCAGCTTCTGAATGCTCTATGCAAGGGCTGTTGCTTCTAGTACGAATCCACAGTCGCCCGGTGAGTCTGGCACGAGCATACCTCCAACGATTTCCGGTGTCCCGGCTTGTGTACGCCATCAGGCCAATGCATTTCTTTTTGATCACACCACTGTCCAGCAAATTTACAACAATGGTGCCCGACTGCAGTGCAATGCCACGATCTCCACCTGGGCAGGAAAGACACTGACGGACAAACGACCAGAGGCTAGCCTACATTGCCCTCATTCATGCAAGCTGATTTCAGTACATGACTTCCTTGAAAGCATGACGTCTTCTACAAGCGCTGGAGAAGCCTAATAGGACCCGGGACCTCGACACGGGGCGCTAGGTCCATGCCTGTTTTCGTGCTTGAGGCCCGTCCTTGCACCGAGATGAGGCGGGGGTGGGTCACTGTTTGGCAGAGGACGGTCGGCCAGATACCGCAGCTAGCCTGTACAATTCTGGCCGAGAGGCGCCGTGGTCTGCACGCTGACTTCACCGGTTGACGACTAATCGGTGATTTGTTTGAGCCAAACTCCACGAAGAAGATGCTATGTCTTTAGCACATGGTGACTGATGTCATATCGGGCCACGCCCCTTACCAGACACGCCCCTTACCAGAATGCCTCACCCGAGCGCTGGGTGTAGATACGTCCGACGTGTTCAGAGGCGGAGTTGCGGCAGGCTTCGTTTATCCGGACAAGCTACCAAGAGCAGCAGGCCGATCTCAAGAAATGTGGGAAAGAACAGACGCCCTCTTTTATTCATGCGAGCGAGTTTCTTCCCCTGGCGGTCAGGTTAGCTCTCGTCGCAGCAGCGCCTCTCGAACGGACATGACCAGGCATATTCCTTTCCCGTCCTAGTCGTCGCTCAAGCATGCTGGACAGCCCATATTGTTACAGGACTTACATGCCAAATATCCGTCCACAGTCCTGGGGGTCGCCTCATTAAGCCATTGAGACTTTCCAACGGTATCAGAATGTTGACTACACAAATGGTGACTTGATTTCTAGGAGACCATCGTTATGAAGAGACTTCCATCCTACACACAGCGTAGACAAGTGAAGATGGAGGCCCGACGAAGGTTGTTCTTATTACACATATCTACCTCGAATACCCATTCAGACACTACGGTGTCCATGAACAGACGTGCCCACTGAAGAAGACATCGTGCGCACATACATACAGTCATGTAGAAGTTGACTTTTGTTTCAATCGGCCAGACACACGAGTATTACCTCAAGATCTGCCTTACAAAAATGCCACGATGGCCAAAAAAAGACTTCCCAACATTCCCGTGGCTGAGACCGCATAGCTGCCGGTAGCCGCATTTCCCGACGCAGTTGAGCTGCTTGAGGCCGTTGCGGCCGAACCTGCAGCTGAAGTGACGGTGCTAGCGGCGCCCGTTGCTGAACTGCGGTAGGAAGAGGCAGCGCCACTGGCAACACTCAAGGCGCTGGACTCAACAGAACTGGCACTGGACAAGATGCTGCTGACCCGGCTACTGACGCTGCTTCGTACAGATGGAGCCTCAGACGCGGCGCTGGAGGCAAGGCTCGAAGCCAATGATTCGGCCGATGATGCGACGGAAGAAGCCTCAGACAGGGCAGAAGACACCACAGATGACACACTGGGCTGTACGCTGCTAACGATTGAAGATGCCATCGATACGGCGGAAGAAGCTGCACTTCCTGCGGCTGATGCCGCACTGCCAGCAACAGACGTCCCCTCGCTGACGGCCGAAGATGCAACAGACGCCCCCTCACTGACGGCCGAAGACGCAACAGAGAGTGCTGAGCTGACGATCGAACTGATGTCTTGAGCGGTGGCGACTGCCGCAAAGGCCAGGAACAAGGGCTTCGATAGATGCATGTCGAGGACTGCTTCGTAGGCGATAAGCGAGAGATTTGCTTTTGGGTGTGACGGAAAATTTCTTGAGACGGAGCCGGATGACGATGGTAAGGGTGAGATACTACGAAGAATGATGTTTGGAATGAGGTTTATATCTGCAATGTTATCAGCTGGAGTGTGAAGGGGGCCTGAGCAAATAATCAGCCACGTTCAGTGATGTGTTCACGTCACAGCCTCCTCAGCCTCGGGCCTTGTGGCAAATGACATATGTCTCAGCATACAGATACAGTTACGAGCTCGTGCATGTAAGGCCCTCTGTGCATACGGAGGACGTGGCTCGAACGATGAGTGCAGGTTTATGCGTCTTGGGAGCACAACGGAGTATTAAAGCAGTCCTAATTGGTCTGCCTCGCCCGTTATCACGCTCAGCCTCCTCGAGAGGCCACGCAAGCCTCTACGGCAAAGTACTGGAACAGCAACGACATCACTAATTTACTGGGTACTGCGCACTGCGGACTGGGTGTGTCCTCCGTATACTCCATATTTGCAGAGTTATCGAAAGCACCGACACTGTTTCTATTTCTGGACCACGCCCTCCTCGATATCTGCCGGTCAACCTTGTCTTCTAACTCCTGGCAAATATGGTGCTTGTAGCGACTGATATCGCTGCATCGTTCCTCATTGAGCCATAACATCGCGTGTCAGGCCACGGCCTAGGTACAATGATGGTACTATCATTCTCATGACCGAATCGTTGACGTTGGCGTACCACGGAGCTTCCCAGGGGTGCTTAGCAGAGTCGAAGCGTACCTGGGTACTCCGTATCCTCGCTGGGCCTTGTCGGGGAATTCCCGCCCGGAGCAATGTCGCGCGAGAATCGGTAAATCGAATCATCAAATGTATGAGATTTGCTCTCCACGAACGTCTCGATCCCCAGTCGGGACGGCTCTTTCATTCCTGCTGCCAGTTCTTGAGCTGATTTCTGACGCCAACTGTGGAATTTGATATATATATATATATATATATATACATATACTATCACGGCGTGCAGCTTGGAGTCTACTGACACCATTGTCCATGCTTAAACGGTTGATCAAACTGCCGAGCATACCTAATCCCAAAAGGACGAACCCTCAGGGGCTCCCTGATAGGTTTCAGTAGTGGGCACTCTCGCACTCTGGAGGACCCAGAAACGAGCGATCTTCAGACTTCCGGGTCTTTTCCTCTGAACTTCTACTCCGTAGGTGACAAATTTATTTTCTGTCAGAGGCACTTTGTCCAAAGAAATCTCGTCTACGCAACAATGCAGACAAGCGAGCCACTGCCATTGATGATGCGCAATTTGAGCTGATTACCTTACAAGGACATTTTTGGGGGCCAACTATATCACCTTTGCTGCCCAGATTCCCTCCCTGTCTTCTGTTCCTCTCGACTTCGCCCCCATCCATCGCTTTTTCTACGTCAGAGGTCAGAGGGCCCTCAATTATTCAGCCCTATCCTGTACTCGTACATACCTCATGCAACCTGAGATCTTGGTATCTCATATCCTGTGCCGTCTTACTGTTGTTGGCTTGAACGTGATGGTCCTACATTGCATATAAGCAATCCTCGGCGCTTCCGCCGCCCAACAACCCTGCGAGATACTGAACAACTGTTCATCGTTGCTGATTATGTCGACGCCCGCCCGGGCAAAACGGTGATTGGCTGTATCGCAATCCAAATCGCAAATGGGCGTCGTGGACTTATTGGACGACCCGCTTGGCGATCAAGCGCAAGCCGCCGTGGAGGAAGAGTACGAAAACAAGGCGCAATGGCTGGACGCTCTCCGCCAGCACGAAACCAAAAATGCGAATGCGCTGATCCATACGCCTGTCGACTCACATCGCCGCGACCTGTTCGCCTCGTACCCACCTATAGCTGGTCGGCCTTCGATAGAGAGCATCGATGAATGTGAGCCAACGACGCGCCCGCCTTTTCTCTTTGCCCAACCGGCACCGAGACTGACTCGTGCGCGCAGATGTTTGGACTTTCCAAAAAGAAGAGCTCTGTCTCCATATCACCCCCGGCATGGAGCATCCGACGCTGTCAGTCATGGTACCCATGGCGATACAAGATCCGGGCTTGTTCAAATGCCTCATCACCGCGGCTCAGAGTTTGTATGAACGGCGACGAAACCCGGATCCTCGTCGCTCGGTGCGCTCCAAGGCCTTGATTCTAGCGCAGAATGATGCAATCCAGGCTCTACAGAAACGTCTGTCACAGCCCGATGCTCCGTTCGATGACGGTGTGGTAATGTCGGTCCTGCACCTAATGACTGCAGATGTAAGTCACATCAGTAAACCCACGCGGCACGATGATCATTCTGACAACTCTTGGGCAGTCCTCAGCGGCGGATCTGCCCGCCTTGAAAATGCACCTTAAGGGCGCGAGACAGATCATTGCACTCCGGGGCGGTCTGGGCGTCTCGCCTGCCCATCTAGCCTTGCGAGGCACCATGGCAACGTAAGTCGGATCTGCTGCTCACTGCGCATATCGGCCGCGTCGTGATCTAAATATCTTGTCAGGACCGAGTTCTACATTGCACTCGGGCAATACCTCGGGCTCAGCCCCGACGACCGGAGCGCCATTCCCATGCAGCCCATCACCTACGTGGGCCACCCGTTTCCGCCCAAAGTATGCGACTACGTGGCCAAAATGCCCGTCGGCATCGCCGAGGCCGCTCTCACGGGCCAGTTGAGCGTGCGGTGCATGAAGTTGTTCGCCGAGCTCTCGCAATGGGCGCCCCTGGCCGATCGCGTGCAAACGGGCCAGGCCCAGCCACCACAAGACGTGCTGACCAGATACGCTCGGCTCTACTGCGCGCCGCGAGAGTTTGCCCGGGACGCGATGATGCTGGTGCTCGATCTCCAGCGGTCGGGCATACCACCGGGGCTGGAACATGTGACGGCTTCGGGTCTGGCGACGATCGTCCGCCACATGAGCGAACAGAACCCGACGACCTTCCTCGACCACATGTCGCTCAACATCCTGCTCGCCAATGTGAAGGCGATCGACACGCCCACCGTTGCCGAGTCGGAAGTCATCATCTGGCTCGCCCTGGTGATCAAGTGGAGGACACAACCGGCAGGCCCGCTGCCGAAGGCCGATGAGCTGCTTGAGTATGCGCTCGAGTCGTTCCCGGCGACTCGGACTTGGAAGAGTATGGCCAAGATCTGTCGCAAGTTCTGGTGGTTCGGCCGCTTCGAGACCGAGTGGAAGGCCACTTGGCAACGTGGTCTTGAGAGGCTGGAGCAGCAGCGACGAGGTGTCGAGGAGAGAAGGGCGCCGCTTATCCGGGGATGAACCCTGGAAAGGGGGTTTGTACGGGTCGAGGAGAAAAAAGAACACAGCTTGTCCGGGGATGAACCCCTGAAAGTGATTTTGTACGGGTGTCAAGGAGAAACAGGCGACGCTTGTTTGTCCGGGGATGAACAAGTCTAGAGGACCTTCCTTGTCTATTGTCTATGGCCTATTGTCCAAAAGACAGACTATGCTCAATGAAGGGGCTGGAAGCACAGGAGGAGCGTCAACCATATCTACCCGCCAGGTTTTGCAAGAATAGGAGGAGCGACAACCCAACCATATCTACCACCCCCCCAGCCCTCAGGCTTTGCCAGAAAGCTTAACCACAATCGCCGGTCCGCTGCTGCCCTTTGGTTTCATCCCCGCCAGGAGTGGCAGTGTCCTATGCTATCAATGCCAGTACTACTATTGCACCGCTCCCGCTCCCCAGTGGACAAGGCGAACCTCCTAGCACGCCACACGTCGCACGTCGCATGCTGCACGTATCTGAGGACGAGACCGGTCATCCCTACCAAACTCCTGGTACTAGTAGGTCGGGGCCTGGACGTTCCGATAGTGTATTCATACATAGCAAATGAAGGACCGCATCGAAATGTAATGTGTGCAGCCCCAAAAAGAAAAAGGAAGAGGAAGAGAAACCAGACATAATGCCTCATATGAACCAGAGAGAGGAGAGACACAAGAACGAGAACGAGGCGAAAAGCTGCTAGCAACAGGAGGACAGACGAGACCGAGTTTTTCCAAGTTTCATATTCTCGATTTGAGGCTATGTCTGCCTACTTCATGCACCAAGGACTCTTGTCTATGAGCTTGATGAGGCCCCGGGATGGAGCTTTCTTCCTCCTCCTCCTTCTCCTTCTCCGTCTCCTTCTCCGGCCCGATGGGAGGAGGACTGCCTTGTTTTACGGCAGATATCAGGTGTTGTCTGATGGGTATTGTGGCACCTGTGAGTAGTACTCGTATCTCCGAAACTTCCACGGGAGCCCATGGCTGGATTTGTTGTTGTAAACGTAAAGTTCTGGAACGAAAGAAAGATCCGTCGTGGTCGGCGGTCGGTACCATGATGGTACTACTGATCAGAACGAAAGAAGCAAAAAACAGGGCAACAAAATGGTATCTCAGGAGGTAGTAGTTCGAAAAAGACATGAATGTCCCAAAACCCAAACTCCGTAAACCCCCCAATTGCCATGGGCGGCCAACAGATCTCAAGTCTGACCTGGCCCGACACGGGATACCCGAGATGCTCCATTTCGCTAAATGCAGATGTCATTTGTAGTGGTTGAGGATGCTGCTGATGATGAGGGATGAAGGATGAGGATGCAGTTGTTTCCGTCTCCTTCTCCCTGGCCTGGAGAGGTTGTTATTCTCCGAGAGTGGGCGGAGATAGTCAAAAGATGCGCGCTGTCGTCAAGATGATTTTTCGTGGTGGGTGGATGAGGAAAAATGGGAAATTGCCGCGAGGCAACATCTTTTGGTAAAGAGAAGTCGTTAGGGTCGTCAAAAAGGAGGGCGAACGTATACCAGTAGTATTCACAAGGGAGGAGGGGGAGGGAGGGGGAGAGGGTGGTGGGTGAGAGGGTCAATAGGTGATGGCGCACGCCAATGGCGGAAGGCCCCCTGCATATTCAGATTTCGCAGGTGGCGTTCTTCCTCATGGCTTTGGCCAGCATCAGCTTCCTCATCCATTCGATTCTGTCTTTGGAGCTGTCGACGGCGAAATGGTGGGACTTTGTGCTGCTCCTTTCGAAGAGCTTGCGGCTGCTGCTGACCTTGTCGCTCTCGGGGATGAGGGAAAAGGCAAACGAGTGCTCGCCGGCCGGCAGTTTGCCTTGTCCGAGGAGACTCTTTTTGAAGGCCGCGCTGAGTTTGGAGCTCGATGCCTGCGAGTATGCGTGCAGAGTGTACTCGTCCACGTCGATCCGCTCGAGGGCTTTGGCGGTGGCGTAATGTGTGTCGTGCATGGTCAGCTCGTGACCGATCAGCGTGCAGTAGTTGTCTTGCCATTCATGGCGCAACATGCGGGTGGTTTTGCGCTTGCGCATCCAACCCTGGTGGTGGGCGAGGTCGAGCTCGGTCGCCCGCGAGGAAGATGGCTTCCTCACTTCAGGCTGGGACTCGTTCTCCTTGACGGGGGCGATGGATGGGGTGAAGGACGTCTGCCGGATGTGCCGGCGAGGAGGAGGCGGTTGGGTCGACGTGCATCGCTGTATGGGTTCGGGGCTGACGGACGTGGGAGCCGCTGCGGCACCGTACCGCATCTCGGGTGGTACTGATTGGGAGATGTCTCGCTGACACGGGTCAACGGCCATGGCAGTGATGGGGATGTCAGTGGCCGACATGGGAGTGTCGATGCGGTAGATGTCCGCCGGTGAGGCGACACCGCCATAGTGGTAGGGGTCGCCTTGCAGCTGGGCTTTGAGTTGAGCTTGGATTTGGGTTGGCTGTTGAAGCGCAGAGATGGGAGTCCTTGAAGGGCTTCGTTCGTCGTCATTATGAGCACCCGGAATTGTGAGCTTCGGCAGGCCCCGAAGGTGTTCGTCAAGGTGAGCTGACTTGTTGGCAAATGCGGCAGAGGCAGCTGGGGGAGGCGACGGGTTGGACGAGTTGGACGGCGAGTGCAGATGCTGGAAGTTCAGGAATTGTCTCACGCTCTCCTGTGGGTCACGAGGCTGGACCGAGCTCAAACTCTCCGGGGTGATCTTGACAGAAGATGGGCCTAATACGTCTGATGAACCCACCACCGACGGCAAGGCTTCGGACCGGGCCTCCGATATGGGTCGGCGGGTATCCTCGTCAAAGGCCCGCTGCAAGCGGAGGATCTTACGTTGTTGCTTCTGCCATTTGGGACAGTCCTCGCCCTTGGAGCATTTGTGTTCTTTGGGAAGCACCTGCTCGATTCCGACGATGGACACTGACTCGGCAGGGGTCACAATGTCCGGTTGTCTTCCTCGTCTCCGGGAGCGAGATCGATCCGGGATGACGACCTGTCGTTCCTCGGGCCGAGCAATGCGTTGCAGTGCTCGAGGACTTCGATTTGTTTTCGACGGCGTTCGTGAGAGCGGGGTCTCGAGAGAGATCATGCTACTGTTCCGGAGTTGTTGGATGGAGCTCATCACCCGGTGTCTCTTGCCAAAGGAGCTGATGTCGAGCTCCTTCAGATCTTCGAATTGGAGGTCTATCAGGACACTGCCAGAGATGTCGTGCTTGATGAATTTCTGGACGACGCTGGCTTCGAAGCCTGCCTCGGCCATCCAGTTGGCCACTTGCACAGTTGTCCAGTCCTTTACTTGAGATTCGTCAAGCTCTGCAACGGCGTTGTTGAGTGCAGCAATAGGCCTTGGAGCCGACTTCGGTTGCGGGACGGGTGACAGGCCAAGGAAGACATCGTCTTCGGGGTTACTGACTATCTCTGGCGTTCCTCGGAAGAGGTGAGGCCCTTGGGGGCCCACGATCGACTTGTCATCGAAGTGGAACTCAAAGTCACCTAGACCACCGGTGTTTGGAGGTGTCGGTAGCTCGTCCGGACTTGACAAGGTCGATTGACTGTCGTTGTCACCTTGGGACTCCCATGGTAGCGGCGCCGAATCGGAGTCTTCTTCGTTGTCAGTGTCGAATATCTCGGTCGCTTCAGAGAGTGGTCGAGGAGCTGAACCTCGACGATATAGGAAGGAGAGGTCAGGATGCTTGTGCAGCATCTCAACAGTTTGCAGTGGTGGTTGTGGAAGTGGTGGTGACCTCTCCATGCTGAACAACTGTGTCTCGTTCAGCAGGAAGGGTCAGATTCGGGAAGTTTGCAGAGCATCAAGTCAAAACGGGGAGTTGAGACAGCCAGGAGGTATGTATAGATTCTTGTTGAAAGAATCAAGGCGGGCGGTTAGCAAGAATAACCGAGTGTGATGAGCGGAGTATAGACCAGGGTTCTTGCAGGAGTAGGGTGCATGATAATGAATGACCTACTGCAGTGGTATGCGTGCGATAGATGTGAAACGCATCCGGTGCAGCCATTCAATGGCAGCAATACCGACGTTGGCTGGTATAGGTCGGCGGCAAGATGTAGATGGAGATGGAGAAGCCAATCGAGGAGTCTCTATGAAAAGTACGCGCCCAAGCCATTGAGGTCGGGATCATGGCCACCTCCACCATGGTGGCTCTACCCTTGTAAGCAGGACGGGAGGATAACCAATGGAATAGCTGGTGCTGGTCGATGTCCAATGGAGCCAGGCACATCCCTCGATCCATTATCCCACACAGTCGAGCCAGTCGCAGCAGAGACTCATGATGGAGTAGTCGACTTCCAAAAATACTCGTCCATTGAGCAGCAACCGACTATACCAGGTGCGGGTTGGTGTTGTTCCTGCTGTGTCCTGGAATAGCATCCAGCGCTTCTCACTCGCTCTCTCCTTCATCTCCCCCAGGCTCGAGCCGTTGCCCTTCCCTCCCGCAAAAAGGGTCTCTCGCTCAGGCTCATCCCTTCCTTCCCTTTTCTCCTTACCCGTGGGCTTACCCAACTCGTTCCGGACCGTGCAAGTCTGGTGGTCTCTTGCGATTTCTCCTCATGATCCACCCGTTCTCGTCTCTTCCCAACCTCCTCGATCCCTTCTCTCCGTCTTTTTCTACCCTGTGGATTTTCTGATTGGCCGTTGCCGGCCAAAATGCTCTTCTTTTACCCATCCCACCGAACCCTGGTGATACTGCGAGGGTGTCTGGCTGACCAGGTGATCACCCACTTGCCTTGCTTCAAGTTGCATGGACCTGACGAAGGACAACATCTCCCCACGCCATACGGAGTATTACCAGATGAGGTCAAACAACAGGATCACAATCTAATCTCACACCTGCGCTGCGTGACGTATATTTTATTGCAACGATGCATGTATTCTGTTGTGTGCGTTGAGCTCACCTTCAGAGCTTCTCGAAATGGCCACATGTCCAACCTCCTGGCTCAATGCTCCCGATGGTTAAGCAAAGTCCATCTGGACCTGGACCCTGCGTGAGGATCAAACATGATTCCCGTCTTTCAAGGGTTTGCATCCTATTCCCGCGAAATGCCCACCGTCTTCTTCCACACCAACTTTTGAATCTCAGGGTCTGCAGTGTTCTGAGCCGAGGACCTTCGACTTTCAACTATGCTGTCGGCCCTTTCCGGACGACGAGCTCATAGCTGTGAGAGGCCTTTGGATTCGCTGAGATTCGAAACTCTGGTTGAGTCTAGCGCGGGGCTTCTTGCATGAGCTCGACTCGACTTCCCCTCCATTTGCCCCAACCGAGCTTCTCGTCTCGCTTCCAAGTGACCGTGACAGTTGCTTGACCAGTCGGATGGCTCTTGCTGTCAAGGTGCATATGCAAGCAAGACTTTGCGAGTCTACTACGTATTGAGAGGGAAGGGGGATCCTCAACCACTCAGCCAATAAGTCTAGAGTTTTTGTTTCAACGCTAGATGTCCAAAGTGCAAAGGATAGCTACCGATTGAACTGTTGTGCATGTGTTGACGAGAAAGGCGAACTCTGGCATCATGGTTGTGACAATGCTTGATGTATCATGGCAGCACGATGCGGTACGCATGGCAGCCACCTGTATCGCATGGCAGCGGTGAGTCCACCGCTACTCGCCAACGTCCTGGCACGCGAACAGCAAGGGCTACGAAGTGGTGGTACCTCATAGTGGTACAAGCACAGTGGTACCGTACCTTGTGGCTTCTCATCTTCAAGTACACTTTCTGCCGACTGTACGGGGTACTCAGACTGTGGACCGAGATCAACGGCACTGCTTCTTGCTTTTCGGCTAAGAAAGTAGCTGCATAACGGCCTTAAACTGTACAAGCACAAAGACAATACTCCTCAATTGATCTTCTGCCTAATGCCCGTCATTATCCTCCCAACTACGGCAAGATGCAGATTTGCACATGCAAGACCTGTACTTGTGCCGTTAGACTGACAACGGGAACGTTTGAAGGTGACAGATTTGAAGCTTCGTAGCCATTTGAACCATCACGACCAGTGCAAGGGAAGAGGGAGCGACGTGGGTGACTGTCTTCGACTTGTTCGACTCGTGGTAGCGTTCCTGAGATTACAGCCACGAAATGTGACTTCTAAGGCGACACTGCTTCAATGTGACGGTGATGGCACATGAGTTCCATGCATGGAATGAAGAATAGGAACGCCAGTAACGAGGAGGCTGGCGAGGGTCGCCGAAGTACGGCTTAACGAATCCGGATCCGCCTTTGGCACGGTATCACATTCGCTAGGACTGGATCGTCATGTAGACTACGGAGTACTATGCAAATGACAGGGTATCGGACTTGTCGACGGACACAGCAGGAGGACTGGGGGAAGAGCTTGAGCTTGACTCGGTAGACTTACCCAGCATCAAGGAGAACGCTGCAGGAACAATTGTACGATAACCCCCAACGGTGCAGTCGTGTTGCTCAGGCATACCTCGAACTTCTCGACGGGTCCCTGGATCTGATACTCCGCCCAGGCCTGGGCAGCGATTTCTCAGGTCACTGCACCGATCATGTGCGGCGTGGAACGACATCATCGTTCTATGCAAACATGCGTGCATTTGGCAACAATGATGCTATCGCGCCGCCAACCGCTTCTCGCTTCACCAAGGTCAGATACTAGTACACTATCCTGCTTCTAAAAATAAGAGTTATCGCAAAGGACCTTCGTCTGAAGCGAGAATACTGTGTATGGCAAGCATGAAGGACGAGGGGAAAGCTCTTGCTGCTCTCACCCATCTGGCCAAGTACGTGCAGGCTCGGAGCAGCACTTGATCGATAACGGGAGACGAGACTGTCAAGCGATGCAAGGAGTATAGAGTACGGATACTCGATCATGCATTCCCATTGACCACCGGCCGGCAGGGATCTACTGGTAGGGATATAGGAGGCACCTAAGGGGCATGATGGGGGCACCACTGGGCACTACCTACAGGAGGCTAATGCACGAGGATGGTCTTGGCATCACGGTTGGTTCCCGTCCCTCCCGCGTCCTTGTTCTTCCTCGTTCATCCTTGTTCACACACATCTCAACACTTCGCTCACTCAGATTGGACTTCACTCATCCTGGCCAGAATCACCAGGCACACCAGGGTGACCACTGACCATTGACCACTGACCAGGGTAGCTTCAGCACTAGCCCTTCACCTCCCAGCCGGCTTCGAGCCTCGTCACCCAATCGTCGCTCCTGCTCCCACCTTTTCCATCACACCATCGGCTGCCTTTCCTATCCTTTCGCTCCTCTGTTGCTCCGACTCAGGGCTTCTAGCCAGAGCGGCCTTGATCCCGTGCCTACTGCGCCCTACCTGTGTCGGGTCACTTGCGGTCGAGAACAGCTTGACTGAAGGCTTGCGTGGGGGCCATTGGCTGCCGGTCCCTCAGCAGTGACACATTTTGACAGTAATGAGGACTTCTCCAGACTGTGACACCTCATGGTGAGATCATGACTGGCAGAAAGCACATGAAGAGAAAAAGTCGGCATCGCACCAATGGGAAAGAGCAGCACACAAAATATGCTTGTTTCTCTACACGAGTCAAGGAGCTCGAAAACAATGCGTTGAAGATCCCACGAGTCTAATGCCGTACTACTGCATCTGCCCGGTGGAGTTCTGGGACGAGCGATGTGTTGGGTAAGCGAGCCCTTCTGGGACAATTCCCCCGCTTGATCTGTGCGGAATACAGTACCTACAGCAGAACAAAAATGCCAAAATCCGTACACTGGTAATTGCACGGTCGACCGCATGGCGTTCTGTTGTCTGTGCGTGGGACATGAATCATGGCTCTGGTAACGCTCGCCGTGGTTCTTTCCTGAAGACTGGTACCGCTCGGATACACCCGCCATTCACGCCTTCACAACCAAACCGACCGTAGCTCTCAAGTTCCACGGCGTTATTTCGAGCTTCTGCCGGTACGGGTCACCTCGTGACTACAAGTACGTCTGGAAACGGGTCCAGGCCGCACAGAGGTGATGCCTTGATGCCTGATGGCTTGATCGGCTGCCACCACTTTGCTTCCTTGATTAGCAGAAGCAGGTGAGTCAGCCATTCAGAGGTCGGAATTCATCGGGGGTTGGCCTCCATCCCTGGAGATCTCCCAATCCGACCAGAACACCAAGTGGCTTGACATGGGGACATGTGTGCAGGGGGAGTATGCAGCCTGTTCGAGGTCGGCGCTAACCGTCCTGCCTTTAAGTACTCGTCGAAGCTGTCAGGTCCTAATCTTAGCTCCGAAGCGCCAGCCCACATTTTCACGTCCAATCATCGCTTCAGTCTCCCACACTTCATGCTCATTCATTCTGCCATGCGATGCACACTATCGCCCTGCCGAATGGAAGGAGAATTGTCGACTTACCTTTGCAACGACCCATTCGACCAGCCTGCTCATTGTTCAATCATGCAAATGACCTGCCTCCACTATCCCATCCACCAATCCACGAGGAGCGCCTTCAGACGCAGACGCGATATTCATAGATACAGCTCCTCCAGCATGTATCGTCTCTTTCTCTCATTCGCTCTCCAGGCAGAGAATTGTTTCTTACCATCTGGATCTTGCTCGAAACGATTCGGAACCTCGTCCTGACCTGCATATCATTACCCTCCACGATCCAAATATAGATCACTGGACATTGAGATAGTTCTTGAGCCTTCTCATAAACAACATCCTCAGCCAATGTCACCGTGAGTCCCTTCAAGGCAGACCGTTGCCCTCGCTGTTGCTCCTTCACCTCGTCGACGGTATCTCCCAGACGTGCGAACACTGCTGGACAGTATTCGCGACCACTCCCTAGTAATAATATTCAGCAGCGCAGGCCAGGTTTGTTTGTCCTGTCCTTGCCGTCCTTGATACCAGCATCCAATCTTGAAGCTGCTCGCGAAACGACAGTTGTACAGTCCGATAGATTCCACGACACACTCAACCATGGCCCCGTCGAAGGAGAAGAAGGCTACAGCTGTGGCCAAAGAGTCACCAGCCACGAGTATGAAGTCCTCCAAGATGCACCGGAGGTCAAGATCGGGTCGGTATCCCATGCAAAAGACCTTCTGCAAGACGTCTCTGCTAAACTTGCGCAAGGCTGCTTTACATGTCGGTTAAGACGGAAGAAATGCGACGAGGCAAAACCCAAGTGCAAAGCATGTCGACATCTGGGCCTCGACTGCGAATACAAGCGACCTCACTGGTGGAGCAACAATGAGACCCGACGGAAACACAAGGAGTTCATCAAGTCCATCATCAAACGGACCAAGACAAACGAGAAGAACCTAGCTGCTCAAAGTAACTGTCCGACACAATGCATCCTGCTTCCTTCGACATGTCCTAGCTAACATCTCCGCAGACGCGACGAGAGGGTCTTCGACTGACTCGCAAGATGACTATGATGCCGACTTCGATCCTTCTTTTGCGACAACCCCGGGTCTTTTCACACCTTATGCTCCAGACATGTACATGACCCACGACCCATACAGTCAAGGCTTCCCTTGGGAAGTGGACGTAAAGACGGAGATGCACACATACGTGAACGACGAACTCACTCGCCGAGACTCTTCGATATCAACCTTCAGCACCTGGGTTCCCCCACCGCCTCATGCCATGCTACCTTCCTATACCGGCGATGACTTTGTCCAGCCAGAGTTGTATGAGCACAAGCAAGATTCCTGGGTTGGAGAAGACCCTGTTGGATTCAACTTTTTCGACTTCAATCACGTCGGTCAACAACCCGGACCTCAGTGCTCGATGATCCACCTCGAAGACTGTGACCGTCCACTGTTCAACCACTTGCTCGACAATGTGCTTCCGTTGCTCTTCCCTGTCCTTGAAGCGAACCAACCCGGGTCAGTAAGGGCAGACGTCATTCTTCCTGCTCTCGAACACAACAAGGCTTACCTGCACTCCTGCCTACTCGCTGCTGCAACGCACATGAAGGACACCAGAACAGCCTTGGGCACTGCCGTCGACGACGATCAAATGCGCCACAAGCTCGCCTTTGTGACAATTGTAGTTGAAGCCTTGAACGGCGACACTCACCACAGCGAGATGCTCGACGCTCTGCTCGGCATGATCTCGCTGCAAGGTTGCGTCGGCTCTGCTACCGACCTCGAGAAAGAACTAATCCCATGGCACCAACACTTCCAGACCGCCGCCGACATTGTGCAGAAGCTCAACCTCCCCTCTATCCTCGAAGGATTGAACGTCACCGGCGGTCACCCACCATTCAACATGACCCTGACCGCCTCGATCGACATCCTTGGCTCGACGATGCTCGGCAAAGCACCTCGGTTCTCGAATACCTACCGAAACATGTTCTTCGCTCAGGCCAACGCAGGGCTCGAGAAGCTCATGGGCTGCAACGATCTAGTCATGTACCTCTTGTCGGAAGTGGCCTGCCTAGACTCGCTCAAAATGGAAGGCAGGCTCGACGACATCGGCATGTGCAGCCATATCACCTCGCTCGCCCAGACTCTGGACCAAATCGAGCCCACAGAGCTACCGCAAATACCGTACTCCAAATCAGGGGTCCTCAAACCGAAACAATTGACCAAGAACATTACCGCGGTCTTCCGCAAAGCCGCTCGTGTCTACCTCTGCTCGCTGGTGCCCGAGTACAACCGCTACCAGCCAGCAACGGTCAACCTCATCTCGCAGATGGCAGACCTGATGCAGTACATCCCTTCCGGACCAATTGGCTTCGACCGGTGCCTCGTCTGGCCCATGTTGATCTGTGGTGTGAATTCGATCCCCGCATCGCCCTTCCGCCGCGTCCTCTCCGAACGATGCGAAATGCTCGGCGACGCAGCTGACCACGGATCGTTCGGCCGCATGGTCCGCCTACTGCACGAAGTGTGGCGACTCAACGACGACATGGTCATCTCCGCTGGCGTATGCGAAGCCACGCCCGTCACTGCCGGAAGCCCAGGAGGTTCGATATCGACGCCGATCACCGCCGCCGCTACCGGCAATCCAGGTTCAGCACCAGGCTCTTCTTCGACGACGACAACAACAGTACCAAGGAACCAGAACGTCCACTGGCGGGACGTGATGCAACAAAACGGATGGGATTTCCTCCTGATGTAGCCAGGACTTGCTTCCGCCCTTTTGATCCGTGTCTCTTGATGTGTATGAATTCCAGTCTCGATGGCTGGGTAGTACCGAGATCACCGTTGGTCAGTGCAAGCAAGCTTCTGGCTACCAGGATGACGACGCTCTTTTTATCCGACGCTGTCGGCCTTTATCAAGGACCGATTCATCATTCGTATTCACTCATTATGACATACCCATCTTATTGTTTAATCTTTTCTGGAAAAGGGTTAATCTTACTTTTGCATCCTGGTCTGGTTACACAAAAGTCGATTTTTTGTTCCTTGGAAACTGGCGTTTCGAGAAGAGAGCTGGTCTGGACTACTTCACCCCAATCCTCAGTGCCGCGAGGGCTGGGGAGTGTAGGTGGTAGCGCGGGCGCGAGCTGACCCAAGTCGATGTCGATGTCGATGGAGCTGGGTATTTGAAGTATGGACACCAGAACGTTTTGCATCAGGGATGTTTTCTAATTCGAGATCGACTCAGCTGGGAAGAGAAGGATATATTATATTGATACCCAGGGCTGGAGCTGAGATCTCCAGGGTTTGCACGAATCTCCTTTCTTTTTAGGTTGCATGATTTGAGTAGGCGGAGTGGGCGCGAGTGGAAGGGTATACCGAGACGAGAAGGTGAATGTTCATGATGTTGAAAGCACGGAGCAGGATGAAGAAGGCACAGTTCCGGCATGCACCACCTCGCCGCTGACAGGTATGCAAGAACCGCCGTGCCGGGGCGGAGAGATGAATAGACGAGGCCACGACTCAAGAGGTAAGGTACGAGACGAGTGGTAATGGACGGCGACATAAGGGCAGAGCACATCGCATAGACCATGTGTATACGAAATTTGTGGCGAGTCAGGTGCAAGCGAAGGCCCCCTAATCTGAGCTTTAACTGAAGTCATTAGTTGGACATCGCTGAACGCTTCTGAGCACTTCCTGAGGATCGTAATAAGGTACAAAAGGAACCCATTCTGGCTCTGGCGACCGGCTAGACCTGCCACTCGGCCAGGCATTTGTTTCAGATGATTTTAGTGACCCTAGGTGCCCTTGCAAGTCCATAGCGCTGCTTTGCTGTCTGTACTGTTCCAGCGACACACGGTAATAATCGCTTCGGGCTGTTGCCAGGTGCAGATTCTACTGGACTGGCACAGTCCCAGGTCAGCTAGCACAATCCCTGTGCAACCCCTTTTTTCGAAGTGGCTGCCTCAATCCGCACATGCGACAGATAGTTTGTTTATTTTGTGTTTCGATGCGATTTCGATGTCAATCGTGATCCAAAGGTTGCGAACATACCAAAGCCTTGCTCCAGCGATGTCACTCCGGCCTGTTGATGTATCATTTGAAATTGGAGGATCGGTTTTCAACAACCTCAACGCTCTACGCCGCCTGATCGCCGCAAGTAGTGAAGATGATGTCCACACCCAGGCAGTGTTGGCCATGGAGCAGCTTGGCACATGTATCCCCGTATCCCCTGAACGCATAGATGAGGCAGTAAATGCCTTGGGTGGTCAAACTTCAGTCCGAGTTCAGAATTTGAAAGCCTCGATTGGTATCGCCTCAGGCGGGCTGTGCAGGATTATACGGCAATCGACACCTCTGCTCCAATTCTTTGTATTGTGCGCCGCCTGCAAAGTAACCGTCCTGGATGAAGATTGCGGTGCTTTGATGTTTGAAATGCTGAAAACTTCCAAAGCGCTTGCGAAGCTTCCTTGTTCAGCGGCCCAAATTGTGCGCATGATCACCCAAGTCTGTAGCCAAGCAGGGCTGATTGCTCCAGTCGACATGATGCATGGGGTCGCCTGCGCTGTCGACGAGTGGGATCCTGAATTGGACATATTTGGGAGAATGGAGGCCAAGGTCCTGGCTGAACTTTTGATTACGCTATTTGAACAAATGAGGGAGGAAACGGTCGACACCATCGTACTCACCGGCCATCAAAATTGCGTCTGGCTTGCTTCGTCTCTCCTAGGGCTCTTCGGTGAGAGAGCATGCTTGCTCATTACTAACGTCGCCATCAAAGGCCATCCGGGAGCCAAGTTGTGTATCCACGTTGAGCCAAGGTATGATCAAGGCTGGAACAAGCATGTCTTTAAAGCAAGCGAAGATCCCACCAAATTCGTTTTCCAGGTGTCTGCCGATGGGGATCGATTCTTTCATTCAGATTCCTCTCCGGTCCTTGAAGTCATTCCTGAATCAATATTATTGGAGCGAGATTCAAAATTCAGAAGTTCGCAGAAAAGCGATGGTCGTATCTGGAAAAATCGCGCAATCCCTGATATTGGCTATCTCGCAACGCGGACTACTGTATCTGGATTGTCAATACTGCGAGGACTCGGAACATTGCAATGCTGCGCCGCTAGCGGCCCTTGCTCACACCTCTTGGCTCGCAGGCGTAGAACGAATAGTCACGAGCTATGGGTGGGGTGATGAGGAGGAAGCGCAGTTTGATGCAGGATTGCTTACGGCTATCCTGGAGGAGGTGGACAAATGGCGTCGCCCAAACAGCCAAGAACGGACAATTGAACAGGTCGAATCATTCATCCGAACTCTAAGCGAGAATGTTATCAATTCTTGCATTTCTGAGGAGGAAGACGTCCCTATTCACTACATTCTTGATGCTGCCCTTTATGTTACCGCAGATGCTACTGTTACATGTACGACCTTTTTTGAGGGTGGAGGCAGGTTCATCAAGCCTTTGGATGATAAGTTGGTCGAATTTGCAGACCGGACAGTCTTTAGTGTGTCAAAGGTATAAGGCTTTGAGAGGTGTGAAAGAATCTCTGTTGGACTATCAAGGGTTCTAGGGGCTAGTCCCCCTATATACATGTGTCCTAGGGGGCTGGGAATGCTTCGGATCCACCAAACTCTGACATAGTGTTCTTTCAGACGGATTGGGGGTGTCAGACTTCCGAAAAAGCGCGTTCGAGCAACTGTTTCCTGGTCTCGATACTTGGCATGATGGCGATCTAGTGGTTGCCAGGGACGGGTACGTTGCTGGAATGAATAGACTGTGGACTGAAGTTGCGCGACATTCAGATGCGTTGAGTATTCGCATGCAAAGAGGCCAGATAAAGAAGGATCAGGGTACGTACAATTCGATTTGCGAAATCCCTTGCAACGACACCATGCTTCTCATCAGTCCGCGGATACCAGCTTTCGATGCTGTCAAGGGCCTTGTCATACCTGAAGAGCATGAAATCGGGAATGAGGCAGACTCATTTGAGACATTCGCGGCGGTCCGTGGCACAAGGATTGAAATCAAGCATTACATGAAGTACACTGCCAGTTCCGACAAGTGTTCACCGGCGGAAAGCATCTTGGATCTGTGCGATCAGTGTATTAGCGACAGCTACACATCTGGACATTGAGTCCCAGATGACGGCAACATTGAATAAGAGCCTCAACGTGAGATTGACGCAACAGCTACAGGCAAAGCGCGTCTACTGGATCGGCCCTTTCAGTCAGCCAATAACTAGCAGTGAAGTGAGAACGCTAATACGAACGGGTGCGGATAACAAGGTAACGATCTTTGCGACAGGACTCTGTATTGGCGAAAGCCTACGCGGCCCATGTTGTCGAATCATCATACGGCATCGAAGCCCTTTGCTACAATGCATCGAACGGGCTGAGTCCAGCATTGATCATACTGAAAGGTCGTGGGTAATCTTGGATTAAGGCAATCCTGCCAAATCAGTTCGGGTGATTCACCAGAACGAATCTTTATCCAAAAAAAACTCAGCAGCTTCATCATAGTTCATACAAGAAATATGCAATTTCTGAACAGGTCTAGGAACGATGATGGATTGGGACGCCGGTCTGGTCTGTCCTTGTCGTCTTCATTAAGGATATTCTCGTCGAGTATATGGCTGGTACATATAACTTTATTCGTTTAGGTAGGATTCAGAGTTAGGATAGCAAGTTCAACCAGGCAGGTATATGTTGTTTTAGCTATCTTGAGAGTGCAAAGAAAAGACCCAAATAAACAAAGTCCACGTGGTCGAACACTTCTTTGGACTAATTTGTTTAGATTTAATTGAGCCCTTAAACAGGCATGTGTATGTCCGTCGTTAGTTTAAGCTGAGCTTCCATGCCGATAATGAGCGTGGCACAGCAACTCCCTAAGACTCCCTAATCCGGGGGGCCCCCCTAATCTGGCTCCTTTCGCCTAACTTCCTAGGTAGTTAGGGTTGACGGCTGATCAGTTCTGCCCCTGCCCTACCCCATTGACCATGTCCGGATTAAGCATTGAGTGTGCATTGCAGGCGACTCTACTCTAGCTTGATACCTACAGCCCGGCCCAGACACAAGGTTGACGGCGAGAGCGGGTACTGCTCTTTCCAATAATGGACTACATCTGCAAGCAAGGAGATCATTGCGACAATAGCAGGAGGCACTGTCCCATGAAGGTTTGCCCTGAAGCCAGGGCAGGCACTGCTGCCAGGTTTGAAAGCCTGGACCTTCTATGCCCAAACACCAACGTCCTACTAAGGTGTAAGATGTACAAGTTATAAACGGCCATGAGCAGGTTGTGAGCTTCCAAAAGCCATAAACACAGGGAGGGAGTTTTCGAAGCATTGACAACCCACACTCCACAAGAAATTAGCGAAAATGGAGCTTGTAAGGGCACCGCACGAGAATCCAACCGGTGAAGACGTCAATGGCCATCGGACATCACGCTGCAAAAGTACCCAGCACGCGCCCTTGGAACACCTCCTGAGAGCCTGACAACTAGATGCTCGAGTCGTGCCTTATCGTAGCAGCTGATCCCCAATTGGCTCGCTGCGTGCCCATAATCATAACTGGAACAACGTACTCGCGGTCCATACGGACACTAATTTAACTTAACCTTATATACGGATAGCTCTGCTCCGTATCCCGTATCAGCCACTCGGATCAAAGACCTGGCGTGAGCGGGCCGCAGCCATGCTTATGATTAACACGCCTAGCGAGACCAAGAAACGTCAGATCAAAAAGGATGGCAGTAACAATACTCGGTATAAACTCACCACTACTCTATTCATGTCCTGGTTTGGTCCCTTTTGATCGACGGGCTTGAGGAACACGCACAAGTCTGACACTCTGACAGATGTTATCTCCACATGCCGTTGCCGTCCACCGTGGCGACCCGCCTCCCCGGCACACAAAAGCCGACACTGGACTCGGAGACTTAGCCTGTTTGGCTGCAGACAGCGCTAGTGACCTTGAAGGCGAAGCGAGCGAGACTACTGTAGGGCTGTTGATTCTCCGTCTTCCTCATCATGTGTCGCGCTGTTGAATGAACTTTTCACTTGGGACATGGGACATGGGACAAAGTTCGCGCTCGTCGTTTTGCAATCTCGCCTGCAAACGAGCGGTTGAGCCTTTCTTCGGAAGAAATTTGGCAAAATACCGTAGGGCCATCCTGGAACCAAGTTGGCAGAAAAGATCAGTCACGAGGCCTCTTGAGCCTCGATGCCAGTAGTTTATGCAGCTTGGTGGATGATGTTGACGAGTGGCGCAGAATCGGCCGATCTGAAAGTTGTGACCCCGGCCGTAATACGCCGCAGGCCATCCAGCCCTTCCACTCTCGGTATTGAGCAAAGGATCATTCTGCCATCTTCTACAGTATTCGTTCGATCTGGCTACATGCTCATTGACAACTTGTCAGTCCTAGGTGGCAGCTCTGCGAGGATGAAGTGCAGAACATGCAGTGTGGGCCAGAAAAACAAAGCAACCCGCGGCGACGGTGCAGCTCTGCTACCAGCGGAAGGCTTGGTTGAAGCTAACTAAGCCCCCCGGCGCAACCACCTGGGCGGCCAGTTCTGGGCGAGGCAGGCCCGGAAGGTACCATCTCAGGACCTGAAGATTCTAGAGGAGAAATACTGTCGTTAATGCCCACCCTCACAAACCTCAACATTCTCTGTAGACTGCTGCAAGAATTGCCAACACCGCCGCCTAGTTAAGGCTGCAGCAGTTTTCTTCACCCATCAAACATCGACTTTGCATGACTGGCTAGCATCCACCGAAGTCCTTTATGTGTCCGTCGCTGTCACGTAGGCCCTGGGACATCTCGGTTGGCTGTCGAGTCTCAACGAAAGTCTGGGCGTTCCGCCCGCACCCATTTCGTGAAAGTTCCACTGTCAGCCCGTAGCCATTCAGGAAGTCATACGTGGTCAGCGTCGCTTTAGCTCGTACAGGTGCTTCCAGTAGGACTTGATGCCACATGAGAGCCGTCCAGACACGTTCAGTCCCTGCAAAGGAGGAGGCTGGTGACCAACGAACGCGGCCGGCACGTAAGGTAAGAGACCAGTCCCAAACCCTTGATGCCACTTTTCCCTGTCGGTGTATCACTTTCGTGTCAGTAGTATCACTCGGAGGATCCTCCTTTTTCCAAGTAAGACCTCCGAAAGCCCTGGGATATATAAAGCAGCCCACTCCCCGTATCCTTCGTGCAGAATCGTACTTACATTCAGCCTAACCCGGAGCTTTTCTTCATTAGATTCCCTTGTTTCACACCTTGATACTAGCTTACGTGTCTAGGCACCTCTACTACATTGCGGCCTCGTTGTACCTTTGTCCCATCGTCCTGTACTACGCTTAAGAGTCATTGGAAGGAAATTGTAACGTCGTTGAGCTCATCTTACGATGGATCCTCGCTCCCAGAAAGCCGGAGGGATGCTCGACCGTCACATTTATGATACCGGCCCCATCGCAGATCGCCTGGTTCGAGGACAAGACGTTCGGAACCTTAGGAGTTCAAGCAACCGAACACAAGGTCGTGTTCCGACAGGAGACCCCATAGACAAGGCACAAGAGAAGAAGATTGCTGATTCTGTACGGGAGCTGGAGAAAAAGATGGATGATACAACAGACAAGGCGTTGCTTGATCAAGCCCGAGAGGACCAGAAAGGCATGTCGACACCTAAGGACTTAGAGATCATGTCCCTGCCGACATCTCCAGGGGTGTAAGATGGTTCCTACTCTTGTAGGGAGACCAGAGAATCTGATTCTCCCATCGGACTAAACCAATATGGTGGTTGGTCTGGTCATAAGGTCATTGATGTAATAGACTGTGGACGGTTAGGAGGTCTTGGTCAAGATGTACGGGTCAACCCATGAGGGTGCAAGCGTGGTAGAGCCCGAAGGCTTCGGTCGAAGAGCAAAGCCGTCACCATCCCAGGACAAGCTTGACAAAGCTGGATCCGCACAGAGGCGGACAACATCGTTTCGGGCAGGGTCTAAGCCGTGCACGCCTCCCTGGGTTGTTACCTCCCACATTCTTTATGTTTGAATCCCATTGGAAGGTAGTACCTTTCTCGTTGGGAGGCTCATAGAGCAGAAGCTCTAGATAGGAGCTGTAAAAAGTCTTCATCATTTCAGTCATCTCGCTCTCCTCTTGATGAATCAGTCAGAATATCGCGCTTCCTGACCTGAGCACCCTAGCTGCCAGATCTTATAGTGTCTTGAGGTGTTTCTGTGAAGGAATTGGGAGGTGTGCACACAAGAGGCAAAGGGTGTATGCGGATGAGCCATTGCCGCTTCCTCTCCGAACACAGCACAGGATCATCTTTCCGCACTTCTTTTTCGGCCATGTCGGCAGCTCCCAGTCGAAAAATTTGCCAGCTGGATCTTTAGATGATTTCAGGCGCATTACACTATTTTCGATATGTTTACCTCTGAATTTGATGGAGATGGAAAAGTGTGAAGTTCGCCGTATTTCGAGGGATTGAAGTCAGGAAGTGTCGCCCTTTTTTAATCATCAATTCCTTCAGCAGGACTGCTAGGGTTCATCTGTTTTCTTCACGTATTCGTATGCAGTATCATTTAACATTACTCTTACATCAAAAAGAATCGTTCGGATACGTGTTAAAGCCATGGACATGTCGAAAACGTGAATCCCAGAGATGTGTAAGGAGCCCCTCCGATCTTGGACTCAGAGTGATTAGTCATCACAGTGGAACACGCGTCTGCCGTCTCACGACACAAGACGTGCGCACTAGCTCTTGTAAACGCAATCACCTTTCAGTGTGTAGCCTTCTAGGAAGCGACCTGTGCTGTCGGCTAGACGAGCTCAAATGATTGAGGAATACAGCGTTCACCGTCGGCGATCAATCCCGCCATGATCGGCCACTGAACGGCACATGGACTCTTCCTCGTTACAGACGGTAGATCGCTTTGAGATATTCATGAGTCCCAAGGAATGAATGTCTTAACACGCCGACATCTTTCCTTCCTCCTTCGAGTACCGAGATGATCGTAGCTTGCAGCGTGGCGGAGGCTGAAGCTGACCATCCCTCCTCAGCGGCCACCTCCTGTCACTCACTCAAATTTGGGCGGGAGACCGCCCTGCCAGATATCGCGAGCCCCCGGTCTTCACCACAAAGGTACTTGGCAGGAACCAGGACCCATTTTCAATAAACCCTCATATCTTTGAGAGGTCGAATTTCTGTTAACAATCCTTCGCAGGCTCAGGACAAACTGAGACGGCTCAGCAGGCGTGCCAGTGACGATTGTGGTTCAACCGCAACTCCGATCTCCTCGCTGGCACCAGGACAAACTAACATCGGCTAGGGGCGTACTAGCGGCGACTAAAATTCAACCATTAGTCGACAAAAGTTACTTGTTCGAACCTTTGTTTAATCCACAGGATCAGTAAGTTCGGTCGGAGGCCTCAGTTGCGAGATGTTGCGGGGGGTGATTCTGGGGGTTTGAGCGCGCACGCGGGGAAGAAAGAGATGTCGGGGATTTGCGCAGGAGGGGGTCCGAGTCGAAAGGGGAGAAGCGCGTAATGGCGTGGGAACAAAAAACCAGCCTTCGAAAGAAGGCAGAGTTTCACTTCCCATCCTATAAATCCAGACGGACCGTTAATAAAACGTCCGCACCTGGTAGGGTGGAAAAAGTTTTTGTCTTTTGGCTGGTATGTCGATACGTAGGTGGATTGAAGGTATTCAATAACGAATGTCGTGTAGCAAGACAGCCATTCCCTTTAGCCTTGCCTAGCCAAGGAGGAGTGTCGTATACGAACATCGACACATCGAGGTAAGCATATCGATCGAATCAGCAGTCAACGAGGAGAGGATATATACGTAAGCATCGACGAGCTCAATCACATTCCAGGATCCCATGGCGATCGATGTCGAGGGCTGCTTCAGTTTGGAAGGTGTCGAGGATATCTTTAGAAGCCATGGTTCCACTAGGGAGCGTATGCTGCATCGGCCTTTCTGCCGCTTTGCAAAATCAAGATCCGGACACGAATGTGATTGAAGGAGTGGCATCGCTCAATATCCAGGGTCGGTACTTTATCACTTGATGTTATTGAGCATGAGTGGCTGACGAGATGTAATCCTGGCCTCTGTCGGAAAGAGTCGGGCGACAAAGACGCCCGGTTTGTATGCCCAAGACCCCGGCCGGGGTACCTGGGGACGAAATCGTTTTGTGGAGGTCGAAGCAAGCTTCTTCATTGGTTTGACCGGGTATAGTGAGGCGGGCTGACGTTAATTGTACGCCGGCGGCAGCTAAGTCGATACCTCGGATTCCCCATGACCAGAATTCTGGTGCCGCAACGACAAGCTCAGGGGAACACTTTCATGACCACAGGCTTCTGTGAACATAAGCATGGAATATTTGACCGTAGATAATGACATCAATTGCGAGGTGGCGGAGAGCCGCATTCTCTCTGCCCCTCATGGCCAAGTTCGCTGATCGATCCAGCTTCCTTCCCGAGAATGTGGTCTTGCGATGTGACGTTCCGGTCAATGTGACCTCGTAACTGCCCCTATCCATAAGTAGACGAGAAAAAGTTCCCCGGATGCACCTAGTCGATTATCGCCCGACTCGGCTTTCGACTTGCATCCTCTGGAACGATTCAACAAATGAACAGGTTGGAACGAGCCGTGCCGATGTCATAGACGCGGTCAGCCTTCTTCTGACGAGGCTCTGCCCGCGCAACGTGGGGTGTCGATGTCTTGGTGAATTTCAATGCGTGGTTTCAATGACCTTCCAAAGGTGAGTACTGGAGAGTCGGCAGGAATTTCCACAAATAGTTGTCCTTGAGCAAGCATCGTGACGAGAACGGAAGGCATCCAAAATAACCTGCAAGGCGCTGTGAGCGCAGTCAGGTCAGGTGCCGGCACCGAATTATAAATATGAGCTGATTGGCATCGAAATCGGCATCAAACGTTTTGATATTGGCAAAGTCTTTGTGACATGCCTGATCGAAGAGACACGATATCAACTTGGATACAGTGAACAACCTCCAGAGCCTTGCTCCAAATGCAGTAGAACATGGCTCGAAGCAATAGGTCTGACATTTGGTGGTGCAACCCTCAGCAGCTGATGATTCTTCAGGACCGACAGTACAGCATCTTTCGACAACCTTCTCAATCGTGCTCAACGAGGTAGCATGCTGAGTGCATACCTCTACGGCGGGCACGCTGTCCTCGACTTCGTCCTCCTCGGGCGGGCGCATGAGCGGCCACTCCACCTGCGGCAGACTGCAAACGACAAATTCGACAGGATCGGGCACATAAAGAGTCAGTGCAAAACCGTGTCTGAGCTCATGACATTCATGGACCAATGGACAGATCCAAAAATGGTCCGAGAAGCGCTGGTGTATCGACCTTTACTGGTTGAGTGAAGTCCCGCGGGAAGAGACGATGATGAAGAAGGAAGAGGAAGATGGTGAGGGTCCTGGACGTTTGCCAAGAACAGGCCCATGATCGCCTAAAGGACCGCTAATGCTGTCAGGAACGACGCCTAATTCGCCTATTGGTTTGGACCTGTGGGAAGGAGGGACGGACGGACGCATGAGGATGGACACACGAGAGAGTGCACATGATGGGCATTTCGGGATGGACTGGATGGGACAGAGCTTTTCGAGTATCAAACAGTTCTAGTTATCGATGTTGTCTAACAATATTCTATCAAGCATTCTAATGTATCTCGCTGAGTCTTCTGTCGATGGAAAAATATTACGTTTTGCTATTCTATTCGTTTATGCAGAGTTCTCCCCTATGCGTTGAGTCTTCCCGACGTCTATCCCCGTGCCGCTCAATCAGTTCGCTTCCAGAAATCGAGGATGGCTTCAACCACTTCATTGCCCTTGGTAATCGGCACGTCGTGGGCTGCGTCAAGCACTGCAAATTCGACGTTCTCAGAAAGCAACTCGGTAGCATCTTCCTCAAGTTCTTGTTTGATAATGATGGGATCGGTGGCTCCCAGGACGATGAAAACCTTCTTTCGCGTACCGTTCTCTTTGTTTTGCTCCCTCAACCGTTCGCCCACGATTCTCCACCGGTCATGCTCGTCACGGATTGGACCATACCTAATGCTTGAGATGAACGCCGGGACAAAACCAGGATAGTGGTCAAGCTGATGTGACACTGCTTTTTCGACCGTGACATGTGGCCGTGACTTGGATAGCACAGCTCGAGAGTTGGATTCGAGATTGACCTCGGCTTGCACGGCTTCGGTGGCATCGACCTTCCTCGTCTTCTCTGGGTTCTTTGGCGGTGCAGCCATCGGTGATCGGAGGCGTTCTTTCACAAGACGTTGTATGATAGGGTCGGGGATGATGCCCTCCGAATATATAATGCGGCTTTGCCGGCTGATGTGGTAGGGTCTCACGAGTCCGGCGGGAGCGAAGAGGATGAGACTGTCCACCAGACCCGGGAAGTAAGACGTGAAGGTAGTGGCGATCCCACCACCCAGGGAGTAGCCAATGAGGGAGAATTTGCCGGACTTTGTGCCGGTCCATGACAGTGGTGACGATGCCAGCACCAGCAAGATCTGAGTGGTGAATAGCCTGATATCATGTCGGAGGTCGCTCGCAGTGTCTGAGTATCCTCGTCCAAAAAGGTCGAAGAGCATGACGCGGCAGCCATTGTCCACTAGGGAGTTTGCGACGGCGCCCAAGGCGATAGCTGGCGTGCTAATGCCATGCACAAGAAGAACCTTGCGTCCATCCTCAGGGCCAAACTCGAACACTCGTATCGACCCGTAAGGGGTATCGACATCTCTGGCTCCAGGTAAGACGTCCGGCGGATATGGTAGACGCCCCTTCTCCTCTTCCGAAAGCTTAGGTAACAGGGTTGATCGTGGCGATCGATGTATGTAGCTCTCTTTGGGTTTGCTGAACAGCCCTCCAGCAAAAGCTCCGGCCGCGAAGAGGCAGGTCCCGGCGATAATAAGTCTCCATTCGATGTAGCCCGCAGGCAGGTTCAATCTCGACGCCATCTTGCCGGACGAGCAGTCAAAGGGACAACGACTTTCAGCAAAGAGAAGTTCTTTAGGGATGCCTAGCAGAAAGTACCGGACCTCGGCTAAATGACTCGCGCAACAGCTAACAACCGCGAAATAGCTGAGTCATGTGTGATGCTTTCGATGTTCTTAAGAGCGATACTCGCTTTCTTCAAAGAAATAGGTCTGGCCTTCGAATGAAAGGACTGTTGAAGCGGATTTATTTCTGCATGACTAAGTCTGGGTATCACGTAGGTATTACAACTGCTTTTACATTGCCCACATCAAAACGAGAAGTCCAAAGCTTTTCCACCAGGCTTGTCCTTACCCTTGTTTCCCTTTCTCTTTTTCCGTCTGGCCTTGGGTTTCTCGTCTTGATCGCTACTGTCTTCCATGTCGGAGTCGTCCTCATCCTCATCCTCATCAGAAGACAGATCGTGTTTGGTACCTGCGCTCCTACCTCCACCAGGAAGACCTTTAGCTTCGGTCCATACCTTGACAGTCTGGCCGCCTCCACTAATCATTCTTCCTTCGATATCGAAGCCAAGTCCAACAACGCCGTCAATCTCGTCGTGCTTAGCGTCCATATCATTCAGCACGCCGTTGCGACCTATTCGCAAAAACCGGACTCGCCCATCCTCCAAGCCTGCAGCCACAAGCCTCTCATCCATCTTTAGCTTGCCGCTTCCAAAGCCGAAGGGTACTTCGACCAAGCTCTCGATACTGAGGCCACTCCGGTCGACCACCATTCGCTCATCGAGGTCGTCCCAGACCCCTTTCTCCCACAAACTGACCACTCCATCGCCCTGGCCTACTAATACCTTCTCACCAACACTTGTGCCGCCCTTCTTCAGACCTTGAACGAGGCTAACACTGGTCAGTTCGATCTCTTGGTCTTCGCTTGTGGCAATTGTGCCCTTGCGGAGATCGGTGACTGCTAGCGTTGATCCCCCTACGGTGACCCATTGCTTGGGAAACCCGCTCGTGCTTGCTTCACTTGCTGGCAGAGGTACCAGAGCATTGATATGTTCCTCACCGTGAGGGTTCCACGTCTGACTCGCCTTCGACACTATCTCTTTCCCGCCTTGTCTTGTGTCCAACAGATATAAGATCCCCGAGTCTGTGCCGAGCAGAAGTGCCTGCGGCGACAGTGCATGCAACACCGATGGTGCGTCTGTATCTCGAACCCCAGGTATTGCAAACTTTCCCACGACTTTGCCGGTCTCCGTCATGAAAGATTTGACCAACCCATCAGTGCCTGCAGAGTAGCAGATGTCCCCATCGTGACTGAATGTGAGACATCGACATGAGCCTTTATGTCTCTTCGTACTCCAGATTGTGTCTATTGAACCAAGTCCACTTTCTGAAACACTCGCTGAGGAAGACCGGCGCAAGGACGACGTCAAAGGAGCCGAACCATGGCCATTGATGAGGTTCGTCGTCTTCGTAGGAGATTCAGAGCTATCTTGAGAGGCACTGTCGATTGCATCGGCGTCCGAGGGGAGCTTGTATGCTTGCACATGTCCTGAAGAGAGGCCGACTGCGAATAGAGGTTCGGAGGGGTGAATGACTTGAGCAAATAGATCCGATTGGAGAGGGAGAGTGCAGATTGTGTCGAACATGACGAGCTGGAGGGCAAGATCACCGCATTTCAACGATAGCTTCACTGTGGTGACTGTTGTACTCCGTACCACAATGGCTCGAAGCTTGAAGCTGCCGTTTTGTTGGAGAGCAAATCCTCGTGGGCTCAAATTTGGAGATTCTAAGCGAGGAAATTTCCCCAGCCGCCGCCAAGAGCAGTGCGCTTTTAGGCTGGTGTAAGCTGCGGGAAAGCCCGGATTTAACTATAAGCTTAACTAAACAATCCTCTGAGGGCTGTGGTTCGCCGCCGGGGTGTGCCTGGTGTGCCCACTGTCTCTTTGTACCTGAGTTTTTCCTCTGATAGCCGATCCATCGTCTAGACATCGTCCAACCATAACATATCACACAAGCAACTGACAGTCACGGATCCCATATGTCCCGGAGGCCGTAGGAGCTACTCCGTACACTGTCATCTACATCCTATTCTACACTCGGCCGTCTTGCGCAAGTTGAACCACTGGCTTACAGGGACCCTCTTTCAGGCTTACGACGGTCTGGCGCCTGAGTCGTCGCTCAAGGTTGAGTGGAAAAAGCATTTACTGTCACCTATACTCGAATTAACTTTCATTCGGATACCCTCTCGTCTATCAAAACATTGAACATGACGTCTGCAGACGTGTTAGAGGACGAGGCTATTGACCCTCGACTCGACGAGACAACAGCCTTACTTGTTGCACCAGCCAAAGCCTCGCCCGCACGGGACGACGAAAGTGGACCAAACGACAATGGCACTGAAGATGACAAGCCCTTACCCAAGGACCAGATCTTATTTCTCTGCTTTGCCCGGGTTGTCGAACCCATTGCCTTCTTCTGCATCTTTCCCTTCATCAATCAGATGATTCGGGACACTGGAGTCGCAGAGGAAGATGTTGGCTTCTACAGTGGATTGATCGTATGAGAACCTCCTCCTCAACCACATTGCTTACGCTCACCGTGTCTTCCCAGGAATCCCTATTTTCATTGACACAAATGGTGCTCATGATCCCATGGGGCTGGGCCGCAGACTATTGGGGACGAAAACCTATCTTGGTGTCGTCCCTCGCTGGCGTCGCTATTGCAACGGCCATCTTCGGCCTCAGCAAGACGATATGGCAGATGATTGTGTTCCGCTGCTTCGCCGGTCTCTTCGCTGGAACCATTGTGTAAGAAACCTCAAGCACACTCCGCTCTGAGGATCTTCACTGACTCCGTGGCTACCATAGGACAATCCGTACCATGATCAGCGAAAACAGTACCCACAAGACCCAGGCTCGAGCCTTTTCCTTTTTTGCGTTCACAGGCAATCTAGGTATATTCCTAGGTCCTATCCTCGGTACGTCTACCTTCATACCCTGGTCCTTTTGGGTAGTTTTTGACGATACTTGTACAGGAGGAGCGCTCGCAAAGCCAGCGACCGTATTCCCCTCCATCTTCGGTCACATCCAGTTCTTCCATGACTACCCCTATGCCTTGCCGACCATTGTCACAGGCAGTATTGGCGTCATCGCAACCGTAACCAGCGCCCTGTTTATCAAAGAGGTACGGCGCGCTCGCTCCCACCTGCTACTTTCCTCCTTGGAGGCTCTTGCTCTCTTCACTACTAAAATCATCCGTCATGTGTTGTCAGACGCTCGTCCGCGAACCTAAGTCCTCCTCCGATGCCGCCTCACGACCACGAATGTCTACATTGGAGCTGCTGCGCGCTCCCAACGTCGGGATAACGCTCTACATCTACGCGCACGTCATGCTCCTCGCCTTCGCCTACACTGCCATCAGCCCCGTCTTCTCCTTCACGCCCGTCCACCTCGGCGGTTTCGGCTTCACTCCGCTCCAGATCTCGCTCTTCGTAAGTCCCTTCTTGTTCTGCCGGCTTCCAGAGACGCTCTGCTCTTGCCCAAACTTACCAACGAGTTTCTACGTTTATGCTTTCCCCCCCATCCTTTGGCCTGGACAGCCCCGTTTTGCTGACGAGAAGCGGCACTCATAGATGGGCCTCGGCGGCCTCAGTCAATCGCTCTATCTTCTTATCATCTTCCCCTGGCTGCAGAAGCGCATCGGCACCGCGGGAGTAATGCGCCTCTGCGCCAACGCGTACCCATTCTTCTTCGCCATCTTACCAGTATGCAATATCCTTCTGCGCAACGGTCTGACCACGGCGTTCTGGGTCATCACCCCTGTCGCGCTCGTCGTCGGGTCCGGGGTTGCCATGAGTTTCACGGCCATCCAACTCGTGCTGAACGACGTGAGCCCCAGCCCGGCGGTGTTGGGCACGCTCAACGCCGTCGCGTTGACGTTGGTCAGCGGCATCCGAGCGTTCAGTCCGGCCTTGTTTGCGAGTCTGTTCGCCGCGAGCGTCGGGAGTAAATTCCTCGGCGGCCATGTTATTTGGATCCTCATGATTGCGTTGGCGCTGGGCTTTACAGTTGTGAGCCGGTGGGTGCCGGAAGGGGAGAAGGAGGTCAAAAATGGTGAACGTCAGGATGATCGGGATGGGCTGGACGCATAGACTTGCCTTGACACAATATCAAATGGTTATGCGGAGGAGCAGCAAGCCTACCTAGAAGCATATTGACCGCTATACTATAGATCTAAGATGTTCTCTTCGGGAGGGAAGATTTGCACACGCACATATTGGATAGACAGCGGCAAATCCAACAATTGAACATATAGGAAAGGATAGCCAGCAGTCATTCACAAGTCACTGTTCTATCTGTTTGCCCACAAGCGACATGTTCATGTTACAAAAGAAAATTATAGATCCGCCCTTGCAGGCTCACCAGCCCAAGCTCTCCTGATGAGTTCACGGATAGGTTCCTTCTCGACTTTTCGTGGGTTGGGATACTGATTGCTCACGGCAATCTCAGCGGCCTTATCAATGTCCTCTTCCTTCATGCCAAAATCCTTCAGGGCACGCTTGACCTTCAACTTCTCCAGCAAGATGTTTAGACCTTTGGTGGCGTCGCCTTCGCTGCCTGGTAGCACGGATGCCAACTTCTCCATAGCCTCGGGGATGGCTGGGGCATTGTATGACAAGGCATGAGGCAGCACGATCGTATGCGTCTCTGCGTGGGGGAGGTTGAAAGAGCCACCGAGCGTATGGCATAGTTTGTGATGCAGAGCCATCGAGGACGAACCCAGGCACACTCCGCAAAGCCAGGCACCATATTGCGCCTTTTCGCGTGCTGGTTGCGACTGGGGGTTCTGGATGATCTCTGGAAGTGACTCTGCCAGAGCCTTGGTACCCTCGAGCGCGAGTAATGAGATGATTGGGTTCTTGTTCTTTGCATATAGTGCTTCGACGGCGTGAGCGATGGCGTTGACGCCAGATGTTGCGCTGAGTGCGACAGGAAGCGTCATTGTCAGGTTCACGTCGTAGATGACTGTGCCAGGTAAGATCTTGGGGTCTGATCTTGTGGTTTTGCGACCTTCTTGTGTTTCTCCCAGAATAGGCGTCATCTCGCTGCCAGCGTAGGTCGTGGGTATGCAGATATGAGGCAGTCCTGTTCTGATGGAGATTGCCTTGCCCAGACCAATTGTTGAGCCTCCTCCTATTGACACGACGCAGTCTGCGGACTTTGACTTCAGGAAGGACATGGCTTCTTCGGTGACGTGGGAGGGTGTGTGCATGGTGGCATTGGTATAAGTGCCTGCAGGCTCGATAGACCCGGAAGTCAGGATTTTGGCGAGATCTTCTGCTTGACTGACCTGCTGAGGCGTGGAGAGGAGAAGGGGTGATTTCAAACCGAGTCGCTTGATCTCTTCGGGGAGTTTGTTGATGCTGCCGGGTCCGAAGACCACGCGGCCAGGGTTGGCATTGTACTCGAAGGGATCCATTGCTTTGTCAGAGGGTTAAGATTGGTTGCAAGGGTTCGAGCGCGCTCAATTCAATATTTTGTGAGAAGGAGAGAGAAGATGCAAGTACTGGGGATTTCCCACGGTTTTGGTGGTGGTGGTGGTAAAAGACCCCGCAGAAGCATCATCGGAAGAGGCACAAGAGGGTTGTTGCAGCACAGAGCTTCGTGGGGTAGAAACCACCGGCAGAAGCACCCATCACACCCACAATATTGCCCACTCATCGCCGGGTATGTGCCCAGCGAGCCACAATCTTCAGCATTTATCCGACTCCTGGAGCATCCCGAGTCTCTTGCGTATTGCTTACAAACCTCGACTGGTTTGCTTTCCGCACTCGCACCCTCACAATGTCAAGCCTGGCCAAAGGTACAACACAACCGCGAAGATCCAGGTGCCAGACAGAATTTGAAATGCTTGTAGCATTTGGTTCGAGGCTCTAATTCCCTCGTTGTAGTCCTGGAAGAATGGGACTTTGACTTTGTGGCGCCAGAAATCCGCGATATGTCGGTAAGCCAATATGATGCCGCCAGCATTGGCTATGCTCAGGAACAATGGCAGCTTTTTACCCCCCGTTGGACCGATGGCAAGGATGATAGAGCACAGGACAGAGGAGATTGTCTGATGATCTCAGTCAGTCCTGGAGGGCTGAAATAGGAGAATGTAGGTAGCTTACCGCAAGTGCTCCGCTTGTCTGCGTTGTTCTGGTTTTATGTAGCTGTTGAGCTGCCGTCCTCGAGTATCTTGCCGCTTGCTCGGTTTGTTCTTCTCGTTGCTTAAGATTGTAGATGGCAATGGCAGAAAATAAACCCGTGTAGACACCAATACAGGTCTGAGTAGCATGGAACAATGAAAGCACAACCGTTGTTGCTGGGAGGGATGGCATGTTGGCTTCGTTCTGTGACCGGCTTCAACTTGATGATGAGAATTTCTGCTTGGTCTGAACTCGAGCCTGCTGAAGAAGGAAACCTCGAAAGCATCAGGCGAGTCAAGCCTCTGGTGACGCTCATTAATCCAACCAATCAAACGCGCCTTCACAGTGCTGACTAACCACGACGCCAAGCTGCAGTCACTCGTAGCGACTGTGACTTCGTCCAAAATTTTATGTAGCCTCCAGTCATTCCTCTCTGACGGAGCATGGCCACCAGGGTGCTGGATACTATCTTCCCTCCATCAGTCTCCTTGAGCATTGGACCTCGACCATGGCCGAACAACTCACCACACCTCCAGTGCTTTCAACGCCGGACACCCATATCCTGACCGAGGACATTCCGGACGCTATTCGCTCTGGTGCAACAGAAACCCTGTCCGAAGAGGAGCTGGAGGTCAGATATGAGATCAGTAGGACGATTGCTGAAATCAGAAAGCGAAGATGGAGGCGCGTCGCTCTGCAGTTCCCTGACCATATGCTCCCTCACTCCGCCCGGGTCTATCAACTACTAGCCAGAGGATTGCCACAGGAGAAAACAGGCACCGTGAGCGGTTCTGCGACACTGGACACTGCCATCTCTGATCTCGCCATCTCTGAAGAAAAGCCAGTCAAACTTACTATTCTTGGCGACACATCCTATGGAGCTTGCTGCGTGGATGAGATTGCAGCCGAGCATGTTGATGCTGATGCTGTTGTCCATTATGGTAGGGCATGTCTTTCGCCGACTGCAAGACTGCCCGTTTTGCACATCTACACAACTATGAAACTTGACTACAAAGATGTAGTTGAGAAGTTCCAACAATCGTTCCCTGATCTAGACACAAAAGTCATTTTGACTGCCGATGTCCCATATGGCGCACACGTACAGCCAGTATGTGACATGCTGCAAGGCCTTGGCTATAAACACATGTTTGCAGCTTCGATCGTTCATGATCCCTCTTCCCCAATCCCTAATCGGACACTTCCAACCAGCGTTTTCGAAGATTCTGCATCATTGTCTCAATGGAGCCTTTTTCACATCTCCGATCCGCCAACCGCACTCCTTCTCACTCTCACCTCTCGCATGGCCAGTGTAAGAGTGTACAGCACAGACCTCACTGCCTCCAGCACTTCAACATCAGCCGCGTTGGAAAATTCGACCAGACTACTGCTTCGTCGGCGCTACGCTCTGATCACATCCCTCACCACCGTGCCTATCTGGGGTATATTGATCAATACCCTCAGTGTCAAGAATTATATGAACATGCTCTCTCATATTCAACGTCAAATTTCCGCGGCCGGAAAGAAATCATACCTCTTTGTCGTGGGTAAACTCAATCCTGCAAAGATTGCAAACTTCTCCGAGATTGGCGGCTGGGTGGTGGTTGGCTGCTGGGAGAGCTCCCTGGTCGACAGCAAAGAGTTCTACAGGCCTATCATTACACCTTTCGAGTTGGAGTTGGCATTACAGTCTGACGACACTCGGGTATGGACAGGCGAATGGCGGGCAGATTTTCAAGCTGTTCTCGAAGATGCCGCGAAATGGGAACAACAAATGCAGACTCAAGCGAACGACACTGATGAAATTCTCCAGCCTGAGCAGAATGGAGAAGCCGAGCACGGGCTGGACTCGGAGTCAGAATCTGAACCTCCTGAATTTGACCTCCGAACAGGCCGCTACGTTTCCAGGTCGAGACCAATGCAGAGGACGAGCCATCTTCAAGGGGCAGCGGGATCTGGCACCAACGGTAATCCCTCAACAGCGTTGACGAAAAGGAGCAAGGGCGATATAATCTCTGTCAACGGTATCGCATCACCTGCCGCGGAATACCTGAAGGAGAAACGTGGCTGGCGTGGATTGGGTAGCGATTTCGAGGTCAAGTATGAGGAAGAGATGGAAGGAAACCTCATTGAAGAAGGTCGTACAGGAGTCGCTAGAGGATACACAGTTGGAGAGTCGGCGCCGACTTGAGGTGAACCCAACTCTAAGCATGCTACATGCTCAGCAGCACTGTCATTTTCCCCTTCGCTGTCCCTTTAAAGCTACTTGCTCAGGATCACGGTCCCAGCGCGTTCGCTAGGTCTGCTATATCGTCCATGTCCTCAAGCTTCCAACAAGCCTTGATCGTCCTTTCAGCGTTGTCTCCGCCTAACACCGGACTGGCTTGATCCAAGAACTTCCGCTGGAGCTGTTCAACAGTCATTGGCCGTGCTAGCGAGCCGGTTGCATGCTCAATATGGAATGAGCTCTCCAAAACGCCGGTCTCGCCCGGGCGCTCATACTTGATCGTCAAGTACGCTTCATCATCGCGCACTTCACCATCTGTCCGAACATTGACCCTATCCCGCGCTGAGGCTACCTGCACATTCTCAGAAGCAATATAATCTGAGAACTCTGCAGGTCCCGCTCGCCCACAAACCAGTGCTACCGCGCAGCCATGGTACAAGGAGAAGATCGTCTCGAGGCCGTTCTTGGGATGTCGGACCGAGCATAAGCGGACGCACTGAGGGTTCACGACCACGTCGATCGAGACAATTCTTTCGCAGAAAGACTCTTCACCTTGCTCCATACTATGAAAGTGCTCGTAAGCTTCGAGACAGCCGTCGATGAGCGGATGAATCACGATCCCGCATGGATACGGCTTGAATGTGTTTTGAAGAATCTGCCAATCGCCTTCGTCTGCGAGAGCCGACAATTCCCCTTCCACAACCGTAGTCGATACAAGTCTGAGCCAAGACTCGATGGGCCTGTCACAGCTACCAAACCCGTGTGCGGCCAATTTGGCAGCGAGTATCCCGTTCTGTGCGCCTCGACCCATATGCAGCGTCTTTGTGTCGGTACCGAACATTGCCCGGATCCCTCCCGCCATACTTGCTGCGTGGCCCAATGCTGCAGCATATTGGGCAGAGTCGAGATTTAATGCTTTTGCGATGGCGGCAGCGGCGCCGAAGTGGCCGGTCGTGCCTGTGATGTGCCTGGTATTCTTCATCAGTTCTTGCAGCGGCGTGTGGTGGATTAAAGGCGCTCTTACCAACCGTCTTTGTAATGACTTGGTCCCAAGGCATTGCCTACTGCGCATTGGGCTTCGACGCCAGCGACAAAGGCCAGGATAAAGTCTCTACCCGAGAGGTGGTGCACCTGAGCCCAAGACAGCAATGCAGCAAGCGGTGTCCCTGAAGGATGGATCACGGTGCGCAGGTGGGTGTCGTCGTAGTCTGCCGCGGTGAGCGCAACGCCGTTGACCAGAGCGGCGGTATCTTGACATGCCCGTTCGCTACGGCCAAGGATGGTACATTGTCCACTCGAGGAATCCGAGGTCAGGACTGTTTCGATGACCTTTTCAACAGGAGGAGCACGGGATGAGCCAAGACCGCATCCCAGGCTGTTCAAGATGGAGCGTTTTGCTTGTGCAATGACATCTTCGGGTAGATGCTCATATTTCAATTGTGCGAGAAACTTGGCAAGTTTGAAAGTATGGTCAACTGGTTCCATGGTCTTTTTGGCTAGAGACCCTGCCAGAGACTCATGTCTGCCATTGACGACCCAGCCTGAATTCCAGTATCATGAGTGCCTCCCCAATCCCCGAGGTTGGAGAAAGCTGCCCATCAAGTTGGAGAGACAACGGAGGCGTGCAAGGCTTTCTGCTGTTTTCTGCATATTTTGATGGTTTGCAATATGGCCATGAATACAATCGTCCACTCTCCAGTGAATGGGGCCGAGATGTGTTTGACAAGAACTCATGGCACTGGGCTGGGCTTGGGCCGATGTCGCTGCTGACGACGGCGACCTCGAAATCGAGATGACTTCCATGTGCCCCTCACAGTTTGATGTCATGGGTACCGGACATGATTTCCGGCAGGACAATTCCCCGCCTACCACCCAACTACATTGGTATAGTGATTGGTTCTTTGGTGTTTATCAGTCGATCGATTCATGTGAAAGCCTGGAAGAAGGCATCAACGCATCTTCTAGGCCTGTTTATCACGGAACAGACGGCGGAGCCTCTGATGTCACAGAGGTGAAGACATTCTGCAGAGAATATAAGGGCCTTCACCTGGACACGAGGTCTGGGAATGACGATTAATGTTGCAACAGCCTCTTCGCTCTTAACCTTAACACCCAATATTTGTGCTTGAAAGGTAGGATATAAGTTCTGCATCGCTCGTTGTCCACAACCATGGCATCGAAAAGCGTGACCAATCTACTCTCTAAAGCCGCAAGACCAGCGTCTCGCCTCCAACTTCCCGCAAGCCACCGTCTCCTGTCAACAACTCCCATTCAGAACCAAGCCCAAACCCTTCTCCAGGACAAAGAAAATGGCTTCGGCTTCATCCGCCACAACCCTCGCACACCGAAACCTCGCGACAAAGGCGTCACCGAGATCCGCGGGCCGTACTACTCCGCATATGGCAAGCGGCACTTACAAGACGTCCTTGAGACAATGGGTTACCACGTCGACGGCCTCAAGTTTGCGGGCGGGAGTTTCTCGATGATGCCCGAGTCCGCGGTGCGTGAGCTCGTCGACCTAGCGCATCAATACGACGTTTATGTGAGTACCGGCGGGTGGATGGAGCATATCCTCACACAACCGGACGCCCACAGCGCGGTGGACAAGTACCTCAGGAAGTGCAAGGACATCGGGTTCGACGTGATCGAGCTGTCATCTGGGTTTCTGTCCTTCCCACCGGACGACTGGCTACGGCTGGTCGACAAGGTGCACAGCATGGGCCTCAAGGCCAAGCCGGAACTGGGCATTCAGTTCGGCGCGGGTGGTGACACGGCGGCGGAGGACCTGGAAGCCGCAGGCACGTCGGACCCAAGCAAAGTGGTCAATCTGGGGAAGAAGTTTATCGAGGCGGGTGTGGAACGTATGATGATCGAGAGCGAGGGTATTACAGAGAACGTCAAGAGCTGGCGTACCGATGTTATCCAGGCGATCCTCAGGGATCTGCCTCAGGAGAAAGTGGTAAGTGCGAGGACCTGTATCTTTATTGTAGCTGTGCCAGCCACGCAGGACCAGCCACACAGGCCCTCTTGTGTTTTTTTCGGTGACTGACAACCTGCAGATGTTTGAAGCCGCGGATCCGCCCGTTTTCAACTGGTATGTTCGCGAGTTCGGGATTGATGTCAATCTTTTTGTGGATCACTCGCAGATTGTGCAGTTGACGTGCCTGAGGAGCGGAATATGGGGAATGGCCGATACCTTTGGGAAGATTGTCAGCTATCGGAAATGAGGAGGAGGAGGTGGTGGTGGTGGCGAGCAGAGCCCAGCAGTATGCGCGTCGAGTGTGTGGCTAAGCATGCATTTGAGCTGAGCAGACGAACAGCCAGGCAGAAATAATACGAGGTACGATGTGAGTTATGCAGGATTCTGGTATCCGACAGGCGCCAATCAAGGCCATGTTTCAAGGTCACGTGGTTGACGCAGGTTTCGGCTGTCTTGTCTCTTCTGTTGCGAGCGACTCGGATCTTTTAATCATCTTCCCTTCTTTCTGGGCTTCGCAAGGCGGACGCAACGCCATTCAAAGCTTTTCATAAATCTTCTGCAAATCACCCTACTATGTCTAGGTAGTCAGATGTTGACAAACGCCAAGATCGGATTGCGAAGCACCCATGCTTACAGGCTTCTCGATTGTCAATACCATCCAATGCTCGTGCTCGCCTTGTCGGATCTGCCGGATGCTGGTCGTGAGGCTCCATGCTATTTTGGGGTCCACACGCGGCATCGATGGCATTGACATCATCTTGTCATATTTTGTGCCTTCAATCAGTGGCCTTCCACGCCTTCTCACTGCGACTCGATGGAGACATGCTACTCGTACTACCGTGGTACCATGCACAGGGCTGTCACTCTACTTATCCATTTTAATGCATCTTGCAAAGCCTCACTGCTCAAAGGTGAATGAATATCCATAAGTGCATTTGTTTCCTTTCATTTCCTATCTTTCTCTCTCTTCTCAGCTGCTCGTGTGATCCAGCCCTTCACTTTCACACAGCCGGCAACAGGACCAACAAAAACCTCAATAGCCATGAAGGTCGCTCTGATAGCCACAGTCCTCGGAAGTCTTGCTGCCAGTGTGAATGGTAAGCCAAGTCCGCTCAAAGTTGTTTGTCGAGGTCAACTGACATTTGGAAGGATATGTTGTTGAAGCAGAAGACGCCTCTCTCGAAGCCTTAGCAAACCTACGTCGAGCGCTACCCAACTCTCCCAAAGGTTACACTCCGTCTCGTGTCACATGCCCTCAAAACGCTCCGTCAGTGAGAGCTGCAACGTCCTTGTCAGCGAATGAAACAGCATGGCTGGAGAAGAGGAGGAACAATACCCTCACACCCATGCGCAATTTGTTGAACCGTCTAGACATTGGTAACTTCAATGCTAGCGAATACATCGAAAACCACTCTCACAATGCTTCGGCCCTGCCGAACATTGGCATCGCTGTGTCGGGAGGTGGCTGGCGAGCATTGATGAATGGAGCAGGCGCTCTCAAAGCATTCGATTCTCGTACTCGAAACAACACAGGTGACGGTAAACTGGGTGGGCTGTTGCAGTCCGCTACGTACCTCTCTGGGCTCAGTGGAGGTGGCTGGCTGGTAGGCTCATTGTTCATGAACAACTTCACAACTGTTGGAGCATTGCAAGCCGACACTAGTGGCTCGGTGTGGGAGTTTGGGAATTCTGTCCTCAAAGGCCCAGACACTGGCGGTCTTCAGATCTTCGACACAGCAGAATACTATGCTAACCTTGCTAGCGATGTTAATGGCAAGGATGATGCTGGCTTTGACGTGTCTCTAACTGATGTCTGGGGCCGTGCCCTATCATTCCAGTTGATCAATGCCACCGACGGTGGTCCAAAGTACACTTTCTCCTCAATCGCCATCTCGCAGCCATTCCAAGACGCCAACTCTCCCTTCCCTATCCTAGTCGCCGACGCCCGAGCTCCTGGCGAGACCTTGATTCCAGGGAACACGACGGTGTATGAATTCAACCCTTTCGAGATGGGCTCTTGGGACCCGACGTCCTATGGATTCGTCCCGATGAAGTACTTGGGCACCAATTTCACGGCTGGCCAGGTTCCAAACAACGACCGATGCGTCATTGGATTTGACAATGGCGGATATATCATGGGAACCTCGTCTTCGTTGTTCAACCAGTTCATTTTGAACTTGAATCAAACAGACATCCCAGATACTCTGAAGGGCTTGATCGCCAACATTTTGGGGGGTCTGGATCAGGACAACAACGACATTGCCGACTACAGTCCAAACCCATTCTTCCATTATCGACCTGAACACAATCCTTCAGCCAATACAAGCAGACTTACACTCGTAGACGGTGGCGAAGACCTCCAGAACATCCCTCTTCACCCACTCATTCAACCATATCGAAATGTCGATGTCATCTTTGCAGTCGACTCCTCTGCTGATACGACCTACAACTGGCCAAATGCAACTGCTCTCGTCGCCACATATGAGCGGTCTCGAGCTGATATTTCCAACAATACTCTCTTCCCTAGTATTCCGGACCAAAACACCATCGTCAACCTCGGACTCAACACACATCCTACCTTCTTCGGCTGCAATGTCTCCAACTTCACGGAAGGTTCTCACATTCCGCCGTTGGTGGTATACCTCCCCAACTCACCATATGTGACCTTCAGCAACGAATCTACATTTACCTTTTCGACCAATAATTCCTACCGCGACGCGATCATTCTGAACGGTCAGGATGTCGCTACAATGGGCAACGGCACCGTCGATGACACATGGCCCACGTGTGTTGGCTGTGCGATTCTGAGCCGGAGCCTTGACCGCACGGGCACTGATGTTCCAGAGGTATGCCAGCAGTGCTTCAATCGCTTCTGCTGGAATGGCACCGTTGATTCGTCGACACCGGAACCGTACGAGCCAACGCCGATCCTAGCACAGTTGGACATTTCCAGCAAGGGATCGACGAGTCTGTTCAGTCGATGGACAGCTGCTGCTGCGGCGGCAATAGCTCTTGCGTCGACGCTGTAATCTTAATGTCAATGCACACTTTTGGGGGTGTCAATGGAGCTTATTGGAATTTTGATAAACACACGAGCAAGGAAAACAAATTCACGTTCAAGCTTACTCTGTATATGCAAAGGGTATGTGGGCGATCGGGTGCTTTTTGGGTATCTATACCAGTTTGCTAAAAAGGATGAAGGAGCTTTGCTATATGATCATGATGGCAACGGAATTGGGCTACACAAAAGGGGTTAACGAGGACATTGGTAACGACACCTAGCATTGCGAAGGGATTTGGGCATCGGCAAGCATGGAGCATACTCTGCTATAGCCACTGCATTTGGGATTGGACCTTGCAATGACACGTACACCAGAATCCATGGGGGAGATAGGAGTATAGCATTGTACAAAATGAGATGATTAATAGACGATCCCTTGGATTCTGACCGGTAAATCACTACTCTCCCCAAGGGACTGCGGAGGAGGCAAGACCGCTTCCCCAGACTCTGTATGGGACCAAGTTGAATGACATCGCCGCGCAGGTCAAGGGTTCCGCAGGAATAATGCCTCTACCATCACGAGTCCATGTTGAAGGTGCCATACAAATGTCGGATCCGACTTTCCACTCCACCTCCACAGTGACATGGTGGACATGGTGGACATGGTAAGTCTTGGGTCAGATTCACACTCATCCCCAATAACCTGGTACACCTGAATCGGGATGACAGCCTGGAGATATGTACGAGTACTCGTAGACTGTAGTAGTGTCTCTTTCTCCCGCTCTTTCTCCAGCCTGACGAGGACCACCCCACGGACATCTCTCGGCCAGCAAAGCACGTCCCCTCAGCACTAAAGAGTCTAAGACCAGGAAAATGGTAAGCGAGTCCAATCAATCACGGTACAACCGTCCTCAACCAGTCCCCAGCATCTCCCCTCCGCCCTATGAACTTGCCACACTTGCGCCCTGACAACTCCCCGGCGCGCCTCCACCGTCATTCAGCCCGTCGTGGAAAATGAAGATCTCCTCAGCCAGATGCCGTGCCGATACCCGGTCGGTCACTTCACCTCATCAGTGCGCACTGCTCGCTGGCAAGTTGCAATGGCCCTGGGCTAGGAGCCAACAACAGTGGGGAAAAGAAATTTCGACATGCTCTTTCGCTTGTTCGTACATACCGAAAAAAAAGAAGTCTACAGTACTCCGTACAAGTGAGTAACATTGACTCTCATCACTGCCCGGTGGCTACAGTATGGCGGCGCTCGACTCTTCTTCTTCTTCTCGGATACCTTAGCATTTCCTTCTCAGACAAGTTACGCTGCTTGGTAATTTTGTTCCGCGTGTCCAGCCTTGCATTGCATAATTCCTTCGAAGACTTCAACTCCAACTCTCCGTTTGCGCTCGGCATAGAATATTTTTACATGTACAACCCTCGTACCGCTACAGCTACAACTACATCTACAGCTACAGCTACCGCTCAGCCTGAGTCCAGGACAGTCTCTTCACATAACCAACAGCAACAAAAACAAACAATGTCTTGAAAGAACACCATTCACAAGAATATTCTCCGTATATAAATAAAGTCACAGCAAAAAGAATGGCTTCCCCAGATGCCATTGAGCGAGGGATATCCCGCTCGTCATCGTCACGCCTGGCCCACGAGAGAGAGAAAATCGAGATTGAAAGCATAGCATCCAACGAAGAACCCATACCCGCACTAGAACCTCCACCTCGCCATCCTCATCATGGCCACGACGCCGACGCATACACATCGGGAAACTTCAAGTACGAATACCTCACCTTCGACACCGACGTCTCGTTACCGGGCCTCGACCTGCACAAATACCAGTCGGCACTATCGTGGACACCGATACACAAAACGATAATTCTCGTCCTGTGCTGCTTGTGCACCTTCTTCGCCGCCTACAGCGCGGGGTCTTACTCGATCGCCGCGACGCCCCAGCGGCAGAAATGGAACTTGAGCGCTGTGGCATTCAACACCGGCGTGACAGCTTGGGCCATCGGCTTCGCCTTGTCGCCCATGTTCCTGGCCCCCTTCTCCGAGATCAACGGCCGACGGCCCGTCTTCCTCGCGTCCGCCGTGATCTTCCTCGCCGGGCTGATCGCGTGCGCCACGACCCCGTCCTTCGCCGGCATGCTCGTCGCGCGCTTCTTCGTCGGCGCCGGCGCGAGCACGTTCTCGACCATGATCGGCGGCGTCCTGTCCGACATGTACACGAACGAGGACCGTAACACGCCCATGAGTATCTACTCTGGCTTCGCGCTGGCCGGCACCGGCGTTGGCCCGCTATGTTCGGGCTTCATCGTTGGCCGTGCGAGTTACCGCTGGGTGTACTACCACCAGGTCATAGGCGTCGGCTGTCTGTTGGTCGTGGTGTACTTCTTCTTCGAAGAGACTCGGGGCTCCGTATTGTTGAGTCGCAAGGCTCGTGTCATCAACGAGTACCTTGAGAAGACCGACCTCGAACACGAACACGACCCCCAAAAGTTCACAACTCCCAACGACACTCCTGAGGACCCGGAGAAACCATCCCTCGGCGTAGTCCCAACAAGGTTGCGCTACAAAGTCGCGGCCGACGAATCGCGGTCGTCGTTGGCGCACATGCTGTATCTGTCACTCACCATCCCCTTCAAGCTCCTGTTCACCGAACCCGTCGTGTTCTTTTTCTCGTTGTGGACCGCCTTCGCCTGGGCGCTGCTGTACATGACATTCTCCGTCATCCCGCTCGTGTTCAGCACTCGACACGGCTTCGACACCGAACAGTCCGGCGCCGTGTTCGCGTCCATCGCGATCGGCTCGATCCTGGCGACGGTTGTGTGTGTGTTCCAGGAACGCATTGCGAAACAGTACTGGCCGAAACTCACCACGTCCCCCGAGGGCCGGCTGTATTTTGCCTGTCTCGAGGCCGCGCTGCTGCCGATCGGGCTCTTTTGGTTCGGATGGACCACGTTCTCGAGCGTGCACTGGATCTCGCCCGTGCTGGCGTTGGGTTGCGCCCAGATGGGCATCTTCGTCATCTATCTCGCCGTGTTCAATTACCTGGCCGACGTGTACCATCGGTACGCGTCGAGTGCGTTGGCCGCGCAGGGGTTTGCGCGGAATGTCTTCGCCGCCGTCTTTCCACTGTTCACGAATCAGATGTTCCGACAGCTGGGCTATCCCGGCGCGAGTAGTTTGTTGGGCGGGATCGCCGCGCTGTTGACCCTCGTGCCGTGGGTGTTGTTGTTCAATGGCGAGAAGATCCGCGCGAGGAGCAAGATCGCCAGGCAGATCATGTCGACTGAGCATCATCGTTAAAGGCATGGAGATGCCTATCACGGCCTATCACGGCCTGTATCGTATATAGTATACAGTATATAGTTAATCCCTATTGTGAGATTCTTAGAGGCCTTTCACTGAACCGCGGCCCTGAAGTAAACCTTGCACGTGATCTGGCGCAACCTCCGCGCGTGCCTTCAACGGGTCGTGGCGCGTCTCAACTGAATTATGACTTCATCCGCGCCTGGCGCATGCTCTATCCAAGCTCTGTCCAAGTTGCCTTCGAGCATATCTTGAACGAACGTCTCGCATCGACGCTGCTAGTACTCGAATACATTATAGATTTTGGACTGGCCCCAAAAACTCCACGGATACATCGACTCAAGCACCTGTGAAGTGCCCCCGAAAGAACAATGCCCAAAGCCGCCAAAGCACGCACCAATGCCCGCAAGTCCATACCCGAAGAACTCTGGTTCTGACCCCTCAGATCCCAGCGACAGCGGTACCAGCCAAACGGGCGTGGGCAGCTCTATGACTACTACCAATAACGGAAGCCGTCCGGTGAACTACCTGTTTCATTGCGCGGTGGCCGGCACGAGCGATCCCATGGTAACTCGTATGCTGTCTGTCCCATCGACCTTGACACTCGAGCAGATGCACGAGGTCATGCAGGTCGCCTTTGGTTGGGGGGAATTGTCACCTGTGGAGATTCGAGCTTCAGAAGCTCTATTCCACCGAGAAAGAGGAGTAGGAAGATCAGATGCAGGTATGTATGCCGTGGTATGCCCATTCCTCTGATCGCGCAGTATAAATCTCACTTCTGCACACCGCTTATTGAGCCGTGCCGAGTCTACTTACTTACCCGTGGGCGCAGAACGGCTTGATGCCCCTGTTGAGTTTCGAAATGGACCCTTGGAACATGCAGGAGTCCATGCCCGATCGGAAGGACACTTTCAAAGATGCTGCCAAGTGGAGATTGTGCGACATCTTCGAGAAGGACGAGTACCGCGACAAAGTCAATTTGATTTACGAGTACGACTTTGGTGACAGTTGGGAGCACCAGATATCGTTCATTGGCGTCGAGTCGCCGGGCCTTCGAATGAGCTTGATGGCTGATGCCGAGTACAATTTCCCCGTGTGTTTTGCAGGCGAGGTATGAGCTAATCTTGTCGTCCTCTGAGAGAAGCCAGTTGACAGAAGCTGACCGCTGACCTTATCTCCAGGGACATCCAGTTGCGGAAGACTGTGGCAGTTACGAAGGCTGGGAGGCTCTCAAAGAAGTCTTCACCAAACCACGTTCGCGTGATCCAGAAAATCTGAAAAATTGGTACAAGACGGTCTGTGCCAATGGTGATCGGAAGGGCCTTGACCCGTGGAAATGGAGCATCTTCGACGTCAACGATGGTCTGGAACAAAGGAGGGTGTGAATATCAGAGGTGCCAGTGTATGCCATACGATTCAACTCCCTGGGATCAAGCTGACAGAATGTCAGGTTCTGACGGGACTGAAACTCACAATGGCCTGGTTGCCCTACCATGTATTATAGATCCTGGGGTTGGAATTTTCTTGCAATATCTTCCTGATTTCAGGTCAATCGGGGAGTTGTCGATTGATAGAAGGATCACTTGTAGTTTAACAGCTCTTGAGACATGTAAAGTAGTCACCGCTGTCGTTCGTTATACTTCAATTCAAATCCATCATACCTATACTTTCGAGGCAAGCACGCCTTCCCGGCAGCTTGTTGTTGTACAAGATGGTACCCATAATTGCGTTTCTTTTTGTAATCTCAACGCAGACCGGCCAAACGACGTCCTTGCACCTCGGTAAGCGCTCTGCTCCCGAACAAAAATGCCACCACCCCAAGAGCAGCCAGGACAGGTAATGTTTGAAAAAGGTTCCACACAGTATAGTAGAGGAAGAAAACGCCTTCGATGCCAATAATAGAGCCGACGAACAGCGCGTGCGAGAGAGGAGCGTCGGACATGGCTTTTGAAATGTGATTGATGTTGCCGCCTAGATATGCCCACTACGATGGTTAGCAAAATGCAGGATGCCCAAGGCTTGCCAGTACTTACAGCTCCGAATAAAGGCGAGAAGGTCGCCACAACTGCCAGCAGAAAGAAGCTGCTGATTGTAATATTTGGGCTCTTTGGGTCCGACCGGAAAATGTGGTGAATTTCGGGCAGTTTTCCATATCGTACGGGTTTCTCTGCTACTGGAATAGGGATGTTTGGGTCCAGTTCAATAGTCAAAGGAAACGCTTCGCTGTTGTACCCTGCTGAGGAGCCAAAGGAGGCAATGACGATGCTCGCAGATAGAGGTGAGGAGGACCGGAGAAATTGTGCTGGAAGGTCCTTGTGTGTCTGTAGGCAGACGCATTGTAAGCTTGGGGGGTTTGACATGACGGGTATGGCAGGCTTACCAGCTCGACCTTTGCTTTTCCCGACTCTTTGACGCTGAACGGGTATGAGATGTCTAGTTTCTTCGAGGAGTCTTGAAGCAGGAGGAACGCTTGGTGTGGACGTTTGGCGGTCTTGCCGTCTTGTACGGTTAAGGTGACTTTGAGAGTATCGGCGGCGCCAATTGTCACCGGCTTCGAGAGTGCTTTGGAGGGGAGAAGCCTGATCGACAATCAAGGTCAGTCGAAATTGTCCAAGCAATGTTCCAAGTCAAGTCAGGGGCAGACATACTGCTCCTTGAGGCCACCTCCGACGCCTGCGCCCTTGGCTACAACGTTCACCGAGCCATCAGTAAAAGTCCAGGAGGCGGCTACGGAGGTCGACGTTAGAGCTGACACCAGCAGGAATGCCTGCGATAGCAAGCCTTGTAACCTCATAGTGATGTGTTGTCCAGTCGTAGAACTGCTGGATTCCTAAAGGTCAATGGGCAATTAAATGTTACGTCGCCAGATGCCTTCTCCAACGCCAAGACCCGATTGACGTCTTACCTTAGGTAGGCGAGGCTACGAGGCTGAGCATATCCTACCTAGACGAACGAGTACCACTGTACTTTGTCCTATTTAGGAGGTTTGACATGAAAAACTACGCAGAGACGGTTCGGGCATCATTTGCTTGTTACTAGCTTCATCAGAAATCGCTTCCCGCCAGACCTATGTGAGATATCACAATACCACTGAACAACAGGTGCTTCAGCTGGCTTAGGGTCTATCGCCTCCACACGCCTCCTATTTAACCTGAGTATGCCCCGTCCGGTGCCAAACTGCCACGAGCTTCTCGCAGCCTTGACAGCGGTGCTCCACGTTCTTTAGACCACTGACCATGTACGGGAGGAAGGTAAAGATGACGGAGTGGAAGAACAAGCAACAGGCCCAAGCATGATTCATATTGCCGCTTGAAAGAGACGTGACAGTCCTGCCACGCAGGCCACAGTACGGACAGTCAACCAGCGCTGGAAGGTGGCCTAGGTCATGGATGGGCGTTGTTATCGGATAGTCGGGCTTGCCGCCTGGAGCTCGGGTTTGTGCCCATTGATTATCGGCGACAACTGCTTGGCCCAGGGGTTCGGGGCTCTGGTAAGGGCTACCAACGAGGTCAGCTCCGGCTATACGGGCACCGTCCACTCCTGGTACATACTGCTGTGAGTTCTGGGAACTCTGGATGGGGGTAATTTCGTATGGAGGGCATTCTGAGAGATGTTCAGCATTACTGAGATATCGATCTGTCCCTTGGAGCTTTGAATACCTTTTTTATCCTCGCCTGCAGCCATGATGTAGTGGAGAGAGTCAGAGACCTGGATAGATCAGACTGAAGTCATCGGTGGTCTGCACAGAGGCACAAGATATAGGAACAATCTCAATGCAAGCCTTCGTACTCGTATACACGCGGCTTGGACCCCAAAGGCACGGGACATCCAGGCAGCGACATTTCTTTGCCTTGCAACCATGCTTCAGTGCCGTTTGGTTACGCATGCATGTCTCAAGTAGTAGTATCATGCGTGGGCACCTGGTGTTATCCGATTCCGGTGATATCTGATTCGTCTCCTCGTTCTTACATTGAAGCTAATTACGTGGACTCTTACAAATCCTGGGCCTACTAAATAGGTGGTCAGGTGGTTGCATACTTACACCAGGCACTTTCATTTGTGTGCAAAGGATATCTTGCGGTAGAGAATGCAAAAGACTTCTTATAACCCAAGGACGATAGCATTGCCCAATATGTGGAAGAGACGCGGGTATGATTGTACGGACAGGAAACCTCAGCCACTTTACGGAGAAGTGCACCAAATGTAGTTGCCGCGCTAAATTTTAGTGCGGGCGAGGAATGCGGCTTAGCAGCTCTCAGAGTTGCGGTGTAAGGATTGCTTACTAATTTGTATAGTACTTTTTAGTACTCGCCTCGAGATTTTTATACTTTATATATAAAGCTTATAATAATTATATCTTTAGTATCTATAATTAACTTTATTTTATATCTATTTCTCTTTAAAATAATCCTTTATTTATTTAATTTTATTAATTTTAAAGGGTACACTAAATATAAAGATAATAATAAATAAAAAATATATTAATAGATACTTATTTTATTAACAATAATTTAATAGATAGTTAGTTTTTACCCTTATATTTTCTTCTATTTCTTATCTTTCGGTAAAAGTAATTAAAATTAGAGAAGCCGAGCGGCCGCGGCGTAAGAATTCGCTTACCGTTAGACTTATAATCGAGTTGGCCTTATAGAGAGATATTAGTACTAGATATTTTATTATTTAACGATCCTAGGCTCTTACTTTATATTTTATCAATTAAAAAACTACGTAAATTATAGCTTATATTAAGATCCTTAAGCGATCTATTCGAGCGATTATAAAAAGGTTTTACGTCGCAATAGAATTCTTAAGTCCTTAATTATTTCGTTAAGAATAAATATACACTAAGGCGTCTAAGGTGTTATAAATCGCTCCACGATAAGGTATCACGAGATAAGGGTTCCTTGGCAAGTAGGAAGTATAGAGTGTATGTCTGTAAGAGTACGAGTATATAAGTAAGTCGCTATACTAGAGCGAAGCTGATCGATATCTAAAACGTATAGGTATAATCGTAAACGAAGTTGACTATATAGTAAAGCTATAAAACGACCTTATATATATAGTCGTATAATCTATATAATCTATTACTTTACTTACTTTACTTCTAGGGCCGATAGAGCACTAGATCAATAGATTAGTATTACGTAACCTAGCCTTACCCGGGACGAGGCTATCTCTTCGGCACTCTTTTCTCTCCCCGTCCTACGTAGCAAGGTATTACGGCCTCTTTTTAATCGTAGGTTAATTCGTAATACTTTCCTCTCCTTAGAACCTATCGTTATTCTTAACGTATATAAACGTAAGCTATCCCTTATTCCGTATATCCTAACTCTCTTTCTTTCTTATGGCTAACTATATCGCGTCTCTATCGTAGATATCCGAAGTAGTCTTCTATCTAACGCCGCCTTAATCTTACCCTAGCTATTGAGTTCGAGTAATCTATCGTAATGGTCGTCTATTCGAACTACGCTAACTTAGGTGAACTGTATTACTTCTCGAAGGAGCTATCGATTAAGTATTCCTATTGTTTAAAAAAGAATATAGACTATAACGGTTCCTTCTCTCTAGAGAAATTCCGTAAGATAGTTAAATAAAAGAAGCGATTACGGCTAAAGTCTCGCGCTAAGCGCCGAGAGATTAATCGTCTCCGCGAAAAGTGAGTGTTAGTCTATAGCGCTCTTATTAAGGTCTAGTAGACTATATTATCTCTAGATTAAGAGATCTCCTTACTTAAAGAGGGTAATAAGAAATTTAACGAGGATCTATCTAAACTAGAGGATAAATCTCGTAGGATACTTCGTCGTAAAATAATAGCGTTAGAAGTTTTAGAGGACTAGCCCGAAGACGCGGAAGTAGCCTTTACCGATCCTAATGTATAGCTGGAGCCTTCGGATGTTGACTAGTCTTCTTTATTAGATTCTATTGGTGGTACTTCTTTATAAGTCCCTAGGTAAGGTTTTTCTCGGGTTCCTAAGTATTTTCTTCTTCTTTATATCTTAATTACTTAATTAGGTAGTATCTTTATTGTCCTTTAGTTTGGAAGTCTACTATTCTCTCGACGTTATATAGTAGTTTCTAGGTTTCTTTATATATTAGTATTGATTTGGGTTTAGCGTTTAGTGGTGCTTTCTTAAGGAGTGATTTATAGAATATCGGATAAATATTTATTTCTCTAGGTAGTTCTAATTTGAATATTATTAGTCTAAATTTCTTTTTGATTTTGTAGGGTTCGATCTTGGTGTAATTAAGTTTGTTTAATGGTCGTTGTATTTTTATATTTTTTCTAATAATGTAGACTAGGTCTCTCTCTCGAAGGTTTAGTCCCTTAGATCTTCTCTTATTGGCTTGTTTTGTTGTTTTTTCTATGATTTTCTTTAATTGTTTTTATAGTATTCTATATAGTTCTTTAAGTCTATTAATTAATATCTACGCTTTCTTTATAATTGGTTTAAATTCTCTTAGGTTATTATTAATGTTTGGGTGTCTCCCGTAATTTGTATAGAATAGTGATATTCCTGTAACTGATATACTATTATTGAAAGTAAACTATATAATAGGTAATAGCTCTATCTAATTGTCTTATTAAAAATTGACGTAATATCGTAGATATTGTTTTAATGTTTGGTTGGTTCTTTTTGTTTGTCTATCTAACTATAGGTAATATACTATTAATAGTTTTTAGTGTATTCTCGTTAAATCTATAAGTGATTACTAAAATTGTAAAGTAAATAGTTTATCTTAATTTAAGCGTATTTCTTTTGGTATTTTATATTGTACGATAATGGTTTTATAGAATATATATACTAGTTCTTCTACCGTAGATACTTCCTTATATAGTACGAAGTATATATATTTAGTTAAAGTATCGTTTATAACTAAGATACTATTAAATTCTATACCCGTAAGGGGTTCTTTGGACTTCGGTAGCTTAACGATAAAGTCGAGTGTAATAGTCGACTATACTTTACTGGTGATTTTTAGTGTCTAAAGTAGTCTATATAGTTTATATCTTACGTATTTAGCTTTATAGTATATATCGTAGTTTTTAATATACTTTGTTATATTCTTTCGTAGTCCTTTCTAGGTAAAGTCTCTTATGACTAGTTCGATTGTCTTCTTAATCCCTAGGTAACCTGCTAGCTTATTATTATGTCTTGATTTAATGATCTCTTGTTTCTATCGTTCTATTAGCTTGATATTTATAACTACGAGAGTAGTAATCTCGGGCGTGGTATATATTAAGGCGCTATTTCTTTCCTTAAGTATAGCCATTGATTCTAGTTTAATATTTTTTATGTAATTTAGCTAGCGGCTAAGTATATTAGCTATAGTGTTTTCTTTTCCTTTAATATAGTATATCCTGAAGTTATATAGAGCTAGTGTCTCTATTTATTGGACTTATCTTCTATTGAGTTGTTTTGTTGTTGTCTAGTAGAGTAGGTTCTTATGGTTAGTATAGACCTATATAGGGTACTTTACTTCTTTAAGATATACTCTCTACTATTTTATTGCTTTAATAATAGTAAGTAATTCTTTATTGTATATATTATAGTTAAGTTTCGATTTAGTTATCTTTCTTAAAAAGTATACGATCGTCTTTAGTTTTCTATTAGGTTGTTTTTATGTAAGGTAAGCTTTAATGGCTTCGTTAGATATATTCGTTTTTAGTATATATTCGTATTTCGGGTTATATATCGTTAGTATTGGCGCGCTTATTATGGCCTTTTTTAGTATTTGGAATATGTTCTTATATTTCTATCTAAATTTAAATTTAATATTCTTCTTAGTAAGGTTTATTAGTGGCGCGGTAATCTTCGAAAAGTC